AGTGCGGATCCGACGGCACCCTCGTCATGTGCGACCACTGGTAGTTTCAACTTTCTTCACAATTATGATACTACTCTTAGCAGTTTGTCTTCGGTAAGGAATTCAAAGCTAGGTGAAATGCTCGTTGCGGCCATGTGTGTCTCCTTTAGCAGACTGGCCGCTCAATGCCCTCAAGGCTTGACCTGTCAAGTCGCACTCTCTAACCTCAGCGCTTCCTCTCGCGGTTCTCCTTTTCACTATCGTCGCCACACTCCTTCTCGTCTCGATTTCTCTCATCATTACCGGTGTGCTTCTGTGTAGGTCTTTCTTGGTCAACTTTCTCCTGTACAAGCATAGCCGGCAAGACTCCACTCGCGATGGGATCAAGATCAGATGGTGCGCACGTGGCTGGAGATGTGTATGGTCCTGTACTGTCTGATCCCGAGCTCAGTTGATCCGCCTTCTTCTCGGCCCATGCAATCGCTCCATCAAAGACCGTCTTCACGCCATGGACTACCTCTTCAACGACTTCCGCTGCGGAGTGTATACCGTCAGTTCTCTGTCCAAAGGGAGTTGACGCCTGCTTGGGTGTATTCGTAGGTTCTCCTGGTCCCTCTGACTGTAAAGTGTTAGTAGGATCAGAGAGGCCTGCGTGCTCACTGACAGTCTCTGTTTTCGAAGGAGCCCCGTCAAGTTGCGCTGTGTCGGCACTGGAATGTGGAGTTGTGGCAGCCTCGAGTGCGCTTGGCCTCATTGTTCGTCCGGCTATAGCCTCCAACGCTTCAGGCTTCATTAAAATTCCGTCGAAAGATGATATTGCAGCGTCAGCGATGATGCGAATCCGGAAGTTGAATATCCGTTCCGCGCTCACAGTTGTTACAGATCGCAAGCTTTGTCTCACGTTTGGTAGCTATTACTAGTGTTCTTGCCGAGCAGTTTGTACCTGCGTGTAACAAGAGACGTCATAGGTAAACAAACGAATATCGAAGCTACGATTATACGTGTCCTTCTTCAGGCTGTTTCCCGATCCTATTCAGCGACATTTAGTGCAGGCACCCGGACGCTCTCAAACATGTATCTGCTGCGCCACCGATACAGCTGTCATGTGCTGCTACAAGCAATATACTTTCATTGCGAACACGCTCGCCCTCACGTCTCATTGTAATATCCCAGACATGATTCTACCTGAGCATCGGTCCAAGGCATTGTCGCAACCAACCACAATCCCAACGTATCGATACTACCTGGATACGGTGCGAGCGTCGCAGCTGTACTGTGTACTCCTAATCCTCCACGATCACCAACCGGCTGAATTGCTCTTGTCAACAGGCTTCACCCGAATGGAAATGCGAACTCTGCAGCACTCGCGTCGCTGCTCAAATGCCGGAGCTCTGCTGACTTAGAAACACCAAGATATTATAGTCAGAGTGATGTTTCCACCGGTTATTTGCGGTAGCGAGACACTGTTCGCGCAACGAGGCTGGATCCGTTGCGATCTGCAACCACCCGGCAAGGTCGAAGACGAGCCAAATACTTTGGTGCGATGCGTGATTCGGGCCAAGTGGCTTGCGATGTAGATCTAAGGGTCTCGCACAATTTCAATGCTGAGGAAGCCACCTGATGCTTCGCCGGAGTTCCGTGGTCCTATTGAGCCTGCCTTAGATGCAAAACACAGCTAGACATTAGTTTGGCCATGCTCTGGTTGAGATCAGCCGACTCAGAATACGATCAAAACGATAAGCGGTGAATACCCGACATGTGCCACGATGCGCATCATCCAGTGTTCCCACACCAAGCACGTTCGATGCAGCCAGACTGCATGGCGCTCAATCCAACCACCAATCCGGCTACAGCTATGATTGGCTGCCAGGACTGCAACCGCACCCCATTCTTTCTTGCTTCCATCAACCTTCTATGACAGGGGAAACCCCTGCAGTTGATATGACCCGCGGCGAGGACGTGAGCAACCGCCAATCATAAAATACATCGGTCGCTCCACAGCTTGGCCGCAATATATATACACGCTGTCGGTGCTTCACTGACGCATTGTCAATTGTCAGAAGATACCGTCGATGCAGGTCCACTACCGCCGTACGCTGAACGCTCCTGACGCTGGACCCTTCGCACCATGGAGATGACCGTATCGTTGTTGCTGGCATTTTGGCTGATTTTAGCCTGTTACGTGCGGCTCGAATGTATGCAAGTGGCAGGTAGTCGAATCCACTGCCGCGCTATCCTGACGGACTTGCCGTGTTGCTCCTAAGTATTTGATCATTTCCAAATCCCAGAGCTCGTGCCTGCTGCGTGTTGTTCTGTAAGCAGATCAACTCTCCACGCACTATCGGTCTCTGGATGCTGCCGCCGCCGTAATAGGCCGTCAAAGTTGCCCCCAGCTGTTCCATACGTAGGATTGGAGGCAATTTGCTGACGGGTACGCGAAGGCGTCGTCAGAGTCACGAACCTGGCGACCTTGTCGACCATCCACTCGAGACCCCTGTAGCCCGCATCTGGCGCCTTTTTTAATTGTCTGGAGGCAGTGTGGAGTGCTTCAAGCCCCATGCCATCCCCGCATTCGCATCCTTCATCTCGCAAACGCGATGTGAGGACTTCGTGGAGCTAAGGGAGGCGACATTGTGGGCGCGATATATTCGATGCTAGTGTCCCCGTCGCCTGGTGAGCTCATCTTCCTCTACCCTGCGACGCCTGAGTCTACACCTTTCGCTGCCTCTACATAACCAACATCGCGTCGATATCGTGGCTGCACCACTGCACACGCCGCAAAGTTCGAGTGCAGCGTGCCCTGGCTGCTTTCTATCTGTCCACCAATCATGGCGGGCATTACGGCCTTCTCCAGAAGTTAGTCCCGTGTCAGCGGCAACCACCAATGGACAGTTCCCGCGAGACTCTTTCTGCCTTAATCTTTCCACTTTGCCGGACGCAGGCAATTTCATGCTCAAGTCTGCACTCAGATCTCCCCATCTTCTTGAATCGCCGAATGGCCTCTTCTCTCCTCGCGGCGGCTTGACCAATCCGTTCAAGAAACGACCCCGCAACATGTCTCAATCCTCGGGCACGGATCGTGAGATGTCGAGTGATCTTACCCCACCTGCACAATCGAACGGCACAGCACCAACAAGCAACGGTGCCAATGGCACTCACTCAGAACCACGCCCGTCGACGAAAAAGAGGCCAAGCACCGACACGATAGACTATCCGCGGCGACGCGCGACCATAGCTGTAAGCTCCTTCTTTGGGCAGTGATCTCCCACAGCCATGTCCTGACAGCTTCTAGTGCGAGATATGTCGATCGAGGAAGTCGCGTTGTGACGGTTCAAGGCCGAAGTGCAGGCTTTGCACAGAGCTGAACGCAGAATGCATCTACCGTGAGCCAGGCATCAAACTGGATGCAGGCGACAAGTTGATTCTGGAGCATCTTAACCGCATCGAGGGCCTCTTGCAAACAAGCATCACGAGTGGATTTTCCCTGTCCTCGCATTCGCCGGCTGTAAGCAACACCACGAGCGAGGATTTCCTGGCGCGAAGCTCCGGCACTATTCCCCACTTGGGCATGGTCCAGCCCATCAACGGCATCGGCACGTGGACTAACCATCCCTCGAACATCTCCACGATGCCGAAGACGCACAACACCGCGGCCTTGAATCTGCTCGCCTCGCCGATGATTCGGGAATTGGTGTCTCGTCAATACGATGCGAAGATCCTTCTCCAGCTAGAAATGACGCGGGAACCTGTTAGTTTTAGCAGCTCGCGAGGTCTCGATCTGTCGAACACGGGGACCTATGTCCAAGCGTACTTTGAAAGAGTGAACGTTTTCTATGCATGCGTTAATCCGTATACATGGAGCAATCATTACCAAACCGCGCTGGCGCATGGATTTCGTGACGGGCCCGAAAGCTGCATTGTTCTGCTGGTGTTGGCCCTTGGACATGCTGGTAGTACCGGAAGCATAACACAGCAAAACCCCGAGAAAGAGCCTCCAGGCCTAGCATACTTCGCTGCTGCATGGTCGCTTCTGCCTACTGTGATGACGAGGAACAATATGGTTGCAGCGCAGTGTCAAATCTTGGCCGCGGCATACTTGGTCTATCTAGTGCGACCAGTAGAAGCATGGAACGTGTTATCAGGCGCCAGCATGAAATTACAATTGCTGCTGAGTGCACCTGGAAGGGTATCTCCAGCGGAAGAGGAGCTGGGCAAACGTGTCTACTGGAATGCTGTCATGATCGAGAGGTAGGCTCAATCCACCCACGAGGAAACACGCGCTGACATTCTCATCTAGTGACCTATTGGCCGAGCTCGATCTTCCACACTCGGGTATTGCACAATTCGAAGAAGGCTTCTCATTACCAACCGGTTTTGAAGACCTGGGAATGGAGGTAGTGGGCCGTGACGAGCTGTGGTATTTTCTTGCAGAGATTGCACTACGAAGATTGCTCAACCGAGTCAGCTCTATGCTCTACATTCGGACCACGCCGTATTCAAAGGGACCAGCTGCCACATCGGTAGCACAACTAGACCCACTGGTCGTTGAGCTTGACTATCAGCTGAACCAGTGGTATGCCGGACTGCCACAGGCAATGCAGTTCCCCCTAGACAGGGTCCCGTTACAAAATCCTGTGCAGACTGTCTTAAGACTACGGTACTTTGCCTGCCGCACGATTATATTCCGCCCATACGTACTCCTTGTCCTACAAGACGAGACCCTGGCCCTCGACTCCAGTGTGCAAGACAACTGCCACAAATGCTTGGAGGCATGCGTACGTCAACTGGAATACATAACAGCGCATCATGCAGGACATCTCCCTTACCTGTTCCAAGGTGCTCTGTCGTAAGTCTGTTCACCAGATAAAAGTGTCGTAGCTAACCATCTCCTAGTATAATCTCTCAAACTTTGCTCATAATGGGCGCAACCATGACAGCATCGCTGTCGCAACTGCTTCCACCACCATCTACAATGGACGACATCATCAACAACGTCGTTCTCGAGATGGAACGATACGCCCACCTCGCACCAAGCCTGCGTCTTTCGGCCGAGATAATTCGAGAGGCCGAGGGAAAGCGCCAGATGTGGCTACGCACAGCTGGACTGAAGTTTGAACCATGATTACATGGCCACTTTGAACCTTTCGCAACAGTTGCTTGAGCGCGATGGAAGATGCCCAACAACAACGAGTATGCTGGAACGCTTCTGAAAACTCTCTCTGAGCGTATCGCGCGAGCAGACCTGAATTGCCAGTGATCACTACCGGCTCCGGCGCACATCAGACGCCATCATTTACGCAATGTAAGCGGCGACTCGGTCAACCTCACAGTTGGGGTTGGCGCACAGACCTGTCCCCATCATGCTGCATCGCAGCGTCTCTGAAGTCTGGCTAAGATCAGCCATGTGACTTACCAAGACAACGTCGACCGAGATTCTGGACGCAGGATGCAGAGACTTGCTGTTTTCTGCCACCAAGCCAAGCACACTACGCGGTTGGCAATCTTGCTTACAGAGTGGGAACATCACCAGGATTAACCGGATAATCCTGCCATTTATCGTACCCTTGTATGTATTCTCTTGGCTCCAGCTTAGCTCCACGGGAGGACCAGAACAGCACTTCTTCTTGGATCGCGATGAAATCGACTGAACGTTGGTGCGATGCCGATTGGACGAGATTGTCTTGTGAGTCTACTCTTATGTGGTCTGCACCAAACACCATTTGAGCCTCTCGATGATATCCGAACAACTATGGGGCGAAGAACAATATTTTGGTACTTGGTCGAAGCGTTACGAGCGGTACGGGACGTTTTATGGATCGTCGTCCCCATGCGATGCTGGTACATCGTCCCGTGACGATCCACAGCCACACTGAGGCGATCATGATACCAAAGACTTAGATATAGAGGATAGTAAGCTCGTCACACCATATCCTCACCTATTCATTGACTAGATTTGATATTTTGTTCTCGGGTTCCACATACACATTACGCTGAAGAGGCACACGCCGGCATTGCAGCAATAAGCGCGCAAGGGCGGCTCCACGTAATATAAATCCGATATTAATGATGTCTGAAGGCCCGATAGCGGTCATGCACCCCACAGGTTCAGACTTCACCCGTATTTGTCCCGAATCCTGATACTCTTCTAGAATGTTTCAAATTTCGGACTTCTGCCTCTAGAAGCGCTGGTATGAGATGTTGGCGGAGAGATTTTCGAGAAGGTTTATATATGCGCCGCTGGTGCGAGATGAAGCCATGGAACGTGAAACGATGAGATTTATGATCTTGCCAAATACCTACATACACCCGTGTGACAAGACTAGATAATTTACAATGCTTTCTGGAATGAGTCAAATCACAGCATTGTAAACTTTCAATACTGTCTGTGAGCGTGTCTCCCAAACTACCCTATTTCGCCAATGAACAGTGCCTGTGTGATAGACGTCAATACCTGCATGGCACAAGTCAGCCCTCCGCTGACGAGCAGCTGCATCCCGCATCCTTCATTTGCCAATGCTTTAGCGCCACCGATGAGGCAGCGTGACGCCTTCTATCACATCTTTTCGAAGCCTCGTCGAGGACCAAGTGGTGGACCCCGCCATCACGGATGCACTGCGCGGACAGCCGTCACCAGGAGCGCCATCACATTGACACGACAACAAAAATCGCGACAAGTCGACCCGGAGAGCAGATAGCCCGGGCTCCATTACTGCGGGGTCATTGGCACAGCCGCTTGAACGGTGCAGTATCTGCGCGCATGATCATGACTCGCTAGGAGGCGCTGAAAATGGAATATTACACAGCATATCGCACGCTCAGCGACACCGCGAGTAGGTTGCATGTCAACACGAAACAGAAGCGATGTTCGGCAGTTCTCTAGATTCCCAGGTCTGGGTAAGGGTCGCACGAGCATGCTCCAGGGCTATCACCCTTGATAAATCACTGCACCCGGTAGGTCTGGGGTGGAATGAGTTAGCGCTTAAGACAGCGATTTAATACATGGGATGGAGGTTTGGAAGGGCTTCTAGAAAGATCATGCATACTAGCGGTAGTGGAGATGAGCTGACCAGATTCTGGTTAGCGAGCTGCAGCTGCACCAAGTCACATGGCTTGAAGGATGCAGAGGCGGGACTTGGTATACTAGCGCCAGGCCTATGCTGCCTGCGGACTGAAATTTGAGGTCGGCGACCCAGAGTTGAGTCGTGACTGCGTCCAAAGATGGCTGCGAGCTTATACACAAGCACGGAAGACACCTACATCCAGCGTAGGGTCGCTTTGATAGACTTGCGTTTGTAGCAGACTTATTAGGTTGATCCATTCATGATGTAATGCTACGTTGGATCTTTACTCTGCATTGGTGGGACTGGCTGCTTCAACTGACAACTCAATGGTTCCATGCTCATTACGTCGGTTGGCTGCCTTTGTGCAATGACAGAGTCCACTAATCTTTTCTTTGAAACGTTGACCGGGCGGGAATAACCGCCACTATGTGGCTGTAGTTGTCCTTCCGTGCCGACATCATTGCGCCGCTGCAGGTACCCGCGTACAATGCTCCAGAAGACAGACCGGGAACAACCTCGTTCGTACTCCAGACATAACGCCATGCATGGGGAGAACGGACCTCGTAGCCGGGCGAAACAGAGGTAAGCGTTTCCGCTACTTGTATCTTGACACCACCTTCCTACGTTTCTCGAAAGCATCACCAGCCGCAGATCCTGAGCCTCGGGGTCCATCGCCTACAGGTCGCTTCCTACTCTTGTCCAATGATCCCAACTTCCCACCCTTCTTTTGCGTGAGTCGCTCGATGCGGTCAATGCCAGCGCCCAAGCTTCGCCACTCCTCTCCACCAAATCCACCGTCCTGGCCGCGACCCCGCTTCTTAGCCTGTTCCTTCTTGCTGATGGGTGCCAGACGCGTGAAGTTTGATTCTTCATACTCTCGCCTCTCGTTCTCTTCGCGTCGCTCCTTTTCGGACTTCGTATGACGGCCTCCATCGACAATGGTGCTTCCAATACTTGGCTCGGCCATGGGCGCCGAAGAGAGTTCGGTTGCGATAAACTCATCCAAAGTGGCAGATTTTCCTGGTCTTCGCTCGCGCCTTGCTTCACGACTTTCGGTCGTTGGCATAGCCATTGGGGTGATCTTGGGCGGCCTGTAAATGCCGTCTTTTGCCGAGTCCCTGGCCTTTTCCTCCTTGACGTCCGCTTTTGACTTGGCCATTTGGGGGCCTCTTGGTCCGTAAGCCATCTCATCTTCGTCCTCTTCGGTTTGGTCAGAACCGGCAGATTCCGCATCGCTGGCATCTGAGTCTGCGTTTGAATGATCCTTGGTTTTCCTCGTCTTGGATTTGGCCACTGAGTGAGATGTACGTCGAGCAGCATCATCGGCAGTTCGGATAATTTTGTCGATGTTGTACTTTAGACGGTTTTCAAGCGGTCGCACGCCCTTTTCCAGATACACTCGTAGCTCAACTAACTTCTGTACTACTTCGTCGTGTGGATGCAGAGTCAATTCGGTCGGTGCGCCAGCACTGTTGGAACGAGCTCTGAGTTTGAGCAGTATTAAGAACACCAAATTCTGGAGGTACGACAGAAGCAGTTCGTTCTTAACATCGAGCAGCGAGATGCCTTCCTTTGGCGGTGAAATATCATCTGACGGCAAGGCCTCGGTCGCAGATTGAATGGAGGTTACAAGTGTCGCCAGTAGCGCCTCCAAAGAGTTGTCGACAGCCATCGGTTCGTTGTGTTGTTGTTGATTCTGCGTCGCTGTCGTCGAAGAGCGAGTGCAAGAAATTTATTTGAGCCGACGATTTCCCGTCCTGGCCGCTAAGCCAACTTGGGAATAGCCTGCACGCCAACTCTCATCTCTATACGCTCTTCATAGCAACTTCGCATCAGCTTCGCCATTTGCGCCCTTGTTCAGCAATAGATCAACTAATATATCACGGCCCACATATGTATTGATAGTGTTTGGCATGCAGGATCGTCTTTCAAAGCTGATAGTAGGCGCTCCTAGGCTACAATCGCGAGAAGAAAATGAAGCATGAAGGCCTGGTCCTCCCTAGTCAATAACTATATTCCCATAGTGGGAGGAACTCTTCAGTGTCTTCGTTTTTGTAAGAATAATTCCGGTAAGTCTGCTACCGCATGCGCAATGGCCACTGTCCTTGATTTTCAGCTCTTTCTAGAACTGTTATCCTTGTTGGAAGGTGCCCTCTCTCAGCACTTACTGCGCCATGAGATAGAGGAGCGGCGCCGGTGGTATTTGTTTGCTGCCTAATTAGGCCTAGTGTATTCCTATATAGCCTAAGATCTCTTAGAACTTATTAATATACTTATTACTTAACTTTTATATTTTAATAAGTTATAAGCTTAAGCTATTCTGCTGCGCTATATATATCTTATAATAGCTCTTACTTATTATTTTAATTACTTTACTATACTACTTTCTAGTAATACGCACTATATCTATTCTGCCTATTACTGCATAAAATAAGATAACTGCTATTATACTTTATAGCTATATAATATTACTTAAAGCTACTACGTTACCTATACGCTTTATATTTCTACTATTATAATATTATTAAGCTTCTTATTTAAGCTTAACTTAAGCTTACTATCTAAACTCTCTATATATAATAATAACTATATAGAATAGCGCTTAGCGTAGACTATAGCTTTTAGATATGCTAATCTCTAGACTCTTATATCTAGTAAACGCACTAAGCCTACTACTACTGCTAGCGCTACTAGCATAAATAATAAAGATAGCTTATTTAATAAGTAAAAAGCTAATAATAATAAGATAATAGTTATGCTCTTATTCTTAGTATATAATAACCTTACTATATTAGTAACTTTCTGCAAAACTACTTCTAAAATATAGAAGTACTTTAGAAGCTACTTTAACTAAGATACTAGTAATATATTAATTCTTCTCTTTAAGTTATTAATAAACTTAAGATATACTAATAAAGATAACTTATAACTATACCTTAATAAGTTCTACTAATAGTAGATATAAATATTAAAGCGCTGCGCTAGTTCTATTTAGACTATTATAAAGATAATAAAAGTAATATTTAAGTTAGATAAAGTTAAGAGTTTTTTCTTTCTTATAACGTTACTAGATATAATAGACTATATTATTAATAACTTAAGTTCTTATAATATTACTAAGTTTATAGATATTAAGCTTAAGATTCTTAATATCTTAGAGAAGTACTCTTTTAATACTACTAATATATTAACTATTTATACTGCCTAATAAACTACTACGCGCGCTAGCTAATTATCTAGTAGCGTACTACTAAAGCTAGCTATTCTAGCTAAATATATATAGTGCAGAAAATATAATCTTATATTTATAAGATATATATATATTAACTATAATAAGCTCTATAAATATAAGAAGTAATAGTAGAAGAATATGCTAATAACTAAAAGATATAGTAATAAAGATTCTAGAAAGTAGTATAAAAGTAATAATACCTTAGCTAATGCTAAAGGCAATAACTCTAATCTTAATAATAGTAGAACTAAAGTCTATAGCTTTTCTGCTATCTGCATAATAGTTAGCGTATCTATTAACTTAACTAATTTCTCTCTAAGAATAAAGTTATAGTTAATACAGACTATATCTATTAATAAGAATAGAAAGCATATGCGTAATCTTAATAATATAAGTGCTTATACTACTATCTAATAGCTCTTAGCAACTTCTATATTCTCTTTATCTCTAATCTAGCTACTTAATACTAGCGCTTTGCACTATATATTTAGCTATATAGATAATTTTATATCTTTATTACTAAAGTAAGGCACTATTACTATTACTAAGAGTATTAAGTTACTTATTAATAGAATAGAGATAGTCTAGTTACGCTATAGGTTATCTAATAGATCTACTAAGATTATAGAACTAACTAATATTCTTTATAGTAGTAAGCTCTTTAGTACTTACTTTTTCTTATAGAGATATATCTAATATAAAGGTTTTAAGCTTTATAGTAAGGTAAATAATATTTATCTTACACTTAATAGTATATATGCTTTATAGGCAAAGCATATTAATAGAGTTATCTAAATCTAACTTAATAATTCTACTATGCTAACTATCTAAGCTTTAGCATATTAAGCTAAAAAGACTTATTATACTGCTATATGCTATAACTTATTAAGTAGTAAATCTATGCTAACTAGTACTATATTAGCATATAGTAAATTCTACGCTTACTTAAGTTCTATAAATAATAATAATGCTACTAAAATAACTGCGTAGCTAACTTTACTAATAGCATAAGCTACTATCTACTTTATATTATATAAGAAGTTTTACTACTCTATTATATACCTAAATATCTTAAACTTTAGTAAAGTCTATAAGAATAGAGAACTTATATCTAAGAAACTTAAGAATTTTAAATATAAGATATATGCTCTTTTAAAGTCTATGCGCTACTATCTAATATAGTCTACGCTAGTCTCTAATTAAGTGCTTAAGCTATTTAAAGTTATCTACTTAGATCTTTTAAGTAAGTTTTTATAACTAAGTCTTAGAGGCGCCTGCTACTTTATATTCTTTATCTGCTAAAGTATATAATACTTCTAAATAAAGTTTCTTAAGCGTAAGTCTAAAGCTCTATAAGCTATCTATAACTTTATTATATTTACTAATATATAGTTTAACATATAAATTAGTCTAGTAAATATTATAGTCTTTATAGTTAAGCGCTTTAAGTTAGATAATAGAGAAGAATACCTTACTATAGCATCTAACCTTTAGCATATAGAAATTATCTATAATACTATACTACTATATTACTATAAGCTTAACAGCTTACCTAAATATTAGAATTAGACTATTATATAGATATTCTGCGCTATAATTTACTCTAATTTCTTACTCTTTTTCTAAGCTAAAGCAGTATAAATAAGTATCTTTATTAAGAATATTTTACTTTATTTAGCTAATAAGCTTAGGCATATACTATATAAGATACTGCATAGCGCTAAGCTATTAATTAAGTATCTATATTCTTTTAGCATTAAGATATATATCTATATACTAGTTAAAGCTTATACTGCTAGCGCTAAGCTTCTTTATTATATAGAAGAAAGCATATTTATAGAGTATAGTTATAATACTAAAACTTTCTACGTCTATATTCTATCTAGACACGTTATTATAGAATTCTAGAATATACAGTTCTAGTTTTTTTAATAATATTAAGCTATGCTATATTTCTAACTATTAGCAGAAAATAACATTTCTATCTCTAATCTATATTAAATATCTAAAGATTAACGCTTTATAATTAAAACTTATAAACTATTAGAGAATAATTTTTAGATACTATATATATTGCTAACTCTGCTTACTATAATAAGGTCTTAAACTAGCTAACTTAAGTTAGGTATACCTTTAGACTTTATATTATTATAGAATATGCTACTAATATAGTCTATAGAGCATAATCTATAGAGAAACTAGCCTTAATTATTATAATCTTTGCTACTATTATCTATTACTAGCGCTAGAAGATGCACTATTAGACTAAGTAAGAACTAATTATTCTAACCTAAGACTACTAAGCTAATAGCGCTACTTACTATTATAATCTAGTCTAGCTATATCTCTAAACTATTATAAAAGCTATAGAATAAATATATATCTACTATTTAGATATCTACACTAGATAAAGAAGAGATAGCAGAAGCTTATGCTTATATAATAAAAGTAGATATTAATATAGAGATTCTGCGTATCTTTATAGAAGCTACTAGTACTACTAATATATTACTTTAGATACTACTTATTAAATAGGAAATCTAAGCATATATTAATAATAGTATATAGAAAGTTATCTATAACTTGCTTCTGCGCTATTTACTTATAAGCTTATACTAAGTCTTTAATATTAAATATAATAAATAAGAGAAAGTTATTAAGTAAAAGGCTTAACTTATAGCATAAAGCTTCTCTTAATACTCTAGTATTAACTATAATAATATCTACTTACTAGTAGTATAATATAATAGCCTACGCCTTATAATTATTACTACTCTTACTTAAGAATAGAATATATATTAAGTAGACTTTAATATAGCTTATCTAAATAGCGTACTAAAGTATACTATCTATAGCTAGCCTATGCTAGAAATTCTTACTAATAGTACTACTATTATCTGCATCTAATATATGCTCTATAGCCTAAAATAGTTAGAATATAAATAGTATATAATACTATCTAAATAGCTAAAAGAATAAGACTTTACTTAAGCTAGTTTTAATCTATACGTCTTTATATTTAATAATCTTATCTTAGGTATCTATATTAATAATATATTAATAGCTAGCACTATAAGAGCTATTAATACTATACTGCTAGCAACTAGTATATGCTTTAAGTTCTAAGATATAGATAAACTAAGGTTACTACTTAGCCTAGAGATTAAGTAATATATAGACTATATTTATCTATATTAACGAACCTATATTACTACTATTCTACGCTAGTATAGAATAGAGAAGTGTAACAGCTATTATATACCTCTAGACCTAAACTTATTTTCTTATTAATCTCTTAGTATAGATTCTATTAATCTAGAATAATAGAAGCTATACTAATTAATTATTAGATCTATTAGTTTTCTTGCTATTATTAGCTAGCTAGACTTATTATATATAGTTAGTATATTAGATTTATATAACTTAAACTCTTTAGATCTATATCTAAAGCTAGCTTACTAAACTCTTTAGTATATCTAAGTAACTTATAACTTAGATATCTAGCTTAGTTCTCTACTAGTCTATAGACTCTTTACGTAAAAGATAAGCTTTATTATATATACTAACGCATTATTTAGCTTAGATTCTAATAACTTTAAATCTTTCTTAGAGTTTATTCTAAAGATAAATTAGTTAATAGTTTTATAGTTTTTAAAGCGTTAGTCCTATATAGCTAGATCTACTTATAAGTTAGAATATATAGTAGCCTCTTACGCTGCTAGCTACTTAGTATAGGTATAATAAGCTATTAAGGAGCTTATTAGCAGCGCTAACTATTAACCTAGCAGCGTAGAATATCTATTATACTTACTTATAGTAGATAATAAGCTAGCCTTAGCTCTTATTTAGAACTATAGAATTAGTAACTACTTAAAATATATTAACGTTTACTACTACTTCGTTTATAAGAGATTTATTAAAGAGAACTACTAAATCTAGTATATTCTATTAGCTAATAACTTTATAGATATCTATACTAAGGTTACTTCTATATCTTAATACTAAAGAAGTTAAAAGAACTTATCTGCGCTAACGTTAAACAGATAAGCAGAACTTAAGTTCTCTCTATATTATTTATTTTATACTATTATTAATAAAGAGCTAGCATATTTAGTTACTGCTTATAGTTAGAAGAAACTATTAGAAAGTACTCTCTCTTAGCACTTACTACGCTATAAGATAGAGAAGTAGCGCTAGTAGTATTTATTTGCTGCCTAATTAGGCCCTAGTATATTCCTATATAGCCCTAAGATCCCTTAGAACTTATTAATACACTTGTTACTTAACTTTCATACTTCAACAATCCTTACACATCACTTCTACCAGCGCGACGGTATGCAGAGCTGCTCTTGCGCTATGACACGTCAAGTGCAGACGCATGCGTGTTCTTGGGGTAATTAATGTCGTCAAACGGAGTGAACAAAACTCCCATGTGCAGTCGTGGGGAATGTGAAGTGTTCTTTCTTGGTTTGCCTCGTGTCTGCTCTTGCCCAAACATCCTTGACCTGTTACCATCATCATCTCGTAGCCCTTCACTCCAGCCTACATACCTCACACCGCCCTTCACAATCACTCGCTTTGCGTAGTCCCACCACTTAAGATGATTTTGCAATCGTTCTTCACCTCGTTCTACTTCTGCTTCCTGTTTGTGACTGCACTTTTCGCACACGCCAGTTCGCATGAGAAGCCTTTCAGCTGCACCGGGTATATCACTCGCACTTCCTCGAAATGTATATGCTGACACTTACAGTGGTGCTATGTACTTCAACGCTCACCCAGCCGACGGACTGCTGTACCAGAACCCTAGTCTACTTCATGACATATATTGGTCTTCAAGCGCGTCACTACTCATCGTAACTGACATCCGGCAACCGTGGCAGCGATGGAAATCTCTCCCGATCACTCGAACGCGGCATCCAGGAATCGTATGCGCTCATGGCAAACTTGCGTGTCGACAATCCAGCTATGCAAGAGACAATGGTCCGGGGTTTGGTATCAATGAGCTGCACTCGTGGTCACTCGAAGGTATGCGCAATATCCAGATCATCTATCTCAGGCTTCCGGACTGCGCACCTTCTGGTCGTGGCTATGTCGCAACCAGGGGAGCGTCACTCAGCAAGCTGTACTACAAGGAGATCGACAGCATCACTGCAACTGACGGCAATGCGACATACACACTGAGAGACATAAAAGAACTCATTGCATTCATATCTACACGAAAGGAAGCCCAAAGTTATCCACTATACTCAATCACCCAAGCCAAGTTCTCGGATGCGCACTCAGCATCGTCCGATCATGCAGACCATATCGTCTCTGCGAAACTGGTTCGAGGCATTGTCACAGCAGAGAAGATCAAAGCTACCGTGAAATCGTCAGTTGGATCACCTGCTGCCAGCATGTTCTATTCTGATCACCATGCAGGTACGCCGCCAGTAATGTCCGGAGGTTCAAGGGCAAATATCGAACCCTTGCATCACGATTTCACAAAGAAATCTGCTGCCCTATTCAAGTATGCCGAGTACGACGATCACATGGTATGTCAGTAAAGTCTTCAATGGATTTCAATAACACGTGAACAGTGCCAAAGCCTCAAACACTGCAAGGAAAAGCATTTGGGGACATCGAATGACGATGATGCTCGCTATGCTGCGCAATATGTAGGACGCGAGTACAACGTCTTATAGTGCGTACCGCCAACGATAGCTCATCACTGCACTGGAGACGGGATGGAGGAACAGGCCAGATTTAACATCATGACATTCAGAATCGTCGCTACATTATACATATATGGCTGAGGGAAATTATACAAAGCTATTCAAACACGTCCAATCTTGCTAAGAATGTAGAACCAATCTTAATCTTTCCTCCAACCCTTTCTCCGCTGCTCATCCAAGGCACTCGGTAGCTCAACGTCTCCGTAGACGCTGTCGTTACGAGGAGCACTTACTCGACTGACCCTACTGACATTGGAACCTGTGGGACTACTCGCGCGCGACTGTCTATTCGATACAGACTCGGACGGAGTGATTGAATAAGCAGCCATCATGTCCTCAACAGAAACCTTCTCCATCGTTCGCCGCCTTGCCAGATGAGCTTGCAGCTCCGAGCCATCGTCGACCACTACCTGTGCAGGCAGAGATTTTCGAGGACCGGCAGTTCGTCGAAGACCAGCCCTGAAATCACCGCCAGGCATGGGCGAGGCTTGCATCGAGGGCATTTGACGTGGACTTGGGGAGCTGGGTTGGATTCCACCGCCTAGACGGGCAACAGGTGCTGCAGGTGTCTGAGGTGTGGCGGGTGAGCTCATTTCGAAATAAGTGGCTTTCTCTTTCTGAGAATCATGGATTGGCGCACGTCGACCCCCTATGGTGTAATGACCGATGGAGCCCGACTGCTGACCAGCTGGCTTACTGAAGTCAACAGGGGCTGCTGGCTTTTCGGCAGGTCGTGGTCTGGCCGTGCGAACGGGTGTGGCGGGTGGCGAAGGTAATTGTGTTGGGGTCTAGGGATGGGAGTTAGCAAAAGCATACAGCCGTCACGTGGTTAATGACTTGCCTTCTTCTCGAGAGTAACGTTCTGTTGTGACTCTCTGAGCGCTCTCGCTAGATCTTCTTGTTCCTGCTTCAGCCTGGCAGCCTCAGCGGCCTTGGCGGCCTCTCTTGACTGCTGCAGCGCGAGCTCGATATCTTTTTGCTCTTGTTCACGCTGTATCCTCGCGTACTCCTCAGCCGCATCTTTGAGGAATCTCTCTTCATGTGCTTTGGATGCTTTTCTCGCCTCCTCGGCCTCTGCCAACTTTTGCTGTTTCTCCCGCTCTTGATCTCGGCTGATAGCCTTCAACTCATCGATCTCGCGTTGACGGCGGCGACAATTGTTACAGAGGCCATTTCGATCCTCGGATTTGATGCTGACGCGGTTGCGGTTTGCAGGATTGTCGCGGTCGCAGGCTACGTCGGTCTTCTGGAAGTAAGGGCAGTCCTTTGAATCGACATGGTCTTCAGCTGCATGGCCACAGTCCAGGGTGTAGATTGTGTATTTGCACATTGCACAGGTCGGTGTGTTTGGTGAGTCTTTGAGTAACAGCGGTTTTGGCGAGTCCTTAAGTAAGAGTTGTGGAGAGAAGGTATTGCGCAGCGATAGGTCTGGAACATCCATAGCAATGAGGCTGTTACTTATCCCCACGCCACGTTGATGTCCACGACTGGTTGTGAATAAAGGCAGGGCTTGATGCCGTGCGTGTATGCCAGGCGCGAGTGACTCGGAGAAGCTGTGCCGACGTGGCCGGCTCCATGGAATCAGAGCTTCACTCGAGCGTGATCGCGTGCGTGTCACTCTGGGAACTTCGGGAATGGGGAAAACGGCAAGATTGGAGACTGTAGCCCCAGAAACTGTTGATAACGTGACGCCATTGGTTGAAGGACGTCTAAGGAACGGCCGGGTTGGCCTCCTTGACAAGGACGAAGATCGCTCTCTATCATCGGGGGAGTTTTTAAAACTGGACGGGTATCTCTCCAGTGTGGCGGCCCACATGGACCGCTTTAAATGCCAACTCATAGCATCAAAAGAGTGTAAGCTGACATCGATGCCCAAGCCAACGGTCGGGTGTAGTCGTCGCTCTAGTGTTGGGACATGTGTGGAAGTTTTAGTTGTCAAACTGCAGACCAGGATTTAACGAGGCGAAGTAGCGGTGTGGTCCTGCATGAGTCTCGAACCTATAGGAACCGCGAAGACTATTTACATCTGAAACTGCGCGCCATGAGAAATGCAAAATTGCAGCATCAACATTGGCTACTCTGGGCGCACTGGTTGAGGAATCTTGATCATGTGAGGAGTGGTAGGGAAGACGCTGCTTTGGACAGATCGTGAAGTCGCGTTTTGTGAGATGTGATACCGGCCCGCTCTGATTGGCCGGGATTTTGGTGCTTGGCGTTCGGGCGAGCTCATCGTTGACATCTTCCATCTACGCCATCGCCTCAGTCGGCAGCAGCAGCACCACCACCACCAGCACCATGGCCTCCAAACTGGTACCGTTTATGTTCAGGAGCGCCCCGCGGGCCTCGCGCCAGTTCCAGAGGGCTCAATGGCGGGCCTTCAGTGTATCGCGGCCTGCGCGTAGCGACTCGCTCAATGTGGTATGCACCACTTCGCCGCATGTTTCTTCAGCCAATTGCCATACTAACACAGCCTGCAGCACCGCGATACACCCGAGAACAATGCGAATATCCCCTTCGAGTTCACTGCGCAGAACAAGGAGCTCATCAAGGAGATTGTCTCCCGGTACCCGTCCCAGTACAAGAAGGCCGCCGTCATGCCGCTCCTCGATCTTGGCCAGCGCCAGCACGGCTTCACCAGCATCAGCGTCATGAACGAGGTCGCGCGGATACTCGAGATGCCCCCAATGCGTGTCTACGAGGTCGCCACCTTCTACACCATGTACAACCGGAATCCGACGGGCAAGTTCCACGTTCAGATCTGCACAACGGTACGTTCCAAAATCCACTATTAGTCGTGACGCTGGCTGACTTTTCTAGACGCCCTGCATGCTCCGCGACAGCGACGCCGTCATGAAGGCCTGCGAGGACACTCTTGGCATCCACCATGGCCAGACCACCAAGGACGGCCTGTTCACCATGACTGAAGTCGAGTGCCTCGGCGCATGCGCAAACGCACCCATGGTCCAGATCAACGACGACTACTACGAGGACCTGACCTACGAATCAACTGTGTCTCTTCTCAAGGCTCTGAGGCACGCTTCCGAAGCTACGGGTGCTAACTTGGGCGGAGCAGATGGCCTCAACACCAAGGGCAACAATGCTTCGCCGAACTCCGCTGGCGAGGACGCGATCAACAGGCAGGGACGATCCATCGAGGCTGGTAACCTGAAGATACCATCACCCGGACCATTGAGCGGAAGGAAGAGCTGCGAGCCAGCTGGTGGATTGACCTGTTTGACTGGCGAGCCATGGGGTAACGAGACCCTGCGCAAGGACGGCGAGCTGTAAAATGCTTATGTATATTTTCAATAAATTCAGAACGAGGTACATTGCGCCACGTTTTCTTCTGCATCCCACCATGCAAGCGTCGAAGCAGTAACGCGTTGTCACATTTACACATGCCCAAGCTTGCCGTGACTGCTTCGCGCGTTCGTTGAGTCACATTGAAGAGTATCTATGCTCGTGCTTGGTCTGTAATGTGACCTCCCCAAACGATGACAATGGTAGGAGTGTACTTATTTCATTTGCCTGTCCCTGTCCTACAACTCACACATTCCACCGTACGCTGTCACGAGTAAATCCACAATCACCACAACATGCACTTCTTCAAGGACCTCATTATCCTCTTCAACGTCCTGTTGATAGTCAGTGTCACGACTGCCGCCCTCACCAAGCTCAATGTAGTGGACACAGCGGCAAGCCCCAAAGTCCGCGCCAAATCCCTCTGTCGCATCTGCGCTGCCGAGGTCGTCACCTGCACGAGAGTAAGCCAAGCAAGCCCCCTGGGAGTGACATCTGTCTAACGAATAAGGGTGCAAAAGACAATCCAGCAAAATCCCCGCATGATTGCTGGGTAGCTCAGTGCCGGGAGAACCCCAAGATGTGTGGAGCGTGCGAGTACGTTGTTCTTCCTACATTGTATCTTTCTCGGATTAATACTTTGGAAGGTCATGCAAGGATCTGGGTATAGGGTCCCGTGCGCTGGGTGAGGAGATGGACTCGGTCACTGTCGATAAGGAAGGTTGATTGGCGCATTGTGGTGTATTGTGAGGCATGATTACTGGTCAGTAAGTCGTTGACCTCCTCTGATTCAAGCTGTATTGATTTTTAACAGATGCTTCCGATGGAGTGCGGCAATATCGGCCAGAGTCGGCTGGTCAGTGTAGGCAGCGAGGACAAATGTTGGTTATTCCCTTGGGACACAGCTCTTACGAGAATATGGATAGCATGAAATACATGCGTCAAAACACCTAACATCTCATTAAGCCGAGCCGTTACATTGCGGCATGATATCATACAATAGTGCTTCCGTCGACATTTCCAGTGTGCAACAGATTCCTTCTAGAAAAGCCAAACGTGTTAATTCTACATCTAAAAGAATTAGGACATAAGAGATGTTACAATTACATTACAATGCTCACAGCATCACAGCACCAACACCCACGCCAAACCCAATCACGCAAATCTGCCACCCCCACCGCACCGATGCTTCAACGCCGCGCATAGCAGCACCAGTGAACACCGGAGCTGCATTCTGTTCAAGCGCAGCTCCACTACTACGGTTGATGACCCCAGTTGATATGACCACCGTCGATGTCGGCGAGAGCGCGAACGGTGCTGACGCTGTTCCAACTGCCATGGATGTGTTGGAGCAAGGCTCTGACGACACATGTGCGAGTAGCGCCGAGGAATTGTGCTTAGGAGAGTCTTGGGGTATCGGGTATGGGGCTGCGGGTGGGCCTGTTACCACAGGGTAGTAGGGTGCCGCGAGGACGTGGCTGGATGCTGCGGCTTGGCTGGGTACTGCAGCGTGACTTGGAGCCATGATGGGGCTGGATGCCACGACGTGGGTTGGTGCCATTGGGTGGCCAGGCATCATAGCTGTCTTGGTCGCATTCCACTGCAACATTGCCGTGGGTCTCATCGGACTAACGTAGACAGTATTGTTGGTGCCGAGGGACATGGTGTTTACTGGTGCCGTGTGGTTTGCGCCGAGTCTTGGTACTGTCGGCTTAGGGGGCTTCGTCGCATCGACGCATTCTGTAACGAGCGGGAATACTTGCGTGAAGAGGTTGGCGTTGAGGTTTACGTCCCTGAAAGGTGGTGGGAGGAGGGGAATCTCCAAAGTGAAGCCTGCGTCAATGGTAATGGTGACATTTGCTTCCACGAGGGCGAGAGGTCCGAGAGCGATGATATCTCCTGTGTCGGGTGTTGGGATGTTAGGAGACAGCTGATCGGGCAGTGTGCTGTTACTCCTACCTCCACAGTTGGCAGCCGCGTTGGTGGAGAGCTTAGCGTCCAGACGAGGAAGATTCATCGACAAGGTGACTTCGGCTGTCAGTGTGTTGAAGAATTCAAAGCCAACTGGAATCGTGGGCACGAAGGCAAGACCAAGCTGGATGTCAATATCCGCAATATCTACATTGAAAGGAAGTGCGGTGAGCGTGGTATCCTGGAAGCCAGTAACGCCACTGCTACCAAGATCGGTGAGCTCGAGGCGGGCAACAGAGTTGTCGGGAATCTGTTCATATTAGCTTGCGCATGGAGTTGAAGGACGGAGCAAACGTACAGCAATATCGACACCATAGGTGATTTCGAACCCACCACCGATGCTGAAGTCTGCAGCAAGTCTCGGCTCGAAGACAGCACCCGCCTTTCCGATACCAGGGATGACGAAACCCAGCACGGGCAGCGCGAATAGAGCAATCTCAAAAGCTCCTGATGCTTTCGGTCGAGCGAACAGCTCGACGCGTGCTCCGACACCTACGGCTGCTAGTTCAACGAAACCACCAGTAATGAGGTTGGAAATTTCCTTTCCGTCATCACCACCTTCCAGGAAGTCTGGGATAAGGTCGATCTGACTTGCATCAATCTGGATAGCACCTTGCGAGAGAATGATTTGTCCGCGTGTCGAGCAGTTCTTGCAACCAATCTCAATGGGAAGTTGAGGGATGGGGACCGGGCTGATGTTTCCCAGACCAGCGAGGAAGCTCTCGAATGGGAAAGGAAAGTCGATGAGCTCTGACTTGAGGTCAAAAGTGCCCGTGTTGACGTTGTCTGGTGTATCTTCGGGAATGGCGACTCTGAATCTGTCTTGTCGCTTTCTGATCTTTGCAAAGTCGGAGTGGCGGCGGAACAGGTGATCTTCGGTACTGTGACCGAAGGAGATGTCGAACTTGTCGAATGCGTCTTGCCATGAGGCTTCGGTGACTGAGAGGTCGAGCGACTTGCCGTCTTCACTGAAGGAGACGTCGTTCACACTGGTTTTGTTAGCATGATATAGTGGCGCGAGCAATAGTTCAGCATACCTATAGACCGCACGTTCACCCTCGGTATTGCAGCTATCGTGCGAAGTGATGATCAGGCCGCCATCATCTCCGCGGCAGGAGAAGAATGCGTCCCGTGCCGAGACGGCGTCCACGAAACTCAGATGCATCTTTCCTTGCCCACATTGTACACCTCGTAGATGATGTTCTACTTCCTCCAAGTTCAAGACTGGCTTGTGCGAATTGACCTTGACTTGCGACGCAAAGGTCTGTACTCCTCTCCATCCGTTCTCCTCTGACGTTCGATTAGCAAGCCTTCTTACACCGAACTGAGTGACTAATACCTTCAACATACGCGACTTCCGCATCAAATCTCTTCATGATCCTCGTACTCCTCTTGTACAAGTCTGCCCGCTTCGTAGCCGCCCTCAACATACGATGCGCCTGCGGCGCAGTCGCCATAACGCCCTGGCCCAGCCATGCCGCCAAAAGAATCGCACATGCGTGCGGGAGGTTGATAAAATGCATATTAATGAAAGACTGCCTCCTGCTACTACCGTCTAAAGAGTGGCAAATCTTCAAGTTCTTGTACTCTAATTCCTTGGACCCGTACCGGAGCCTTGCCGTACCAGCCAAGCTATCACGGACCGAGATTTATTGTTTGAAGATATTGAAAGGATTGTGTAAAAGGGCCGAAGAGACTAAACTGGAGGAGCGAGATAGGAACAATGCCCGAAGAAATGGTAAAGATGGTGGACTAGGGAGATCTACACTCCCGGTTTATTTACACAGTTGATCATGTTCACTTACATCTTATCAACGCCGCACACCGCAAGCCAAAGTGCCTCAGCGCGACGCCATTCTCAAGTCCTTCGTAAGGCCCCCATACTATCCCGCTGCGCACGATGCAGAGTCACGGCCCAGTCTGCAGACACCTGCCTCAGGGGAAAGGGAGACTGCATATGGGGTCTACAATTGGCGTCTCAAACACACAAGTCGGGCTTCGCAAGGCTGATAAGCATCGTGGCCAAGTCGCACAGAATGACTCGAGGATTATGCAATTGGCCAACGAAAATACGGGTGCGGCGTGGGAATGTAGAAATTGAGGCGCTGAGACACGGAGTGCATTGGAAAGTAGACATGGTTCGTGCCTCAGGTTTGGGACTTTGGCGCTAGTGCAGGGTGGGGGCAGAGCAAGGGCTTTGGATGTCAGATGTGGGGGCGGACAGGTACACAGCCGGCATGCTTGAGCCTCGACTGCGAGTTTCGAGTCCGGAGGCGTACGGAGTACGGCGTGAGGATGTTTGTGCTGTTGGAAAGGTTTCAGTGGCACAGTGTGTGGAGGATTATGTGCCAGATTGCAGTATACAAAATTTTCAGCAGGCCGAAAGAAGCGTAGACATCAATATCCGTGATCTCTGAAGCTGTCAGTAATCCGGGATCAAATCTATAGCAGCGTTGCCATTATGAGAACATTGTTTTCTTTTCGCATAGTTGACGGCCTTCACACCACGTGCGTCTACCAGCAAGCCGAAACAAGACTGGGTCCGGCTATGGCGTATAGGGCGGGTATCTATACAGCCGGACAGGCTCGGTGGTATTATGGAGATCAAAGGGTCCAAACCTTCAAAGGGGAAAGTAGCATTCAAAAAGAGCAACTGTAACAATGCTGCGCGAGTCATAAGTCTTGAGCAAAAGCAGCCCTGCGCCCCACTTGATCACTCCTGAAAGCTCATCTCCAAAACCCACGGCCTTCGCTTCTCTAGATCCAGAATGACTTGGCCAAAAAGCCCGTTCGCCCAGCTGAACCAACTCCTCGTGTAACTCCCCTCTTGGTGGCTGTCCACGCTCTCATGCATCAGTCCTAGCCCACTGGTACTTGACAGCAGCATCTTGAGGTTCGATATGATTTCCGCATCGTCCTCGCTGGTGAGGATAGTCATGATGTTTGCCATAGGCCAGGCTTTTCCTGGCCAGGTGTGCGGGGATCCCAGGCCCGTGATGACGGGTCCGCGTGAGAAGTACGGATTATCTCGGGACAGGATCTTGCGTCGTGTGTTTTGATAGACGGGGTCGTGAACAGTAGTGTAAGAGAGGAAGGGGGCCGATAGTAGAGAGGGGACGTTCGGATCGTCCATTGAGATATGGGAACCATACCCGTCGACCTCGAAGGCGTAGATTTTGCCATATTTCGGGTCGGTTATGATAGCATGGTCCACGATGCCGCGATTGATGCCAGTGGCCATTTCACGCATTCGGGAAGTGAGCTTACCGTCGGCAGGTTCGATGCGAGACATTATGTTTGACGAAGTGTTGAGGGCGGAGCTGAACATCATGTTGGAGGGGACCAAGTATTGGTAGATACACGCATCGTCGCTGGGACGGTGGAAGGAGCGGACGAGGCCAATATGCCCTCGGTGCGGGGAACCATTACAGTTGTTGATGGGCGTGCCGCCGTAAGGAGCACAATAGGTGTAGGGCGTGTGTTGCCATTTGCCATCGTCATCGTAGGAATCAATCATCATGCTCTCTGCTGTTTGAAGAATAAGGTCGACAGCCTTGGTCCAGTTTGAAGACTTCTGAAAGAATTCGAAGTCGCCGGTGGCAGTTACGTAGTCTGTAGATAGCTGCAGGAACGAGGCAACTGAATCGAGCTCCCATTGGCATGAGAAGACTCTAAAGTAATCATACGGTGGCGAGATCGTGTCACTATTTTGACTGCTCTTCCGAACTATGCCACTTTCATCTGGGGCTTGGAAGGCGTTGCAGAAGGGGTTCGATAGGATGTATCGCGCCTGCAAGTTGATCGCCCCTCGGAACAGGCTGGCAAGGCTGTCGAGGCTGGAATTGGCTTTCAGCACACTAATGTAGGATTGCAATTGGTTTGCAGAGTCTGAGGTTTTAGTTTAGGAAGACCTTCTTTGTGAGGGACATGTTGAAACTCACCGCGGAGCCACATGGCCTCGATATCGCCCGTGATGAGGAAAGTCAACTCTTCTTTCATCCCCTCTTTGATTGTGCCGTCGGCAGCCACAGTAGTTGCATTCGACCAGCCGTGCCACCCAACTGTGGTGTCCAGCGTGCTCGGCCAGCTATTTTGGAACAGACGGAAGAGGTCAGGATCCACGATGACATTCTTCAATCTCTCAATTTCGTCTTCAATCTCCTGAACGCGAAATGTCCGGCACGGCGCGATAGGCCGCATGTCAGAAAGTCCATATTTGCCTGTCGAGAACGGTTCGTGACGCTGCGCAGAATATCCAGTGTAGATAGGACACTGCGCTAATGCCAGGGGCACCAGAAAAGTCGACGCTACAATTGAGCGCCACATCGCGAAGGGCTCAATGGAAGGAAGTCCGAAGCGCAACAAACGCACTAGACGTGGAATACAGCGGCTTAAACAAGCGCTAAAATGAACGACTAAGACTACAGGTCTACGTGTAGAGCTGCACCGAAAGCTGTGAGTTCAGATGGTAGGTGTTTTGGAAGCCAAGCTTTGCCCGAGAACCGTGGCTGGTCCACACATTCCGTGTTCGGCAAGACGAGAATCAGCAGCGCAAGGGGCAGGGAGAGAACGATGCTGAACGCGCAACAGGGAGAAGATACAGGAGACAGGTGGTTGTCCAGGAAGCTGTTTGAAGGTTCTTTTCAAGCCGAGTCAGCTGCACTTCATTTGAATATAGATTGCTAGCCAAGACATTCCGCGGGGCGAGTGAGATACAACCTAACCCTTCACGATAGCGCGAACTCTTTTCCTCTCTTCTGCGTCGAGGACCCATGACATGCCGGAATCATCGGTGGTTTTTTCGGCAACCTCTTGCCATTCATCATCCTCCATGTTCATGATCAGCGTCATCTGCGTACATTTGGTGAAAGCGTCGCGGAGACCATATTTACCACCGGCAACAGCGGCGGCGATGATACCTGCAATGTCACGCTCCAGGCGAACAGCTCCCAGCTCGTTAACTCGTCCGTAGTAGCTTCTAATGCGCTTCTCGAGTGCGCTAGCGAGGTAGTTTAGGGCTAACGTAAGCAAGCGGTCAAAGTTCGCAGCAGTCAAGATGCGCTTGATGGGACGAATCACGACGCCCCAGCCTCGATCAAAACGAGACTTGACCAGATCAGTGTCATCATCCTCGTCGTCGTCCATGTCGTCTTCATCTTCTTGTGGGGCATAATCGATATCGCGGAAGGCCTCGGCCAAAATTGGCCGAATGCGGGGTTTGAGCACCTCGGAGAACAGAACAGTGATTCCATCGTTGATCAGCTCACTACTCTTCGACACGAAGCCGTTTTGTAGAGCTTTCAATCTACCCTCAACGAAGACGGCATCATGTCCAAAAGGGTAGAGCTCCTGCAAAGGTGATTTGGTATCCTCATCATCAGATTGAGGGCGCTTGTTGAGTTGCTGGTCAATGATGCGCTTGACGTAGTCGTTGGACACATCGAGATTATTGGTGAGGAGTAGGAATGCAATGACTTTGCTCTCAGGAGGCAGCCCACCTTGTATGACAGGCTTGGGATAGCACTCGTCGCGCATCTTCCGTTGGATCATGCCAATGAAGTCGTTACCTAGGATGTGGGCGATTGTAGGCTCCACGTTGGCGATGATAGCACGTTGCGAAGTGGCTAGCGTCCTCTGTAAGACTTGGTTGACGATGTACATGACATCGTCTACCGCAGAAGTGATGAACGGTGGGTTCGAGCCAAGTGGTTTTGACGGGTTGAGTGTGAGATCTGACGGTGATTCGTCGAGCTGGAAGGCCTTTTCCACAGAGCGCCGGAAAAAGAACTGTGTCATGACGTTGAAGGGCTCGACTAGGTGGCTCGAGACCTTTTTCTGGAGATTGCTTGTGGCCAAGAATTCTGGCATCACCAGACCGTGATCGATGCGCTCTTCAGGTTGGGAAGACTGCTCGCGTGAGCAGACGTGATGATGAAGATTTTGAAGAACTTACAGCGCACTTGTCGGAGATGAACCTCGAGTACAAGGCCCACCTCCCAAGCATCAGAGCACTCTCCCCAAGTAGGCCATCGACTTCTTTCATGTTGACGCCCTCGTCTTCGCTCGTGCGCACTGCATTGGCGGGTGAGTTCGAGCGAGGAGTACCACCAGCAGGCTTCTGAGTAGGAAAGAAGCTCTGGACGAGGAAAGAGTAGGCATACGACTTGATGTCGGTGAGCTTGCGGTCAATGTTGCGTTCATCATGCCAGGTGTCGAGCATGATGCCACCTTGAACGTCGGCTTCTATCTGCAGTCGCTCGATGACTTTGGCCATCATGCCGGGCCCGTAGTGTTGTTCTACGAGTGGCTCATGGCCGTCTACGATTTGGGCAATGTGTTCGAAGAGCTTCGTGATGGTGTTGCCGTAGAAGAAGCCCTCTTTTCTCTGAGCTGGCGGGGCCGAATTGAAGTTGGCTCGCGCCCTGGCAGCTACGCCCTGGCAGACATATCGTCCGTACGCATCCAGGCCGACGTTTGTTCGTCCAATCAAGGGGAACAGCTTGAAGAAGCGCGTGACTTTGGAGCCGTCGCCTTCCTTTGCAGCCTTTTCAAACTCGCGCAGGAACAGGCCACACAGCGACTCGGCGGCGGCGTCCAGCGTGACCCGCGGCGGGTCGGGCACCTCTGCAGTCGGCACAATCTCCTCTGCAAAGCTGCCGTTCACAACCTCGTCGGGTATCTTGGAGGCGCGACTGAGATAGCTGGCGGCCGTCTCCCAGTCCTGCGGGGCGCCCATGGAGCCATGGACGCCCAGCACGCATGCCTTGAGCTCGGCGACCTGCTCGACCACCTCCAGCGTCGCCTTGACGTTGGTCTGCTCCTGGTCCAGGCGCTTCACGGCGCTCGAGATGCGGTTCGCAGTCGAGGCAGCGTCCGAGAGCATGCCATTGCTGATGGCGCGCGTGTTGACGGCCTGGGAGCCGAGGTGGGCGCGGAGGAGGTCGAGACGGCCGAGTTCGCGCGACAGGTCCTTCTGCGATGCGATGAGCGTGTTGAGGCGCTGCGTGACGGTGGCTTCCTGGTGGTGCAGCTGCTGGAGGGCGGCATGGAGCTCAGCCACCGAGGTGGCGGCGAAGACGTCGCTCGGGGGGTCGAGGTGGCCATTTGCAACGGCCATGCTGCAGCACCGGCAGATGGATTCACTACGTAGTGTCTGTAGGCTCTGCGAGCGATTGGGGCGCAAATAGACGCTCGGGAGGGCTCCAAGGTTCCGTGTTGGTGGGCTCTCGGCCGTTTCCTTGGCTGTGACGCAGTGCGGGTTCGTTGCCAGGGACCATTATTTGGGCCGTTGACTGGACAAGCTTGTTTCAAGAAGCTCGCAGCCGGCGCTCCCACAGTTGCTTGACATTGACACCTGCGCGCAAGTTTGTGCACAATTCACGCAATCCACGTAGCTCACACTGTCCATTGAAGCCCACAAGTGCAAGTGAAGCCCACGACGCCAACGCACCAATCGCCGCGTGCATCTAGATCCAGCCGTACGCACCACGATTACGACGAACTGCGCCTTCCTCGCCTGCACGCTTGCGGCCCCAGGATTCAGACAGACGCCATATCGACCCTCGCCGCTGCGAAAACACAAAATACAGTGCCCCTCTCCACCCCGACGCTCTTCTCCCGCCGCATTCCTCGTCTTCATTTCCGCCGTCACCGTGCGGTCCGGCCTAAACAGACTTCCGCATCCGTCGCTTCCTCCGCACCCACGAGCACACCTCGTGCGCCTCTCCGCCGTGCAACACCTTCACCGGTTGCCTTTATGCTTCCGCGACCATAGCCTGCTCTCCCACCTACAGCCTGCCCTGCACCGCGTCACCGGCACGCTAGACATCCTACAGCATCCGCTTCCGCAGCCGTGGGCCGCCCCACAAGTCATCCACCATGGATGCGACTGCACATGTCCTCTATGCCGCCAATGATCTCCATGCTCGCGCTGGCGGTATGGGCGGCGACACCGCCAGTCGCCCAGGCTCATACAAAATTATTGGTCTTGTTCTAGCCATTGCATCCGGCGTTTTTATCGGCACATCATTCGTTATCAAGAAGCATGGCCTGTTACAAGCCAACGAAAAGTACAATGAAGAGGCCGGAGAGGGCTATGGATACCTCAAGAACGCCTGGTGGTGGCTCGGCATGACCCTGATGATTCTTGGAGAGGTCAGTCTTACCATTCCTCGACGGCCACCAAGTCATGCTAACTGACAAGTCAGGTGTGTAATCTGGTCGCATATGCTTTCACTGACGCTATCCTCGTCACCCCCATGGGAGCCTTATCTGTCGTCATTTGCGCCATACTGTCCACCATTTTCTTGAAAGAGCGCCTCAGTTTTGTAGGAAAAGTCGGGTGTTTCAATTGCATCATCGGATCTGTCGTCATCGCAGTGAATGCTCCCGAGCAGTCGTCTGTTGCGCGCATTCAAGACATGAAGCGATGGGTCATTGCGCCTGGCTTTCTCAGCTACGCGGGCGTCGTCATCATCGCATGCGTTGTCATCGCCCTCTGGCTGGGTCCCAAGTACGGCAAGAAGACCATGATGGTGTACATCACCATCTGCAGTCTGATTGGAGGTTTGAGTGTCGTCGCAACCCAAGGTCTTGGTGCAGCTGTCGTCGCTCAGGCCTCTGGAAAATACGGGGGACAGTTTAAGGAATGGTTCCTTTACGTCCTCCTAGTCTTCGTGGTCATCACTTTGCTCACCGAGATCATCTACCTCAACGTAAGCCAAGGTCGCGCCCTATGATACCCAGCAGCACTAATCTTCCCATAGAAAGCACTCAATCTTTTCAATGCCGCCCTGGTTACCCCAACCTATTATGTCTTTTTTACCTCCGCCACCATAGTTACGTCTGCCGTACTTTTCCAGGGATTCAAGGGCACGCCCCTGCAAATCGTCACCGTCATCATGGGCTTCTTCCAGATCTGCTCCGGTGTTGTGCTACTGCAGCTTTCGAAATCTGCCAAAGACGTTCCGGACGCGGCGGTCTTCAAGGGAGACCTTGATCAAGTGCGACAGGTCGCCGAGGTGGAAGAACCAGAATACGAGCCTAGGGCTGACGCCCTTCGTGGTGGTAGTGCCATCTTGCGCTCACTTTCTAGGGCGAGATCTGAGAAAGAGGCAATGGAAGTGCGCAAGATCAAGGAAGAGCACATGCAACCCATCGGTGAAGGCGAGCAAGTCGAATTCGACGGCATCAGACGACGACGCACTATCATGGACCCCAACCGACCACTCACGCGAAGCGGTACCACCGTACAAACCAAGATGGCTCATCCACCGCTGGGTATGTCTCACTTCCCGACATACGAGTCGGACGACGACAACGATAGCTTCCACCCTGGGTTTTTCCAAAGGCTGCGCTCGCGGGGCAAATCGACTAGTAGTCGAGGGAGCGCGCATGCAGTTGGCTCTTCTGGTGTCGGCATGAAAAATCTCCCTCCTATACCTACGGACGGCGCTTCGGACGTTTCGGACAAAGACTCATACAAATACAACATAACGCAAGATACCTCGTACAAACCAAATGACGCTCACATCCAATTTGCCGAGCTTCCCCATCCCGGTATGCCGCCCGAGCGTACCGCGTCTCCAAGTTCTCTTGAAGTACCAAGACAGCCTGCCAATATCGCCAAGCGCCAGTTCTCTTTCCAGAACGTCTTCCATCGTAATCGTGGCGACTCCACCGGAGAAGCATCAGGGAGTAGAAGACCGACAAGTCGTAACAGTCGAAAGAGCAGTAGGGATGGCAAAGACGTTGCTACTGAAGAAGAGCGACTGGGTCTGGTCAAGGGCGACTCATCCAATCTGCTACCTATAGCAAGTCACATAAGCGAAGAGCCCAATCTGGTCTCATACTCAGACGAACCAGACTGGTCAATGCCACGGAGTCAAAGCCCAGGCTACTCACCCATCCGCTCGGCGCCGCCGCCACGAAGAGTTGATACCGAAGACGACGTCGATCCGCGCGACGACAAAGAGTTCGAGAAGGGCCGTCCAAACTCGAACGTTTTCTTGTAATCTTCTCTTGGATGGTTTATATTTCCTATTAGCGAGTCTGAGCGTTTTATATCCTTAATCTCGTTCTTGGATGTCGTTGCATAAGCCTCTTTTTGTATATGTGCACTGGCATCGTTTGTGCCTGCTGTAACGATGTAATGAGGAGGAAGCCTGTAGAATTTCGGGTGGCTGCATACATAGATGGGACGTTGCGGAGTGATCAGGCCGCGGAAAATACAGGGTACATATGGGGAGTCGCATTGACTTTTGGGCGATTGGTCGTCTGGTTTAGCGCTTATATTGAGGATTTGGGGAGGTGTATGAACGAATGGAGTGGTCAAGCAATCGGTCCGTGAACGAAATAGAGTGTAAGATGACAGCATTTACGTTCAACGGTCTTTAAGGTGATCTGATCCAGTCCAATCAGCTACTATCCCGACACATCAGACCAAAGGCTTATCGCCTGGTTTTGAGTTTAACGGTACATGTCAGATCAAATCATGCCACTCGACCGGACTCATTACCATGTCCGAGTATTGTCAGGACGGGCTATCCATCTTGCTGACAGTGTAGATGAGAGATAGCCATGCCACCCGAAAGGAACTGCAAGATCCCGCGGGATAAGTCGCTCTGTCCAAATTATACTTTCTTCGAGAACCGGACCACAGAAGGACGATGTGGACGACTAAAGTCATCTAGCTTTGCGCCGTTCCTTACACCACACTCTTTCTGAACATTGAACCGTGTTGCGGGAAGTACCGAACACAGGCCACGGCTTTTTTCATCAACGGCGACATTGAGTCGTATACCATCCAGCCATCACATCGAATAGTCCACTTCACCTCGTCGCCATGTGGTACCACCTGTGTAGACGCCAGTGACAGCGGCATCACGATACCGACTCTTGGCCAGTTCGTCAATGCTCTGGCTCAGCGGTAAGCCAGTCGGGATAAAGTCCGTTAGCTTGCAGACGCACCGAAGCTTGGAGTGCTCCAGCCGCACCTAGGTACCAGTTATTGTGTTGCTATCAGAAAACGACACCTCGGCACAACTCTCGATACCCAGATCACTGGACGATCTGCACGTTCCCATGCATGCTTATGCCATACTAAGCGGCTTACATGGCTGTTTTCGCGGTTCATGATCGACCTTGAAAATGAAACACATCCCGCCCTTCCACCACCACCACCAGGACACATCTTATGGAATTGTTTGGATCGCGCCTGTTGCTGCCCAATTCCGGCATTCTACCACCACCTGGGATTCGCGCTAAACGCGGCTCTAGTGGGCGATCTGAGTTACTACTTACGCTAGATAGTTTAGTCGAAGACATCTGGGCCTCGGGACAGATCCCCCGCGGATGACGACTGGATCCTGCCAGGCCGTTCTGAGACGATTGGCGCATGTACCACACAGATGGTACACCGAGATGGGAAACGTGGGAGCAGTCACTACGCGTAGCTTTGCAGTCCGGCCATCCAAACTTGCCAGGATACACGTTCGGTACCCACTTGCCCTGACGGAGCGTCAATCCATTTCATTGTCCTCTGATCATGCTAATTCGTAGCGCTCATTGGCGCATTCGAGTTCTTTTCCCGCCCCTGGGAAACTCAAAACTCAAACCCTTCCATATGATCGAGAGAAAATCATCGGTTTGGTATTAACATTGGGTGCTCGTTTGTTTCTGCTTGTCGTCCTGTTTCACATTCGACTCGACATTCACGCCTCGGCATGTTATTATATGCTTGACGGATCTCGCGCGGAACCTACCGAAGTCTTTACATACGCCTAGCGGAATACTTTGGCTTTTTCTCTCTGATTGCGTCTTTCTTTCAGCAGCATTATGGCGACGAGTGCGTTTGGTGGTGTGGACATCAGCCAGTTCAACTTCAACGACAAAACATCTCGTGCCGATAGCGTGCGGATAGCAAACGGCATACTTATCGGCCTGGTCTTGGTCGTTATCGGTCTGCGATTGTTTTCGAGGCTCAAGTTTTTGAAACGAATCTTTGTCGATGACAGTAAGTGTCTGAGAAGCTGGTTGTATTCCAACACTGACATAGCTGCCAGTCCTAATTACCATTGCTGCCGTATTCACGTTAGCTCTTGCGTCGACGAGCATTGCTGGTAGGTTGACCCTTATGGTTCTTCAGCGTGAACAAGTTTGACACGAAGAACAGCTACTTCCTCGGGCCTTGGCACTCACGTATGGCTACTTCCCTTGCCCACGCTTTTTGAGCAGGTCAAGAGCTGCATTCTGGTACGTATACCATGAGTTCCGCAAGACCTGCTTCTAACTCATCACCTGCAGTATCTGCTCATCTGCCAGGTATTGTATGCTTGTGCGATAGGTTGTACAAAGGTCGCAATCATCTCGTCGTACCTACGACTTATCCAGGGCAAGACTTTCCGGCTCATAATGTACATGACATTATTCATCGTTGTCGGGCTCTGGATCTGTGGCATATTCGTGTCTCTCTTCCAATGCGACCCTGTTGATCAGGCGTGGAAAATCGACCCCAACCGCAAGTGCATCAACTACGTCAATTATCTGTATGCCAGTTCGGCGGTCAACGTCTTCACCGATGTTGTCCTCTGTATACTGCCGATACCATATCTCTGGAAACTGAGTAAGTCGTCTCCAAAGAACCGTCGGAACTTTTACTCATTCTTACTCAATCAGAAATGCCCGTGAGGCAGCGTATAGTCTTATGTCTCCTCTTTGTAGGCGGCGCCGGGTAAGTCAGAACCCTACAACGTCGAGAGTCGCTCCTGATCAAGTCTAGTGCATGCATTGCAGGCATTATTCGAATAGCATACCTGGACACCCTGCGAGTTCTGGATGTACTTTGTGAGTAGCTGTTTCACCTCCACGTTCATGCGCTGATTCCAAACAGTCGAAACAGTTCCGATTCTGAACCTGTCCGTTATCGAATGCAGTCTCGGCATCATCTGCGTCAGCATACCTGCTCTCCGCCCCATGGTCGTGCAAATCTTCCCGAACGGCTCACGAGCATCGCAAACAGCGTCAACGACGATGAACAAACCTTACGACTCTGGGACCATACCCTTGAGTGAGGTCTCAGGAGGATTCCCGAAGACTGCGAAGCTCCCTCCAATCAACGAGGCCAACACTCGGCCATTTGAACGTCTGTCGTCTGTCTAGGACGGAAGCTCTGAAGATGTGGGAGCTCGCGCAGGATCCCGGACTCTTCTTTCACGGAGATCGATCATGAGGAAGAGCGCACGAGTCTGTGCTTTCAGGCATCCTGCCGCAGACATTGGCGTGATTGTCGCGGCCTATAAAAAAAAGCTATTGAGTCACGGTATCTGCTCGATGATGGAGGCAGCGGCCACAACATGCACAGTACACATGCTACGGAGGCTTTTCACTGTACACCCGATCGGAGCACGCATGTTAAGTTGAAGCTGAGGGCCAATACAACAGGCCATCAGCGGAAGATGAACTTTGCAGATGCCACGATGGAAACGCTACCTCAATCATACCGACTCTCGTAAGATCTCATTTCGGAGATCTATAAAGGGAGGCTCATGAATAAGCCCAACACCGGGTAGGTGCTTATCCGCAATAGGCTTTCATCAGGGCCAAGGATGCCAAGGCAGCTGAGCATTTCGGCCCTCAGTTGTATCTAGTAAAGAAGAGGGAAATGGCAGGGCTGTGTGGGCAGCCTTATTTCTAGGCACCACAAGATGATGCTGCAAAGGTTCCAAGGTTGTGCAGAAGGCTACAACGCTAAGCTGATTCGTGTCACACCAACCCGCAGATGGCAGGTGCGAATTTGGCGATGAAGCGCATCAAGAGGTGGAATACCTAGCCAGCGAAGGTTGAAGCGCTCAGTGTTATCGTGACAAATGTTTGTGAACGTTAGAGTGTCGCAATATCAGAAGACCGTGTGATCCAAAGAGTCCGTGGCGCAGCATAATCGATGTCATGGCTAAACTGTGTAGATCATGATGGTGGTGGCGGCTGAGTATGAGTGGGCGATCTTGCGGTCGGTCAGCGGCAGTGCATCTCTGATGACCGCTTCTAGTGCGATCCTACTATACACCGCTTGGCCATTGCCAGCAGGACAGCATGTGTATATAAACACACTACCCCAGACTCCTACACTATCTCCACCAAATTAAACCCCAAGTCAAACAAACACGAACCCTCTCCACCAAATTCTCAAGCACTCAAATATCTTCATCTATTATCAACCACACATCATGAAGTTCGCCGCATTCTCAACCCTCCTCTTCGCGACCCTCGCGCTCGCATCTCCAGCCGCGCAACCACAACCCGAAGCCGCCGCGGCAGTAGCGCAACCACTCGAAATCGCAGCACGTTACCCTGCGCCCGTCCTCGAAGCGCGCAAAAAGAAGCCAAGCGGCAGCAACGGCAACAACACAAACAGCACCGGCGCCGCAGACATGCTCGCACCGAGTCGCGCACTCCAGCTTGGCGCGTTGGGCCTGGGTGTCATGCAGATTACCAAGTTGTGGTAGTTGCGCGATGATGGAAAATTGGAGGACGAGTCATTGCCCGGGCGGATATATACCTGTTTTTTTTTTTTCTTTTGTACGATGAAGTTGCGAGCAAGATACCACGATTCTTTAGTAATGACATGAGAGTTTAATGATGCGCGATCCAAGACCTTGTTGCAATTTTGCTGGTGGGGTTGTACGGCGTGAAAGTATCTGCGCTACGTCATTTTGCTGACCGGATATTTCACTTTCGCATGTCGATGGCAGGTTTTTTCGTGGTCGAGGATCGGTGTGACACGCGATCATGCGTCTGCGCATTCTATCGCACCTGTAAGCTGTCATCTTGCAAGGAATGCTTTGCACACAGCCACCATTGAACTTCGTGGTGACGATGTAAGGGCTGATGCTGTTCGATTATGGTATGCAGTGTCAGAACACCAGATCAGTGTGGTCAGCATGCGAGCAAGGTGTGACAGAATCATAGCTGCATATCCGAATCATAACCTCTGAAATGATGTCTCGCGGGTAGTAGAAGCCAGCGTATTGAGACCAGAGGTTGTACACACAGTACATATGTAGTTGCTAGCTTATGGCTAGCTATAAGGTTCTTTGACATTAGCAAACTATATTCCCTTGCAAAACGGCCGAACACCGAAGGGAGCGGAACGGATGCCGGTCAGCTCATGTTGTGAATCCTGCACTCTTATTCGCTCAGCATGCTTCCTTCCGTCTCCGGCCATCCCGACATGGAGGCACTCCACACAGTGACACCAGGCACACTTAGTCGGTATACTAATCCTTCCGCTGGAGAATAGCTCAACCGGTGAAGTAATCTGCAAATCACACATGATCATCACCCGAAAGAGGCTTGTGTTCTAAATGCCAAATGAATTACAGCTGACTAGGTACTAATACAACAAGATCGTCCGTCTCAACACCCGGCGACCTGAACGCCAATGTATTTACATATGAGCCATCGTCCTCCATACTAGTACAGTGCACTCGGGACAAGTGATGGTCTTCTGGGTCCGGTGGGAACATCCACTTAAGCAGAGGGAGTGGCTGGGGCAGCGGCGGTGGGGTTAACGTCGCTGCAGAGGAGGGCCTGGCCCAAGATGGGGATCAAGCAGCACTTGGCCTGCTGTCCGCCAGTGGCGCAGACGTCGATGAAGGTGTTGACATCGGCAGGGGTGGTGGTGGCTGATTACAAGTTAGCTATTGGTGTCATCTGGAAGATGATTCTGGGACAACTCACGAGGAGCGCAGTCGAGGTTGGCGAGGTTGAGCACATCAGTGGCACAGCACACTGGGGAGCCGGATGCGCAGAGACCGACCTGGCGCTTGTCCTCGAGAGGAGCAGCGAAGGCAGCGACGGCGAAAGCGAGGATGGTGGTGTAAAGCATGTTGATGGCTTGGGTTGAAAAGATTGGTTTGGAGTGAAGTGGTTGTGGTTGTTGGTAGTTGTAGATGAGGGATGTGGAGTTGATGTTGTGATGATGTTCATTTGTAGGACTTCTGCTCCTCTCTTTATACCTTTGGACCTACCTACTACCGTCAGGGGATGGGCTGTTTAGCACACGGACTTTGCCATGGCAGAAAACAGCATCATCGTCATTGATGGAGTGTGCTTCTGGAAGGATCGGCATCTTCACCATGGACAAAAGCCAAGCGAAGCATTGGCCCCCCCCAGTGCAAGCATACTGCATTAGATCAAAGTGAGGTCTAGGCGAGCCAGGTCACCTCAGATCCATTGTGGAGTGTAGTGTCGCCTCCAAGTTTGGGCCAAAAAGCGAGAACTATCCTTGTTGAGATCCATCCACAACTCCCTCTAGGGCCAGTACTTGTTCAGGAGAAAGTGACGTCGATCGAGAGATTTCAGCTTCAATGCTCCCAAGCTAGTGGTGAGAGTGGCTAAGCAACGAGTGGATGGATTGTTAGGGCTGTTGATCTTGAAACGTGCACGGCAGAAGTTGCCTTCGCATGAAGACAGCAATAGATCTATGATGATCGATGCCGGAGAAGTCACTACTTCTAGCAGCATTGCGATACTTGTGTAACATGGCTTTCAACTACACCTAAGCAACACGGCTCCGCGTACCCTATACACTCAATGAGGCGCAAGAAGGGTGTGATAGCCCTGTAAGCTCAGGACCCCGTTTTCCAAAGAGTGTCCCAACAAATTCCCAAAGCTGTCCGGTGAGAAGGCCCGCAAAGCTGCAGTGTGATAGCAACTCTCCTGATGATCATGGTGAAGTGACGTCGAAGGGCACTGGGGTATGAGGTACCGAACGCTTGTTGACGACAATGGCATGAAAGCTCATCTCCGAAACAAGAATGCCCAGCAAACAGTCCGAGGAGAGAACCCATGTGCCTTGAAAAGTGGGCCAGATCTCCTACGTGGAGCGAGTACGAATACCAAGAATACACAATTGTAACGGTCAACAAATCGTAGGCCCTCATACAGATAGCTCTACAAGAGACGAACATTTTGCGCTTTCTATGAGGTACTTGCAACAACGATCTTTCTTTTCTTAGGCACTCATCCTAGATGGCACTTCGTAGCGATGCAACGGTCTTCAAGTGGCGAAAATGTGTCAACAACAGCCGTTGAACCATGTGGGTGTCGGTGATAGGGGCGACGATCGTGCACTATGAGAAACGTGGAGCTAGGGGCTTGACCAGGTAATGGAACGAATGAGCTATCCTGCTGTCGGTTCCAAGGAACGTTCGGAAGATTGACGGGAACGTAGGGGCTGTTGTCGGTTCGCTTAGCGGCCGTTAAGAGCATGGATGTACCCTTATAGAGACGTATTTCATCCGTAAGTTCGAAAAGAAACATTTTGTCGCATACGGGCAGGTGCTTTCTAGCCTGTTGTAAGGATCATCTCAACGGGTGGATACAATTCAGATACCTTTGACTGCATACACTCTTGCGCAACGCGATACTGTCATGAGAGGGCCGCGATGCATCTGGTGGTGCATAGGAGAAACGCCGGGCGTGGCCCACAACCGTTGTCAGCCACACATCGACTCTACTCGCCGTACCTTCCCCGTTGTGGCCTGCCCATCCGCTGGGTCAGGCTGGATCGACGTCACACAGCGGCAATGCAGGTTCTTCCCCTGCGTTGTCCAAATTCTTGCATTTGGTGATTTACATCATAACTGTCCCTGTGAACCAATGAAAATTGCATTTTCACCAAATTGAGGCTTAGGTTTGCCATCGAAAATTGGAAGCGAGGTCGACATCTTCCACCCGAGGGCGCCACCACGCGCGTAGACCGACGAGGCGCAGAACCCTAGATGAATTCATTGCGACGAGCCGGATGAATTGCTGAAACCCTCATCAGGGCGATGCGTTGGCCAGAAGACATGACATCAGCTTGAGAGCCCTGTGCGCTGCATTGCGAAGGATCTGGACTTGTGGACAGTGCTGAGCGCTTCCAGACACACAGGGGGACGCGCCTGAATGATTGAGATGATCATCTTACGATTCACACACATCAATTGAAGGCACATTATCGAACTGGTTGCATTCGGCAACATTTCTCTATCGCAAACATCCTCGGTATCACAAGCGCACAGAAGCTGTACCTGTGCTACAACCATGGACGAGTACGGAAGAAACACAAGTGGACACAGCATACTGCGAGGATGAAGATGTGGAAGAGTGGTATTAACAGTGGTATCAAGCTCTAATTAGAAATAAATAAACGCCATGCCATGCTACGCTCCGCTATGCTATGCAATTCGAAAAGACTTTTGTTCATGGCAAAACTTGCTGGACACGCACTTTCAAGTATTCATATACTGTCATACTACAAGTACCCTGTGTTGGAGACGTTTTAGGAGTGCGTTTCGACCGAGTTTTAGAAGATGCTGACGAACTTCTTCCATGAACTACGCGGGCTTTCTTCCCAGGTTTCTGCGGGCTCCTCTTCATTCAGCTTGCCTGTAAGCAGATCTGCCTCGGCTGGGTTAATGAACTTGCTTCGTGTCACCACCTTGTGGCCAATGTACAGTACCGCGAACAGGATCAAGCTAATATAGCTGATGAAGAAGTCCTGAACGCTCCAGGGTACGAAGGCGGTGAAGCCTTGCGTAATGGTGATAATGACACAGAAAACAAGCCCATAGATTGCGAGGCCACGGCCGCCCCAGCTCTTGAATGGCAAGGTGTCGCGATCCATGTTTTGTGCCTTCAGCGCGCGCATGAAGCAGATGTGGCAGATGCAAATACAGCTCCAGGCAATAAATCCAGCGACAGAGACGATGTTGAGAAGCCAGTTGAAAGCCTCACCGCCATTTGATGACAGGTTCATGAATGCGAGTAGACCCATGGCAGCTGTCACGGCGGTGGCCCAGTATGGCACGCCACGCTTGGTGGTGCGCTTGAGGAATGCGGGCGCACAATGCTCCTCAGCAAGACCGACAAGGATACGACTTCCAGAGTAGACATTAGAGCTAGCGGCAGAGAGAACCACAGTCAGAAGAATGGCGTTCATGATGTCCGGTAGCGCGCTAACGCCTGCAAGCTTGATGGCGATAACTAGAGGGCTGGAGCCGGCGTTGGTGTCGCCAATAGCAATATCGGGATTGTCATAGGGCACCAGGATACCAATGAAGAAGATAGTGAAGACGAAAAGGATGAAAATGCTCCAGAAAGTCTTGCGGATAGCCTGGGGCATCGTCTTGCGTGGGTTTGTTGATTCTCCAGCTCCAATGGCGCACAGCTCGGTGCCCTGGTATGCGAATCCGGCCTGAATGAGCACAGCCCAGAAACCGACGAACTTAGCAACGGGTCCGGCGGCGAGATAAGGGGCGAATGCGCCTGGTTCGTTCCAGTATTTGAATCCGATGTAACCCTGATCTCCAACACCAGCATTCATGCAAATGGCGAAGATCCAGAAACCGAAAAGCGCAACGACCTTGATCGAAGCAAACCAGAACTCGAACTCGCCAAAGATGTCAACGGGCAGGAAGTTGACGGCAGTGATAGGTACCCAGAAGATGGTGATGAAGATGCCAATATTGAGACTAGAGTCCCACCATTGAATAATCAAACCAGCAGCTGTAAGTTCCAAAGCATACGTGATAGACCATGAAAACCAGTAGATCCATCCCATGGAAAATCCAAGACTAGGGTCGACGAAACGGGCGGCGTATTGTGTGAAGGCTCCAGCAATGGGTAGGTATGTTGCCATCTCCGCAAGACTGAGCATGACCGCGTAGACCAGGGTACCAACGAAGACGTATGCAAGGAGAGCGCCGGCTGGACCAGCAGTCGCGATAGATCCACCAGATGCGATGAAGACACCAGTACCAACAGTTCCACCGATGGCGACGAATTGTAGATGTCTCGAGGAGAGGTTCCTCTTCAGACCATCCTCGTGGACAGCGGTCTGCTTCTCGACATCGCTCGACGATTGGGGAACCGACTTCTCCGATCGAGAGTCGCCCTTGGGAAGGATACCCTCTGCAGCAGTAGCCATGTTGAAGGGTACGTTTGACGTGAAGCCAAAGAATGGGTCGTGGAAATTGACAGATGTCACGGATGTCAAGCATGCAACATCATGGGCATCAACCATATATCAATAACGAGTGGAGTCATCTTGCACGTCTCCATACTGAACCTTCGGGGGTCTCCACGCTCTGGAAAGCCCATGGACCAACAAATTTTCATCGTGGTTCCACTTAAACGGGCAACATAATGGTGTTTGCTGAGGAATGCGAGATGAAGATTTTTTTAGTTCGGCTAAGAACGGGTCTTACCCGCCACACGGTCGCGTCAATCCTCAAGCGACGGTAAAGCGCGTGGGATGAACAAATACCGTCGCGTCGCATGGTTGTATCCGGAGGCGTGGTTGACCTTTACGGAAAACTCTGCTGTGAAGCACCTGCTCGTTGCGCTACGGCTGATGTTCGCGAATGGCCGCAGGGTCGGCCCATTATCGGGTGAGGAAAGAGAAGTCTTCGGATCGACAGAGCCCCATCCATCACTGAAGCTTGTCTCCGCAGCCATCATTTGCACATCGGCTTCGACCGAACCTGACTCGTTTCATCAGTCTGCATCTTGACTAAATGCTGATACGGCTGATATGCTAGAAGTTCTTCCAGTCTGCAACGGGAAGAGTGTCGGAAACGATGAATCCTTCTTCTCCTTTCTGTTCCCAACACTATGGTTCTATTGCCGCATACATCAAGATACAACCGAAGGTCCCACTTAACTTTAAAAACAGTTTTGGCGGCGTGCTGCTCTTATCGAACGAAAGGCTTGGCCGTCGGCGAAGATGTAGAAGGCGAAAGCCTATCCGCAATGCGAAGGAAATACGAACCCCACAGCGGGTGGCCTCAATCATGTGGATCTAGTCAGACGGGTCTCACATCCCTTATGTATTGCTCTTTGACTCGGCGCAAGCGATACAAGGAGAGCGCTGCCTCCAAAGACAATTCGCCAGTCTCGCTGCCATCTTCCTTAAGATCATTCACTCTAGATTCGTGTCAAGCCCGAATATAGTAAGTGGTGGTCGTCGGTCTGCATCATAAGGGTTCAGTTTAGTCAGTCATTCGATGGTCGTACGGAACTAGACCCCGGATGTCTCAGCCTTACGCAGGGCCAGATCCTGTCACCAACTGTCGAACTCAGACACTTCTTTCGCTGGACCGACGATACGTTCAGGCGACAGCTCTTCATCCGGACATGTCTTGAGCCTTCATCATGACGGCCATGGTTGCCCTCGGAGGTGCTGAGCAACGACAACAGCATTCTCCACTACCATCTCTACGCGATCAAGTTGTTCCCATTGCGCTGGCTCTCAGCACAATGTCTCTCCGATCGCTTGTCTGCAACGCTCATCATTACTAACTGTGGTCCCATCTCTATGGATGATTGAGCCTCATGTCTGAATCGATCGTCGATGATGGCAGACCATGCCGTGGCGGTAGGTCTGTCTCATAAGGTCATCTGCATATTAAGGGAAAGTTCATATCGCTGAAGTACTTGCATCATCTCGACTTTGACCACGTATGAAGTTGAGCGACTAATCATCCTTCCTCTAAGCAGACAATCTTCTACCAGTAACAGCACTACCCAGGCACGGTACGAGAAGAGATGACTTCTACCACGAACCCCAAACTTCATTGGACCCAGCGTGTTGCTCTAGTACGACATAATCTCCATTCGGCCCGCCGGACAAACGATTTCAGTTTCTTCAAGTCGCTCCAAGCACAAGCAATCATCGAAGGCACCGATCATGTCGCCCTTCTGTATTCCGCACTCGGCGATAACGCAGACTCTGTCCTTTCGACTCTGGACAATCTCAATGCTGGCATCGCATATGTGCATCAGGATGCCTTCAAAGCTGTATACGACGGTGTCAAGTCCGCCATGCATAATTCCGGGCATTCCTTGGCAGATAGGAAGTCGTTACTGAGGGTTGACGTCTGCCAGCAACGCGACATGGCCGACCACGCCATCGACAAGACTGCAAACTCTGCAGCCAACTTCATCGAGGCTCAGCCCGAACACAGTCAGGATGCTGTCGCGAATGCCTGGATTACCGGGACCACCATCATGGCTGACGCAGTTTCTGTGTGCCTCAAAGAGATGGAGCACCTAGAAGACAGTCTGGACGACTTCATCCGCCTCGAATACTCCTGGAACTGCATCCAATCCTCGGTCGATGCCGCGATTTCGGCCCTTCGCGGAATCTTCAGTCTCATGGCTCCTTCAAACACCAACGAGATTGTCGTCAACAATCCCACTCCACCCCCAGCTCCACAGGGTCTCTTCGGCCGCAACCTAAGCATCTCATCGATCACAGGCTCCGATCATGCTGGCAACGCGAGCAACCGATCTCGCAACTCTTCAACCGCATCAGCATTCAGCCTCTTCAAGCGCGCCTTCAGCCACGGCCAGATCCAGCCTCCTCCTGCCAAAACAGCGCGTACGGGTTCTATCGCGTTACCCGTGCCCGAGGCCAATCCGCGTAGTTTCCGTACGAGCATGAGCGCTGCGTGTCCCACGAAGATGCCGACATTTGGAGAGCACCCACACACTATTTTGACTACCATTCCGCCGACGCCGGCAGCGGATGGCGCAAGAGACGGCGGTCTGCTGAGTCCGTTCAATCATAGTGACGACTACTTCGCTTTTGAGACAGTGGAGAAGAGCAACAAGACGAGTGCAGCAGACGACTTGATGCAGATGTAGGTTTTCGGTCCCTGTAATGATGAACACCTGCTAATTCATGACGCAGTGAGAGTCTTGATCCGCTCTACTCGCCCCTGGTTGGAGAAGTGATCAAGTCGCCCCATACGCCGATACAGTCGGACAGCTTTGATCTGGGTCCGTCTGCTGTTGCTGCGGTTTAATTGTGCATTCGACTCTTTCTCGCAATTCCAAGCTCTTTGCATCTTGTATCTGGAGACACATAAATTGGCCTCGTCTTCAGATACGTCATCCGTCGTTGCGTTGCGTGGTTCTATCATATAAACGACATTCTTTCAGGCATACAAACATCATATATAGTTATATCCAGTAGAGTTCTCAAATTGCAGCAAGACATTGTTAGGTTTGTCGCACAGGCATGGTCCGGCTGTATATCATTCTACCCAAGCGACCTTGAGCGTGAACCAAATCCAGAGATGTAGCACCTAGGGTGCACTCCTTCCAATTTGCCAACAATCGCGCGACAAATTGGCGAGAAGCATTCCACACGCGGAGTACCAATTTAGCATTCCAGGCTTCGCGGATATTTCAAGCATCCATCGACAAGAATGGTGTTGTAGGTGGGAAAGCGCAGAGCAATAACGCAACGACAAACGACATGGTGAGCTTGCTGGAGATGGGATACAAACACCCAAGAGAGATGGGCTGGGCAAATTGCTTGTATATGTTTCTCCGTATTGCCGGCCGCTCGAATGCTGATCAATGTAAGTCGGTCAGATCAATCTACCTGGGAACGCATTCCGCTTCGACATGGGCATCTCGTGGGCGAAGATCAAGCCCCACACAATTTCCCCGCGTTCCAAGACGACGGGGTCACGTGTTTCATAAGCACGGAAGTGAAGTCGCAATGACATTTTAGGGCGTTGACAATGAGCTTAGTTCGAGAAGCTTCGCTCTACAACGCGTGCTGTCAATGTACGATCAGGGCCTCACTGCCGTCTGCAAAGTCCCAACTGCGGCATTTCTAGCCCAGTATAATTTTGCTGCGCATCACCTGCCCCAAGTTACACAGCAGTGGAGAATAGATCCCGGTTTGATATAGTCAGAGCGCATGAATCGTCACATCTTAAGTAGATGTCCCTCTGATCGTGAAGATCGTGATATGCATGGAGCTGGGAGTACGCGTTCTATTGGCGTTGGTGAGGCCGGCAAGATCGGCACATGGTGGTAAAGGATATGTGAAACACAGCAAATGTACGGGAAACCAAACGCGAGACGTGCGTAGCAGATTCGAAGACTTGGCCGTGTCGTGGTTAGAGAGCAGAGGCTGACCCCTGATCGGAAGATGGGTCCTCCACGTAAGCGCCAAGGCATAAACGAACCTTTGGAAAGCTTACCATCCGGGCAGTGGTGGCGTTCGCTAGACTCGCAAGATGCATTGAGATGGGCAAGTGTCAATAATCCGACTGCAGCGAAGTCCGTTAGCAGCTACTAGATGCGATGCGGTGCAGGAGATGGTAGCCTGGCTTGGCAGCAAGACTCCTTTGAGAAGGTCGACAGACTGATAGGGAGCATATGCCTCCGCCTGACGGACACTCGTGTGCCCTCGCATGTGTGCTACGTGCCTGCGACGGGCGGAACGATATTCTCTCCTTGGCGCTGGAGGACAATTGGATACCTGGCTGCGCTCCCGAGAGGAATTCTATGCACATGTCAGCCTGCCAGTACGGGGCAGCCGCACGCAGCCATGCATCTGCACGCGACACGTCCAGACACTGCGCTGCCATTGTCTAGCGGGCGTCGGAACAGAATATCCCCCTGCATGCAGCGGGCCCGGACGCCACAGGAGCGTTGAAAGGGAGCGCTGGAGAGGCTACGTCGGCACCTTGCCCATCTTGGCACCACTCAATCGTCCGCCCTTGTATTGACCAGCCGCGCATCCTGGGCCGCGTTCCTGGACAGTGGACCAGATGCTCGTCGACACATCGGCTTTAAGCTGGATACATGTCCACAAAAACCATGCTCCACCGTCTGCCGCCAACTCCTGCTGTTGTTTCCCCCTTTGCAGTCGAGCCTCCCCCACGAATTCGACTCACGGTGCTCCCCCCCATTTGCTGCCCCCTCGTATTTAACCTTAATCATCTGGTCGCGGATCGGCATTATACCAACAGCGAGGCCATTGACGGAGAGTCCGAAAGCTACCACTACGGCGATGCCTGAGAAGGCCCTTTTGAAGGCTTGAAATCCCTACCGTCCCTTTCTACCATCACTAGACATTTCGACACTGTAAATCACTATGCCTCCCCGCGACGCCAATTGGATAGATGTAAGTCGCACCCACTTGCCCTTCCTTTCGTGTGACGGCGGCTAAGACGGCATCCCCAGGGCCTTCGCGGCATCGCATCCTTTATGGTGGTCTCCGGTCACCTATGTACTGCGCTGGTACCATGGCTACACTCGCCCGCCAACAGCACCAAGGTCGCACCGCACCTCTTCCAGCTGCCCTTCTTCCGCCTGGCCGTCGGCGGTCGCAGCGCCGTCGCCATATTCTTCCTCGTCACGGGATACGTGAATTCCATAGGGCCCATCAGCAAGTCGCGCGCCGGCAACCATGACGCCGCGTTTACGGGCATTGCGAGGAGCGCTCTGGCGCGGTCCGGGCGACTTGTCCTCCCGACCATGGTCGCGACCTTCATCACCTGGTTCCTCGCCAACACGAACGCATATCACATGACGAAGCATGTCGACTCGACCTGGATACGGCAGGGCTGGCATCGACAGGAGCCAACGATTTGGGAGGCGCTCAGGTCCCTGATCAAGGCGCAGACAGAAACGTGGACAATTGGGTGGAACGACTATGACGGCACGCAGTGGACCCTGCATCTGTTTCTCGAGGGCAGCATGCTTGTATACACGACCATGTTCGCCACGGTGCTGGTCAAGCCCAAGGCGCGCATGCTGATCTACGCTGCACTGTACCTCTACTTCTGGCAGCTCGGCGAGGGTAAGCTGTTCAGTTCACGCGCCCCATGCAATTGTGCTAACTCTCGCAGGTCTGGCCATTGGCGCCCTAAAAGGCTTGAACATTGTAATGGGCATGTTCGTTGCCGAAATGCACAACCACTTCAAGGACTCCGCCACCTCGGTTCTACCCGCCCCAGTTCCCGCGCTCATGATCCTTCTCGGCATGTTCTTGGCTGGCTATCCTCAAGATAACCCACACAACGCGCGTTGGTCACATGTCATGGAGCAGATAATGGCCAGCATCACCGTCGATAAATCCGACGTCCGGCGATACTGGGACCATGTCGGAGCGTCCATTGTATTGCTCGGCGTTTTCTTCTCAGGAAACGCCCGCAAGGTGCTCTGCTCTCCCGTGTTCAATTTCCTCGGCCGCGTCAGTTTCCCGGTCTATCTGATGCACAACACCATGATCAAGTCCGTCCTCACCTGGATGATCTACCTTCCGTCCGCGATGAACCCGCCAAAGAACGAGAAAGGAGAGCTGCAGGATCTACAGCGCGGCTCCACAACACATGTCTTCATCGCGATAGCCATCTTCTACTACATCCTCTACAGATGCGCAGCGCTCTGGGTCAAGCACATTGACCCAATATGCGCGGACCTTGTCAACGCCGCGACCAAATGGGCGACCGGCGCTTCTCAAACGAGAGAAGTTCGACCCATACTCGGCAACGGCGCAGTCACCGACAAGACCGTTCTGCCATCATGACCTTCTCGACATGCAATTTTTTAGCGACGCGCCATATACGTTCTTGTTCATGTTCAGGAGCTGGAGCCTCCCACACACCTATCCACCATATTAGTAACCACCTCTCATATGTCTGTTGCATCACCTGGATTGGCGGCATCCCTCAAGCGAGCAATTGAGCGAAAAACTTATTTTCCCATTCAACAAACCGGCGTTTCTTGGCATTTTATGGACCATGTTTAGCATTTCGGTCAGGATTTTGCTCGGGCTTCTCGTATACCACTTGCGCATCTTTGTTAGCTTAAAGCATATGTCTACTATGTTGGGGAAGACGGAGGAGACAACGGAGACTTCTTCGACAGGAATGAGATGGAGGGGCTGTATGTAGATGAAAGAAGAAATTAGTAAATCTGAATATGTCCTATATCTACAACTCTTGTTGACCGGATGATGCTGGGGCGGATATTGCTTGACTGCATCAACATATTGAAGAGCGGAGCGACGGACATTTTTTAGCTGCATAAGCATATTGAAGCGCGAAGCGACGGCATGCATGTAAATTATGTGCAGAGAAGGCGGATGCTGATTGCTTCCGGGTTACTGAAGCACCTGACAAAGCGCCATTAGACGAACGTGTTTGTGGCAGGAGCAGCTTGTGATGCCTGCACAAGCCACCATCCCGGCGAAGCATGGATATCAGCGCGATTACAGAGCGGTTGAGGGTGTCGTGGGAAGGAGAAGGGACTAAGCCGTTTTGCACAGGAAACCGTTGATTGGAAGAATACTTTGAGTAAGCATGGATAGACTCGATAGCCGAGAAGCATGGTATGGAGTATCAGAAAGGTCTTGTAGGTGTACAGCCTATACTATCAGAGTGCGGACAAATAGCGCACGAATTGCTGCAAAGTTTGGTGCGAGGGAAGTTAGGACGGTTCGAAATACTCGAATGCATCACTTCATCAAGAATTGAACATGTAGAAGAGAGGCATGTATGATCGTCATCTCGAAGGATTGGATAGCCTATGTGTATGAAATGCGACACGAAACGGACAGGGAATCTTGCCGAAAGGAAAGAGGACACTGGCATTGTGCCCTACGCTGTCCTCAGCATTGATGAGTCGTCGTTACCTTCGTCGCGATCTCCTTCACTGAGGTCCTCATCTATGCCCTCAGCATCACTCAGGTCGTCCTGCTGCCCAGCAAGATTGACTGCATCTATCAGCTGTTGACCGACCGAGTCGACCTGTTCCTCCTCGTCAGGTAAAAACCCCGCGTGAAGTGCTGTCCGATACCTCTTTTTCAGATCGACATCAGCAGTGGCTATTATTCCTCTATTCGGAATCTCGCCCTCTGGAAATGTCCCTAAGCCCCTGATAGCTCCGTTCGTGGTCCAAGTACAGCTTTGACCGTACGAACAACAGGCATAGTCGGCAGCAGTTCTTGCCTGGGATCTGGATGAATCCGCTCTTTACTGTAATTTGCCCCGTGGGCCACACCGAAGTTTAATCGCTCAGTAGCACCAAAGAAATATGCCACGGTAAACACCTGGTCTACATATTTTTTTTGAAGTAGAGCGCACCATCTGTAGCTTCGACACCGAGAAGATCCTTCGTGTAGTTTTGCAAAAGACCCACAAAGATTTGCTCGACAATGAATGCAAAGTCTGCAATATCTGTCTCGCTCATCAAGCACAGCGCCGCCGAAATTATGTTCACATGATTTCCGGGTCAGGTCGCCATATTTGCCTTCACTCGAATAGTGCCTATTGAATCCTTCTCTGAAGTCGATGGTTTTGCCTACATGCAGGTACTTCTCATGTGATAATTCTTGCGTGCTGTATCTGGACTGGAACTACTAATCCAGATAGGCTGTGGTGTTATATATAAGCCTGGACAGACTCAACGGCCAATCAGGATAGTAACAAGTACCAAAATAGCGTCGGAGTTATACAGCCTTACTTGAGATTTGTGCGCTGTGTCGCGACACAGCGCACGTATGTTAGTGTAGCGTAAGCTCATCTGTCTCAAAATGTCGAAAACGCAAAGTGCTCAAAGACATCACATGACCAACCCCGAGAATTCAAATGAGCAGCATGCATTATCATTATCGTAACAAGGTAATCTAACAGCAAGCGAGTGGTTCGATAAAGATGCGGCAATCGTACTGAGGGTATCAAGAAAATACAGAAATCCCAACCATTCCACCAAGCAGAGCAAAGTATTGGAACCCAAGTCGTGTCTTCGTGCGCTCGTATTCAGTCTCAGCTTACATGTTCTCAATGACATGCGAGTTGATAGCGCTCTGGAAGCTGTTGTCGTTGCCTCCGTACTCCTGCGCTGCACTACTCTGCGTGCCCAATGAAGTGTTGCCCTGGTTTGACTTGGGCATGTAGGAGCTAGGGCCTTCGCCAGCGGCATCTGCTTGCGCGAGAGCAGACTGTACAGTTTGATTCTGCGCTGGGAGGAAGATAACCTGAGAAGACTGTTAGTTCGATGGCCTGGAATCGCCGTGTAGGGACATTTTACCTTGCTGTTGGCGGATCTGGCCATGGCTTGCATCGTCTCAAGATAACGGATCTGCATTGCCGGCGCTGAATTTAGGACGTCGGCCGCTTGGCGCATGAGCGTTGAGGTAGTTAGCATGCGTATTTACATGTGTAGATGGTGTTGTGGTGTTGTGGTGTTGTGGTGATGTTCAGGGGTGGGTGGAGGAAAAAAACGTGACTTCACCCAAATCCGACCCAACCACACCGATGTGGACCGTGCGCAAAGGCGAAAACCATGCGACAGGTCATATAAATGTGCTTGGGAAGTTGCAAGAGCGTAGGAGAATGTGGGAAAATGTGGTGGTGCAGTGGAAGACTTACCTTGGCAGACTCGACTTCCGCGCGAGCAGCAATGACCTTGGCCTCACCAGTTCGCTTCGACTGGGCAGCCATAGAAAGCGACTCCTGGAGCTCCTGGGAGAAGATAATGTCCTTGACGAGCATGGACTCGACCTCAACGCCCCATCCGAGCGCAGTCTCCTCGATGATCTCACGGATAGACAAGGCAATTTCCTCGCGGCGCTCAATCACATCCTGGAGCACACGGGCACCGATTACGTGGCGCAGCGTAGTCTGCGTACGCTCAACAAGCGCCTGGCGGATGTTGCTGATGCTGAAAGCGGCCTTGTGGGGCGAAGTGATGCGGTAGTAGATGACCGAGGTAAGGTTTAAGGTGACATTGTCCTTGGTCATGCAGACTTGCTTGGGCACCTCGACGATCTGGATCTTGATATCGACCTGCACCAACTGCTCGGAGAGAGGGTTGACGTAGACCAGACCAGGGTCGACAGCACGCGCGAAGCGACCGAACTTGGTGACAAGACCAACGTTTCCTTGAGATACGGGCTTGTAGGGATTGGGGCAGACGACGCAGCATGGAATGGCGCCCAGAGTGCCGATGCAGCCTCCAAGAGTGTTGATCTGTGTGGTTGTTAGATGCTTAGTTGTGGCGGACGCCGAGCCAAGAACATACCATGGCACCATACCACCCGTTGGTGTCGGCGTCTTGATCATCTGGCTGGATAACACGAGCATAAGATGGCTGGAGGTCCTCCCGTCGCGGCGGCTGGACCTTTACAAGAGGTTCGCTGTGGCGCGCAGGTGAGCCAGCTCCATTGATAGGTGCCTTGCCGTTGGTGTCACTCATAGTTGCTGTAGTGCTGAGTTGTCCGGTAGTAGAAAGCTGATCGTTGATAATAGGTCGCGTAGAAGAAGTAAACGACTCGGCAACAGTGTTCTTCGCAGTGGAGCTGTGTGGTTGCGATGCGCCCATATCGAGAGGATGTGGTATCACCTTATATGTGGGCTACGCAACAAACAAATGTACTCGTGGAGCGGGGAAGCTAGTCGAAGCGCATGTGCACCCCTGCGCCTACCTTGTGCATCTTGGCTCACGCTTGGGGCTGTGCTTGGGATCTTACCGTGGATGTCTATGGAGGAGGTACCGCAGCCTTGTGGCTTGAGACATTGCATTCCAACTCTGAAGAGCGCCGCAATCGTGCAGCATGTGAGATCATTCTCGAGACCATCAACATACACCTCGAATAGCTTGAATGCTGTATTCCATCGAGTCTGAATCGGAGACGCTTCTTTCACGGATCGCAGTGTATCCGCCACGCGAGCGATCGGCAGAGGGCCACACCACCAGGCCCCCGGCACCAAAGCACACAAGCATCGTAAAGTCGGTTATCACGGGTGACCCAGTCAACTCGTGACGTCGCTCAAGGCATAATTTCAATACTGCGTGATTTGGCCATTGTCCACTTAGATGCTGCGCAGGATTATACCCGACGTCAACGATTTTGGCGGATTGGGGCAAAATGCGTCTGAATGGGAAAAGTCATGGGGTGGTTGCGATAGCGGTCAGCCCTATGGTTAGTGGATTGCTTTTCCTTTCTGCTGGGGACTGGGCCAAGGTGGCACGGTTATCCGAGCTCGTGGCTGTCCTTACGCCTTGTTATTTCCGGCATCTACACTGACTGAGGCATCGAGGACTCTTTGTCGAGTCCATGTTGGTGGAGGCTCATATTGTTAAGATTGAGACCTTTCTTTGACCCTTCTTGCTTGTTTACATTCCTTTCTTCAGAATATTATGAAGCACAGCTTGGTAAGGCATGTCGAGCCCAAGACACTGCATCTCCAACTCTGGTCCGGTGAAGCTCTGTGACCTCGCTCGTATTCCCCTCACATTCTGCTCAACTGCGCCATATTCGATACCCAAATCGCTCAATGATGGTGGGAATTCTCATTCCACGTATCGAACACCACAATCTTGGAACCGGTGAGCCAATTCCCACCCTTCTCGCGAACCGAACTCGGGACCCTTGCACAGCCTCACTACATACGCCCATCCGGCATCCTTCCAGAACATCGCCTTCCAGAATTCTACTCGCGCAAATGTCTCATCGAAGCCCCATTTAGGCAGCAAGAAGTTCCATTTCGCGCTGTGGATGCCTTTTAGCGCGCCCCTGCGGCACATCATGACTACTAAGCCATGTTTATAGTGTACCGCGCCGCAAGGCTGCGCCGTTTGCTGGCGATCCGCAGCAAATGGGTCCGGGGTTTTAAGCGCGCTGTGGGTATCAAGATATAACCTTTGACGAAATGTGTCGACTGCAAATTAGTATTCGATGAGACGATCTAATTTAAAACCGAAAGATGTATGCCTTATGTGAGGTTGCGATGAATGCAGATACCATTGAACACCTAGAGATGCAACAAAGCCTATGAACACCAAAACCATTCATGGCAGAGCCTGAAATACAGACAGACAGCAGTCGCACGTCTGAACAGGTCGGATGCTTCGCGAGTACTATTTCAAAATGCTAGCGCCCCTCCTATCCTTCTTGAGCGGACTGAATGCAAACGCCTCCTCACTCAGCATATTGAAGCCGCCAGAAATAGGGCGTTGTCCCTGCTTGCCTAACACACTCTTGCCCAGCGCCCTCGCCGCAAACAAGCCCTTGCTCACGCCAACAGGTTTCAGAGGCGCCACATCCTCACCGTCTTCAGCGTCGAATAGAGTTTTGCCAGCACTGGCGCCAAGCTTGCGCTTCTTCTTCTTCTCTGCGGCGGGCTCTTCGGCGAATGTTGCAAAGGACATGAGTGACTTGCGGGGCTTGAACTTGGGCACAATAGGCTTGGACTTTGTGGATGGACCGTCGTCGGAGTCCTTGAGCGGGACCATAACTGGGGCATTCTCGGAGTCGTCCTTGGACTGGCTGTGAGACATTACGGATGCTTCCTCACTGACCATCTCCAAAACTGGTGCCGCAGCCTTCTTGCGGCCAGTCACCTTTGCGTTGGCCTTGTTTGATGGTGCAGGCGCCAGAGCCTTGACCTTGGGCTGAGCAATCTTCTTCGAGGCTTTCTTTAGCAGAGCAGTCGGGGTAGCCTCTTCCTGAGCAGTCGCCTCTTCCTCTTCCTCCTCTTCGACGATTGGACTTGCGGGGACGACGCTACCAGTGCGATTTAGGAACGGCGTCAGTGAAAATGCAGAGGTGTCACCAACCGCAGCAGCTGAAGTGCCGCGTTTGGCTTTCTTCGCAGGGAAACCGTCTCCAGGTGTACCCAGATTCGTCTCCGGCTCTGCTGTCGCAGCCAGGCGCTTTCGACCGGTCTTAGCAGGCTTCGTGGTTGTAGCAGCGGCAGCTTTTGTGGGTGGTGCGGTCTGTGCCCGGTCGACGCGTTCTAGCTCGGCTTCCTTCTCCTTCAACTTCTCTTTGGTAGTGCGAAGTTTCTCTCGGAAAGCGCTCAACTTGTCATCAAGCACGGTATTACGCCCCTGTAGCTCCGCCAAAGTCTTGGTGTACTCCTTCTCTTGCTTCTTACGCTCGCGCTTCTCCTCTTCCAGAGCCTTCTTGATTTCTTCAGATTGCGAGTTGTCGGTTTGCGTGCCCTTCTTACTGGCTTTCTCGGCTTTCTGGCGTGCATGCCTCTCCTGCTCAAGTTCCTGTCGGAGCTCTTCGATCTCGGCGCTATCACTGCTGCTCTTCTTGCTGGCCTTCTCCGCGCTCAGACGCGCTGCGCGTTCCTGCTCCAGCTCTTGACGGAGCTCTTCTAATGCGGCATCGTGAGCTTCATCGCGTTTGCTGGATTTGCTGGTGTCCTTCTTTGCCAGCTTCTCCACCTTGGCCTGCAGACGCTCGGTCGCCTGCTGCTGGGACTCGAGATCTGATTGCACCTTCTCGGAAGCCTTCTCCATCTTCGCGAGCGCAGCCTCGGCTTTCGCCTTATCCTTCTTCTCTTGTGCAAGTTCCCTGCGGACCTCCTCCAACTCGGTGCGAATGTCGTCGTCCTGCTCCATCTTGCGGCCCTGCTTAGCTAGCGTACGCGCTGCTGTGCGCTTCTCGTTCTCCAACTCTACTTGGAGTGTTGTCAATTGGCGCTGGAGTGAAAGTTTCTCAGTGAGGAGGCCCTGGTTCGACTCGACTTGTGCGCGTAGGTGTTCGACTTCTGGGCGCAGGGATGAGATCTCGCGGGAAAGCGCAAGCTTGTCGGAGAGGATCTTGTTGGAGTCGGAGGTGACGTTTTCCATTGCCTTCAGCTCTGCCTGTAGACTGTTAGTGAGAGATCTATTGCTGTAATTTTAATTTGCGCACCTTTAGATTCGCATTCTCCCGCGCCTGTGTGCGGATCTGGTTTTGTACTTCCTCGTCGCGGGCTTTTTGTTCGTCGAGCTGTGCAAGGGCTTCGTCTAGCGCGTTCTCTAGTTCGTCCGAGCGCGCCTGTTCCTCTTCGAGCTGTTCGTGGAGGTCGCTGTTGTCGTCTTGTAGCAGGCACTGGCTGACTCGCAGCTTCCTGATTTCCTCGTCTTTGGCCACAACCTCGACCGAATGCTTACTCCGTTCGAGATTGAGTTCTAGTGTTGCATTGCGCAACGAGTGTTGAAGCTATAGGTATGCGTGTCAGTGGTTGTTGATTGTTGATTGCATTGCTGATTGTTGACAAAGGAGCCCGTAGCTAGTTTGCGCGTAGTTCGTCTCCACGTGGTAGTGCAATGCACAAGTTTACTTACATCTTTCATCTCGTAGTTGATATCTATTTCTGTATCCATAGTGGCAACCATGGCGTAGGATATATTCAGCGATGTGTGGAAAGCCTTAGGTGGATGTTGTCGAGGTGGAGGGGCTACAGGTAGACGCGACGAGAGTAAACAAACACGGCGCGAGTATGGTGCCAAGCTGAACAAAGATGGGATGGAATATGAAAATCTGCTTTCACCACAACATAGCAATGAAAGGCATGAAGAGGAGTAGATGTTCAACACAGCACTCCAAGAGATCAGAGACGTGTTTGCGCGTGGTGTTGTTCCTCAAGTTGCGCATCGTCAACGCTCTGACACCCCTGCGCTGCTAGCGGATTACGCACACTCCCGACCTCCGAGCTCAGGTCAAGGCCACGTTCACCAAGCATCATCTCTCCCGCAGCACCTCCCACATCGCTCCTCACACCCCCACAACCCCCTCAATCCGACACAATGAGGTGGCTACAGCTTCTCACAGCATCGCTGCTGCCGTTTACAGCTCTTGCCGCCAAGAAGGCCTCGGGCGACCGCTTCAAAGACGCCCGCGCAAAGTCACTGTCGAGCGGCGCTCCATTGAAACTTGACGACGCAAGCTATGCACAATTGACCAAGGCCCCGAGAGACTACTCGGTCGCCGTCCTCCTCACTGCGCTAGAGCAAAGGTTCGCATGCCAGCTATGTCGAGAATTCCAGCCCGAGTGGGACATTTTGGGCAAGAGTTGGACCAAGGGCGACAAGAATGGCGAGGGAAGGCTAATTTTCGGAACCCTTGACTTTGTGGATGGAAAGAACACTTTCCAGTCGGTATGGAACTCTCTCAACATTTATTCCGGGTTGAAACAGTTGCTAACCCTGCACAGATGATGCTCCAAACCGCCCCCGTCCTCCTCTACTTCCACCCCACAACCGGGCCCAACGCAAAACCCGACTCCCAACCCGTCCGCTTCGACTTCACCGGCGGCCCGCAATCCGCCGAGCAAATCCACACCTGGATCGCGCGCCAGGTCCCCGCCGACGCCCCCAAGCCCTCCATCTCACGCCCCATCAACTGGGTCAAGATTGGTTCCGTGACCATCTTATCCCTCGGTTCCATCACGCTGCTCGCAGTTGCGTGGCCGTACCTCACTCCGATTCTGCAGAACCGCAACCTCTGGGCGGCGTTCAGCTTGATTGCCGTGCTGCTGTTTACCAGTGGACACATGTTCAACCACATCAGGAAGACGCCGTATGTGCAGGGCGATGGCAAGGGCGGACTCAGCTACTTTGCGGGCGGCTTCAGTAACCAGAATGGCCTCGAGTCGCAGATTATTGCGGCAATCTACGGTGTGCTTGCCTTTGCGACTATCTCGCTCGCGCTCAAGGTCCCTCGAATTGCGGATGCGCGCGCGCAGCAAGTCGCAGTGTTCGTCTGGAGCGGTGTCCTGCTGTGCATGTACAGCTTCCTGCTCAGCGTCTTCCGGATGAAGAACGGCGGATACCAGTTCTGGCTGCCTCCTTTCTAGACAGATTCTTTGAGGGGCATTCCATGCACTCGGAAGTGACGTGGAAAGGGTGGTCGAGATATTGGAGGGGAAAGGCTTGATGTTCGATACATGCTGTAACATATTGACTGGGTAGATGCTCTAAAGAGGGGCGTTTTATGGAGCAATCAGGCAGATTAAAAGAGTCGCGTTGGCAGATGTTCGTAGCACGTGTTCTCACAATCAAATGGACAGTAAAGATACAACATGCTTGACTTGACTCTTGCAGTGCAGCTAGCATGTCGCGGCAGTCTCAGTCTATACACACATAAATCTTCACACACTTGCGCATGGGTCGAATGAAATAATGAGACGTACATAAAACGTTCCATTCATACAGACATTACATACATATGCGCTATATACTACAATCTGAAGGGGCAATAATACACAACGCCCGTGTGAACCCAAACCCGAATGACCTTTTGCCTTGTGACTCGTGAAATCCTGATCGATAGCCAAACTCATATAACAAATACGCAAGAACCGAAGCGAACCTTGAGAGTACAACTGCTCAACCCATCATCTGAGTGTGCAGGTCAAACACATCATTCCTCCAGCCACCCTCATCCCAATCATCAATCCTCTCCTCAGCCCGCCTTCCCTCTTCTTCCCAAAGCTTGACAACACTGCCCGGCGCATACTTGCCCGCAAAGACACCCTTGCCCTTGGGCGCGACGCCAACCCTGGTGTACAGATCGGGGTCGTCGGCAGGCGTCAAGCGCGTCATAATAGCCTTGAAGAACGTCTTGAGGTCATCTGGATCCGAAATCCTCGTCGCCCTCAGCCTTTCACGGAAGAACAAGAGCTCGCGGTTCGCAGCGTGGATGCCATCCGCGATACCCTTGGCCATCTGCCTTTCCATGACCTTGCGGATGACCGGGCGGAGAAGAGGCTTGAAGAGCCAGCCGAGGATGCTGAACTTGGACTTGCGGAATGTGTAGTTGAGCTTGTGGATGTGCACGCGGACGGCGCGGAGGGTAAGGATCTGTTCCATCTTTTCCTTGGCGACCTCGACGTCGAGGTGGATGTCGATGCCGCGCTCGTCGAGCTGGAAGGACGCGATACCCTCGTCCGCCATGCGGAGGATTCCTGAGTGAGCACGGAGGAGGAAACCAATCTCGTCGGCCCGCATGGAGAGACCGTCGATCTTGATGGTGAACTTGGATGTGACCTTGGATGCAACACGGAAGCGAGCCTTGCGGAGTTCAAAGTCGTTGTAAGTCTCCACGCGGAACCGGAAGGGCAGGAACGATGTGTGATTGACAGTCTTTCCAGGCTCGATGATGAGGTTCTCGAGCAAAATGTCGACCTCAGGTGTGGACACTTCAAGGCGAGGAATAGGGATGTACTGAATGTACTGAATCAGAAGAGGAACGAAGACGTTGATCGTGTCGTTGATCAAGTCTTGGTTGGCCAAGCTGTGCTGTGGAGAGAGGATGCCCCATATCCTGAATGTCGACTTGATGAGCTTGGAAATGTCCTCGTCACGGGTGACCGACTCAAACGTCTTCTGTACCTGCTCGAAGAAGATGTCGATATCTTGTCGCAGAGAAGACTCAGTGCCTACGCCCTTGGACTTCTTGCGGAGCTCTTGAAACTTCTCTTCAACGTGGTCAAAGAAATCGGGGTCGGTCAACAGCTTCTGAAGAGAATTGCCGATGTCTGTAAGCAGGTCCTCAAACTCTGGGTCCTTTCGTGAGTGTTCCAGCACCTTGTGGAAAGAGTCTTCCAGCTTCTTCCACTCGTCATGGTCTCCGAAGGAGCTGATAAAGGTCCAGAAATTCTTTACGGCCCTCTCCATAGCCGCATTTGGCTCAACATCCTCCTGCACAGTAGTCATGGCGTCCTCCACTGTGCGAGAGTATGCCATGGCATAGCGCTGGAGAAGTAGAGCGAGTGTCGAAACAGACTCAGAGTAGTCCCGCTTCTGTCGCAGATTCGTGACGGTCTGCTTCAGGCGGTAAAGCAAGGAATCGCCTTCTTCACCTCGCAACTTGTCAGACAAGCTTTGGTCTGCCCTCTTGGCCACCTTTGTTACGCCATTGCCGACGACTTGCGCGACCTCGGCCACATCGTCTTCGAGCTCTTGTGCTGATGGCGCAGTACCCTCAGCATCTTTTCCGGGCTCTTTAAGCGCCTGCTGCTCAGCTTGCGAGGGTTCAATCTTCTTGCCAGCTTTCTTTGCCACATTAGACAAAGTAAATGCGCTGTCTCTGAAGACTTCTCGGCCAACGGTTTGGATGTCTGAAAGGAAGATTCGGAAATCGGAGTTGGTAAGGAGCAACTGGCCAACTGTCTGGAGGCTCTGGTACGCTATTCGTAGGTTAGCCCAATCTTCTTCTCAATGTCGCCATGTCGACTTACCTGCAGTTGCGTCGGCCTTGGCTTTCGACTTAGTAGTGCGACGAGCGATGTCATTTACATCGACCGAGATTCGGGCTTTAGTGAGATACCACACAAAGTCCTGGATCTGATCCTCGCTGTTCTTGTGCTGTAGAAGATCGATGAATTGGTGGAGCCATTGCTTGGTGAACTTGACCAATAGACGACCAGAGTCACTCAATTCAGGGTTGTCGGGGTTCAGGATGTCTGCGGAAAGCACGCTTCTGAGGTTGATGATGGTCTGTTCATTGGACGGCATGTAACCCATGGACATAGCCCGTAGCATCTGATACGAGTGGAGCTTCTGATGAACCTCCCGCTGAAGGACCGTATCATCTCGGTACTGCCGAGTAAGCCCGTTAGCCGACGCGTTCAACTTCGAATGCGCGATAGCTTACCTGTGGGAGTAGCGGTTGCTGATCATCGTCGCGTTTGCGGCCGAAGCCAAGACAGGAAGACATGGCCAATTGTTTAATTTGAGCTGTGCAATGTCTGTCCGAGTAGATGACCAGGGTTATAGAGATCGTGAAGTACAATAACCTGCTGCTGGTAGTCTTGTTTGCGGTAGCCTAGACGCGTGCTAAGCGTGCAATGATGACGATCAGGAGCGAACTCCGCGCAGCATGACGTCATAGTTCTCTTCCGTGGCTGCGACCGTCCCTTCCCCACAGTCATGCGCCGCTGTACCTGGCCACCACGACATGTGAAGTATCAAGCATCTTCGCACGTGCGAGAGCACTTCTATCGAATTTAGCTCCGCTTCACGTGTACTTGCATCCTGACAATTGGCCGTGAGCTATCAGCACGTACACAGAGTTGCTGGAGTAGACTAGGGCAAGGTTCTGTGAGACATTGACTAAAGTGCAGTGTGCCATTAGCTTTTTGAGTGCGGCATCTCACATGTGGCTGCGATTTGGACGCATACCCATGGGTCTTAGACTTCTTCGACAACCTTGACGGCTTGGCTTGGCTAGTGGGCACTAACTTGACTACGTACAGACCGGAGATGGGCAGCGCTTCTACACACTGGATGATACCGACCTCGTGGGACATATCAATTGAGTTGTGTTGAGCACTTTGCAGTCGACTGAACATGCAATGTGCTCTAGGATAAAGTCACGATGCCCTATCACATCGGACGCAGACATCTACATTCTTTCGAATGCAGTTCCCGTGCTATATGCCGAACTGCTTTTGTGAGCATCGAATTCAAGTATGGGTATGTGGAGAGGTACACGACAGCGTTCGGGCATGGTTGTGAACAAGGACTTGCCGGACGTCTCTTCAAGCCTTGCCTAGGATGACGGGAGAACGCGTCTGTGATAAGCAAGCAGAAAAAGCACCGATTGTGGTGGCAAAGGTGCATACTGTGAAGTTGGGGACCCCTCACCCCGAGACTTCGGTGCTTTACAGATCCTGGTGCGATGGCTGCGATAGAGGCCGCGTGCCGGACAATCCTCAGCTCACGAGAAGTCGCAAACTTTGTCCGTGTCTAGACAGGTGGGTCGCGGACCATCGAGCCTTCCCCACATCCGCGACGTCGCATGCGATACCGCATCTAAGATAGGGCGATCCTAACGAGTCGGAGCGAACCGTGACCTTCTTTAGGCTCTTGTGTATGATTCGACTCTGATGAATTTAGTCTCTGCTACTCCCAGTGTTCAACAAAGACGTGGCAGCAGGGCCGACATTACGGGGTGACAGGAGTGTCGGACCCCGTGCAACCATGATCTATCGGCTCCTTCCCCCAACGCATTCCCCAAGTGCTCGACGCCCGGCCGGACTGATTGAACCATCCGAGTGGGTTTAGTTCAGCCCCGGCTCCTGCAGCTGGGCAACGGTGCTGATCTAAGCGAATGCATGCCGATCCAGGGCTTTCAAAAAATTGTTGCAGGCGCCACACTGGATGGAAAAAGTAGACACACCGCTTTGCAGACATGGACATGTCACACCGTACCTTGCTCGTCTGACGGAAGATCCTTGGTTGCACTTGTTGGTGGCCATGGTGGAAGCAAAGGCCGAAGCTCTTCGCAGAGGACACAAGGTTGGTAGAGCATGCGGACGCGGATGTAGCTGCGTGCGGCTCCTGGCAACACCACATGGTACCGGAGGGGAATTGGCTGGACGAGAACCCGTCAATTCCTCGTCAGACATGCCAACAGGTCAGGATAGGCATGCTTCCCGTGCGAGGCATGCTGAGGGTGCATGTCCGGCGCTGTCACATTCGGCGCCTGAGGACTCTTCCGAGACAATTGCCGTAGGACGCACGAAAGCACGTCCGCAACGCGGTGGTCGGGGATAACAGCGCCATTAATAATGTCAATATACAAGTGGCCTGACGGGTCGCGGCAACTGAGCATTGGCAGTGGCAGAAATGCCTCTTGATGCCTGACCTGCGAGGCGAGCGTGGTGCTTAGTGTAGTTCTGGGTGCTGCGAACGCGCCGAGTGGGCTCGCAAGCCGACAGCTTTTGCTGATTCCAGCACAAATCGGCATCTGACGAGTGCCTGAACGAGGTCTGGCTAGGCTAGCAATCCGGACCCGCACACCGACCAACGGCGTGGGAACATGCTTCCTCCGTATTATTCCGACGATGCAGGCGTGGGTCGTGTAAGCGCAAGGGTCGCGCTCTGGAAATGCGGATGGCAGAGACATGAAAGCCCACACGCTGCTCTTCAGGGTGGCGCCCGCGGGATACAAGCCCTCCCGATTCGCTGATTCTCGCTGCCCATGACACGCGGACTTCCTTCCATTTCTTTTGGCCTGGTCCGCGGTAGCAGGACTGTTGCAACTCCTTCAATGCAGCGACTCAGCCCGCTACTTAAGGCCGCGGTCCCTCAGTCCAGACTGCAGAAACCCTTCCGTGCTTTCACATACACCCGTTCCTTGGCTTCGGTAGCAAACCACAACACAATGCCTTCCTCTGCTCGGCCAAACCTTCCGCCGCGTCAGCTGTCGACGACGAGCGGAGACTATGACCTCTCCAACAACAGCGACCTCCGCCGCCAGCTGGGCACATATGGCTTGACGCCGCCAGCCGTGGAGACGTTTGAGATCCAGAGCCAGCGATGTCCGTAGCCAAGTGGACTCTGTGTTGCATATTGAACGTATTACTCACACCAGACAGGCCTGAGACTGCTGGCCATGAAGCCCACGCCGATTGAGAAGTTCCAGTACCTTGTCCACCTCAAGGCCACAAACCCACATTTGTTCTACAGGGTCCTTTCCCAAAACATCAAGGTATGACGCCAGGGTCCAAAATCACGGGAAGGCACGACTGACGTCCCCAGGAACTCACGCCCCTCATCTACACCCCGACCGTTGGCGAGGCCTGCGTGCGATGGCACGAGATCTGGACACAGCCCGAGGGCATGTACCTGTCGTTCAGCGACCGCGGCAACCTCCGCCAGATCCTCGACAACTGGCCACACCAGGTCGACATCACCGTCCTGACCGACGGCTCGCGTATCTTGGGTCTCGGAGATCTCGGCGTGAACGGCATGGGCATTCCCGTGGGCAAGCTGGCCTTGTACACGGCCTGTGCTGGTATCAAGCCAGACTCGACTCTGCCCCTCACACTCGACTTGGGCACGAACAACAAGGCGCTGCGTGAGGACCCGCTCTACATGGGTTCCCGCAGGGAAAAGGTTACTGCAGCCGAGGAGAAGGAGTTCCTCGACGAGCTCATGGCTGCCCTCACCGACAAGTGGCCAAAGTACGTATCTTGCAGCTTTTTTCCAAACAGGCAACTGATCGTGTGACAGTATCGTCATCCAGTTTGAGGACTTCAAGAACCCCTTCCCCGCACTAGAACGCTACCAGAACAGCTACGCCATGTTCAACGACGATGTCCAGGGTACCGGCGCTGTCATCGTCGGAGGCTTCATCAACGCCATCAAGGCGTCAGGTGTGCCCGTCCGAGACCACAGGGCCATTTTCCTTGGTGCCGGAAGTGCCGGTACTGGTGTGGCCATGCAGATTGTAGAGTTCTTCAGAGGAGGGTCTGACCGAGAGAGCGCGCCGCAGTTCTGGTTCGTCGACTCTAACGGTCTCGTTACCGCCGACCGAAGGTGACAAGCTGCCGAGCACAAGATCTACTTTGCCCGTGACGATAACAACGGCCGCCAGTACCAGTCTCTCAGCCGTTTGATTGACTTTGTAGAGCCCACCATCCTGTCATGAGTCTATCAACCATCAGTGGCGCATTCAACTCCGAGCATTCTGCAGAAAATGGCGAAGCTGAACGACAGGCCCATCATCTTCCCCCTCTCCAACCCCTCCAGCAAGTCCGAGTGCACATTCGAGGAGGCTGTCGTCAACACCAACGGCCGCTGTCTCTTTGCCTCGGGTTCTCCTTTCCCCTCAATGGAGTGGAACGAGAGGACTCTCACCCCTGGACAAGGAAACAACATGTATGTTTTCCCAGGTATTGGTCTTGGTGCCATTCTGTCCCAGGCTGTATCAATCACCCAGGACATGATCTACGCCTCGGCCGAGTCGCTCTCAACTTCATTGAACAAGCAGGAGGTTGCTGACGGCTGGCTGTACCCCGACATCCGCCGCATTCGCGAGGTCTCTGTTGTCGTCACCCGTGGTGTCATCCGCGCTGCGCAGAAGAACGGCGTTGACCGCGCTACTGAACTGCGCCAGCTTAATGACGCATCTCTCGATGCCTACATCGTGGAGCGCATGTACGACCCTTTCAACGAGTCCGCAAACGCCGCCGACGAGGTCTCCAAGCTCATCAACGGCCACACCAACGGTGTAAACCACATCACCAACGGCGTTTCCCACTTGTAGATTGACTTCTTCACGGCGCCATGCGAACCGACCAAAAGCGAATTGGTTACCAAAAGATTAGATTTTGTTTGTTTGTTTCGGGACATGGACAATGTCTCTTGTTCATGGATGGATTTCGACTCGATACCCCGATTTACACACGCTTTCCACCCACCATACCCCTTGTAGTACACCTAGATATTGAAGCGCTCATAGCGTGGAAATGTAATACACATGACTCTAAACTTGACATTGCATACATACAGCCTTTGAACCTACTGAATGCACAAAAAGACGAACTGCTAACTAGACAATGAACTAATAATAACAGAGGGCAAGTAGGTATCCCAACAAAGTCCATTCTCGGACTCCCCCTCCCTCCGAACGGACTCACCTCCGCTATTCTCAACATCCTCCGCATGCATGCATATATATGTATATATATGCACAAGCACCAAGACCTCCGTACGCACACCGCTGGGCCCCCTGCATGTCATCAGCCACACAATAAAAAAAGTCTACCTCATTCTGGCAAGGCTCGACTTAAGCTTACCCTGGGACTTAAGACGCACTGTTGCGGTTTACCCCGGATCCACCCGGTGTGGCTTTACATAGGGTCGGTGCGGCGGATCGGGTCGTTGGGTGGAGACGCTGGGATGGGAGGATGAACGGGTGGGGTGTGGATGTGCATGGAGTTGTGAACGGATGTTGCGTATTAGAGGTTCAGTGAGGAAGAGTATATGTGATGGTAAATGGAGTGCAGTAGAGTAGTAGTACACTGGGATGAAGAGGCATGGAATTTGGTGCGTTTGCTGATATAGACTTGCGCATTGTATGTGCGAATGTGTACACTTACTTCAAGATGTTGAATTGGGGTCGTGGTGTGTGGAATCAGTCCACGGGTGCGTTGTGGTATCTCGTTCACCTTCACTTGTTGTCAAGCATCACCGCTCCTAGTGAATCCCTCACGGTGAGTTCGCTCTGAAATCCTCATGCTCACCAGTTTGCGTATAAGACTTTACAGCGGCCTGCTCTCCTCGTTCTTTCAATCTTTTTCATACCTCTTCCACTTCATCAACCAATTCATTCAAGACGACCCACACATCCAACACACAACAATGGCCGACAAGAACGCCAAATCCGGCTGGACTGACCGCGAGATCGTAAGTACCTTCACCATACACCTCACTCCCATAAATTCTAACCTCCCACAGCTCGTCTGCCTGCTCAACGTCATGGAGTACTCCAACTGCAAACTCGAATACGGCGTAAGCCCCCTGCACTCCCACTCTATCCACCACTCACTTACCCCACCCCAGGACGTCCCCTACCCACCCGGCCGCAACGCCAACGGCTTCCGCCAGAAGATCAACAACCTGAAGCGCGAGCTCAAGGGCGAGTTCGAGTCAATTAAGGCTGGCAACCCCGTCGATTCCACGCCCAAGAAGAAGACTGCAGATGCTACGCCCAAGTCGACCCCGCGCAAGCGCAAGGCAGCGGCTGAGGAGGATGGCGAGGAGACGCCCAAGAAGCGTGGACGCCCGAAGAAGGGGGCTGCGAAGAGCGAGGAGCCCGTTGAAGCTGAGGCTGAGACGGTGGTCAAGGATGAGCCGGAGAATCATCTTGGAGCGGGTTTTGAGGCCGAGATTGTGGAGCAGGTCTGAGGGTGGAGATGAGTCGGACTGAAGAGAGCGAATGCATTGGCGCACAGAAGTCTATTTGGGTGGCGTTTTGATTTCCGAATGTTTTCTTTGACCGAGTTCTTGGACTTGGTCTGGTACTACGCTCAGCGCAGCTTAAATGCTTTCATGGCATGATGCGAGGCGTGTAGGGACCTGCATAGCTTCAATGGCGTATCAAATTCCCCAAAACTACACTGGGAATACTGCACAATACATCATACCATCCACTCTCCTCATGCTCTACTATTCTGACCACAACATCTGACTCATCGTCGTGTGATGCAATCTCCAGTCGTGCAGCACAATTTCCTTATCTTGCTCAGTATCGCCAGGGCACGTGTGTGTAAAGTGAAGGTGAAGGCAGATTACGTCCCGCTCCCCCGCTCGCCCCATAAACATACAAACCTCACCTGCTCCTCTTCTCTTCTACACCCATCAGCCTGCAGCCCAGAACCCGCACTCTACAACTTCCCACCTACAAACCTGACACAACCACAGCACCATGTCGGACACCGAAGCCTCCAAGTCCAAGGCCAGCGTCGGATGGACCGACCGCCAGCGCGTACGTCTCCCTCGCCCCACCTCCCTCCCATCTACTAACTCCCATCCAGCTCGCGTACTTCTTCAGCCTCGTCGACTTCTCCAAGGTCAAGCTCGACTACGCCGTGAATCCCCCTCCCCCTATGCCTAACTACCTTCCCTTCTAACACCCCACCAGAACGCGCCCCGCCCCGAAGGCAAGTCCGTCGGCGCCTGCCAGATCATGGTCCACCGTCTCAAGGGCACGCTCAAGGATGACCTCGAGGCGCTGCGCACCGGCACTGCGATGCCCGAGGAGGCGCCCAAGAAGGCTGCTGGCACGCCCAAGTCCACGCCTAGGAAGCGCAAGGCCAAGGGTGATGCTGACGGCGAGGGAGAGGCTACGCCTACCAAGAAGGGCAGGAAGAAGAAAACTGCTCTTGCTGAGGAAGAGCCTGCTGCCGCTGATGAGGACGAGACCGAGCTCAAGGTCAAGGCTGAGAACGTGGACGAGGAGTTCAGCGTCGGTGATGACTAGGAAGTCGCTTGAGATGCATGATTCGCACAGAAGTTCCTTTTGCGTGTACGGAGCTCCGGCCTGCATCTTGGTCAGCGTTGGGTTCTTATACCGCCTCATCAGCTTCATCAAGATTAGCTGGCGCCCGAAGTGCTTCGCACGATTCTCAGCTCGGAGGAAATGTCCTATAGTCTGAAAGAGTTCATAATTCTATTAGCTTGGGAACATCAAATGAAGACTTGAACCAAAATATGCGACCTGAAGAATAACTCGTGTGGAATTGAAAGGGTATCTAAACTATGCAAAACTTCAAATCTGCGTGCTGCAGGACATGAAATGCGAGTGAACTGCCAGATGAGTTGTTAAATCTGCCGTAAATATCGAACTCTGATCATATTGGGTATCCCTGAGATCATCGAAGTCGCCGTAAATCTGCTCGATATGAATGATTTGTGACGGTAAGAAATCGTTGCTCGTGATGTCATCTCATACAATGCACAACTCGCTGCGAGCTAGATGAGATTACGAAATGCAAGTGCGGCTATGCTGCGCTCATCGCGTAAATTCAGGTTTCGTGGCTTTGTTGACGACTGGTGGTGGTCCATCGGTATCTGGATAAGGCAATGGTGCGCCTCGTGGTGGCCGTGGAAGTCCAGCGCTCGGCGGTGATGTGCGATGTGGAGACAAGGGTGCTGGTCTGAGGTCGTCTTGTAGTGGTGTCTTTGGTGGTCTTGGTGGAGCATGAGCGTGAGCATACTGTAGACGCTCCTCGAAACTCGGCGTCTCCAAGCTGACCATTGAGTCCGGCCGCCCTGTGTTAAATTGCTCGTCTGAGCGACGACCTGGCGAGACGAGCTCGCCTGAGTGTCGCGGTGGCAGGTCGTGCATGACTGGCTGTGGGTATTCATCTGAGGATATCACAGGGTACTTGTCGGTATCTGACTGCCGGTGTTGCTCCTGGAAAGAAATCTGGTTTCCATCGGGGTTGGTCAATCGGTATTCCGGTGTGACGTCCTCGGCTGGCAACTCTACAGCGAGCGGCGAAGGCTCGGGTACAACAGGTAAGGGCTTGTTCGGTGCTTGTGGTCCATCGTACGGCGACATCCCCTTTTGTGCGCGCTCCCAGCGTAGCTTTGCGAAATGTATCCGCGCGATCTTCGCGGCTGCGTCCAATGTCATTCCTTGCACAGTCTTCTCCGCAAGGTACATGCGGGTGTTGGTACTGATATCGGCCAGCGCATTCCACTCGTTCATGCCAAACTCGCCGACACCCACGTTGACGTTCAGCCGGTAATAGTTCTCCGGGTTGACGTGGCGTTTCGCTAGTTGGTCTTTCATGTCTTTGTGAGTCTTTTCGCAGTCTTCGATCTTCTGAATCAGCCTGCGCCGGGCTTCTGCAAAATCTCCAATGCCACCAGAGACAAACCCTTCCCACCAAAGATGCTGCTGTGCGTTTGTGCCATCCGGTCGCTTTCCGGTGCCAATACTGAGGAAAACTCCCACTTCGCGTCCAGGCCACTCATTGCAGACTGCTTCATCAAGCACCATGGGAGAAGGATTGTATTTGCCAGTGCCTTCGTCCAGGAACACCGATTGTCCGATCTGGATCGGCTTGAATGCTAGCGCTGTGGCAGATGTTGCGCGTCCGGCCTGCCATATGGTCGCATTAGGCTCTACTGGAGGCTCTTTGCGTGAGTCGTATGAGCGGAGCCAGATCTGGCCTGTACCAGCTTTCTTGGTACCCTTGTAAACTGCTGTGACGGCACTGTATCGTGTTAGAATAATCCTGATTGCACGAATATGGATCACCTACGTTTTAGTGCGCTCTTCTCGATTGTCGTAGAGTTGCGCGTGAGGATTCCCCCATTTCAGCGCGGCCATGCGCATGTTGACAGGCGCCGTCCCAATTTGGCTGTATTTGCTGGCGTTGCTTGCACTTCTTTCCACGCGTCGACCAGCTGATATGGCGCTGCCAGGCGTCATTGGTGTTCGTAGGTCTGCCGTTGATGACAACCCGTCGTATCTGTCGTTGCCTTCGTCGTCGTAAATGGTGTGTTCCCGCACGCATTCCATGATAGCCTCTTCCAATTTTGACGCCTTGAACAGCGTTGACCGGTACGGTATTCCAGCAAATGTCTTGTCCGTCTCGAAGACCTTCCTGGTCATGCGCACGTATACGTCCTTGCACGTCTCTACATCCATGCGCAGCCGCCCAAGCATTATAGCAATCAGCCCCCCGGTACCGGTTCCCGCAATAAGATCGAAGTGGTCGCATGGCTTTGGGACTTCGTGTCGCTTTGGCGCTCTTCCCTCGGTTTCGACAAATGTGCGGTGCATGAGCTCCTGGAGTATGATGAGCATCGAGTACCCTCGCACGCCGCCTCCATCTGCTTGCTGTTAGCTGTACTATTCGCAAATCTACAAGGCACTCTTACCTAGCGATAGGATCCGCAGCGGCGGTCCTTTTGTGGTATCTTTCCGTCGAATTCCACTGCCTGCCATCATGTCTGCGGTGGTGCACGCCGGCCGTTACTCCGCAAGGCGTGCAGAAAGCTTGGTATGAGGTTATTTGCGAGATAAGGTCAGGTGTTCAAGAAGGCGCGTGGTATAGCCAAGACTTCAGCTGAGCGAAAGTTTGAAGTGTGGCTTTGTCAGGCTATCGCAACTGCGTGCCCGTTGGTAAGTACTAAGCAGTGAGTCGTGGCTATGGTCGGATCCGCAGCCTTTGGACGCGCGCTTCGGAGCGCTCAGCGAAAGATGCAATGTGGTGAAGTTTGGAGAACGCGATAACGAAGGAAGGAACGTTTTAGAAGAGCGCAGAAGGCAGGAAGCACGTGGATACGAAGAGTCTTGAGTCTGGTTAGGCTCTTGGGTATTCACTCAGCTCCGACCAACAACGTCACTCGGTGGTCAACGGGCCAAGCCCCACCTGAGCACAGCCACTCGCTTCAAAGTTCGCAGCCAACAACAGCCCTGCAGGCATCGTGTTCCAAGCTCCATCCTAGCCAACGACCTGCCGTAGTTCAACAAATACCGGCTTGCGACATCTGTATCCGTGTCGTCTCCTGGATCGTCGGCCTTGCAGCGGGAACCTGCTGAGCCGCCTCGTCTTCAGGAACACGGTACCAAGCGCCAGTTAGCGAACACTCTGCCGCCCAATCAGGCTGTGATAGAACGTGTTTCGGATGGTCACGCTCGCAGAGCCTGTCGCGAACTCCGTGCGAATGATCTCGCCCCAAGTAAGCGCTCGAACTGCGAGCCCTTCGCCACCGAACTGCTCAAGAGACGGCATCCCTGCACAGACTCAGGAAAAGGACGGGAAGTTCCTAAGCAAGTGTGTCATGTTTGGGCTGTCTTTTTACGGGGATCTCTCTCTCTTCGCAAAGTCACGCTGGTCTCTAGCTTTTCTATTCAACAAGGGCTCCGTAGCATCCGGAACATAGTCCGTGAAGAGGCCCAAATACAGTTCGTGATATTCAAAGTCTTTGTTCTTGTTGCTCTCTGAGCAGACAGTCAAGAGACTTGCTGCTTGGTACGACAATACGAAATGTAGCAAGTTCTCAATACTTGTCGCACCAGGAACCACCGTAAGATTTACTCGAGACATTTCAAGTTCAAGGATCACAGGTAGTGAATATCTTGATCCCGTTGGCAATATGTGAAACAGAGCCAGAGCCGATCTTACTCGGGAACCTCACAGGTAAGATGTGATGCCAAGTCTATATGGTAACCGACAGGACTGTGCTATTATAGGGCTGTCTGATAGTAAATTCCCGGTGAATCAGAGTATGGGGTGATGGTGGTATACTGCTAGGTCGTACTGGCGTATTTTTGTGGCTACATACCTTGGCTTCGTTGGCCTGGGTAGTAAGTTTCATGTAGATAGACACGACAAAGAACTTTGCGCAGTAAGCGCAGCATTTCGAATCTCAGCTTGGCTACCAAATCGCATTGATAGTTCGCGGGCTACAGTTTCATGCCTAAGGCAATCCAAATTACGAAACTGAAACAGTCGCACACAATGAAGTTCATGCCGCTTTGCGCTATGAAACATACTCAAGAGATCTTTGCGGCTCATGAACAAGGACATTTTGATTGCAACCGCGGAGAATGATGGTGTTCGGAAGGTGCTCGTGCTTCAGTATCGCGCGATGTCGACATTGTGATGCTCATCACCGCACCTGATCTATTTAGCTCGGGATGATCATTCATGACTCACATTGAGTGATTCTCAACTGCAAGTTCTCAATATTCTCAACACAACATGCGCTTAGAAACCGATAGAGTGTCCAAAGGAATATCCGGGCAGTCTATTGTAGCTCTTCTAGTGTCATGCTGACAGGTGTTCGCAGCTGGTCAAATTCGGATGTACTCGATACTGTCAGGAAGATAAAGCTACACAACTTCAAAGCCTTGGTTGCGCGTTGTAGCATGCTGATGAGGTATCGATTCTCTCCACGCTTGCAAATGAGATGAGCGTTCTTACGAACATCTGTTGCGGTGGTCGATGTTACCACATGGTCACGTGGTACCTAGATAGGTAGCGCTTAGCGTTGCACTTGGCGTTGCGGGTCTGATCTCGCTTAGCCCACGACCTCCGCGAGACTGATTTTCGAACCTCTGAACGACCTCCAGGACAACCCACCGACTAGGCCGACAGCAACATCGAAAATGTAAGGACACCGACTCTTTCATCAAGTTCCCCTCGTCGAGAGACAATTCTGCGACTGCACACAATATCTCAGCTCGTGGCTGCTGCTCGACGAGCGACTCCCGGCGTGGCGAACCCCTCTTTGCAGAGCGCTCACCAGCACGTCTACAATTACGGATATGGGCACAGCGCTGACAGTGATTGCTCTACAGGGTCAACCTCCGCACTCAGAAGCGCCTCGCGGCGTCCGTTGTCGGCTGCGGCAAGCGCAAGATCTGGCTCGACCCCAACGAGACCAGCGAGATTGCCAACGCCAACTCTCGCCAGACCATCCGCAAGCTCGTCCAGGATGGCCTCATTATCCGCAAGCCCGTCACCATGCACTCGCGCGCCCGTGCCCGAGCCCTGACCGCTGCCCGACGAATTGGCCGCCACCGTGGTTTCGGTAAGAGGAAGGGTACTGCGGACGCTCGTATGCCTAGGTATGCAATCACGATATCCTCAGCACAGTGGATCTGGGGTGAAGGGACACCAGGATTGGTGTAGTGCTGTTAGGAAACGTTTGCTGATGCGATTGTCAACAGCCAAATCCTCTGGATGCGCCGTCTCCGTGTCCTCCGCCGTCTTCTCGTCAAGTACCGTGCCGCCGGAAAGATCGACAAGCACCTCTACCACGAGCTCTACCACCTCTCCAAGGGTAACACCTTCAAGCACAAGCGTGCCCTCGTTGAACACGTACGTTGGCCATGACATCATGACTTAGTCACCCCCCCCGCTTGAGGCCTGGGAACTGACATGTATTACAGATCCACAAGGCCAAGGCCGAGAAGGCTCGCGAGAGGGTCATCAAGGAGGAGATGGACGCCAAGCGTGCGAAGACCAAGGCCGCGAGGGAGAGGAGACAGGAGCGTGTGCAGCAGAAGCGTGCTGCGCAGATTGGCGACGAGGAGTAAGCGCTGGGCGACATGATAAATACCTGGCGTGGGTCTTTTTAAGGTTAAAGGAGGGCGTCAATCTCCTTTCTCTCTGGGCATCATATGCGGCGGTCATGTTCATGTACGTCTGGGTCATCTCTGAACGACTCTTCCACTCATGCATGCTCGACTCAAAAAGGCTGCCTTCTCTGCACACGGTGCTATGAACGTCCACATGATAGGATAATGAGCATCAGTACAGTAGAAAACGAGTGGTCAACCTTGGCGTTGGTCTTCTTTTCATTTTGTTCCATGTTGGCGAATCGTGATGCCCTTACTCGTGACTTGTAACATCTTCCTTTCTCGGATACTACATCATATCCACTCACTACTGGATCACTCAGTGATACTAAGCACATCAAATATCATGAAGAATATCATTTTATTGAAATGTTTTCCCATGTCGAGCCTGCCGGTTGTAAATGTTGCTGGATGCCAATCACGCATCGCCCCAACCACGCTATCCTAACCGTGGGTATTAAAACTCCTGAACCTGTACGCCTACGCCCGCTGAATGCAACGATGACAGCACAAACGAATTCAAATCTGCGTTCAGGTCAGCTAACGTCCCACAATATCACACATGATCCAACTCACCAGCCGCAGCGCCGTGCGATGCACGTTCCTCGTGAAATTGAGCATAGCCCTGCTCTTATTATTCCCCCTCTGCAGCCTGCGATACCCCTCCTGTACATGCGAAGGCTGCACCGGCTCCCTCGCCTCCTCGGGCGGATCAAACAGGCCACGCTCCCTCTTCCTCTTGAGCCGATTGACCTCGCCACCATGGCTCTTCTTCCACTGATCCTCTGCATCCTTGACCTTGAGCGCCTCTTCGGTGAGCGTCTGCACGATTTCGAACGTCAGGAAACCCAGGATGTCGATGATGTCGTCGGACGGCTTGCTATCGGTGATGAGCCCAAAGCCTGCCCACTCCTTGAACCGCTTGCCCTTGCGGTATGTGAAGGACGCTTGACGGCAGTCAGACCAGTGGACATATTCTTCGCGCGTCATGTTCTTGGTGCGCTCGTCGGCATTCTTGAGGCGCTGGAGTGTCGCAAAGTTCATTTCCTCTTCCTCTTCGTCCTCGACCTCTTCCATCATGGGCGGGAACTCGGTGAAGTACGAATGCACGTCCCAGACGAGATCGACTTTGGCGCGCTTGGTCTTTTTCCCGGCTTCGGGGCCTGCGGGGCCTGCGCCTACATCTGCGCCGGCTCCTAGGTCTGCGTCTCCGGCGGCGACGTCCGCGCCGGCATCGCCACCCTTGTCGTCGGAATCCTTGACGGAGCGGCGCACGTCTTTCCACTGAAGGAAGTGCTTTAAGCGCGAGATTTTGGCGCGGTCGTGCCTAATAAGCATGAATAGGTCGTCTGTGGAGATTGATTTGCTGCCGCGGCGGGTGGCGAGTGCAGTACATTCGCGGAGCATGTGCTGAACTTGGTCTTGGACAATGGACTCGATGAGTGTGGTTGTTTCTGGGGATGGGTCACCGGTTTCGCCAGAGACGAACATCATCTGTGCGATTGGGAGGATTAGCGGATTGCCGTTTATGTCTAGTGAAACTAAAAAGAAGCTGTCTGGAGTAGCACAGCGAGAGAGCGGAGGCGATGGTGGCATCGCTAAAGACATTTCAAAGAAGCGCTGGTGGACAGTTGGGGGAATAGTGGTGGGGTGGATGACGAGACTGAATATGAGTGTAGGACATGTGCATGGACGTATGTTGGAAAAGCTTTGAACAAGAAGCTTAGGGTAGCAGTTTTTGTGCAAGTTGGAGAGGCAATCGAAGGTGAAGCAGAGTACGGACCATGAATGTAGAGTGAAGTTAGGGGAACGACGAGCAGAAACTCGAGAACGTGCTGTGCCCCGCGCAAACCACAGACGAGGAGACATTGGGGAGTACACGAAGATAAAGAAAGACTTGAAATATGAAAAGTGATTGCTCGCATCTTGAAGAGGCGTGTATGCAGGTCGTCGCCTGAACGGGAAGTAGATCCAGAGATCGGTCCGCGACAGGCACAGCTTTCGGCAAGCCGATATGCTGTGCTCCCTTACGAGACGATTGCATCACATATGATAGAGAGAATTGCACGAGAAAGTGACAGGAACACGAAAGCCATGCACTAACCTGTTGGATCTCCGTCCGGTACTTTGCCAGCTTGTCCTTGTCCGCCATGATGTCTACTCTTCATACAACAATCTCTCCAAAATAATACAAAAAGGTTGACACAAAGAGACGTGACGTTCAGAGCATGCGGGAAGAGTCAGGAGGGAGTGGAGGCAGCGGGAATGGTCGTTTGGACAGCGGCTGGCACGCGGTCTCGCGGCTTCACTAGCGCGAATCCGGGCGATGCCTGCTGCGACGCCTTGGCTCAGCCCTACGAGCGGCCCCGCCAAAGTTTTGTGAATTTGCCACGGCTTCCCCACCACGACTGCAGTCACGCATCACACCCGGCAATATGTTGTACCTTGTGGGTCTCGGCTTGGCCGATGAGAAGGATATTACCGTCAAGGGTCTGGAGATTGTCAAGAAGGCCGAGCGCGTGTATCTCGAGGCATACACCGCAGTGCTGTTGGTCGAGAAGGATGTGCTTGTGAGTAGTCAATTGGGAGTTCAGGGGAGAAGAGGGCTAATTGTCACGACAGTAGGAAGCTTTCTATGGCCGCGAAGTCATTATAGCCGACCGTGAAATGGTCGAATCGTCAAGCGACGACATCCTCAAAGACGCCGACAAAGTAGACGTCGCGTTCCTCGTCGTTGGAGATCCATTTGGGTGCGTCCAGTCCAATTATGTTTGATGCCCTGAAGTCTAATTTGAGTATAGAGCAACAACACACACTGACCTCGTCCTGCGCGCCCGCGAACTCTCCATCCCCACTCGCTCGATCCCCAACGCCAGCATCCTGACCTCCATCGGTGCAACCGGCCTGCAGCTCTACAACTTCGGCCAGACCGTGTCGATGGTCTTCTTCCTCGACAACTGGAAGCCCGCATCCTTCTACGACCGAATCAAGGAGAACGTCTCAATCGGCCTGCACACCCTCGTCTTGCTCGACATCAAGGTCAAGGAGCAGAGTCTGGAGAACATGGCGCGCGGACGCAAGATCTACGAGCCGCCGCGGTACATGACGGTCGCGCAGTGCGCGCAGCAGATGCTGGAAGTTGAAGAGGATGACAAGAAGGAGGGTGTGTACACCAAGGACAGTCTGGCTGTTGGTGTGGCGCGAATTGGCGCAGAGGACCAGAAAATCGTCGCGGGGACGCTGGCTCAGCTGTGCGGCGCAGATCTTGGAAAGCCGCTGCATAGTCTGGTGCTCCTGGGGAAGAGGACGCATGATCTGGAGAGGGACTTCTTGGAGGAGTTTGCGGTGGACAAGGAGAGCTTCAAGGCGGTGTGGAAGCGGGATTATGAGGGTAAGGCGTGAAGAAGTGGTCACGAATCTAAGCTGTGCCTCATATCATCGTGGCATGAGACAGACCCCTTTGAATTCCAGCGACATGTGATGTATATACACTCCTGACTGCCCTACATTTGTGTGAGTACGGTCGCGGTCACGGCATGGAGCATTTCGAACATCACGGGTCCTACTTCGTGCCCAGGCTATTCCCTACCTCCGTCGTTTGAATCAATCATACTACGTGTGACGTGTGCTCCCAAACGCTGCCGGTCTAAGCTCCGTTCGCTGATCTCGGAGTGATATAAGAACATCATCTTTACATACCATCTCCTTTTCTCACACGAAAAACCTGCATCTCACCATAACGTCCAAAAATCCAAAACGAACTTCCGCATGTTCTCGAACTGACGAGTTCGACTTTTACCTCATGAGTGTTGTGTGCGCTCCTTCCAAAGGCTGTATCGCCAAAAAGGAACCAACGGGAGGCTGATGTATTCTGTCCCTTGGTGTGAGATGGCATTCAAAAAGAAATGGCGATAAACATCATGAAGGACAAAAGACAGATGCCTGTTCTCACATGTCTCCAAAGTTTAGCCCACCAGGCCTTCCTAAGGAACAATTTTCGACCTTCGCTATATCCCGTGTCCCTTGTTCCAAAAACCGGGAGAAAGATACTCTATGACCTGTTTCTGCACTTCACGAGCCCTCAAAATGCTCTGCATCCTCTCCTCGAATGTCCACGTCTTATCAAAAAGCTAGACGACAAAAAAATGTCTTTTCTGACAGGTTTGACTCATTCGAAAAGCACGTATCGAGACGAACTATGTGAAGTGTCGACCACGACAGACAGAGTTCGGACCTGCATAAATGCCTCTCTCCTCCCTCGAGCCTATTCCCTCATCCACTCGACTCTTTTCTCAAACTTCAAAACCAATGTGGTATCAGAAGATATGTCTGGATTGACGAGTTTGACTTCTACTTCATGAGTCTGTCTCTTATCCGCAATCTATCACAAAAATGGAATAACGAAGCTCTATGTTCTGTTTGCCTGCTGTGCAGTAGCTGTTCAAAAACAACCCGACAGCGCTGCTATGATATATCCCCAATCGTTGTTGGCTTGGGGTATGTGTTTCTTTCCTCCCCCCGGGTCTGAAAGGAGACACATCTTCAGTTTTGGAAGAGCTGCTTTTTGAAAGAATGGGCAACCCGCGCGCGCATTTTTTTTTTCTTCGAAAAGCACAGTTGCGCGACGTATGCTTTTGCGCTTTTCCGGGTCGAGTTAGAATGCCATGAAGAGTCGCAACATGTAGACTCTGCTGCTTCTTTTAAACATATGAAACAAAAACACTTCCAGTACCACTTCATGAAAGGCGCTGTGTTTGTCGGTGGGCTTCGGGCTTATAAACACCTCTAGGTATCGTCGAAACTGGTCCTTCAACTACCGTACTCTGGACCCCAAAAATTTCAAAACCTCGAAACGACGGCCTTAAGACATAGTCCCCCGGCCTTGCGCTTTGCTGCGGAGAGATGAGTTCGACTTCTACCTCACGCCCCTCCTCTCATATGGCGCCTCTTCTCCAAAATATCTAGGAGGCTCCAGTTACATGTCGTCCACAACCCATGTCTCATCAACCTACAAAAGATGCAACACGTCCGCATCATTCTTAATTCTCCTCCAAGCCCCGAGTCACTCTCCCAAACACCAGTGATGAATCTCAATGTGTCTGTCCAGACCTCTTTCCCACCTTTCTAAAATCCGTACATGCGCGCCCACCTGCTCCCAAAATGCAACATCAGCCTCCAAAATGTCTTCCTTGCTGTGCAGAAGTACCCAAACACACCTTCCATTAAAAAACCTACTCGCAAGACTTCTTTGCTCCACAACACCCGCGCATTTATCGCACACCCCGGCGCCGAATACTTCTTCTTCTCTACAAATACCTCTCTACGCGCCTCCCAGAAAAGAAAAGCGGGAAAAAAGTGGCATACGCCTTGTGCTTGTTTCAAAAAGCGTTCGTACCATGTACACATGTTCTGTTCTCTACTTTTTCTTTTTTTTTAAAAAAAAACTAGTTACAATTTACGACTCCCTCGTCCTTTCCTTTTCCACAGTGCAAAACAAAAACAAAATCGTTGTTACAGCGATCATATGCTCGAGACCAGCTGGCAAAGACGAATATCATCAAGATCCCATGTCCTCCCTTGTGTGCGTGTGCCCCCCGAAGAAAAAGAAAGAAGAAGAAGAAGAGAATCACATGATCTGCCATGTCTGTCAAACTTTCTACAAATCCAAAGACGCCACACTGTTGTGATCTACATGCATCAAAAGCACCACGTCACGCAGCGACTCATGTTATTCGGTATATCAATTCAATTCCATCTTTATCGCACCCACCCATAAGGGGAGAGAAGTTTGTATCGACATCGCTACACTATACAAGAAAGCGCTATGTCTAATGAATGATGCCAATCTTTTTGTTACAAGCCCTAGAAAAGCGAAAAATATGAGGGCGTGGATGGAGAAGACGAGAAGCGCTCAAAGTTGATACGGGACAGATATCGTACAAAAAGGAAGAAAAGGTGAAATATTCCATCGCTTCGGCATGTGTATCCTAGCCGTCAATATGGCAGCGCCTTTGCGCCTGTTGAAATTCGAAAAAGTCGGGTTGGGAGAAGTCATATCGCTTCTAGTGCTCCAGCACATCCAACAGCGTGTCAAAAACGTCGCCGTCTTCATCATCGTCATCTGAGGTATTGTTCAGGCGCGGGTTGCGATCGACATCAAACTCAGACTGCTCGTCATCATCGTCGTTCCCACTTTCACTCTCACTTTCGCTTCCAAAGCCGCTGTCGTCGCCCGAAAAGCTGGCTCCGATTTGAGCTTCAGCCTCAGCGTCGAGACTGGATTCCGAGGAGGAAGAATCGTCGTCATCACCATCCGTGACGCCACGCCAGCTCTGCTCGCCGTCGTCACCTTCGTACGCATCGTCGTCATTGTCGGGCTCTGTGTCGCCGCCATTGTTGTATCCTCCAAATCCAGCACCGCCAATGAATGGCCCCGAATGCGGCGTGGCATACGCGAATGGTGTAGACTTGCCTACTATCGCGACGGAACGCTGACTGGGTCGACTTGTCACATCCGAGCTCGTCCTTGCGAGGGCGGGCTGCGATGAATAGAATGGCGAAGGCGGTTCTCGCGAGCGCCGCGGCGTGGGATTCCACATGGTGATCTGCGCTTCGCCAAGGTCATTATCATCTTGATACGAGGGATTGGCGGTTCGGCGGCGCTTGAGTCTTGCGACAGACACGCTGGGGGTACGAGATGTGGGTTGCGGGGCGGAGGACTGCTTCGTTGGCGATGAATTGAAGCGACGTTTAGACGACCCAGTCACCAATGGCTCAGCAACTGAGGCAGATGTTGTCCGCTGACGGAAATGGGTAGGTCGTGTATGGAATTCACTCAGTGGCGAGATGGGTTGAGGCAGCTTGTTCTTCAGGATCGAGCTCGGCGTCATGGATCTTCTCCATTGTCGATCTGCTGGACGCATGGAGAGCTGCATCGAGTGAGAGCTGTCGAACGAAGAGTGAACACTAGCCGGAGGTGCATCGTATGCCTCGACGTATTGCCAGCATGTCTCTTTGGCGTCTGCTTCTGGAACCTTGGTCTGACACTGTTCCTCGTTGCCTTCCATCTGCGAATCCTGTTCTGGTTGGTAGCGAGGAAGCTGTCGTAACTCTTGCCAGGTCCACGTGCTTCCCAAGTCATCACTGTGCTGGATATAAGCCTCGCGTTGTGTGACATACAGTCTCTTCCTGCCACCAGACACCCGCATCATCACACCGGATCCAAGAAACTGCGCCGACCATAGTGCGGACGTAGCCATTTCTGCAGGGCTGAGGAAACGAAGCTTGGAGTCTTTGTGAACCTTTCGCAGGGGAATGAAAGAAGCCTGAAGGCCAGGATACGCCGTGACGACGTCATCTCCATCTTGATTGGTATAGCTCAGATGCTCCAGGAGGTCGCTGAAGGCATGCGAAAGCGTTGCCTGAAGATCCCTCGCACTCGCGCCCTTCAGAGTGACGTCTCGAATAAAGCCACGACTCTGTAGTCGTTTGTAGACCATGTTATTGCTTCCACATGCTTTGGGGAACAACCAATCGTCCGCTGATCCAGAGGCCCAATCACTAATAGCTTGGCTGCTCCAGCCTTCGCTGTCGCTAATGATTCCTCCTCTTGACATAGTCTGTGGGCCATGGTATGGGCTCGAATCGGTTTCTCGGATTGGCACATCTGCCCCACCAAGCTTCGAATTGCGCGCTTGTGTCCACTCCTCCGATTCCTGAGTAGCTTTGGATATATCGTGCATGGGCTCGTCGGGTGTGAACCATATTCCACGCAGGTCGCGACCCCAGGGAATGAGGACAACCTCGACCTCCCAAGGCTGGAAGGTAGAGGGCAGAGCGGCAGACTCAAGCACATCTAGTCGGTCCTTGATGTTGCTAAACTCCATCTCTGTGTCTTTGCGATCCATGGCAGCCAGGATCAGTGCTGAAGAGGTGGTGGACTGCAAGGAGTGGTTGGAGCCAAACGACCCTGTAATATTGTCAATGCGTCGCCTGTATGTGGTGCTGCTTTGATCGGCGTCGATGGCTTGGTGATGTTTGTCATGTTCGTCCATGCGGTGCTCAAGCTCAATCAGCCGATCGTCGTGCATGCTGAGCATTTGATTGAGGTCTTCCGGCTGGACGTAGTTGAACGAGCCGTTCTCTAGCATGTCCAAACGGTTGCCCATGTCCCTCATTGTGTTGGCTACGTTTGGGATCGAGTTGAGGAGGTTGTGGAGCGGTGCGAGATATGACACCAGCTTTTGCAGTGCTTGAGGAGATGCAGCGCGTAGAATTTGCTGCAGTTGTTCCTGAGCCTGAGGGGCGGCGGGCGAGCGCTGGGAAGTGGGAGCAGATGTGGCGTCCGTTTTTCCAGGGGAGCCATTGGGCTTCTGCATGTTCGACGTCAGTCGCGTGAGTGTATCAATGAGATTCTTGCCCTCTTGGACTGCCTGATCTGCGACACCGAGGTCTGGTGTGTTTGCTATGCTTGGAGTCGCTACTTCGGTAGCGCTCTGTATGTAATCATCTGGGTTGTACGTGTTGGGAATGGTATCACCGCCAACATCGAGCTGTAGGTTGCGATTGAACTCAGAGACTTGGTCCAGGATACCACGCGAAGGGCTTGTGACTCTATTGGCTTCAGCCGCATAGGAATTGGCCCTTGTTGAGGATATTTCCGGTTCGCTGAGCGGCTGTTGTAAGGCAAGGGCACCATTCGAGTCGTCTGCTACGGTGGGAGAGGGCGACTGCTGCCGATGAAGCGCTCCATTGCTCTCGAGCTGCATCATTGACAACCCTAGACCCGCGATTGTCTGCCGCGACTGCATCACATCATACCTAGCTTCAGGGTCAGCTGCTGGACGTTCGCCACGGGAGAGCATGCACACGGAAGGAATGCTCGGCAAGCCAGTCGTGCTGGCTTGCGATGGAGCGTCCCAACCTTGTTCCATGCGACGAGGTCCTTGAGCTGGCGAAGCGTTTTGCCGCAGGAGACGTTGGCTGACTCCAGATTGCAAGGCCTTGTATTGTCTGTTGTATGGGGCATGGTCTGCAACATTTGTGCCATGCCCGTCTAGAAGCCCGATCGCATTGTGTATGTCGCATTGCGCGCCTGGTAGCAATTGGCACTGCCCGCTACACTTTGCAGGCGTAGCTTGTACAGGCGTAGCGACAATGGGCACATGCTGTTCGGGCGCACGCGACCCCCTCAGGTGGAAGCATGCGTGGTGTCCGCAGACGCACCAGGTGGAGCGATCTCTGCTCGGGTTATCATTTGCGCTCTCTTCGTGAAGCTCGGCGCTGAGCTTGTCCCAGAACTGGTCACATCCACACGGGCCAAAGGCTGCGTCGCGGTAATTGCATGGTCCGCTGGGAAGGGATCGTCTCGTGGAGGGTGTGCGCGCAGCATTGGGTGCTGCGGGTTGGTTTACATGAGCCGTACTTGGGTCCGCATAGCCCGCCATGGATGGCTACAGCTGCGCATCCCGTGGAGGACGCGATTGTTCTACGATTGCGACATGTCTCGGGATCTATGTGAGCTTCGAGTCCGTCAGCAACAATGTCCAGAAAGTTTTGGCGGGGGCCGAGCGCGTACCGAGAAAGCGCGAACGTCATGCGAAGGAACGCGATTCCTTCGAGGCGGGCGATGCGGCTTTATGTGTCTCGGGGCGGAACGGGTGACGCGATCGTGTGGGTGTGTGGAGTGTGGAGCACTCGAGGAAGGAGCAAAGGAGGCCGTCAACAGAGCAAGTCGCATACCCAAGGCCAGGTTGGTGACTCTGCAGCTACGGCATGCGGGCCCTCGCAACGGTCTAGTGAATGCCTCAAACACGTCCAGGGCTGCACGCCTCCCAAAAAGCTCCTTATCGGCGCTTCGTCTGATAGGCCCTCAGCCCTGGGAACTCTGGGGGGATCGGGAGGGCCATAGTTTAGCTCGCCCCCACCCCTGCATCCCTTTGGTAACCATGAGAACGTGGACATGGCCGCCATGAACCACCTCGAAAAGCAAGCGACCCGATGCTCCACCTGAGAGACTGAGACAGCACACACGCGCGCATCCTGCAACCACAACATGCGCTCAGCTCGTCAAGGCAGCAGCGCATCTTCTCAAACGATAGATTGCGCGACAAGTCACTTTTGTTGCCCTTCTCTCCGGCGCACCTGCTGATTGGTCTACTCGAAGGACAATCCCGCCGCTGCATGGTAGAACAGGCGGGACCATGGATAGCTGCATGTGGGCGACTACTAGAAGCAGATATCGGCCTGGCTTTGGGCGAGCATTCGCAAGGCAGAAACTTCCTACGTGACCTGCTGTCGTCAGCGCTGCGTCTGCATGCGTCTACATGCGCCTACAAGGGTCTGTATTGGGAAAGAAGGCGAAGCGACTCGTCGCATTGTCGCAAGAAGTGGTCGTCTATGCGACGTATGTGGAAATGCGGCAGATTAGTATTCACTTCATTCCTAGCAGCCTTGAGCAGCGACATGCCCCTCTTCCCAATTCTGTAGAGCACAGTTGGTGTGTGACATTGGCTGCCATTTGCTACTGTTGTGTGTCCATGTACGACCATCTCCAGCGGCTCCAGTGTGTTCCTACATGGTCCGTCCGTCAAAGGCTAGTGCATGTTATATACACCACTACTACTACGCTTCAGTCCTGCTTCAAGCAAGTTGCAAGCCATTCACTTCAGGCCTGAACCACTCCTTGAGCAAATCCTCCAGGATTCCATTCGCACCTTCTTTTGCCTCCGCACTACTCTTGCCCTGGCACTCGATATAAAGCTTGATCTTCGGTTCCGTCCCGCTCCCTCTGACTGTGAAAACGGCTCCATCATCTAGCTCGCAAGTGATCATTTGGCTCGTCACGTCTACCGGCAGATCTGGTTTGTGGTCCTTGCTCTTTGAGTCATAGCCAAGGGTCAGATCGCGCCAGCGCATGATCTTGCGGGGTCCGATGGTGGTGGGATGCGGGTTGCCCAATGCGCGGATCGCCGTGAAAACCGATGTTGTCACGGATGAGGATGGTGACACGAGGTACGTGTTCGCGTCTTCAAAGTACCCCAGATGCTCGTAGAGGCTCTGAAGCTTGGCATATGGCGTCAGGCCTTGCGTAGACCATTGCGACGCAGCCGTGAGAAAGACTGCTGCTGCGCTGATCGAGTCTTTGTCGTGCACAGTCTGAGGAATCATGTAGCCCAAGGCTTCTTCGAACGCGTACACCACATCGTAGCCTTCGCTATCTAGATCTCTTGCAACGTTACCCAACCACTTGAAGCCCGTCAAGGTCTCGGTGAACTTGAATCCTTCTTTGTTTGCCAAAGCCGCGAGCATCCTAGAGCTAACAGTGGATGCTAACATGGCGAGCTTTTCTCGGGGCTTTGAAGACGGGTAACGTTCGTAAAGGTAAGATCCAAGGAGCACACCCAATTGGTTACCTGTGAAGATGTGCCATTTGTCGTGTACCTTCTCCGCTACCGCGAGCCGGTCCGCATCCGGATCGCTAGCCAATATCAAGCTGATCGAAGATTGATCTGCCGTCTGAATAGCCAAGTCGAGGGCTCCCTTTTCTTCTGGATTCGGGAATTTGACGGTCGGGAAGTCAGGATCGGGTTGAGCTTGAGCCTCCACAACAGTCATCTGCGAGGCTATTCCCAGGGTCTCGGCGCATTGAGTCATCGCTGGTAGACCCACGCCGTGCATAGGGGTATACACGAACCTCAGGTCGGGGCTCATTTTGATGTGAGAACCGTCAGGCTGGGCGGCGCATAGGATTGCTTTGTGGTACTTGTCCTTGACCAAATCTAGGGAGCCCTCAACGAGTAGGTCAGGATTGTCCACAACAGATGTGTCCCACGTGACGGGCTTTAGGTTTTCCAGTATAGAAGCAGCAATGCCACTGTCATGTGGAGGGATGATTTGGCAGCCATTTGACCAGTACACCTTGTAACCATTGTCTTTGGCGGGATTGTGGCTCGCCGTTACCATGATTCCAGCAACAGCGTTCAATTCTCGTACACCAAACGGAACCAAAGGCGTGTGAGAAGGTGTTTCGTACCACCAGACCTTTATACCTTTGGCGACAAAAGCGGCTGCGGTGAGTTTGGCGAATTTCTCAGAGTTGTGGCGAGCATCCCGACCGATTACAACTCCACGCTTCTTGACATTCTGCTCTGTCTTGAGGAGATAGGCTGCTAGTCCCTGAGAAGCTTGTATGACTGTTAGTGAGTTCATACAGGCGAACCCAGCCTGCATGGGGCCTCGCAGACCGGCGGTCCCAAAGGCGATCCGAGTCCGCAGTCTTCTCTCTAGCTCTTCTGTATTCCCGTGCATAAGCAGCTCATATATCTCATCTGTCGTGGTTTTGTCTTGGTCGAGCTCCAGCCACTCCCGGGCTAGCTGTTTGATGTCCTTAGCCATGCTGTCTAGATTTGTCGACGTAATGAAGAGAAAGACAAAGAGATGTGAAGGGCTTAGGAGGTAAGTGGGCTATAGTTCGTGTTCAGGAGACTTCAAGTGAGGTGATGGAGCAGCGAAGGCCTTGCAAGGCGTGTGATCGGAGTTGGCCGACGAGCGCCAAACTGGCCTATATGTGGGCTGTCGCTGCGCTTACAAGAGTGGCAAGTCGAGTTGATCATTCGCCATGCGACAAACAGTAATTCTGTAGCTTGTCATTACACATGTGCTTCACATGCTTCGAAGTGGTGGTTGTGCAGGAGCCGATCTGCCTTGGTTCCCACGTGGGGTGAGGTGGCGGCGAACGAGGGACGTCCGAGCTGCTGAACCCTGGGGAAAGCGTCCAACACCGACATTTTGACACTTGACCCATTCGTCTGGTCGCAAGCCGCATGCTACCGCGCTCCTTCTCGAACTACAGGTCGGCGCTACTGGTGGTCTGATACTCGTACGATTTCGCATAATTCCATTCAAGGCCTCGACGCCCGTCCCTGATCGCAATCGTGCCTCCACTTTGTAACATTCCACCTACAATGGATGCCCAGACGAAGAGGAAGGCTATGGTGTACAGCCGTAGAGAGATCGAGGCACTAATCGCTGCTGGTCGGTCAATTGTCATCGTAGACAACAAAGTCTTGAAGGTGGACGCTTGGATGCCCTACCACCCTGGCGGGGAAAAGGCAATCCAACACATGGTTGGCAGAGATGCTACAGACGAGGTGACGAGGTACGATTGATACGAAAGCTCATCTTAAAATCCTTCTGATCAATGTTCTGCAGGTTCCACTCTAACGAGACTCTCAAGCTCATGGAGCGCTACCAAATCGGCCGAATCGACGGGCGGTGGACGAACTTCCTACCACCGATCCAGGGTGGAAGGTTCAGGACACAAGAAGAACTAGAGAACATCTCAGAGCAGGATTACGAAACAACAACATTGTCGGAACAAGATACGGCTAGCTTGCCATCGTCTGCCGACCAGAGCCCAATTTTTGAGCCTGCGGACCACGTCTCTACATTACGACAAAGAAATGAGAGCACCATGCACCGAACATCTTCAACCTCGTCCGTCTCTTCGGTTGATTTAGATGAATCATATACCTCCAAGAAAATGTCTGTGTTGGACAGACGGACGCAACAGGAGCTGGACTTCGACAAGGCGAAGTACCCGTCGTTGGACACACAAACACAGGACAAGATCACCGAGAAATACCGAGAGCTTCAGAAGCGCATCAAAGCAGAGGGGTTGTATGATTGCAACTACATGTCCTACGGCATTGAATGTTTGCGATACGCGACATTCTTTTGCGCTTTCTTGTTTCTGCTCAAGTCAGGCTGGTACATCACAAGCGCAATACCACTTGCATGCTTCTGGCACCAGTTGACATTTACGGTACACGATAGTGCCCATATGGGCATCACTCATGACTTCATGACCGACTCAACGATCGCCATGTTCATCGCATCATTCCTGGGTGGTCTCAGCGCTGGCTGGTGGAAGCGCAGCCACAACGTGCACCACATCGTTACGAATGATCCGGAACACGACCCGGACATTCAATATATTCCGATCTTCGCCGTCACGCACCGTTTCCTCCATAGCCTCACGAGTACGTACTATGAGAGGTTCATGGAGTATGATGCCGTTGCGAAGGTACTCATACGGATCCAGCACTACACTTACTACCCTGTCATGGCTGTTGCAAGATTCAATCTCTATCGACTAAGCTGGGAGTATTTGCTTGGGAACAAGGCACCAAAGAAAGGTCCGGCATGGTGGTTCCGCTACTTTGAGATGTGCGGTGTCTGCTTTTTCCTGACTTGGTACGCATACGGCGTTGTGTACAAGTCTATGCCAGACAACGCCACTCGCTTCTGGTTTGTGCTTCTCAGCCACGCCCTCACCTCGCCGCTGCATATTCAAATCACGCTCTCGCACTTCGCGATGAGCACCACAGACCTTGGTGTGCACGAGTCTTTTCCACAGAAAATGCTGCGCACAACAATGGATGTCGACTGCCCTCAGTGGCTTGACTTTTTCCATGGAGGTTTGCAGTTCCAGGCTGTACACCACTTGTACCCGAGAGTACCCAGGCACAATCTCAGGAGGACGCAGAAGCTTGTGCAGGAGTTTTGCGACGAGGTGGACATTCCGTATGCGCTGTATGGATTTGTCGACGGGAACAAGAAAGTCATTGGCAAGTTGGCAGATGTAGCTCGACAGGCTGCCATCTTTGCCCAGTGTCAACGCACCCTGGCTGCGGAAGGGGACTATGGTCTTCATTGAGCGTTGCGCAGCAATCATAGTATCGGAACATCAATAATTTTCAACTACGTCAAGCTCGATCTCATCTCACAGGCTTCCTACCACAAACAGCATAAACCCAGAAAAATCCCCTGTACTTCTGCCACTCTTGCTTCACCTTGTTCGCGCCTTCGACTCCCTTTTCGATATCCTCTTGACTCACCTCATTCTGTCCCTGTCCCAGCTTACGCATTGACACAAGCATTGACGCCCCTATGCCTATGGGATAGTGCTCGCCGAATTTCCTCTCGGCTTCCGTCATGCCCTCCCACTGTCCCATTGGGAGCATATAACGTTTGATCTGCACGTCCTCAAGGCCGGCTTCTACGAACCAGCGGGGCAATTTCTCGCCGCACAGGGATTCCAAACCCTTAGTTCTACAAAGTCGGTAGTTTATGGTAATCTATTCCTCCTCAATGCGCATGGCGTCAGCAGGGTGAGATTTGTTCTGGTATTCCGAGAGAGTGAGGGAGTGCGGGTTAAGGTTAGCACGATCAGACAGAGTCAACGGGTCTGGAACGTGGTGCAGCGCCAAGTTGATATCGTGCATTTCAATCCACGCCTGATTATATCGTCAGCCACCTCACCTGTGACCGAGAAGGGTATCAATACTCCAGGTTTCGCCAAAGCAACGCAGCGCGCGATGTACCCTTCCCAGTCCGTCATACCCACGACTAGGAAGCGCGAAAATATGTAGTCAAAACTATTGTGCTTGAAGCGAGCATCTGGCTCGTGGGGGGTCGCTATATCGATGATGTTCCCTTGGACATACTCGATGTTCGGCAGTTTCTCGCGGATGTTGGGCACGGGGGACAGATCCAGACCATAGACTTGTGCGTCGGGGAACTGCGATGCTATTTCATGTGTTACTATCCCCGTGCCGCACCCGATGTCAAGAGCTTTATGGACGTTCGTGGCTGACAAAGGGGCGTGGATGATACGCTTGCCCATCAGTTCGAAGATGCACTTGGATTGGGCTTCGAGTCTGTCATGTTCGGGTTTGCTGAGTACGGGGTCAGTGATCTGGTATGACGGGACATGGATGTATTGGAGCAATTACTCGTTCGGCAGGATGTATGCTGACTTGGTGTTATGATATGACCGCTCTGGGCCCAGGCTAGTCTCAAAGGTAGATGCCATTGTAAGTGCTTAATATGATTGCGTATTATGTTGTATATTCAACTCGCAGTCTTCTAGAGATCTGAGAACTGATGCCCACATCTCACCTCTTCTTATACCTCAAGATGAGCATATCCTCGGCCTTTTTCTCGTCCCGTGCGAGGTCTTTCTCAATGATAGTCGGGCCTTGCTGTAGTTTACTTGAGGTAAATATCATATCGCCGTCCAATTAGGTAGATCTACCCCTGGTACTTTCCGGGACAGAGCTGACATCTGTCTGACACCTCTCCGGTGAGCTCTCATAGGATGGATGATGAGGTTGGCGAGAAGTACATACACGCACTAGCTTCACAAATACAAGCCTTACCGTGGCGGTTAGTGAAACCTTATTATGAGCTGCGGAGCCAGCTCTTAAGTCAAAGTTCGGTCTCTTCGGATGGTCGGTCTTCGTATCCGCAGGGTTCCGTGTAGTAGCTTGTACACGGCAGTTTTATGACCCCTCACGATGTGCGCACCCTGGTGTGGAAGTAAGTAACTGCCCGCATCAGACCTGTACACGTGCTTGCTGCTTATGTCAGAACACAAGAGATGACTTGACGTGTACATGTCAAGTTGGTCGCGCGCTGGTTGGCTGTGAGAATGCGTTCCGCTGCTAGCCACATTGAGACAGCTGTAGTGGGGTCTACCATCAGTTCATCGTCATGGGTCCCGCAGTGGACTGTTTTCCACCACAGCAACCGAGCACTCCCGTTATGATGAAATAATGCGTACAGTAGCACGACGCGTTTGTCAAAGACCAATGGCACGGCTACGAACGACAAGAAGGGCTTGCGCTCTCGACCGCGACCGTCACCAGCTGCCAACTTTTGAACCCACTGCGCCTGGCCCTACAAAAGGCTCAGAATCCTTTGTCGTTCAAGAACTGCTCGTCATTACCTCCTTCTTGCCATAATTAATACAAGTCTTGCGAATCCCGCAAGCTCATTACTTGTACATTCCTGACCACTCTCACCTGCAACATCGCGCGTATCCCAGCTGGATACACGCATTGTCTTCTTCACACTCTATCATGGACGCAATGGCCGCGAAAGCGCCTGTGGACCCGGAGAAGGTAGTCGAAGACGTCGAACACCTCAGTCTCTCTCCATTCGGTCCCGCAAGAGCCTCTATCACCGAGCACCCATTGACCGACGATGAGGTCTCGAAGATGACCGACTACTTCCATGCCAGCATGTACATGTGCTTGGGCATGATTTACTTGCGAAGAAATCCGCTTCTACGTGACCCGTTGACGCTGGATCATGTCAAGCGACGACTTCTGGGTCATTGGGGCTCCGACTCTGGACAGTCTTTCACATATATCCACATGAATCGCTTGATCAAGAAGTACGACCTTGATGCGATCTTTATTTCGGGGCCTGGACATGGCGCACCTGCCGTCCTGTCGAACAGTTTCTTGGAAGGAGTCTACTCAGAAGTCTACCCAGATAAGAGTGAAGATGAAAATGGTATGAGGCGCTTCTTCAAGTCGTTCTCTTTCCCCGGTGGAATCGGATCGCACGCAACCCCTGAGACTCCCGGTAGTCTTCACGAGGGTGGAGAGCTTGGTTACTCGATTTCTCATGCTTTCGGCACTGTCTTCGATCATCCCGATCTGATTGCTCTCACGATGGTTGGAGACGGCGAGTCTGAGACAGGCCCGTTAGCCACTAGCTGGCATTCTACCAAGTTCCTCAACCCAATTACCGATGGCGCTGTTCTACCAGTGCTCCACTTGAACGGTTACAAGGTAAATACGCGATTCGTGTATGGGCGACCTTTTGCTAATTGTGCCAGATCAACAACCCTACCGTACTCTCGAGAATCAGCCACAAGGAGCTCGAAGCACTGTTCATTGGTTGCGGATGGACTCCTTACTTCGTTGAGGGCAGTGATCTGCCTTCGATGCACCAAGCCATGGCTGCAACGATGGAGCGTTGTGTTACAAAGATTCGCGAGTACCAGAAGGAGGCTCGTGATTCAGGCAAAGCGTTCAGGCCTCGTTGGCCCATGATTGTCCTGCGCACACCAAAGGGCTGGACCGGACCTCGAAAGGTCGGAGACCACTTCTCGGAGGGCTTCTGGCGAGCTCACCAAGTGCCTCTCACAAACGTACTCAAGGACAAGTCCGAGCTCAAGCTCCTCGAACAGTGGATGCGCAGTTACGAACCCGAGAAGCACTGGGATGAGAACGGCAAGCTCAAGCCTGAACTTCGAGAGCTCGCGCCCGAGGGCAATCGACGAATGTCGGCGAACCCAGTCGCCAACGGTGGGCTCATCCGAGGCAAGTTACACATCCCTGACTTCCGCGAATATGCCGTCGAGGTCACAAAGGGAGGCGTCGCGAAGATGGGAAGCATGGCCAACTTTGCTGGCTTCCTGCGCGATGTGATCCGAGATAACCCAAAGACTTTCCGCGTCTTCGGCCCCGATGAGACTCAATCGAACAAACTCGACACGATCTATGAGGCTGGCAAGAAGGTCTGGATGGGTGAATACTTCGAGGAGGACGAGGATGGTGGCAACCTGGCATACGAGGGCCGTGTCATGGAAATGCTCTCGGAGCATACTGTTGAGGTACGTGAGGGTTCATATGTGATGTTTGATCTACTAACATCTTCTAGGGATGGCTCGAAGGCTACATTCTGTCCGGTCGTCACGGTCTGCTGAACAGCTACGAGCCCTTCATCCATATCATCGATTCCATGGTCAACCAACATTGCAAGTGGATTGAGAAGTGCCTCGAAGTCGAATGGAGACAGAAGATTGCTTCGCTCAACATCCTTCTCACAGCCACAGTCTGGCGACAGGATCACAATGGCTTTACTCATCAAGACCCCGGCTTCTTGGATGTAGTCGCGAACAAGAGCCCTGAAGTTGTACGCATCTACCTTCCACCAGACGCCAACTGCCTGCTTTCCACAATGGACCACTGCCTCCGCAGCTCCAACTACGTCAACGTCATTGTCGCCGACAAACAAGAGCACCTCCAGTTCCTCACCATGGAGCAAGCAATCGCCCATTGCACAAAGGGCGTCGGAGTCTGGGAATGGGCCTCAAACGACAAAGGCGAAGAGCCTGACGTCGTAATGGCCAGCTGTGGCGACACTTCCACCCACGAGGCACTCGCAGCCACAGCCCTGCTCCGCCAACACCTCCCCGACCTGAAGATCCGCTTCGTCAATGTCGTCGATCTCTTCAAGCTCATCGACTCCAGCGAGCACCCCCACGGCCTCAAAGCCCACGAGTGGAAAGCCATCTTCACCTCCGACAAGCCGTGCATCTTTAACTTCCACTCCTACCCATGGTTGATTCACCGCTTGACATATGGCCGCAAGGGACAGCAGAACATGCTGGTGCGCGGATACAGAGAGAAGGGTAATATCGATACGCCGCTCGAGCTGGCGATTCGAAACGGTACAGACAGGTACAGCCTTGCGATTGATGCTATTGATCACATCACTACGTTGGGTAACAAGGGCGGCTCTGCGAGGGAGGCGCTGCTTAATGAGCAGATCAAGGCGAAGAATTACGCGTACCATGAGGGGCTGGATCCTAAGGAGACGGAGGACTGGGTGTGGCCTTTCTAAATTTGAACGGGTAGGGTTGGGAAGGGTATGGAATACCTTTCTCTTTTCGCACACACGGATGGGGTAATGTAATGGGTATAGACAATGAATTTAATGATGAATATTTGTGAATACGCATTGCTTTGCCATGCAACCTCCACTTCTATTATTCACAGGGGCCGATTTGACTGCAGACGACGCGTCAAGGCCACAAAGCCCAGAGCCTAAAGCTGTATACAGTACCGTCAGGTTTGGAGCACGATATCAACGCTCTGTATACAGCTTCAGGCCCATTAGATACGCTGCCTGCTCTTGCAGCCTAGTTGCTTTCCATCGTGGTTGCTGTCCTGCAATACAGCATGTTTGCTCTTCACCCAAAGACACAAGATTATACCCAAAATCTACCACCTTACCACCTACCACCATACCTCAATCCACCCGGTCAGCCCCACAGCCTCCCCCAAAGAACCATCACACCTGTGAAATTCGTCCAGCCTTCACTCACCCAAAACCCATCCTTACTCTTCAAAAACTTAGCCAACCAGGCTGTGTCAAGGGTGTGTGTGTGTCCATCAGCAAAAAAAGAATGACTCCCCCGGAAAGGCTCGAACTTTCAACCTCCTGATAAGCTCGCAAGGATAACAGTCAGACGCGCTAGCCAATTGCGCCACGGAGGATACATGTGAAATGTAACCGAGGCGCTGTAATTGCGCCGTGGCTTTTGATGGTGGGTTCTTCAAAAAGATAATATATATTGACAGCTTTTGCCATCTCTCCCGGAGAGTTGGTTTGGGGAGAATTTGGTGTGTCACAAATGTGGGACGCTTGATGGTGGGGTTGAGGGGGCCGAAAATTGGAACCGAATGGGACGATGGCCGATGTATTGCCGACCTTTTTTCATGTGGGTAATGTACGTTGTCGCCATGACTTTTCCTTACTCGGCCTCGGGTTTCAACACTACGATGCCGTAGGGATCGCGATCGACTTCGCTGACAATGACTTCAAAGTCCTCGTCTGCCAGCGCATCCTTCAACTCCTCCTTACCTATATTCTCCTCCCGAACCTGACTCCACTCTGTCTCTACAGCTTCCTCCAACTGCGCCAGCAGCACTTCAGCCAAGAAGCCACGCTCGGAATTACTATGGAACAGACTGATGACTACCTGGCCCTTTTCGATGGCGGCTAGCGCTTCGTGATGGCTCATTTCACCGGTGAAGAGGAGATCGACTTCGAGGTCGCCTAGCAGAGAGCCGCCTGAGCCGGCGCAGATGCCGACGCTGCGGATCTTGATGTCAGATATGGTGGCATTTTGGGGGATGGCGATGGGGAAGCCTTTGGGGTTGTTCAGGCCCTTGCCTATGCGATCGAGTAGCGCGGGGAGCGGTTGCGGCTGGCTGAACTCCACGATGCGACCCATGCCTGCGCCAGGATGCGATTTGATCTCGGGCGACTGGGGCTTTACTGGCCGGCGAGTATGTGAGACTGAAGCAGTGGTAGCCGTTGTGGCAGGCAGCTTTGCGGTGCGTAGCGTGGTTTGGCTGGGGTGGTGGTTCAGCGTGAATGCAGGCCGCTTCTTCTCGATGAAGGGGTCGTCTGCATCTGGCTTGTCGCCTTGCTGGCTTGATCCAGCCTCTGAATCATCCTCACTCAAGGCCTTCTTAGTGCCAGTAACAATGTCTGCTAGCCAGTCTCCGAGCCCTCCTGGTGCGGAGTCCACGGCTGTATGTGGGCTGTACACGCTGATGCCATGACTAGCCAGACGCAGCAGAGTCTGCTGCTGTGTATTCGCAAGCGTGATCGACTTGAGGCCTCTGAATATAATTGGGTGGTATGCAATGATGATCGACGAGTTGAGCGCAATGGCTTCATCCGCGACAGCTTTCGTAAGGTCGATAGTGAGAAGGACGTTGTTCGATTGGCGACGAGACGCAACGAACGGAGCTTCCAGGAGCAAGCCAGTGTTATCCCAAGAGTTGTCTGCCAGAGCTTGCGGGTAGCTGTTCGCCGTCAGTAAACAAAATCATTGACGCGCTCCAATGTCTCTGCAAGACTCACAGCTTCTTCATAGCCCTGACCACCGCATTAGAAAACGGCGCACTCGTCGCCATATTCGCACTCATCGCATGTGTAATCGACCGTCTCAGCGTCGGCGCAAACATGTAGTAGTAGCCCTCGACAACGCCTTTCCCAACCTTTGCCAATCCAAAAGTCGCGCCTGGACCCTGCATCTCCCCACCCACACGTCATCGCCCGAAGCGACACATCGTCCATCTTATCAGATTGATACGACTCCGCTCCGAATATTGCGCGCGCAGCGGACACAAATTCACATGGACCCCAGACACACGCTCTACAAAACTTTAGAAACACTTGCTGTCGACCCGGAAGATACGATGAGTGCACCGACGGATCAGCAGGCGGCGCCGTCTTCGGGCGTTACGCCCGAGGGCATTGAGAAGAAGTTGAAGGAGGGATTGGGCGCAGTGTATGTGGAGATTGCGGATTTGAGTGGTATGTTGCTTTTTCCCCTACGTTTTCATGCTCTTCTATCTGGGGTTCCAGTGTTGTTTATTTCCGTTCTTCTTGTTTCTTTGGATCGTGCCTTGTGGTCAGTTTCATGCACCCCGCAGTGTATACGAATACATTTGCACGGAAGCAAGAGACTAGAGACTACATGTTCGTTTCATGTCATCTTCCAAATGAACCATCTGTCCCCTTCATATCATTCATTCCAACTTCGTCCACCTCAAGCTAAATCCACCCCAGGCGGGTGCGGCCAAATGTACGAAGCCATCATCGTATCACCACAATTCACCAAGAAGACAACACTAGCACGCCACCGCCTCGTCAACTCCACACTCAAGGACGAAATCGCCGCAATACATGCGTGGACGCCAAAGTGCCATACACCGGAAGAGTGGGAGAAGAAGAAGCCGCAATGAAGCGTGTATGACTCATGACTTACGATTTTCGGTATTGGGGGAGGATTAGTCGGGACGGAAGGGGAGGACGGGGTTTTCAAAGATGTGCATATTTGAATGATCAACCAATGTATATGGTCCGAATTCTATAAACACACACACACCTAACTCAACAACACTCTAATCTCCCCACTCGTCCTAGGGAACAAATCCCTCAACCCCGGCTCCTGCTCCTCATCCTCCTTATCCTCATCATACGTCAGATCATCCGCTGCAATAATCTTACTTTCCACAACCTCAAAATCCTCGCAGAAGCTAGCAGCGGCCTCTTCCGTGATGTCCTGGATCATCTTCCTGTTCTTCAAGCGCTTGAGATTCTCCGCAGCATCGATTAGTGCGGACGGCAAGAACTCGTCTAGCTGCTGGCTCGCAGCGACAAGAGCGTCGCGCTTGAAGGGCTCGAGCTCAGGAATGGTTTTGAGGCTTTCTTCGTCGTCGGTGATGGGCTCCAAGGCTTCCAGTAGCGTGGCGAGACCAGATTCGTGGAGGAGGTATTCGTGCTGGTAGTCGACGAGTTGAGCGACTTGTTCGGAGATGGTGTCTTCCATTTCCTCGACGCGCTCGCTGGCAAATGTAAATGCCGACAGGACATCTTTCGCTGCGAAGAGGCAGTTGATGGCGAAGACGGCGCTGTCGGGCTGCTGGAGACCTTTTTGTAGATTGACGCAGCCGCTCATGAAGGGATCGAGGGCTTCTGCTAGGACAGCTTGGAAACCCTGTTCCTGGTCCTCAGCACCTGCCGATGATGTATCATAGCTCTTAGCAAGCACTTTGAGTGTCTGAAGTGCATCATCGAGGAAGTCCGGAGGCGACAGATCTTGGGGTGGGACGGCAATGTCGCTTTGCACTGCGGCAACGTAGTCTCGCATGTTCGCGCGGAACTGGCGCATTGCGGACGCTTCCAACGTAGTGAAGACTTCCAAAACGTCCGAGTCTGTTCCAAGGAGCTTCGCAAACATGCCCTTGTAGAAGCCAATGAGGTTGGCGATCTTGTAAGCCAGAGTTGCGTCGTCGTGGCTTTGGACGACTTGTTCGGTACGCTGCCGTAACACACGCGCGACACTGGCCAAGTCACGACCAACGAGCTGGCTCAGAGCCTTCCTTCCATCGAAGATCTCGGCCTCCTCATCTTTCAACCAGGGCTCACTCTCGAGACCCTCCTGAATCGAACGTTTGATCTCGTCGCCGTCCGAGATGAACAAGTTCTCTAGCGCTTCTCGCTCTGACACTGTGGTCGAGTGAACCCACGCGAGCATGTCTCCGACATAACGTAGAGGGTCATGGGCCTGAAACTCTATCGGCTTGGTGGCAATGTGCTCCGCATCCGAGGCTGATCCAGTCAACGCAGAGTGGAAGGAGTCTGACAAGATGGACTCGCGCGCCTCAGCGAAAGAGTCCAGACAGCTCTGGAACAACGTCGGTCGTTCTGCAAGCACACGCAGAGACCGCCTCACGGAAGCGCTGATCTGCGGGTTCTCCAAATCAAGAGTCTTGAACTCGCGCTGGATCCACCTGTACAATTTCTGGAAGGCAGCGTTGAGCTGCTTGGAGCTTTGTTCCAGGATCTCCAAACCAAGTCGCTGGTCTTCGGTCCCCAGTAAAACTTGACAGTCGTGATGAATCTTCTTCACGCGCGTCAGGACTTGGAAGAACTCCTCGTTGACAGGCTCAGCAGTAGAAGTCAAGACAGTGGCCTCTTCATCGGAGATGAGGAAATGAGAGTTGAAGGCCTGTAAGATCTGCTGCTTGCTTTCGACCTGCTTCCGCTGGTTGATAAGACCAGTGGCTTCTTCCAACACAGGTCCAGTCTCTTTGTTTGCAGCTGCGATGTGACTTCGCATGTCAGCGCAATAGCTGTTCAAGCTGCTGATCGCTGTGCCAATGCGCTTCAGTTGCTGCCACATTTCAGCAAAGTCACCCAACACAAATGAGTGATCATACCTCTGCAACCTGCCCAAAGTCCTTGACAATCTCGCCATTGCATTCAATCACCTCTTTCTGCACATCCAGCCGAATTTGACGTCTCGTCTCTGCGGTATTGCGCACCCCACGAGTATCGAGTGTTTCCAGAGCATCGCGGATTTCCAGATCTGCGTATGAAGCGGACAGCACACTGGTGATGCGGCTCGACAAGGCATTGGCGCCACGGGAGGCGCCACCTAGCGACGTCGTAGCTGGTGAGAGAACATCTCCGGAGGCGGGCGTTCCACGCTCCTGGAAATAGCTCACTGACATATCTGGTGGGTGTTGTGACTTGAGGCCAGCAAGCGGCCGTATGTGTGCCACTTCGGGGAAGGTGCAGCCGCGGCGGCAAGCTTATCGATAGGCGGCGCGTCACCTGCATGCATCACTCAATGGCCGTCCCATGACTGCAGCATTCACCACTTCCACCACCTCTCCTCGAGATATGCCCGCAGACTAGGACGAATTTGAACTTGATGGGGCTGTACCCGCTGTTTTGGAGATCACGTCTCCCATTCCCTCACACGACTGCCCTCCCAACACCCACATAGGCCCCAGCCCGGCCACGCGCCCCCACCGTTGCCTCAGTATCTGGTAGCGACAACACACCATGATGGCGTCAAATCTGCTGTCCAGGCTTCTGCCGTCTGCGTCAGATGATCTCCTTGAGCAAGAAGCTTCCAACAACCAAAACCGCCGCACATCTTCCTCTACCGATGAGCGACCTGACATGGACATAGACGAGGAGAACTTTGGGGCTCGCTTTGAGGCACAGGACCTCAACGATCTCCTAGCTGAAGCTTCTTCAAGCCATATGACAACCGAGAGCCGCGCCGCCTCTCCGGAGGCAAGACGCAACGCCCCGCCCGGGATCAATACAGCAGCCCGGGCACCCGCATGGAGACAGCCTGCGCCAGCTCGAGCAGTGCCCTTGGATGACGACGACGATGTGCCCCAGTCATTACTATTAGAAGGGGGGCTTGATCCTCCGCCGAACCCGCACCCACGGCCAGACGGCTTACCGCCACCAGTGCCCGGCCCTTCGACGAGACATACGCGAGCGCAGTGGGAAACCACACGACAACAACAACGGCTACATGGAGATGATAGAGGAGGCGCACCCGTGCGAGACTGGGGTGCTATCGGGAGAGGGGGACAGTTTACTGCTGATCCAAAGGAGAAGGCCTCGTGGCTGTGGGTGAACCAGACGGACCTCGATACATACATGCGCGAGGTATACGAATACTATGTCGGCAGCGGCATTTACTCGATGATTCTGCGGCGGACGCTATCACTACTGCAATCTGCCTTTGTGGTTGGGTTCATGACCTTTCTTGGCTGGTGCATCGACTACTCAAAGCTCTCTGGTAGCAACAAATTGAGCCAGGTGCTGGTGCCCAAATGTACCAAAGAGATACACGGATTTTGGATATTCGCGCTATGGGTCTTCACCATCTACTGGCTGTACTCGTTTTATGGGCTGCTCACGGATATCCCACGGCTACGAGCTATGCACGATTTCTACCACTACCTCCTCGACGTCCCCGACCGCGACATACAAACAATTCAATGGCAGCAGATTGTGAGCAGGATTATGGCTTTACGGGACTTGAACTTGACGACTGCCTCGAACCTATCACCCGAGACTCGCAAATTGCTAGACTCGAAGAGCAGACAGCGATTAGATGCAGTGGATATTGCTAGTCGGCTGATGCGGCGCGACAATTACCTCATCGCGCTTTTCAACAAAGAGATTCTGGATGTGACAGTGCCTATACCATTCTTAGGGAACCGATTCATATTTTCTGAGACGACCGGGTGGCACGTCAATCTCGCCGTCATGGAGTTCGTCTTCAGTGGCCCGAATGGGCAGTTCAACCAGGACTTTTTGAAAGAGAGGAATCGCCGAGAGCTTGTGAGGAGGCTCAGGGGCCGCTTCTTTTGGACAGGCATAATCAGCATCATCTGTGCGCCCTTCGCAGTTGTTTTTGTCCTGGCGTCGTATCTGTTCAAGTACTTCACCGAATACCACAAAGATCCTGGCCAGCTGAGCAACCGCGACTTCACTACCTTTGCTCAATGGAAGTTCCGCGAGTTCAACGAGCTTCCGCATCTGTTCAACCGCCGTCGCAATATGGCGTATCCCTACGCCAACCTCTACTTAGCACAATTCCCCAAGGATAAGACTGAGCAGATATCATCCTTTGTAGCTTTCATTGCAGGAGCTTTTGCATCCGTTCTTGTCGCTTTCACATTACTCGACTCAGAGTTGTTCCTCACTTTCGAGATCTCACCTGGAAAAACTGCAATCTTCTGGATTGGTGTTCTCACGACAATATACCGTGTCGCTCGAGGAAGCAGTCCACAGGAAGACCAAGTCACGGATCCATCCTACTACCTCGATCACGTCATCTACCACACTCGCTATAAGCCAGACTCATGGCAGGACAGGCTGCATACGGATGAGGTCCGGGCTGAGTTTGCAAAATTGTATCAGCCAAAGATTCTTATCTTCGCCGAGGAGATTCTGAGCATGGTCGTCACTCCATTCTTGCTCATGTTTCGCCTGCCACAGTGCAGTGAGCGTATCGTCGACTTCTTCCGCGAGTTCTCAATCGTAGTCGACGGGCTGGGCGTCACCTGCTCATACTCCATGTTCCCCTTCAAGAAAGGCACGCAGAATGTGAACAATGCACCTGCAAACCGGAGCGGAGCACACAAAGACGACGGGGATCTACGCGAAGACTACTTCATGGCCAAGGACAACAAGATGCTAGCGTCTTACTACGGCTTCCTCGATACGTATGCAACAACAGGAAAGGGAAACAGTGCCCGCCTCCCAGGACGCGCAGGCTTCCACCCTCCACCCCAATTCCCCAACGCTTTCGGCGCCATGTCGCAGACCGCACAGCCAGTCGACGTAGGCGCTCGCGGAACAAGTCGAGGGCCAGCAGGCCGTCAGCCCCTTCAGCGCCGCACACCAAGATCCGGGCCCGCTGGACGAGACGAACCCATCGCGTCTGTCCTTCTCGATCCCCATCACCAGCCGTCGTCAGCGTCTATACTGCGCGGCTCACCGCGTACAGGTCCGTCGGGGAGATACAGAACACCGTTACAACCTGTAGCAGATACGCCTGGTACGCGCATCGAGGAGGAAAGCACGATCGGCGATTCCTGGCGCACAAGTAGGCTGGCACAGGATGATGATGAAGAGGAGGAGGCGCCGGGGGCGAATAGAGGTGGTGTTTTGCAGTTGCTGCAGCAGTTTTCAAAGGCGCAGGCTGAGGGTAGGGGAGCGGGTGTTGGGGTTTGATTGTTCGTAGCGCATTGTATTGGCGTTTTTGTGTCTACTTCATTTGTATAGCGGAAGGCATATACCAGCACTATAAGTGTGAGGCGAGAAGGAGTGTCGTAGAATCGCATAGCATATTAGCAATATCGCTGTTTGAAATCATGGCTCGATGTCTGTTATCAACATGCCAGAGGTTGCATTATCTCTTTTCAACATCACATCTGAGCGGTATTGTTTGTTATCTCATTGTCATTGTCAGGCTGAAATCGGTCGTTGTCTACAGCTAAAATCCGTAGATGCTCTTCCTCAAACCTTCATCCATGACTGGAGAGGAGGAAAACAAAATCACGCCATAACCGGTATCCCATTTGACCCATGATCATCCGCATACGTCATCACCACCCACAACCTAAGCCTCAGCAGAGAAAGCGTCGGGGAAGCGGCGCATGTTCTGGGCGAGGTTACCCTTGTTGCGGAGGAACTGGACGTAGGCACCGTCGATCTTGATCCTGCCCTCCTGGCGCTTCTCGACGTACTCCTCGCGGCGGAGAGGGGTGAAACCCCAGTTACGGGAGACGATGATCTTTTGGCGACCGGGGAACTGCAGGGTGTTAGACGTGACGTTATGGAAAGAACAATAAATACAACGTACCTTGTACTGGCAACGCCTCAGAGCCTCGAGAGCAGTGGCACGGTGGGAGTCCCTGGTTCGGACGGACATGAGGATCTGGCCGATGTTCACACGAGCGACAAGACCGTTGGGCTTGCCGAAAGCGCCACGCATACCGGTTTGAAGCCTATCGGCTCCGGCGCACGACAACATCTTGTTGATACGGACGACGTGGTAGGGGTGGACGCGGATACGCATGTGGAAACCTTCCTTTCCGGCTACCTTGACGAGGTACTTGTTGGCGCAAATACGGGCGGCCTCGAGAGAACCTCGGAGGACAGCTGCTCATACTCGTTGGAGACAAGGTGGATGCAGAGGGGGAAGTCGTCGACGTTCGCCTTCTTGCGGCCGAGATCGAAGATGCGGATCTTGGCGTCAGGTACACCACGGTTGAACCTGCTCTTGGGGTACTGGAGTCCAGTCAGTCTGCCATTCCTTCTCGCTGTTCGGGCTTTTTTGTTCGACGTACGGGCTTGTTCTTGCAGTAGCGGTAGCAACGGGCTGGACGACGTGCCATTGTGACGACTGTTAACCTTTACAAATCAAAGTGAGTGCGTGTTCAACGGTGGAAGGAGCGTGGGCGAGTGCGCAAACTGCTCAGATAGATCAGCAAGAGTCTCGTAGCAGAAATAGGGTTGATAGCCGTACCTTACCCTGTATTTAAGTGTTAGTTGTGGTGACGAAGGAGTCAGAGTCGTTGTCGCCGCTGTACAGGATGATTGGAAATCGCGGTGGGCGGCGGCGCCCCACATTAATTGGACGTTAAGCGAGCGTGCTTGATAAGCATAGCACCTTCGGGCACCGAACCTTTGCCGATAATGCGATAATGCGACAATGCGGTTTCGAACAAAGCGCAGTACTGACGCACACTCAGGTCAGTCACCATAGGTCATTCACGAGTTTCACGTCACAACGAGTTTCACGTAACAAACTATGGGAATCGCATCAAGTCAAATGAAGAAGAAAATTTAGGCAAAGAACTTGATGCTTCATTTTTGTCATTCATTGAAGATCGTCATCGGCAAGAATGCCGTGCGTGGTATCATGTCTATCTGCCTTTTTGCCCTGTATGCATCTTTCTACTCGGTGCTTGTGGTCAGGATATCCGAGTCACCTGTTCCGCGTTAGCCGGTTCATGCGAGTGTGACTGCAGGTCTAAACTTACCAGCATCGATGATGGCCATGGTGGAGCAGCGGAAGAGCTTACCGCAGGCGGTACCCAGCTCAATCTGTGTCGCAATGTGTTAGTGGCAGCCCTCCGAAGTCATAATCGGACCTCTTCTCAGGGCCAGCCCTCAGAGAACACCCAGTGTGCGCCAGAGTATCTCGTCGTTAGGCCATGAGAATGGATCGGGACATGGTACGTACGTTGTTGCCGGAGAAGTGGTGGACTGTTGACTGTCAGCGTTCGGCCACCTTTGCGCACGTTTGGAGGTACATACCAGAGGTCTTGGAAAGCATGGCGTAGTACTCGAGCTCAGACTTCCTCAGAGGAGGAGTGTTGCCAGCAATGATGACGAGCTTGGCCTTGCCGGTACGCAGGCTCTTGAGGGTCGACTTGTAACCGAGGGTGACCCTACGAAGGTCAGTATTGCGCTCGTGTCGATGTGCGCTTCCAAACGTACTTTCCGGACTTCATCACAAGCGCCAGGCGCGAGTTGATGGAGTCGGCGGTTCTCTTGTTCTTCTTGGGTGCCATCTCTGCGCTCAGGAGTGTATATGTAAATGTTCCTGGGGGTGTTGTTGCGCTCCGGTTGAGTTTGTTAGTGATGGTTCAAGAACCGCAAAAATTTGGTGTGGAACTTAGCCGACGCCAAGATTTGCACTAGTCTTAGTCAGCGCTCCGCTTCGACCAGCTATCCGGCCAGCATCACAATCACCTTCTTTGAGAATCGCAGCAGTAAATTTAATACTATCATGGGGCTGAGTTTGCTTAAAAGCCAGATGGATCATGTTCAACATGTGCAATTACAAGCGATCAAGACTATATAGCGCTGCGACCAACTCCTCACGCCGACGACTATCTAAACCATCAACCCCTATGTCGTCGATGTCCTTGATTTCTCATATGGTATCATGCATGTCATCCGAATGTATCCAAATGTCTCATTCCCTCTGTGCCCTCGCTCGTCATACGACCATGCTATGCCTAAGCAGCTGCCCTTGTCTGTCGACCTCCACGTGCAGGGGCGCGGACAGCACCAGGCCTATTGAGCGTATACTTTGCAAACGTCCGCTGAAGAGCTTTCTTGGCGCTGACCTTTTGCGATCCAATGAACGACTCGACTGTAATAGCAATGGCTCGATCAATGTCCAAGGAAGAGCAGTAATCTGACAGGCGCATCTTGCAGAAAGATTCCGCAATACGCATGATAGCTTCGAGATGACGGACCTGCAACGTGTTAGTGAGCTGTTTGTGATTATAGAAATAGTGAACTAACTGTAATTGGGTAAGCCCCAGTTGCCATGGATTCGCGGCGCATGTCTGCGAAGAGACGAGCAACCTTGTCTTGGTCGATTTGGTACAACTTGGGATGGCAGTTTTCTCGTGCGTACAGAATGTACTTTCGCAGCAGCTCTTGCGGAATCTCGCCAGCTCGTATTTGAGATTCGGAGTCGACTTCCATACCATCTTCGCCTTCACCACTCTGGGTTGCGCCGTTCTGCGAAGCCTTGCCTTTGTCTGAGAAACCGTATGAAGAATTTACGGTATTATGTGCTCGGCCGTGTGATTTGACTACGAATTTCGCAAGACGTTCGTCCTCGGCTGGGTCCACAGTATCGCGGACTACGCACAGAATGTCGAATCGAGACAAGATGGGCTCGGTCAGCTCCACATTCTGCGAGAAGGGAATCGTCGAATTGTAACGACCGCCAATAGGATTAGCAGCTGCCACGATCGCGCATCGTGCTTGTAGTGTAGTGACAATACCTGCCTTGGAGATGGAAATAGTCTGCTGCTCCATGGCCTCGTGGATGGATGTTCTGTCTTGATCATTCATCTTGTCAAACTCGTCAATCAGGCAAGTGCCTTTATCAGCTAGCACAAGTGCTCCACCTTCCAATGTCCATTCGCTAGTCATTGGGTCTCGACGGACAGAGGCTGTAAGACCAACAGCAGAAGCACCTTGACCTGTTGCAAAAACAGCACGGTGGGCAGTCTTCTCGACGAACTTCAGGACTTGAGACTTTGCTGTACCGGGATCTCCGAGAAGTAGGACGTTGATGTCGCCACGGATTGAGTGGCGGCCAGGGGCCACCTTGCTAACACCACCAAAGAGCGAGAGAGCCACAGCCGTCTTGATATCGGTATGTCCGTAAATGTTGGGTGCAATTGAGTCGATAATTTTGTCAACGATTTTGGGGTCTTTTGACAGTTTTCGAATCTCTTGCTCGTCCGCTTCTGTGAGTCGGAAACCAGCCAGCTGGTCATGCGATTTAACGACATAATTGGCCTCAAGAATCGTCGCAAAAACCGGGAAACCGTTCTTGTTGTTTAGTGCGGCGTCGTAGTTGTTTCGGTAGATACCAGTCACTTCAATCTCCTCACCCGGCTTTGCAGAGTCGATCAGATCCCAGAGTAGGATGACCTCGCGGTGACGAGGTAGACGACCAGCTGGGACCGTTCCTGGCGACTCTTGCAGGGTCAGCTTCTGGTAATTTCGGTACACCGTGCGCTCAGAGTTGACTGTGAACGGACCACGCGACTGGCAATTCTGGCAGAAAGAAATCTTGACTTCGACGTTTGAGTCCTGGTGAAACGGTCCGAGTGTGACACCGCACTTGGTGCAATCAAACTTGACATATTTGAGCTGGGGAAAGACTCCGCTTCGGCGAGTAACAACACCACTAACACGGACTAAACTGTTCAAATGTGATTGACGGAGTTGGCGGAGAGTATACTGGACCGGGACGTCGGTGATGCGAACATGGATCTCAGCATGGATGCGCTCGTACTCAGGATAGTGTATCAGCACGACCTCCATGGCCACTTGGTCGAAAATCCTGAGCATCTCAGTGGGCGTATTGGCAAGCCAGAAGGCCAGGGTGGCTTTCTGCTCAGCAAGATGGTCGAAAGAAACCTCTAGAGACTCGGTGTTGACCTCACCAAGAGTCTTGATGCGGGTACCATAGACTGAAGTCCCATGCTCATCCGTGTATTCGGTCAGGAAGGATTTGAACTCGCGAGCGATGGTCTTGGCAACTCGGGGTTGAGCAACCCAGTCGGTCAATGTGTTGGCCTTCACATCGGTGAGCGCTTCAAGCGACAGCTCCTCATTCATGATGTCGTCTCCCATGTCCATTTCATCCTCCTCGTCGTAGCGATGTCTCCTCACACGACGACGACCCATGAGATCGGCCAGGCCGTCTTGTTCGTCTTCATCTGGAAGAAATGCAGCTGGCATACGGCGTCTGGCTTCTTGATCGCGACGATTCAGGCGGCGATCAAGCTCACGTCTCGAAGCAAGATCAAGGTCATCGTAGTCTCCTTCGTCATCAATGCCTTCGCCTTCATAGGCATCGTTCTCCCGGGCTCTGTAATCGTTCTCGAAGTCGTCTGCAAACAGGTCGATGCCCTCTGCTTCTTCAACCTCCTCGTCCAAGTCGTCAACATCGCGCATCACGTCATCGTCGTCTAGGAGGTTGGCTTCGTCGTCTTGGGGCAGCATGGGCGGAGAGGAAGCCATTGCTTTGTTTTGTTAGTTTGTTTATACTTATGGCAGTGAGGTCTAACTTACGACTGGACGGCGGGTGTGCCGCTGAAGAAGGTAGGTCGTCATCATCTCGTGTGCGCTTGTTATTTCCCCGGCTGGGACCAGCTCCTCGATTTGCAGAGGACATGTTGGAGCGCAACGGTGAACTTGGTACTGTTAGGATGCGGAACTGGGGAAAGGAGGGGCAGGCTCGATCGTCGCAGCCGTTTCAATCGGCCCAAGGAAGAAGGCACGAACCTCATAGTGATCGAAGATGTGTAGGTGGGTCAGTGTGCGTGCGCTTGAAGTCGGTATGGGCTCAAGGGGGAGTGTGAGGAAGATCGTGGGTGGGGCTGCCAACCACGCGTAAAGTGGAAACGCCAAAAGAACGCGTCGCGACTGACGGACCAATCACACAGTAGCGCACCAGCTGACGCTCTCGAGGCACCTGGGTGCCTACATTGTCATACTCGAGCATTTCCTTGTGCGATAAACATATTTCGTCCTTGCCTACCGACGCTTTTCAATTCTTAGAAACATCGGTTTCGTCAGCATCCTCGTTTGCGAATGCTCACCACTGCGGAACCCGAACCACCATCTCGGCTACAACATATTCCATAGCAAGCGTATTGCACTCCACGATCATCACACACCGAAAACCTTGATTCCAAATTCCAGCGGCAACCATGGCCGACACACAGTCAATGATAGGGTCATCAAAACCGCGCACTGGCAGCATGTCGCAAGCATCTGAGAGCTCACAGACCGCAGCCGAGTATGTGTCGAGTCCTCTTATGTACATGTCCAATTACTGATTCACTTTTCTTAGGTTCATTAAAGAGCAGCTCAGCCTTGAGGCGGAAGCTCGGGAGGCCCTACCATATGTCAGTAAGACAATCTCGTTCTGCTAACATCTGCTGATACTACATAGCAATTCGATACGTGCACACGCGACCTTGGTCCTCTACGCCAGAGTCTGTACGCTTGCTTGACGTGTAACCCACCTCCCGCAACTTCCGCTGCCTCGTACACCCCAGCCGCCGTATGCTACTCATGCTCGATATCATGCCATGGCGAACATACGCTCGTCGAATTGTTCAACAAGCGCAACTTCATCTGTGACTGCGGAACCACCCGCATACCAGAGACAGCACCATGTACACTCCGCTTAAATTCAACGACTGGCCAGAAGGGTGATATGACTGGAGAGGAGCCGGCGCCTACCAACAAGTACAATCAGAACTTCCGAAATAGATTCTGTGGTTGTGGTGAGGACTATGACCCACATCAAGAGAAGGGCACTATGTTCCAGTGTCTCGGACTGGGTACTGTCGAGGATGGAGGGTGTGGTGAGGACTGGTGGCACCCCGAGTGCCTGGTCGGCTACTCACGCGAGGAGTATGCGAAGATGATCGAAAAGCCGAAAGTAGAGGACATCAACAGCAATACGGAGATGCCTGACGCCGTGAAGGAGGAGACAAAAGACGACAAGCCTGCCCCCGTCGAAGCGGCCATCGGACAAACAGACGCTACGCAGGCCACCATCACTGGCACAATAGACGCTGCAGTAGCAAACGGTACTGGCATCGATGGCAACGATATAGCAGCAGAAGCTGAGGAGGAAGATGACGAACCGCCACTACCTCCCGGGTTTCCTGCAGAGGACGACTTCGATCACTTCATTTGCTACAAGTGTCTCGAGGCCAACTCATGGATCAAGAAATACGCAGGCTCTCGTGGCTTTCTGCCACCCGTCTATCTCGACAAGTCACTCAATGACACACAAGCAGCACAGACAGTAGTGGGAGCTTCAGAGCCCACAAATGGTGAATCAAAGAAGCGTAAAGCCTCTGATGAGCCCGAAGAACCCACCTCGGCAAACCTCGCAGTCCCGGTCCCAGCTAAGCGCCAGAAGTCCGAGGAACCAAGCGGTGCGCTTTCAAGTATCCCCGAGGATACCATGTCCCTCCCCATAACCCCAAAGAAGCCAGAAGATCCCTCGATCTGCAAACACGCCGCCCTGCCCCCTCCCACAGGTCCAGCGCAAACATCCACATTCTCGCTCTTCCTTCAGCCTGACTTCCGTGACCATCTCTGCCGCTGCCCATCCTGTTTCCCGCATCTGAAATCCCACCCCCAACTCCTCGAGGAAGAAGATACATACGAGCCGCCCGTCTCCGAAGACGGCGACGAGGGCGCGCAGTCTGTGGGTACAGGCTCGATCCTCGACCGCGGCGAAGCAGCCTTCAACAACATGGACCGCGTGCAGGCCATCCAAGGCGCCATGGCATATGCGCATCTAAAAGACAAGGTTGCGGCGTTCCTTAAGCCTTTTGCGGAAAGCGGCCAGGCTGTCGGAGCTGAGGATGTCAAGGCGTATTTTGAGAAGCTGAGGGGTGATGCGCAGGGAATCCAGGATGCGGCTGGGGGCGCGAAGGCGAGCCGTGATGGGGATGGTGGGAAGGATGGGGAAGGGGATGGGAGGAAGGGGCAGAGTGGGTATTGATGCATAGTGTATCTTGGGAAGGATGGGATGAAGTTTAGAGTATGAACGCAGGCGGCAGACTTTAATGTCAGACTGCGCAAAAATGTATAATGTCTTCGAACAAAGTCAATTGCGAATTCGGTGCAAGTGTAGCTTTCGCTTGTAGGCGTTCAAATTATAATTTCTCTAAATAACAAAATGTACAGCAAGATCAACATGCTTTTTTTTCGAAAACAAAACTTGGGTATCAAATTAACGTCCACCACTTCCCACCCTTTCTCGTTCTCTCAGTCAAGGCCGCACAGTCACAGTTGCCGTCTCAGTAACTGTCTCTTTCTCTGTCGCCGTCACCGTGACTGTGAATATCTGGCTCGGCGCAATCGGCGTAATGACAAGTGGTCCACCAGACGTCGATGAGGGTCCAGCTGACGGAGCACTTGATGGCGCAGCCGGTGGTTGTGCAGCTGATGTTGTGGAAGGGGAAGCTTGTGGTGGCGGCGATGAGGTCGCAGAGGAAGATGGTTGTATAGAACTGTTTGACGCGCTTGATGACTGTGCTGGTGAAGACGCAGCCGGGGCTGATGGCGTTGGGACTGCAGCAGAAGTCGATGGTAGAATTGCGGATGACGATGCGAGCACACTAGACTCAGGCGCCGGCACAGGGGCCGATGCAACAGGAGTTTCCGGCACTTGTGGTGGAGGCGAAGGCATTGCTGATGAAGAAGGTGCAACTGTGGTGTACTGAGTAACAATCACTACAGGTGGTGGCGCGAGTGATGTTGGTGCGATGACGACCGGCGAAGAGCTTGACGGAGTTACTCTGGATTGCTGACCCAGAGCTGAACTCGGTGCCGCAGCGAGTTCTGACCCCTGTGTTGGCGATGGGACTGGTTGCGGAGTGGCAACTGAGGATGGCGCCAAGGCAGAGGTTGAGGGATACACGGTTGTGTACTCAGTTTTGATGACATATGCTGTCGAGAGTACACCATCAGGCGATTGGGTGGAGTTGGATACCAGCAACACGGAACTGCTTGCGAGGATTGGTGATGCTGACGCGGTTGATTGGGGTACGGCAGCGCTTTTGGAATCCAAGGGGCTTGAAGCAACACTTGTTGATTGGGTACCTGAGACTGGGACACCAGGATGGTTGAAGCCTGGTAGACCTGTAGAGTTGCCGGTGGATGGATTGCTTGTCGTCAAGGGTGTCGGAGAAGCAATTGGTGTTCCCTGACTTGATTTGTCTTCTTCGGGTGAATATGTGAAGGACGGTATGCTCGTCATGTTGAGCGAGCTACTTGCGATTGCCGCTTGTGAACTTGCAGGTGCGAAGACTGCAGACGAACTGATTGAAGGAGAAGCATTGATTTGTGATGAGGAAGCTATCGAGCTAGGGGTTGGCGAGGATACCACGACAGTGCTCGATACTGGGGCAGCCGACGATGGAGGTGCGGGAGCAGGCGAGGGTGTGAAGTAGGATGTCAAAAGAACTGTCTCGGCTTCTTGTGTAGCTAAAGGCTTGCCTTGTGGATCGAGGAAAGTCACGGCGGGATTCAACTGCGTAATGACCGTACGCTGTAGGGGCTCGATGATAAGCGCAGTATCGGCGTTGACAACAGCCGAAGCTGTAGACTGTGTTGCTGATGTGGTGTTGGCATAGCTGGCAAAGCTATGTGAAGTCAGTTGATTGGGACGGTAACGTGCGACCTTGATCACTTACAGTTGCCGTCTGTTGTTCCTCGGTACTGGGCCTCCAATTACACATGTCGAACAAGCTGCCAGCAGCATTACGGTACGCAAGAAAGCCATTTTTAACAGGACCTCGAATTAGAGAAGTGGAGATTGAAATGGAATTGACCGTGGAGCAAGACGCGCGCTTGAAGAGAAGAGCAAGATCCACAAGACACAAAGCAAAGAATTGAGGGATTGAAGGACTATGAGAGAAGCGATCGACAGAAAGAAACACGCTAAAACGACAGACGGGTAGGGAATAGAAGGTGAAAGTCGTTCGTGGCAAGCAAACGTCGGTCTAGATGTCACGCTGGTCACCGTGAGGTGTTCATTGCATCTGGGCCAGCACTTGGTTTTGAAGCTCCATTAGCCGCTGCGAGTGTAGTTTGACTTCAGAATAGAACATGGGCGAGTACTGGCCCAGCATTGTCGCAGTGCCCTGCAATTTTTACGTGTCACTGGGCTGTTCTGGAGAGACATGAGAGGTAACCCGAGGAGTGGTTGTCGTTGTTCGACGCTGGCGAGCGATGTTTCAGGGATCATCAGCCAATGAGGAGGCAAGAACGCGAAAGAAGCACGACGTTCTGGCGGCTCGCGGAACAGTCCTTTTCTTGTACTCTCCCACATTCCACCCGCCAGCAATCGATGCTCCAGAAATAGTACCGCTACAATGCGGCTCTCCGGCAGGTATCCGAGCCGCCGATGAGGTTGCAGCCATGGGCCTGTTTCGCGTTTTTGATCGTGGCGTGAAGAACATGCAATGCACTACTTTCTCAGTTCGCCCATCTCTCTAATAGACAGACGATACCTAGCTGGATTGGAGAAAATCCGGATATATGGCTGCTATAGGCTCGCACCTATTTGTACAGATTCCACCGGCATTCGCACCGTGTAGCGCCTAGCCACAACATTCTCAGCACTTCTTGTGTATACTTTTGCACAACAAGCACTGAGCATATCTATACACCGAAAGGACCACAGTACGGTGTGCAAAGGCGGTGATCATGGTGGGGTCAGGTCGGGATGTATGCACGTGCTGGTTCCCGTTGCGCTTTGGTGTGGTTGAGTTGCTATGGCGACAAGCGAAGGTCGACCAGGAAAGCAAACACGGTCCATCCACTAGGACAACGATTCGACATAGCAGGACTCGACGTCACGGTAGGTCAGCATTCTTTTCTCTGTAGACGTAGGCTTGTGTTCCTTCCCACCTCCATTTTTCGCCTCTACCTCTCTCGGCATCCACCATGAGTGTCCGAGTCGTCGCGCGTATACGCCCCTTACTCAAAAATGAGATCGACAAGGACACCATTGTCAGCGCAGAGACAATCGACGGTGAAAAGACCGCGACGGTTGTGCGGCTACCGAGCCCGAAGAATGATGCCGAGTCCTTCAGCTTCCAGTTCAGCTCTGTCTACGAGCAAGACGCGACGCAACAGCAACTTTTCGATGCAGAGAGTATGTCACGCCTGGCCACGAGCGAGACCGAAGCTGACGCGTAGCCAGTCGCACCGACGGTCAAGCACCTTTTTACTGGATTCGATCTTTCCATCTTCGCCCATGGCTGCACAGGCACAGGCAAGACGCACACGATGCGTGGAGGAAAGTCTTTGGCGGATCGCGGTGTCATCCCGCGCCTGTTGAGTGCGATATACAGGCGGTGTAAGAAGATCGAGAAAGACTCTGCGGGTGCGACACAGGTCGAGGTGGCGCTGGAGTATTTCGAAATTTACTGCGATCGCGTCTACGATCTGTTCGAACCGCCGGAGAAGCGCACACCATCCGGCCTGCCAATACGAGACAACCACGGAAAGACGGTCGTTGTTGGCTTGACAGAAAAGCCATGTTCAACACTGAAAGAGTTTGAACAGCTCTATGACCAGGCTAACATGAACCGCTCAACCTCAGCCACAAAGGTAGGGACTGCCGTCGAGGATCATTAGGACCTTTCTGACTCAATCTAGCTCAATGCCCACTCATCACGATCGCATGCCGTCCTTTGCGTCAAGATCACCCAAACCACCGAGACCACCATCCAGGTCAGCCGCGCATCGTGTATCGATTTGGCGGGATCAGAAGACAACCGTCGAACAGACAACAACAAGGAGCGCCTCGTCGAGAGCTCTGCCATCAACAAGTCTCTCTTCGTCCTTGCCCAGTGCGTCGAGGCAATGAACAAGAAGCAAAGCAGGATACCGTATCGCGAATCTAAGATGACGAGAATATTGTCACTGGGTCAGAACAAGGGTTTGACAGTCATGATTCTGAACCTCGCCCCCACACGAGCTTATCACCTGGATACGATCAGCTCACTGAATTTTGCCAGTCGAACGAAGAAGATCGAGGTGGCCGAGGTTGAGAATGATCCGGTTCTACGAACAATGGCAAAGCCTCTGGCAACAAGTAGCATCGGCGGTGCCAACATCACTCGACAGCCATTGCGACCCATTGCCGCGGCTCACAACGCGAACATCCCAGAGCCAGAGAAGCAGAAGAAAGGGGAAAAGCCCATCAAGGCCTTCTCTGTATATTCTGATTCCCGCAAGCCTGCACCTCGCACGTCTAACCTCACATCACAAAACCAAGGCATTCGCCGAACGGAAGGACAGAAACGAGCTGCAGAGCCCAGCTCTACCTTTGGATCACGACCAACCAAGGCCTTTAGAACCGCGGATGCCACAGCGCGGTCACGAAATGCCGAGCCTGCCATGACAAAAGCGTCCATCGAGGCACTGATCGCTCAAAGGATAGAGGAGAAGCTTGCAGAGAAGGCGCTTCAAGACGCAGGTGCATCCGCCCCTGCACTATCGGCGGATCTGCAGAAGCGTCTGGATGAGTTGGAGCACCGTATCGATGCTCAGGAAGAAGATGGCAAATCTCAAGGGCTACAGTTCCTTCTGATGGCGAAGCAGCACCACATCCGCGGAGAAGATGCCAGCGCACTGAGAATGTACAGACTGGCGCAACCCTTCTTCCCAGGCAACGCGAAGCTCGAGTCGAAGATGAGGAGTCTAGAGGATCGGATACGAGCCAGCAAGGATGACACAGCAGCCAAACACGTTTCCGCACCTGTCGCTATGACACTACCACCCGCGGCCCCCTCGAATCTCATGGCACCCCTAAAGGCCAAAGAGAAGCCTTCGAAGCCAAGGATGGTCTTGAGAGATGATGAGGATGAGGAGGATGACTTTGCGCCACCACCCGACTCCGACCACGAAGCCTCCTACGCCTCCGACGACAGTTTCCAGTACAAGCCCAAAGCCGCCCGCAAACCAAAGAAGACCAACAAGAAATTGCCAATCTTCCGAGACGACGCCGATACTTCTTCGCACAACTCTATGGAACACACGCCACGAACTACGCATCTTTTGAAAATCATCAATTCGCGCGACATCAACCAGATCAAGGCTCTCAAAGGTGTTGGTGCGAAGAAGGCAGACGGCATTGTGAATTGCTTGGTTGAAATGGAGGATGCTGAAGTCTTGGATCTCGAGAGCCTAGCTATGTTGAAGGGTGTGGGAGGGAAGACGGTCGAAAATATGAGAATGGGCCTGACGATGAGCGTTGGATACGACTTCTAGGCTTCTCCATTTATTTATTTTTTGCATTTCAAGCATGGTGTTATTGGCGTTTAGAGGACAGCAGCATACGACTAGCATGCATGGCACGGCGTTCTTGGATACGAAAAGCACTTAGGTGCTCAGCATTTTACGAGTCATTTTCTCATCAATCTCATCCTTCGATTCCTTCAACATCTCGCATCCACCCTGACAATGATACACTGTCTCGCCATGGTATCATACAGTCCAAACTCATTCACCGTCCTCAAACAAACCTCCTCGAGCCTGACTTTAACAAGTACCTGTCCCGCATTCTCCCCATGCCTCACCCCTACCTCACTCTCCGCACTCCCCTTCCCCTCCCCTCCCAACCCCGGCATAAACCTCTCCCAGATCTTTCTTTTCGGCAACACCTCCTCAAACTCCGACCTCCCCGCTCTCACATCTCTATTCAGCATCTCCCTCAGCACCCTCTCCAACTCCTCCACCACCGCCTGCACGCGCCAAAACTCCGTGGCGTCCATCTCGCCCTCCAACCGCACGGTCTTCAGCTCCTCATCGCTCGCGTACCCGATGACTTCTACAGGTCGTGTAGTGCCAAATGCATTGCCGAAACTAAATTCGGACTTTTCTTCGAGCGGCGGGAGGGGGATGTCCGAGGGTAAGAGGGCGAGGGTGGTGCGAGCGAGGCCGAGAGCGGCGCGCTGAGAGAGGAGCGGGATGATGTGGGTGGTTATGGTGGACTGGATGTGGGTTGTGCGGGTGAGGGTGAGTTGGTCGAGGAGGGCTTGGCCGCGGTGGGTGTGTGGTTGTAAATGTGAAGGTGGTTGAGAGTGGGATGCGGATTCGGTGTAAGATGGCGGTGGTAAGGTATCTTTGTCGTACGGCATCTTTTGCGTTGGTGGGTGTGTGAAGATGAGATGCGGTATGTGATTTGCTACGATGTTCAAAAGAATATGGTTTCCTTCCCTATCCTCGCGCCTTCCTCACCCCGACACCGAACAGTGGCGAACATCCAATACGATAACGTCGGGTCTCGGCATGCACTCAGGTACTTGAACGCTCGTATTCTGGCTGCCTGATTCAGCCTCGCATGGCTGAGGTCATAACTAGCTCTTTTCTATCCAGTCAAGTGATTGGAGCTGCCTCGAACCTGAGGTACAGTATCGGAGGCTAGACCAGTGGAAGGGAGTGAGATGTGGTCATGAGATGGGGCCGGGCCGGGAAAGCTTGGCTTCAACATTGGGCGTAGGTTGGGCGGGAGAAGCTCGAGAAGCTCTGGGAAGCTTGCTTGATCTAAAGGATGTGTGGTCTCCATCCTAGTGCCTGCACAACAGTCCACCACAACTCTTGCCCAATCTAACTGCACCTCGACATGTGACCTCCATCTCTTTCACTCCGGAAATAAAGCATGGTAAGCTACACTACCCGTTCGGTTTACCGAGGTCACGGACCCACTTCCTTCCAGAAGACAGAAGCTTGGTACGGAGGCTGTGGAGGCGCAAGGCTGACTCCCAGCATGGTTGCTAGCTCTCATTGGTTTAGCGAGTGGGCCGTGCATTCACCACGGCACGCCAGGCCCGAAGCGGTGGACCGGTCAAACCTCATGTCTTAAGATATGTGATACGAGGGTGCGTCCACAATAATGAAGGTGTATAAAGGTAAGCTGTAGGACGGAATATTAGAATATCATCATCGCAGGTTTATTAAAGATATCTGTGGTTTACATTGAGCACGTTACCGGATTAAATCATTTTCTTGAGTTGAATAGCGCTCATTTTGTCTTAACTAATCGAGTTTCGAGATTCTTTCTTACGACTCTTCAAACACACATCTCTAACGCTCATTCATCCAAACACTCATCGAAAAATCTACCGTCAAGATGGTCTACCATGTCGCAGAGCCGAATAGCTACCTGGTCATCACCGGTGTTGGCATCGAGAAGGTTCTCATCAAGAAGAAGGCAAGTACATCGCATGCCAGAAAAAGAGACATAATCCAGACTAACAGGCGTAGGCATTCGTATGGCCTTTTCAAAAAGTCACAAAGATCTCCATCACGCCCTTCGACTTCAGCATGGGCATCCAAGCCATGACTGTTGAGAAACTGCAATTCTCTCTACCAGCAGTCTTCACCATCGGCCCCGCGGATAGCCAAGAGGCGCTCGAGAAGTACGCCGTGCTCCTGACGGGCGAGTCTGATGGCCGTCCTCCTGTCGCGGCAGCAAAAGGTGCTGTCACCGTCGCTGCGGGCCGGAACCATGTCCAGGAGATTGTCAAGGGTATTATTGAGGGTGAGACGCGCAGTATCGTGTCCAACATGACTATGGAGGAGTTGTTCCGTGAGCGTCGAGTCTTCAAGGATAAGGTCATCCAGCAAGTCCAGTCTGAACTTGATCAGTTCGGTGGGTCTCGATCACTCTACACTCCGTGTATAGGAAGCACTAACACCACACAGGTCTCTGCATCTACAACGCCAACGTTAAGGAACTCCAAGACACGCCTGGATCGGAGTACTTTGCCTTCTTGTCACGCAAAGCCCACGAAGGCGCCCTCAATCAAGCCAAGGTCGATGTCGCGGATGCCCGGATGCGCGGCGAGGTCGGAGAAGCAGAGAAGCAAGGCAAGACGAAGCAAGAAGTCGCAAAGATTCACGCCGCAACCGCTGTCCTTGAGACGGAGCGCAAAGCCGAAAAGGCACAGGCCGATGCGAAACTCACAAACAAGGAGATTCAGATTGGTAATGACTTGAACATTGCACGCATCAACGCGAAGCGCGAGGCTGAGCTCAGGGACGCGGAACTAAACACCGATGTCGAGAAGAAGAAGGCGCTCATGGAGCTCGAGAGGCTGCGAGCCACCAAGGTCGTCCAGGCGAAGATTGAGAAGGAGAGTTCGCAGCAGAAAGCTGATGCTGAGCTGTATGCACAGGAGAAGGCAGCTGAGGGCAAAAAGTTCAGCGAGCAGGCTGACGCTGAAGCTGCTGCATTCCGTCGCCTGAAAGACGCAGAGGCAGACTACGCAGCCAAAGAGCGCGAGGCGGAGGCTAACTTCCTCGTAACCAAGCGCACTGCTGAGGCAGAGTATTTCCGAAAGGAGCGCGATGCTCAGGCTCAGCTGATTGCACAACAACGCGAAGCTGAAGGTTTGTCGGCCATGGCGAAGGCTTACGGCGACCTTGCTACTGTTCTTGGTGGACCACAGGGTCTGATGCAGTATCTCATGCTTACCAACGGTACCTACGAACGTCTCGCCGACGCAAACGCCCACGCCATCAAGGGCTTGCAGCCTAAGATCAACGTCTGGAACACTGGGGCACAAGGCGACAACGCTGCTGATCCTACGGCGCCTATTCGTAACCTATTCCAGAGCTTGCCTCCCCTTCTGAGCACCATCCATGACCAAACGGGTATGTCACCGCCCAGTTGGTTGGCGCAGATGCCTGTGGACGATTCTAAGAAGACGAACGGTTTGCACTTGCGGAATGGCAGCGAGGTCGGTTCTGCTTAGGGCATACGCGTCAAAGAGATGTATGATGGGCGGGCGGATAGTTCAATTGACGGGAAGGAGACGAAGCTTGGTGGCAGAGGCCGTGGTTTTCTATGTTCGCGTTGCCTTTACGTTATACCCTGGCGTTAGGGATGCACATGACTTTTCCGAGAATCATTCCTTGGTTGCAAAACTCATGTATCCGCCCTCTGTGTAGACTAGACTGTATCGTTAATCCCATCAATCCTTCATCCGCAAAGATGATATCCGAAATAGAGAGCTTGGCGTGAGATGTCGATCATACGATGATGACGAAACTTTGTTGTTCATTATATTATGTTCCTATAGTGTCGTGGCGCAGACCTCTGAAGGGGAATCACAAGTTTATAGCGAAGATTTCGAGTCCATTTGGATGCAACGAGCATGACAAAGTGCAACAGGTGTGTTGTGTACACTTTTCTAATACGGACTGAAGCATGACAAGAGCACTGGATCATCATGTGATGACCGAGATCCGAAGTAGGCCTTTAGTCTCGGATGGAATTCCTACTGCGCAGCGTCGAATTCTGGTGAAATTTGGCTGACGAGTATGCATCCCCAGGACTGAGTCCGACAAATGGCTCGATTCGATCCTGGCCATGAGCCTAGTGGCTGTGATGGAGCCCACGAGAGTAAGAGCTTTGGCGGTACGGGTATTGAAGGGTCTGAAGTTGAACAGGCTGAAACAGCCCGTTCAGGTCTCTGGCTTCTTCTCGCCCTGAGCATCGAATCCAAGGGTCTCCAACTGGCGGATGAGCTCGTTGATCTTGATGACTTTCTCGAACTGCTCTGGCAGTAGCTTATCACCTTTCTCTTTCTTGTCCTTCAACTCCTTGGCCTGTCTCAGCTTCTTCATGAGCTTCTTTGCTTCCTTCTCTTTCTCTGCTTCGGGGTCCTTTGGCTTCTCCGGCTCTGCAGCTGTCTCGACCACATCCTTCTTGCCTGCAGTTTTTCCGCCGGCGGATTTGACCTCCTCCTCCTCCTTCCAATCGGTTGCAGGTGGCAGCTGCCTTCTTCCTTGCTTCTCTGCGTTTAGCGTTCTTATTCGCTGCGGCACTGAGCTTGGTGGGGTCATCGTCTGGCTTCAGACTTTCGGCACCGGGCACACCTGCCTTTCCTCTGTTTCGAAAACCCTCCGCCGTTCTGTTCTTATATAGCTCGACGTCTTCCGGTGGACGGTACCCGGGGCGGACTCGGATTTCTTTGCGCATGGTGCCATCGGGACGGACGGAAGATGGTATATGGCGTTCACCACTGGCCGAGGTGGTGATACCGGCTCGCGAGACGGAAGGGGTTTCTACGGTAGGCATGGCGAAGTGTCTGTTGCCGATTCTCTCGGACCGGAGATGCTGGGACTTGGAGGACTATGGAGTGAGGCAGAACCCGGGTGCGGACTACCTCGCGAACTTGCGCCAATTGAGGGTGAACGGTTTCGACGGAGGCGGATGATGTGCTGAGTGGATGCGCACACCAAGGACGGTCCCCTTGCGTTGTTTTGCTTCAGTGCGCGGTCAGACGGAAGTGCGTAAGATGGTGGGGTAAAAGTCGTTGGGAAAGTTGAGGCTCTTCACGAGGAAGGCACCACCGGACCACGGGCCAATCAGGGCAGCCGCGATCCGGTCGTCAACCTGGACGAAAGAACCTCAGATCGCTTTTGACATCGACGTCAACACCACTACACACGCCCACGAAGCTCTTCAGCACCTCCATTCACCGCCAAAATGTCTGGAGTAAGTCAATTGATGGATGCTCATATTTCGAGACCGCTAACGACCGCGTGTAGATTGCCAGCACCGTGTACAAGTACGCCTCCCTTTGCGCGAACACTTTGTCCGGGCCACAGCGATACTGACCATCGCCTGCAGCGCGGTCCTCCGCAGCAACACCACCATGTTGTTCACCGTCTTCGGCGCCGCCTTCGGCATGCAACTGTACGTCGAAACAGAGCAGGACACGGAAGGACAGGGTACTAATCCAGGATAACAGAGCCTTCGACACTGGATCTGACAAGATCTGGAGCACTCTCAACAAGGGCGTACGTCAAACGCGAGCCATTTGGACATCACCCGCTAATGCACTCGGCAGCGTCAATGGAAGGACATCAAGCAAAGGTACATGGAGGCCGCCGAGGACGACGAGTAGATCAGCAGCAAATCGACAAAGCGCGCATGATCTTTGGACAAGCCATGGCACTTGGAGGAGGACACTGTATATTCGGATGTATTCTACAACTGCGAAATACCAAGCCAAGATTCTGAGCACGGAAAACCGCTGCGCATGCTCTCTTTGAGTGGGCTGGCTAGAGGCTTGATTGTCTTCGAGAGAAAGCGACATGCCAGATGCACACTGCCCTGGATTTGTGATCATCGTCTGTCTACTATGCTTGCTGTGTACAACGATTGCCTGTGATGCTGTAACGTGTCGGTGAACTGCAGCCTTGACGCATACAGTAAAAGAACGCGCACAACAACCACGTAATCCCCGACACTGCTCTTTCCTGGCTCTATGGTGCGGTAATCTTGCAAAATCGCACATGCCCTGTTCGGGGGCCCGCCCCGTCGTCGGGAGCTCTCACTGGTGATATGACATAGCTCCAACTGGGACCTTCACACCCTCACCACCAACATTCACGCCAGTCAGACCAAACTCCACAAACAAACAAACAAACAAACCCAGTGGCCGGTCCACACACTGTCCGTTGGGCAAACCGCCATCCTACTTCTCGCGCGACATTTTGCCCTGGACTTTGCTGTCGCGACCCCACCATCCCACCTCGACGCGCCCGCATCATGTACGTCTCGCTGCACGAGCAGGAGCTGTGTCGACACTTTCGCGAGCTGCCACGGCGGCACAACTACCGATTCGATGAGACTGCCGACCGCGAGCTTCGCCAGATCCTCTTCCATTCGCTCGCCGGCCGTGGCGACTATCTCCCCCTCTTCTTCCCCAACGGCCCACCGACCGACTTGGAGAAGCCTTGGAGCTTGCGCGATGCCCAGGGAGCGGTCGAGGGCGCAGAATACTCGGCTGCGGCGAGAGGCAAGCCGTGTGGCCACATCTTTAAGAATGGCGAAGCCACATACCGGTGCAAGACGTGCACCGCTGACGACACATGCGTTCTGTGCGCGCGCTGCTTCGATGCATCGGACCATGAAGGCCACCAAGTCTTCGTCAGTGTATCACCCGGCAACTCTGGATGCTGTGATTGTGGCGACGACGAGGCCTGGAATCGCCCGGTGCACTGCAACATCCACTCGATAGACTCGGAGTTTCAATCCAAGGCGGCTGGCAAGGCACGAGAGGGTTCGGTGCTTCCAGATGAGCTTCTAGAAACCATACGCATAACCATCGCAAGAACTCTCGACTATCTTATTGACGTGTTCTCGTGCTCCCCTGAGCAGCTGCGCTTGCCCAAGTCAGAGGAGTCCATCATGCAAGACGAGCGGCAGTCGCGCCTCACGTCCAAGTGGTACGACCCGGGCGACCAGCCAGATAATTGCGACGAATACTGCCTGGTGCTTTGGAACGACGAGAAACACACGGTCAATGATGTGCGCGACCAAGTTGCCCGAGCGTGCAAACAGAAGGCGGCTTTCGGGCTCGCCAAAGCCTACGAGATTAATGATGTCGGCCGCAGTGCTATCGTGTACCGCACAGATATCAAGGAGTTGCTGCGCATGGCCAAAATCATCGAAGAAATCAAGCTGACTGTCACAATACGCTCTGCACGAGACACCTTCCGCGAACAGATGGCTGGTGCGCTTGTTGATTGGATATCAGATATTGCCGGCTGCAGCGTGGGTGAGGACAACCAAGTCCTACGACGCACTGTTTGTGAGGAGCTGTTGAAGCCATGGCGGGTCGGTAGTGAAGCATCAAATGAGACCATTGGCAAGGATGGCCTTGACGATCATGAGATGGAAGATAAGCAGGCTGAGATGGATGGCTTCTATGGTGGACTACTACCGCTGCAGAGACGTGTGCGGACGATAAGGATACAGCGCCGCCGTACCGATACGAATGATGACACCACAGCGTCTGACGATGATGAAGAAGACGATGGCGAAGGCGAAGGCGAAGGCGCGGCAGACGGAGGTGATGACATGGACATAGACGAAGTAGGTGCCCAAGATAACGACGGAGATGTAGAGATGGAAGCATACGAAAGTGCGGACGAAGCTCTTGAAGTTTCTGAGGCTACAATGGCTGGATATCCACCACCACCCCCACCTCCGCCCGTCCCGCAACGAGGGCAGCCTGAGCAAAGTGTCACTCCGGCAGAGTCAGACAGCGAGCCCATGGGTGCACCAGCTCTCAGCCATGTTGAACCAACCATGCGAGTACCAGCGACGCCAGTAACCCGATCACTACCGCTGCGGCCATCCCGGCCTCCCAACTACTGGTTGGAAAAGCCCGAGGCGTATGGCAAGAAGCCAGGAACACCACCTCACGAGGATCTATGGCAGCGTTTGCGAATCGATCATCTGATTCTGTATGATCTGCGCATGTGGAAACAATTGCGCATTGGCGTACGGGACGTTTTCATCAGCACAGTAGTCACCATCCCCCAGTTCAAGCGCCTACTGAGTCTACGATTCGCTGGTGTGTATACTGCACTGGCACAACTCTATCTCATTGCAGACCGCGAGCCGGATCATTCTATCATCAATCTCTCCCTCCAAATGTTGACGACGCCATCAATAACATCCGAAGTCGTTGAGCGTGGCAATTTCCTCACAAATCTCATGGCCATACTATACACATTCTTGACGACTCGGCAAGTGGGCTACCCATCTAGTGTGGATCCCAACGCAACATTAGCATTCGAGCAGGGTGCCGTCACGAATCGTCGAATGTACCATTTCTTCCTTGACATGAAGTATCTTCTCGGCTCCGAATTCGTTCAAGAGAGGATACGGGAAGAACAACGATATCTCTTGCAATTCTTGGATCTGGTCAAGCTCCATCAGGGTATCTGTCCAAACGTTCGTGCTGTCGGTGAGCATTTGGAATTCGAATCCGAAGCCTGGATAAGCGCCTCGCTCATCACTCGGGAGATCAACAAGCTGTGTAGACATTTTGCAGAGTCTTTCACGTGGAAGCGTGATGAGGACTCCACCAACATACGTCGTGCCATACGCGCAGCTGCCAAGGTTGTCATTGTCAACTCCTTGGGCGCCGAACGACGGCGGTTCGATCAGAGCGAACTGAAGGAAGAAACCAGGTTCAAAACACTTGAAGTCCTAGAGTTCGACGCAGAACCCTCTACATTCTTTGGGCCAACATACAAAATTGTCGATTACGTCGTCGCCAAGGAGCCGATGAGCTTCCATCATGCGCTCCATTACACATTATCCTGGCTCATTGACAAGGCACGGAGTATGCCACGAGAGCAGATGCTTCAGCTTCTTCTCCATTCGCACACCGAGCTGCAGGCAGACTTCAACCCATCGAGTGTGCCGGTCCCTGTTCTTGAACCGCACGAGTATCTTCTTGCTGTATTCGACTTCCCACTCCGTGTGTGCGCTTGGCTGGCGCAGATGAAAGCTGGCATTTGGGTCAGAAACGGCGTAACACTACGACATCAAATGACACAATATCGGAGTGTTTCACAAAGGGATGTATCACATCAGAGAGACATTTTCCTCCTGCAATCTGCTCTGGTCCTGTGTGACCCGTCAGTTTTCCTCGCAACGATGATTGACCGCTATGGCCTGACGGGTTGGATGACTGGCAAGTACGAAGCAAGTCAACATGGCTTCGAAGACAGTCAAGCAATCGACGTAGTCGAGGATTTTGTTCACTTGCTCATCATTATTCTGACTGAGCGTACATCATTGATTCCTGCTGAAGAGAACGATGAGTCGCATTTGACAGCTATGCGACGTGACATCGCACATGTTCTCTGCTTCAAGCCCCTGTCATTCTCAGACATGACTGCACGTCTGTCGGACAGGATACAGAACATGGACGAGTTCGACGTTGTTCTACGGGAAATGACCCGCTTCAGAGCTCCCGAGGGATTGTCTGATAGCGGTACCTTTGAGCTGAAGGAGCAATATCTTGAGTTAGTCGACCCTTACCTTCATCAATACAACCGCAACCAGCGTGAAGAGGCCGAAACGACATACAAGAACTACGTGGCCAAGAAGACCGGCAAACAAGCGAGCGACATCGTCTACGAGCCGACACTACGCGCCATCCCGTCGGGACTATTCCAAAACCTGTCAACTTTCACAAAAACACCATTGTTTACCCAAATCATATACTACCTACTCGGCTATGGTCTCAGAGCCGCGGCTGCTACGCCAAACATTCCTGCCACGCGAGTGGAGACATATATCCAGTTTGCTCTCCAGCTTCTTCTCGTGGCTGTACTGGAAGACAAGACTGAAGAGCATGAGTGGTCGCAAGAAGCCCCTGACTCCTTCATTACTTCAGTACTTACAAAGCATGCAAATATGGGCATTCCTAACCATCCAACTGTTCTCTCTGTGCTGAAAGAGCTCCAAGACAAGGAAGCTTTCAAGGCGTGCGAGCCCAAAATCAACCTTATCCTCCATAGGCTGAAACAACGCCAACAACACTCATTCATAGTAGCTGCTGCAGCGCTCAATATGCCTACGGATAGGATGGACACAGCGTCGCCAGCTGGGTTTGCGGTTCAGGAGAAAGAGTTGAAGAAGAAGCAGGCACTGGAGAGGCAAGCAAAGGTCATGGCAGCATTTAAGGAGCAGCAAGGCAAATTCATGGCCAATCAAGACTTTGACTGGGGCGAAGACGACTTCAGTGACTTGGAAGACGAGACAGGTGGGCTTGTTGAGCAGGAAAAGACACTGAAATATCCGTCTGGTACATGCATTCTGTGTCAAGAAGACACCGGTGAGCACAGGCTCTACGGTACTTTCGGCTACGTATCCGAGAGCAGAATACTACGACAGACTGATGTGTACGACGACGACTGGGTGGATGAGGTCGTGCAGACTCCAGTCAACCTCGATCGTTCAGCGGAGGAGATACGACCTTTTGGGGTGTCCGGGAAAAACCGTCGCATCATCGAGAAGGTCTCCGCTACTGGCGAGCGCGTCATCACTGAAAGACAGGAATTAGGCAAGGGATTTCCACACTCACAAGTCCAGCCAGGCCCAGTCACCACCGGTTGCGGACACATCATGCACTACAGCTGCTTTGAGGTCTACCTTCAAGCGACCCAGCGGCGACATGTCAGTCAAATAGCAAGAAACCATCCCGAACGGCCCGACCTCAAAGAATTCATGTGCCCACTCTGCAAAGCGCTGGGCAACATGTTCTTACCAGTCATCTGGAGGCCAAAAAAGGTCGTGCACCCTGGCGTGCTGGAGACAGAGGCGAATTTCGACGAATGGATACAAACTCAGCTCGTTGCCACGTACAGGGATTCTGCTGGAGCTGCTGGAAAAGCGCCAGTGGATCTTACACCCGACCAGAAAGTCTTGTACGAGTATGGCGAGCGAGACTTCATACAGCCGCTTTCGAGCCGACTCCCTGACCTCTTGAACATGACACAGGTAGCGCTGGCAGTCCAGCTGCCGAGTATGCATCAGCCACCGCGATTTCAGGTCCCTGCATTCCTGGGAGTGCCGCAAGACGAATCGCAGCTGCCAGGTGTTGCCTCGAGCGAAAACAGCTCAGCTGGTGTACCAAACTTCTCGATGCTGGAGCTAGTCAAGGTGTATCAACGACTGAAAGATACACTCCGTGCGAACGGCATCCATTCCACGTTCGCATACCCACACAGCCCAGCTACGTCAGTGGAAGATCTCACGCACACAGACTCGCTCGCACAAGCTCTCGGCAACTCTATTGCGGCTGCAGAGATCGCTCAGCGAGGTGTGCTATCGACCTTTCCTAGGAACACGTTAATAGATAACATATCAACGCAGACCATTACACATCTGCGTGTGTTCTCCGAGACAGTATCTTCGTACATCGCTGTGGGAAGCCTCCGAAACAGTGTCTCTACAAAGACTATGGAAGAATATCAAGAATGCCAACGTCGGCAGTGCCATCAGCTGTTCGTGGGACACCCAGGTATCTTTGATCCGGAAGCCCTGAGCTTCGATCTGAAGGGAATTGTGCCTCTCATGTGCAAGGATCCATTCATCTTCCTCTCGGAGTGTGCAGTCGGCATAGCCGCAGCTTCCAACCTCGACATCCATCACATCATGCGTCTTTGCTACTTGGCAGAGATGGTTCGTGTGGTATTCAAATATGGCCTATCAATGGACGAGCCGTCTATCAAGATTGAGGATTCCCGTACTCCACGCCGCCAACACCGTTTCTCAAATCCGGAGAAGTTCATCAATACGGACAAGGTCAACAACGGCTTCTTGCCCCCAGATCAGCTGAACAACATATTGTTCTTCGTCTGTGTCATCTACAACGTGGGCACAATGGGTGTTTCCTCTGCGTCGTTAGATATTGACAATATGCCCATCCCTTCGCACTTCAAGGAGCCAAATTTCCTCTACTTCATCCAGACAATGATGTCATCGTATGCTCTGCCTTTTGTGCGCAAGGCAGCCATACTCATGCATGTGCGGTATGGTGTCGAGCTGCCTACAATTGCCGCTGACCGCGCCGACGACCCTGAGCTTGAGCGCCTCTCTACACTGCTCAAACTGCCTTCCCTCGCAGAGATGCTCGCATCCTTCACCCAAAGAACACCAGCTGGGCACACCACGCGCTCCACCGTCGGTGGCTGGCTGCGCCATCTACTCTGGGTGCAAGCAGGCAACGGGCCTCTCAAGCCGAGCATTTCTCTCTCCCACCCCGCCATCTTCGAACTCGTGGGTCTGCCCAAGAACTACGACACCCTCACCGACGAAGCTATCCGCCGGAAGTGTCCGACTACCGGCAAGGAACTTACTGATCCCGCGCTCTGCCTCTTTTGTGGAGAAATCATGTGCAGTCAGGCCGTGTGTTGTATGACCGACAAGCACCGCGGCGGCTGCAACCAGCATCTATCCAAGTAAGTCTCTCGTCCCTCCCACCATCTCTCATTCCCAAATACTAACGCAATACAGATGCGGCGGCCAAGTCGGTCTCTTCATTCACATCCGCAAATGCATGATCCTGTTCCTCAACCTCGACCACGGGTCCTGGGCTGTCGCGCCGTATCTCGACAAGCACGGCGAAGTAGACCCGACGCTGCGCAGGCACCACCAGCTTTTCTTGAATCAGAGGAGGTATGATGCGTTGCTGAGGAAGATTTGGTTGGAGGGCGGGATTCAGAGCATGATTGCGAGAAGATTGGAGGGCGAGATTAACAACGGGGGGTGGGAGAGTATGTGAGCGGGTGTATAAGTAGTTATAGTTGGCGCATTTTAGGGAGTATGGCGGCGACGGAGGAGTTTGGTTAGGTAGCATAGGTATCAGCATTCGTTCAACGGCGTCTCGTCATAACATCGTGCTGCTCGCAAGTCTGTGAAACTGTGCAGGTTGTGGTGATTTGATGATATTCGGGATTTGGACGCAATGTCCTTCGCTTGCGCGTATGTACAATCGTGATGATACAACAACGTATTCTTACAACATAATCTTCGCGGGCTTGTCCGCATCTTCCGCGTCGTTTTCTTCGCGTGGCGGCTCAACCTCTGCCTCTGCCTCTGCATCTGCATCTGCATCTCCTTCCGCCGTAACATCTACTGCGTCGAATTGACCTTCTCCGCTCGCTGATACGCTCTCTACAGTCTGCTCACTGGCAAATGGATCCGACTCGCGCGCCACCACGGCATCCGGCAGTCCATCCGGCGCACCGTCCTCGAGTGGCATTTCCTGCCTAACCTCTCTTGCTTGTCTCTCCGGCCTCGCCACACTCTGCTCCCTGACCCCCAACCTCTCCGCAACCACACTCCTCCACCTTACAATCTTCCCAAATCCCTCGACCCACGCCTCCAACTCATACAGCATCTGCATCTCCCTCCCCAGTTTCCCCGCACGCGCCAGTTCATTCTCCCGGATAATGCCGTCGAGCAGATCGAGCGTTGCGAGATCGAATTCCACAACGTTGGCGTCCATGTCGGTCAGCAGCGTATCGATGAGCGCGTAGGATGACTGCTGGACCCACGCGGTGCGGATCAGGGCTTTGTAGAGCGCTGTCGTCGCGCCGAGGGCGTAGGATGAGCGGCCGAGGGAGCGGATGGTGGGGAGGATGGCGAGCGGAAGAGGGGAACGGGGGAAGCTTGTGCGCAGGGTTTTGATTGCGGTGAGGAGATGAAGGGGGTAATTCGGGAAAAAGATGCGTGTGTCAACATCTATTTTGTTCGCAGGGGTTGGTGGCGCGGGTTTTTGTCGATTCTTCGATCGGGGCTCCTTTTTCACCTGGGTGGTTATGGTGGTGGGATTGTCGAGGTCGAGTTTGCGCAATTGGGCGAAGACTTCGCGGTCGAGGGTCTGCCACAGGTGGACATCTGTCGGGGCGGATTTGAGCAGCGTGTCAATGCGTTCGCGCTCTTCGAGGCGGAGTTTGCGGATGCGTTCTTTTTCGGCGCGGGCGGTGAATTTTCTTTTATCCTGGGGTGTTTCTACTCCTGAAAGGTCTATAGTCTTTACCGGGGTATCAGCGCTCTTTTTTGTTTTGGATTTTGCGTCGATGCCGTCTCTCTGTGCATTTCGCATCCGTGGCGAGCCCTGCAATACGGCGTCGAATACTTTGTCCAGCGAATTGCCCGAGCTCTCCTCGTCATCCTCATAGTATTCATCCGCTATTTGGTCCAATTCCTCGTGCTCGCCATTGCTGCCCTTGCCCCGTCCCCGACCCTGGGTGTTGAACGTCTTGTACAGCTTTTCGAAAGCCGCACGCTCGGAGCCCGTTATCGTCGTCTTCCGTGCAGACTGCGCCTCTTCGAATGTAGGCGGCAAATTTCCATCGGCATCTTCAAACGGTATGTTGTAATCAGGCGATGGCTGTGAAGAAACACTGCGCCCTGTGTTTGGTCGTGTGACGGGCTTCCACTGCAGGATGGTCGCTGTCTGGTACAGAAATGGCAGGAGCGTATTAGATTGCGAGACACGCGAGCGTGATATTGCTCGGAACGTGTGCGAGCATAGCGACATCGACAATGGAAGCCGAGGAGGCTGAAGGTAGTTTGAAAGCCTACTGGAGACGGTAGTGATCGTGTGAAAATGTTCCGGACTTTCGAGATTCGCAGTGCATTAGCGCGGGTCAAAGCTTAATTTCAGTAGACATCATCACCACTTCTAACAATGGCCGGAGACCGATTATCCAAATATGGCTGATGTGCTCGCACAATCTTCGACTATGCTTCGCTAATATCCGCCAGCGAAACGTTGCATATCACTGGGTCAGGCAGACAGCAGGATTCCTCGTGAACATGTCTCATTCTCGAAAGGGTATATACTTTGGGTTAACATGTCCCAGGTCGACTACATATCCCACCATCCCATTATCATCCAAGACCCCAAACTAGGTCGTCTCAAAGTCCATAGTTACAGCAAAAGAAAGTAAGCGGAAGCCAAGCGCAGGACGTGTAAATGGACAAAATCGAACGTCGTAAACCCTAACAAACGCCCGCCGCTGTGTTACGATCTGGTATTCCCAAACATCAAAAAAAGACAACCTGTAAAGCAAGAAAAGCATCATGCATCAACTGCGGAATTACAAAGGGAGATAGGTGCCGAATCTGGGTATTCGAGGAAATTGAGCAAAGCTCGTGGGTATCGCCGAAATCGTCAATGCTATCCCGCTCCATCAGCTTGATGAAAGCGAAGCGACACGTCTTATGTCCCCTGAAGAGATCCGATATCGAATCGTGGCATTCAATCAAGAAAATCGTTTCATGTTTCGTTGTCGTAGCGTCGTATGCGTGCGTAGAAAGACAATATGAAAATGGCGTCGTGGTGTGGTGTGTAAAAGTGTATAGCAACAAGGATTAGGATCGGTTCTCGACAGCCTGTTGCTCGCCAGTTGCAACTGCCACAAGCGCTTCTAGACGTCGCATATCATTTGCAGGTGGCTGGGGCAGAGGTTGGCCGAAGGTGACGGGGCCTGTTTCGGGTTCGCGTTGCGGACGGTAGCCTGAGCTCGAGCTCGATAGAGTGTGTCTATGGTACTGCGGGTATGTTGGCGACTGGAGCGGATGTGGTCTATCCATGATTGAAGCTGGGGGAACAGGCTTGTGCTCTTCTACTGAAGGTCCAGGTGCATGTGTTTCAACATAGCCATTGCTATGCACAATCGCAGGATGGTACTCACTCATTGTCGTATTGCCTGGAGTGGGCACTCCCTCGCTGCTACTCGAGTCTTCTGGAGACGTACGTTGTAAGACCTGGGTGGGCTGCGCAATGGGTCCATTGTACCAAGCCTGGCGCTTGTTCTTGCGGGGCGTCACAGGCTGCTCATTCGAAGACCTCGCGGAGTCTACCGGAGGCACTTGGATCGGTGGCGGAGCGTTAATCGGCGTGCGGTGACTGAAGTAGCCGTGCGGTGCCGTTGTCGGCCGTGCAGCTGGCTGTCCAGGGCTGCTAGTATAGTGCGACCAATGCTGCGAAGGTGAATTTGGGCTACCGCGATCAAAGCGATTCATGGACCGCTGCAGAGTAGGCTCCCATGAGATACTCTTGCGCTTCTCGTGGCCTCTGCTAGGGGTGTACTCTGCAGGTGCATGGTAGGTCAATGGGCGTGCTGGGGCGTCAACCTGCATCGGACTAGGCTGGCGGCGAGGAAGCATCGGTGCAGGTGGAGCGTAGTCAAAGCTCTCTATACCTGGAAGTCTGGTAGTCTGTGAAGCCGCCGGCTGTGAGGTGAACGACGGTCGTGGTGCATCAGGTGTCTGGTGATATCCTAGCCCGCTCGTCGCCGGACGAGGTCCACTGTAGACTCCGGGATGCCATGTACGTCTTCGCCAATCTGCATCTGCCGTTGAATCGCGTCTTGACTCTGAGAAGTTTGACGCTGTAGGGCTCGCATACACGCTGCTCTGGCCGGAGAATGTTGAGGCGGAAGACGACTGCAGAGGTGTCATGAATGGTGGAGGAGCCTGACCCGGCACGCCTGCGAAGGGATTGCCACTTGATGGGTTTGACAGCCGGCGGCCTGGTGGTGGAGGACCCGCCCATGATACAGGCCTAGATGAGGTTGTTACAGGAGACTGCAGTGTTGATCCGAACTGCGCAGGGCTACCTGCCGCTGCAGAGAATGTGGCAGACTGTGGCGTGGTAGGAGCATTTGACTGAGTATCATACTCGACAATCTGTGGACCGGGACTACCCATCAAAGGTGGGTTGTACGCATCGATTGTGTTCAGCGACAGACGTGCTCTTGCAGCGCCGTCACTAGCCATGGCGAGGGGCGGTGGTCGGCGTCGCACGTCCGGTGACTGGGCCACGCTTATGCTCGACATGCCAGTCGTTATGCTTGACGCTGACAGATTCCTGCTGTGTCCCCTACTGTGCCCTCCCGTGCTTCCGAGTGTGTTCGCTCGCGACCGGTTGCCAGGGGGTCTGACGCGGTCGGTTCGGATCTGCCTTTGGAAGCGTGTACCCGTTGCTGCAAGTGACTCGGCTGGTATGTCTTCGTTGACGTGTACTGTCTGGGCATGCTGCCGGAGATTGTCGAGTCTGGAGAATCGTCGTGAACAGTGACATTGGAACGGTCGTTCGCCGGTGTGTTTTCTGCTGGAAGTTAGCTAGGCAGGGTGTCAGATGGTGTGAGACTCACCGAATGTGCCTCGCCAGATGTTCGCTTCTCGTGAAGCTCAAGTTGCAGGGCGGAAACTCTGTGCAGAAGAAGCGCTGTCCCTTCTTCTTCTTGGACGGCCTGTTCGTGTCGCTTGTGACGCTCTCGTTGTCTGATCCATCCTTCTCCTCGTCGTCACCTTCTCCCATCTCCACATCGCGTTGCGAAGCCACAGACTGGGCAGACCTGTGCGAATTTCCGCGGCTCAGCTCGCTCTTGTTCGAAGGTGTCTCGCTCAGGTCGCGTGAAGACGTGAATGGTGAAGAAGGCAGCGGTTTCTGGCCCGCTAACCCGGCAAAGCTGTTGCGCGTCGGTGTCTTGACAGACGGGTCCTCGGTGCGAACATCCTCAACAGCCTTGGTCTCGGGAAAGAACCTGCTGTTCGGCCGCGGTGTTGTCGGTGTCGTTTCTTCGCCGCCACGCGCGGATGGCGCCTCCGGAACAGTCAGCGTTGTGTTGACGGCCTGGAATGCAGACATGCTGGGCTACAGTGGGTGCAGAGCCTAGTTGTCCTCTCGTATTGGTGTGTGCTAGATGCACTTCACAAGGCCACGCCCTCTGTGCAGGAACTGCGAATGCAGCTCTCAGCGCGGCTACCTGAAGCAGGTGCAGTCACTGTGACACTGCGGGGTGCTTCTTGAGTGAAGCGGATGCCAGAAGGCTGAAACGGATGTGATGACGAATAGAGAGCGGCGTTGCAACAACATCCGGACTCAGCGCCCGGCGGGTCGAAAGCCGAAAGTCGAAAGTCGAAAGTTAGTAGTATACTGTTCCTCTAAATAAATGTTAAGCGTTGCGTTCGTGTCGTCGTAAAAGGCTGCGGTGCCTGGCTGTCACGGGCGTGGCACGGTGCTGATGGTGCTGAGGGACGGGTGCTCGGAGTTTGGAGGTATGGCATGCGACGATAAGGCGGGCGGGTGTGCCTCAGGTGGCGGATTGATTAGCCCCTCCTTGCGCGGCTGGGGTGCGGACTCGATGCACACAAACACAAGGCACGAGCAGATTCGCGGAAGAGCAGAATGCGGCTCCAGGGACGCACAGGCTCGTTAGTTGCAGTTCAGCGAACTGAACAAGTGTCGATACAGGAAGCTGCGCGGGATTGGGGACAGTCGAGAACAGTATTGCGTCGCAAGTGCATGCGAGGAGGGGCTGGTAAGTATGGCACGGACGCGGCTTTGTCCTGCGCCCTGGCCTGAAGACTGGGCCGGCACTGGCAGTGCAGGGCGGTTGGGGTTTGGCTCAGATCCACCATCCATGCGGCGATGCCCTTCCTGCGTGCAGATCCTTGGATCTAACAAGTTTGACGAGCCTTGGCTTGGCTAGAGATGCCACCAAGGGCCCAGCTGATGCTGACGACTACTTTTCGTCGACCTGTCAGGCCGCTTCTGACACGTCGCCGGGAGCGATGCTCACAGAGAGCGAGTAATCGGCAGGCCCTCGAGCCGGGAACACCAGGCGGCGCTTTATTAGGCGGCGCCGTGTGTATACCAGGATGCTAACATGTAGATGGCACGCATGCCTTGCAGAGAATAAACGATGGCAGCCTTCTGTGGTTGGTCCTCTGCCAGCGATGACGAAACTAGAGACTACCTCTCTCACCGCCGCGTTTCACATGCCGTGAGAACGAGCTTGGTAGGCTCAGCGCCACAAATGGTGGACCGCTGGACCTGATCCATCAGCAAGGTCTCAGGTACAGCACCTACACCGTCGATGCGGTTGAAGGCGGGTTGTAAAACAAAGCTTGCTCTAAGACCCGGTACCAACCATGGTCACCTCCAGCTCGAGCAATTGGTCGGCGCGCCTGGTCCTGCAAGCTAACACCGTAGGCACGCGCCGATGCAAGGGGGACTCGAACATGATCCACAGTAAAGTGTTGTACCTCTTGTACCTTGCTGAAGCGAAGGGCTAGCATGCGCGGTTGAGCCGGACATCAGCGGCTCGCGACATGCTGTTCTCTGCTGCGCACAATGCGCCAACACGCTCGAGACTCTGCTGCCGACAGATGACAAAACCGCCGTCTGCGCGAGAGTTCCGACGGCGTGCAACCTTGTCCGTCGAGAGCAATATACGGCGTGCTATGATAGCGAGAGGTAGTCAGGCACAAGTGCCGACTCAACCAGTTTGCTGCGTCCGAAGGTCGATTTGTGGAACACCACGGCTAGAGGTCCGGGTCGGTGAGCTGCGTGCACGCGCTCGCCTTTAGCAATTATGCTAGCCTTCGAGTAGATTGTATAGACGTGCTGCTGATGCACTTGCTGAAAAAAAATCTGTACACTCCTGCTACGACTGTCAGAATGCGCAAGTCAACACGTTTCCACATGGAATTGTCAACATCACCGGATCCTGTCCCCAAAACAAAATATGAAACGGGAGGTGCACTTGCGAGCCGGGTCCTGATGTGATAATTCTGCCAGCTGATGCAGGCGTCGGTAGCTCCACGAAACAAACGAAGCGATCAGTCGCCAGGCACGCTGCTCTGCGGTGGCGATGGCGGCGTGGTGTTGAGGGGCTTGCGCTTGGCGGCGTTCCGGCGTGCGAGTCACAGATCAGTGCGTCCGAATCCAGCAGGCACGTTGAAGGCTGAGGAAACCGAGGAAGCCACACAAAGAACAACACTTGTGGGCATACAATGTAGCACTAACAACAATAAAACAATCGCGCTCTCCAGAAGACTGCAAGTGTGATAAGTCCCTTGAGTAATTCACAGTCTGAATTCGTGACTTGTGCAAAGCCTGTACGTTGTTGTGGCAGTCTCGCAGTGCTCAATCGAGCCTCAACTTCGGGTACAACGCGCCTACAGGGTGATGAAAATTCACGAAAAAAAATTGAGATCAGGGCCGAACCGGAGTCGAACCGGTGACTTCGGGATAAACGGCTACGGAAGGCTGCAATCCTACACTGAAGAGAAGTTAGGATGAGATCATGGGAAAAGCGTGTGGGCGTACGAACCTCTACCACTGAGTTACCGGCCCTCGAGATATTGGCAATAATTCCTTTGACATGATATATATACTTAGGATTTAATCGAAGGTGTTTTTCCTGCGGGACACTATTCCCAGATCCCATCGCACTATGATAGAAACACGTAAGCACTTTGTGCATCTCCACACCGGAAAATCTAGACCACTAGCCCCACAAGACCCAAGGAGCGTGCTTGTGCTACAGCACCTTTGTTGCTTGTTCCGGCTTAATCAATCGCCATCAACGGCTGAAAATCGCTACATATGGTATCTATCTTCCTCATCTGTCTCCCCAGGTCGTCTGTGAAAGCGGATCGTGGATAGCTGCATTCTTCCTCGAAGACCTTGCCGATAGCAAAGAACCCCAATGAAAAAAAGATCTCGATGACACTGAGAGGTTTCCGAGAAAACGCTTCAAAGCATGCACCGAGCTAGTGAGGATCCGGATTGCTCCTAATCCATCACTAGCAGCAATTCATTTCGAAATCGCTGCAACAGCATGTCTCAAAACCAAGGAGGTTTGTACGGCAATACTGCTGAACCAATCCTTGTAGTGCGAAACGCTCACGAAGATGTTTCTGTACAAGTCTTGGTTAGGCTGATCCAAATGAAAACGCAACAGGCTGACAATATTTTAGGTCGTCCACTCCCTATAGCCAACAGTATCGTCATCCTGCAGCTCACGGGTAGAGTACCAGCGTCGCGGACGAGGATGCTCGGGAGAGACATCCAGACCTTCCATCCAATCGACAAGGCTGTTAGCCTTATGTATGCTCCACTCTCCACGTATCTTGAGCCAGCGGTTACATTGAAGGTCGGGTACGTAGTGGTCGCCTTTGTATGTGCCATGGAGTTGTATGCCTAGCCTCAGACCAGGATCTTCAGCTTCCAGGCTTTCTTTTGGAGCCCGAACAACACAGCCATGCTGGTGCCTGCCATCCGGGACGATATCGACGACTATTCGAATTGTGTCTTCGATTAGACGGTCTACATCGGCTCGCGGTACCCATATCTTCACATTGTTGATATAGAATTGGTAGTCGGAGGAATTGTGGCCCCATTGCCATCGGACGAAACGACCAACACCAGGTTGTGTTGGTGGCGGAGGGGGAGGCCAGTTCGGATCGTGAGGATATTGTACTTTTCCATCAACGATAGTGAACCATTCAGATTCAGCTGGCAGCGGTCGTTTCGGAAGAGGAGGAGGTGGCAGGAATGGGTGACCGTCCCGGAAACGATCACGCTTTCGCTTCTCTTCGCTTATCTCGGTCCTCCTCAGAACAGCGTACTCATTCTTGACGGGATCATTGCTTGCCTCAAGTGCAGGACCGAAGTCTCGTCTCCCAGTGCGACCCGGGAAATAACTTAACGGAAGGCCTTGAGCAAAAGGCTCAGCAAGATTGGCGCCAAGGTTCAAGTATTCCTCTGGTATGAGCCTGAAGGCCTCCTCAGAATGATTTGCCTCCAGTTCATCAATCTGCAGGCACCGAAACACAACCACAAGCCATTGCTCCAACAGATTCTTCAGCGGGCCATCCGTTAACGTCATGCTTGCCACTGGCAGAGCGAAAAACGTTTCTTTGGCATAATTGACATATGTATACGCCAATGAAGGATGGTGCTTGCGGTGTTTCGCGCTCGAGTGGCATTTGACGGTACGATAGCGCAAATCTTTCGACTGGCCACCGTAGAACCTGTGACCCTCCTCAAGAACGATGACGAAGATGTAGGCACCTGGCACCTTTGGTATATCATCCAGGGAGACTTTATGATGCTTCAGACTATGGTAACATTGTCAGCAAACTGTATCATTGATTCATTCTTCCGTCTTTCGTGATAAAGAGCATATCGCAGCCTGAAGGTAGCACTTACGCATCGGCATCCCACAATGTCCCGGCTTCAAACATATCAACAACCCAGTCGCTCATCAACGCCCGACATGTAGAAATTGCCGCATCGGGATCGTCAAGTATGACTTTGTAATACTGCTCAATGGCAGCGTGTTTTGCTAGCTCCGGAAGTCGCTCATGCACAAGGAAGTCGAGAATTGCGTGCGGGTGCAGAAGCGGCTCGAAGGACGGCATGGTGTTGATAGTACCTGCTGGAGAAGAAGTCGAAAATTGAGAAGGTGAGGTAGAACAATCGACGATGATGATGGGCTTTAGTTGCTAAAGAGGTTGCGTGGTGAAGATGAAACAGCCTGCTTGCTGAGGTTTACTTACCGTCATCCTTACTATCATCGTTCATCGTTCATCGTTCATCGCTCACACTGTGATTGTGGAGATGTCAACTAGCGGCACTGCATGATCAATATATCTTCTAGCAACGTGAGCGCCTCTCCTGCTCTTTGGCATTCGACAATGTCCACGCCTGGCATCAACTCCTACAAAGTAAGTATGATAGTCGCACTCTGTCAGCTGATCTTCGCAAATTTCCACATGTCTCAGATTTAACAAAAGTATAGGATATGAACACAAACAAACCAAGCGACGCCCAAAGGGCAGACACTGGTGTGAAGCCAACACCACTTGACTGGGTTAGTATATTCTGTATGATACAGTCCATGTTTGTGTGTACTCAAGGCATATCAACATCTTATTCCTGGCACTATCGCAAATAAGCTGAGTATTCATCGCTAACATTCGTGTAGGCTCGTTACCGCGATCGAAAGCGGGCGAATGTTGCCGCTGAGAAGCAGAAGCAGGCAGCTGCGGCGGAGCGTCGCGAGGAGAAGGAAGAGCACAAGAGGAAGCGCGAAGAAGATGAGGAGACACTTCTGCCGCCGTAAGTAACTTTTCCTCTGATGTCTTCTCCCTTCATTTAACACACTCATATCTTTGGTTTTAAACACTTCTGAGAATTTCAATTTCTCTGCTGTGCCTAATCTTGTCTTCAATGAAAGGAATACTAAATTTTTGTAGAAAATTGACTAAGTCGCAAATGCGCAACAGGCGCAAGCGTGCGAAACTTGCGCGCGGCGATGAGCAGCAGGGAGAAGAGGAGCCCGATGAACCATCTGTGGAGATGGAGGTCGACGAGAAGAAGCCCGAGTTCGTCCTGTCGCTTCGTCCGGCTTCCCAGCCATATGTTTGTCCTGGCAAGATGAACGCGAAGTGGGACGATAAGAAGAAATGCGTCGTGAATTCTGGTACTATGTAATTAAATCCTACACTCTACCACTGAGTTACCGGCCCGTGTTTTCATGAAGAGATTACTAAAAATTATCATAAATATTGCATGTTGTCAAACTTCAGCTCGTCATCTCTCTTGCAACCATCGCTCTCTTGACCATCTCTCTTTCTGTCATCTTTCCTGGATGCTTCGGCAATCAACCCAAGTGAGGGGTAAAAGACTTTGGCGCATTAGTACATACGCATCAGGTAAGCCTGGCTACTACCTAGTCAAGACAGTCTCCATTCCAGACTCCAAAAGTGGATCCGGGATATCTTCCGAACTCAAATCACGCCTGTCTATCAAATCTTATGCCTGTGAAGATATACGGCCTTCATGAAAGCGTTGCTCATGAATGCCTTAATCGCGTGCCAGAGAATCGAAGGCTATCTGCACAGCTGCACCTACATACCATGTACTCAGGTATCCTCTTTCGATGGCCGGACACTTGAGCGCGCCTGCTTTATCGAACCAACAGTTTCGTACCACATGGGGAACTGAAACGCTGATCCTGTATATATTTGCTGTCCAAGGCCCGAACACTGATCTTGATAAACCCATAAAGGTATACTGCCTTCACTATACGCAACAACAAACATGTTCCCTATTCGCATTTGCGCTGGAGGCCCAATTTCATACTTGAATAAGTATATTCTACTCTTCACCAGCACATCCAAAAGCAATCCACCTGTCATTATCATAGCATCGTAAATACCAGGATCTGAAAGCGCATCCCAAAGCAACAAAATGATTACAACCATGCACCGGTCAAGCTTGACCCACCTCCACGCTCCCAAGACCCAGCAACTACTTATCCAGAACCAGTTTCTTACCGGCAGCTGCATGCACGCACCCGGACGCCCGTCGCAACACGTCTCACGAACCACGCCATCTCGATACGCAGTGTAGCCATACGAGCACAAATCCGTGTCCAAGCGTACGTTACAGTAGTTCTTTCTGCTAATCAAGATGCCGTCGCACCCGAGACTCAAGACGCACGTTTCATGATTTTCTTTTGTGCGAGAGTCTGGTATTCTCTGGCTCTAGGTAATACTCTAGACTTCACATATGCATGCTCCAAAGCGCATTTCGACACCAACCGCCCCCCATAAACCCGCTCTGGCAAGAAAATGCTCCCAAGCCTTCTTTAGTCATCACACCACTTATACATATCTCATGCAAATGCGCTTACTGCACGACCTAAAAAGTAAAAGTCAGCAACTCGGGTCCTGTATCATTCGGGCCATGTTGATGGAATCAGCGGCACGTCTTGCAGATCTGGACATACCTTCTCTCGGAGCTTGCTGATCCATTGGACGATGCTCTCGCCTTGATCTGCTCGGTCCTCGACGAGCAGTGTTTGAGCCCACAGCTTGAGCATTGGGTCGCCGTCTTCCTTGATTGCATATAATTGAGGAAGTAAGATGGACCCTACACCCTTTGCCTTGTGGTCTCTCGACTTCTCAACGACTACTCGTGATTAGTATGGCGCGCAGATTACAGAAGATACATTGGACTCACCGGCTCGTACGCGCTCAGAGTACTCATTATCCAATACTGGCAACGTGAACTTTCCTTGCTTCAGCTGTGTACGGTCCTCGACACCGAAGACGTCTGCGAGAAGCGCGGGAACTGTATCACGTCCAATCCACCTAAGTTTGTTAGCTAATCCCATGCTGGCTGTTCCCATAAAAAACTTACAAGAACTGGTTGACGCCGTCATCCAGGAGATAGAGGCCATATGGAACGATGGCAGCACTCGACAGGTTGAGAGCTGGAGGCATTGTCACTTGGCCTGTTGTAGGGTCCGGTACACCAGCGTCGTCCGGCATATCCTGGCGAGCCTTAGTCAAAGATCATACGATGAGAGAATTGTACATACGTGAAGACTGTAGAAACTGGGGTAGATGTACTGAGTCAGTAAGCGCAGTGGCAGAGTTGAGAGGAGATCGAGAGCAGCCGACCGCAGATCGGATGGGATCTGAGAACTTTTCCTGAGACCGACGTTCTTGATCAGTCCCAAGAAGAGAAGAGGAAGAGCACGTAAGTTTTGAGGAAGCTGAAGACCGCCACCTCCCATGCTACCACCAGCCAGTTCTTTCCGATAAGTTTGTAGAATCTCGATGATTTTACCCTGTAGGGCGTCCCGAGCAGCGTCGAGCCCGCTTGACAAGGCACGCTCAACAGCTTTGTGGCTGAAGTATGTGGTAATCGCTTGTGCATCTGCGGAAGCGTAGACTGAAGCCAGATTCTCGGTAGTCGGAACAGCAAGGGTGAGCACCCTAATTCGACGTTGTCCACTCGAGGTGGTGTGCAGAACAGCTGCCTGGAGACAAGCAAATGGCTTGCTGATAGTCTCGTCAATGGCGACTTCAATAACAACGGTCTGGTCCCTTGGATACGCCGGGAAAGCGCAAAGGTCAGAAGACCGGTTAAAGAAGTTTCCATAGAAGGCAGACATTCTCAATCCGGTTGTCGCGCGAACTCGAAGGACAGCCTCCAACCCAATTTCAGCCGACAGATAGTCAGCCCAGCTCAGTCGCAACCTTGACAACGTCTTCTTGCCTGGCGGCGTTCCATCCAGGATAGAAGTATGTCTGACCTGCAGTGAAGCGCGGGAGGTTGCTCAATGTCGCGACATCTTGGTATTGCGACGAGAACAAGAACATGTCGACTGAGACTTGGTTCTTTGAGCACTCAACGGCAAATGACTTATACCAGTTGTTTGCAGGCTGCAGAAGGCCAGTTTCTTTTCCGGTACCCAGCAACGACTTGTCCTCTCTGGGTGTCAAAGCAGCGTGTCCGACGTTGGGCAATGATGCACCAATTACAGTGAGCTTTCCACCGAGGGGTGAAATGAGCTTGTGTGCAGAGCGAAGAGCCGAGCCGAGCGCGAATCCAGGAACGTGGGTGTTTTGGAACATGCCCGGAAGACGATCAAGGAAGCTTTCGATGTTGGTGCGGCACTGGCTCAGACTGACAAGGAGGTCTGAGGGCATTGGCAGGTACGGCTCCTCGAGATCCGACACAACTAGCTGCTGTGGGTCGTTGTTCTCGCTGTTGTCGGCCGGAATCGAGAAGAAATGCAGACCAGAGTCCACAGCCATGAATCCAATGCGCGTCCTCCCGTCTGCGTTGGGTATCCGACCAAGAGATTCCTTGATGACTCGCGACACGACTGCGAGAAGTCCACAATTGACTGCTGCTTGCGTGCAGTCCAGGATAATGTAGTAGCAGAGAGGCTGCGGTGGGCGAACCATGTACTCTTGCGGCGCAACAAATTCGGTGACGGCGTAATTCAGTTCCGGTCGTTGCCAGCGATCGACGCTCTTCTGCTGTGCTGCATCCCAGTCAAATGCCTGAGGGACATCGTTGGTCAGGTTGCACATGTTGCATCTCCACCGGTGTCCATGGTCGAGAAACGACACGAAGGGATTGATGTAAGCCCTACAGCGGCGACAGCGGCTGATGATCTGATCATGCACAACCGGTACCTGGTCTTCCGAGTCGTGCAGCGATGCATAGGGAGAGATGACAAGGGCGAACGGCAACTTGGATTTCTTCAGTAGCGAGTGATTGGTCGGGATGGTGTTCAATGTGCATCGCAGGTATTTGCTCGACTCGTTTGCGAATTCTGAAGGCGTGGCAGCCGCGTTGGATGGAAGGTTGATAGGCGGGGGAGGGTTGTAAAGCTCCGAGACGTGGAACGGCTGGGCAATGAGATCCGAGGGGAACAATTGATTCTGCTGCGTGGCCGCGTTGGGCTGTTGTACTTGTGGCGCGGCTTGTCCCTGCTGGGGGCCAAGGTTCATCTGGCCAAATTGCTGGCCGAGCGCATTGGGGTCCTGGGCTGGAGGTTGCCCATACGCGGGCGCTGGAGCGCCGTAGGCAGGTTGAGGAGCGCCGTAGCCAGGCGTCACGGGTGCTCCATATCCTGGGGCGCCGGGTGCTCCATATCCAGGCGCTGCTGGTGCTCCATATCCGGGAGCAGGTGGAGGGCCTCCAGCTCCAGCTTGACCGCTAGAGTTGGCTCCGAACTCGTATGCCGCGCCCGCATACCGGTCCCTCTTCTTGCGGTCCGCCATATCGAGAGCAGCGGGGGGCCAGAGAGGTGATTGTGTGTTGTAGAGGTCGGGGGCGCGAAGGATTGGTGCTGGCGGGTACGAGTGGGAATTTATTGATGAGGTTGAAGCTTGATGTGTCTTCTTGCCCAGGTAGGCGGCTCATTCCGCGCTAGCCTCGCCCCGCCAATGCACAGACAGACGAGGGATAGCTTCTGGCTCCACCTAGAGAACACCTTTGCTCTTCCACTGCGTTCTCACCACCTACATCCAGGCACCAGCATTGTCATGTACGAGATTCGCTCATGTGTCAGTACACACCTTACGGAAACATTATGCTTCTGCATTGCTTTACGTGTCCTCTACATTGGGGCATCAACGTGTGCACTTGGAGATATTCCTAGGCCGCTATTGGGGGTCGAGCAAGAGCTTTTTCGATAATCAACTAACATTACAATAATCATTACAGCAAGGTATCAAATCATTAGTACACGTAATCATCAAGATCCCGCTATCCTGACACGACCAGGTCGCTCCTCACAGCTATCGGATGGTAAATAGCCTTTCCTAGACGGCTGTTGGAACCTCCTTGTGGACAGGCTCTTGCCTCTCCAGCAACTCCGCATCCGAGACGGGATATGGAGTTTCAGTGTATCGCTGCTCGCCGCTGACGGTCCTGCTGCCAGGCGCCTGATCAACGACGGAAGGCTCCGCAGCAACACTGTCATCAACCGGTATGGCACCCGGCATGGCACCTACGCCAAGGTGGCCAGCATTAGAGGTGATGGGCTCCACATCCAGGCGGTAGCTTTGAAGATCGCTCTCGGCATCAGTGAGGACTTGACGAGCAGCCTCCACCTCCGCAAAGGCAGGATGCGTGTCGCCGGGCACAATCGGGGTATCGTCCACCATGTTCAAGAGCCGACGGGCATGCTTTGCGAGGATGATCTGCTTCTCGGCGCGCTCAATGGTGGCTGCGAAGTTTTGGTCGTAAGCCTCCTTGAACTTTTGTCGGGTCTACAATGGTCAGCAGGCTTGAAACTACTCGGTGAAGGATGCTCTTACGATGTTGCTGAGTTGTGCTTCAGCGACGAGACTCTGGGCCTCTGCGCGTACGAGCTCCTGTTCGAGTTGGACAATCTTGGTGCTCTGGGGCTCCTTGTACTTCAGCTTGGCAATCTCGTCGGAGATCTGACAGTTGTTAGCATGTCCTGTGTAGATCCAAGTACAAGTCATACCTTGGCCTTGTGGTCGCGACTGGGCTGAACCGAGCTCTCGGTGTTGCGGATCTGCTTAAGGACGCCCCGGTATTCCTCCAGCCCTTGTGCATAAATGTCCTCCTGCTCAGCAATCTCCGCGAGCAACACGCCCAACTTGTCTGAGATCTCCGAGATGCTCTCGTCGCCAGTCGCTTCTCCCCATTCCGAAAGCTGTTGGGCAATTCCCTGGCGCTCGCGCGCGGCCGCCTCGTAGGCACCAATTGCGTGATTCTCAGACTTGATGATCTTGTAGAGCTTCTTCGAGAGTTCGGGCTGCTGCGTGCCTCGTAGAGATGCCATGGTGAAGCGGTGCTTTGGGGCAGACTTCTCGCTGCTGCCACCCTTCTTGGAGCGGACGGATAGAGATCGATTCCTTCATGTGATAGTCAGCATGCGATTTGAGCGCAAATATTCAGCATGCTACGGTTGGCATGCAGTTGGAGGGGACGCGGTGTGTCTTACATTTTGGCTATATCGCTGGCTCAGCTTCTTAGATGCTTTGTGTATTGCTCTGAGTCGCTATCAGCTATGCCTTGCTAATGGCAGTCTGCGCGCGAAAAAGGGAGTAGCAGCGATGATCGCCTGACCGAAGGAGTCTGTATTACCGTTTTGGGTACGATACCGTATATTCTGAAACTCTTGGATTTTTGTCGGTGCAATCCTGGGTCGGAGAAGGTACTGTTCGAGAGCTGGCGGGGGTCCTGTTCTCTGTACAATGGAGCGAGGCAAGCGATGATGTCATTCTCAATGCTAGCTCCATGTGCTACCTACACACTATCCAAATTCCATCCGGACCCCTCCGTGACTCCAGAGCTGTCATAACCTCTTCACGTGCAACAGACATGCAACAACGGTTCCCCACGATGATGGCTCGATTGCCAAACGCAGCATGCCATGCAGAGGCGGCTAGGGGCCTGGGCTACCAAACCGGCGCTGTGACACGCATTCATAAAAGTCATTCATACGAGGACTTCATAAGCTGCAAATATGCAACAGGTCAAATGGAGTGCAAGGTTAGTACTGCGCCGTATGTTTGGAGTACGCGAGCATGCCCTGTATTTATCCCACGCAGGAAGGCCTGTGTCACCGTGGCACAGCTATCTGCTCGCCTCGTCCGATCAGGTAGGTGACTAGTCAACAATTGTCACATAAAAGTCCAAAATACCACTGATGATCCAGTATTCCAACCCGCCCGCCTTCAACCCTGTCTGGGGTTGTCCTGAGTGACAACGCGGTTGACGAGGTTCTGTCATTGTTTGTGAAGGCCCCTGAGAAAAATATTTGTCGTCCCACCTACTCTTGTCATGTGTAGTACACGGAGCCTCTTAAGGGATTTCTAGGTTCCGCAGATCTCAAGCCTCCCGAGATCCATGGGCCGCACGCGCGCATCCTCGTTTCAACTACCTATCTAACTTCTAATGATCCCGCGACAAGGACATTCCTGCAACAACTGTCGGGAGCTTATGCCCGTTCGGCTGGACTTTCTGCAGTCAGAAAATCAGTCACAGCGCTTACAGCAGCTCTATTTTGGCAATACCGAGAGCACATCCCGTGGTCAACTGAAGGACGACTTAGCAACGGATGTCAGCTTTGTTTCTTTAGGGGTCTCCACAAAATGACATGGTACCTGCAGCGCTATCCAGGACATGCCGGTCATGGTATTCCATGCTTCGGCCTGTTCACTCCACGGACCATTCGCGACGCGCCGATTACCAACATCAAAACTTCTGGCCACAGGCTTCCATAATCAACATCACACTACCATATGCCGAAGCACATGTGTTCGGAAATATACTATCGGTGCCGAGAGGAGTGGCCGCATCAGAATTACTGCCGTGACCAGTGCTCCTAAGGCCTTCCTTGGTAAGGCTGTGACGGATTTCCGCTTGTAGCATTTCTTACTCGTGGATTGTCTACCATTGGGCCCACACAGCAGTACGCAGCGATACTGTACCTGTGACCAAACGGAGTGTCCGTTATACCGTGCTGGAGGCTTCATCTCTTCTGTGGCCTGATGTGCGTGCCTTGTATGCTGATCGACAGTTCCTTTGCCTTGTCCACTATTAGCTCCCCAGAGCAGCTGTCAACATGCCCGAGGGATCGGTTCCATGGCTCAACTTAGCTCAGAGCTGGACGAGAAGCTCGAGTAGGGATGTGCACCCGGTAATACACATTTGGGTGTCTGTCCGCTCGCTCACGTCACGCAAAAATCATCGGACGTACTGTTGGCTCACTGCATAATGCACGGCAACGCTACCCGTGCCTGCACTGTCTGAAATACTGTGGCTGCAAATCTGTACGATGAGACCTAATATTAGGGGAGGCACAGTCATGGTCTCTTGGAAAAAGCCTATCGCGATTGCGATTGGCGAACAAGGTTTATTGCTGGCATCACGTCGCGCAGAAACGATGTGCCTTATCGACCTGCAACTCTTGGCGTGGCTCCATGTCTGCGAGCGGCCGTTTCCTAGCCCTTCTTTTTGGCCCTTGCCCAGACCCACTACATTGGCATCACACCGCGTACCCCAGACAATGGGACGACGTCCGGTCATTGCGTGCCCGTGGAGCACTCGCACAAAGGTCTGTGCTAGAAAACCAAACGCTGTTGGTCGCTCCACTTGAAGATCTCCTGTGTATAAAGTGACACCTGCTCCCTCTCATGTTCTGATGAAGCACCAAGCCTACAGTCATCAAACATGGTCAATTTTAGGGTAACTTTCCTTGCCTGCGCGGGTCTTGCCGCCGCATCATGTCCGTACATGGAGAACGAGGCTCCCATCAAACGAGATGGTGCTGCTCAGTCTCCCAAGTCCACAGACGAGTTCATGGCGCAATATGAGGTCGATGATAAAGACGTTTACCTGACGAACGGTTTCGGCGGTCCCGTCGAAGACATGGAGAGTTTGAGTGCTGGCGAGAGAGGCCCTACTCTGCTCGAGGACTTCATCTTCAGGGAAAAGATCATGCACTTTGGTATGTACACTTGTCGCCAGTAAGATTTCAGTTCTAACACCTAACACAGATCACGAGAGAGTACCTGAAAGGGCTGTCCATGCCAGAGGCGCAGGAGCGCACGGAGTTTTCACTTCTTACGCAGACTGGTCGAACATCACAGGTGCTTCATTCTTGAACAAGCCAAGCAAGGAGACGCCGGTCTTCATCCGATTCTCCACCGTTGCCGGCAGTCGTGGATCACCTGACAGTGTCCGCGATGTGCGTGGATTCGCGGTTCGTTTCTACACCGACGAGGGCAACTTTGGTATGTCGTTCAGAATTCTGTAGGAGTTCAACGGTTCACAGCAGTGCTAACGTTTCCAGATATTGTTGGAAACAACATCCCCGTCTTCTTCATTCAGGATGCCATCAAGTTCCCAGACCTGATTCACGCCGTCAAGCCAAGACAGGATAACGAGATTCCCCAGGCAGCCACCGCTCACGACAGCGCATGGGACTTCTTCAGCCAGCAGCCATCTTCAATGCACACGCTCTTCTGGGCCATGAGCGGCCATGGAACCGTCCGCTCATACCGACACATGGACGGCTGGGGCGTCCACACGTTCCGTCTGGTCACCGACGAAGGCAAGACCAAGTTGGTCAAGTTCCGTTTCAGAACCCAGCAGGGTCTTGCGTCACGACTATGGGAAGAGCAGCAGCATGCTGCTGGTATGAACGCAGATACCGATAGACAGGATCTGTGGGACGCTATTGAGAATGGCTACTACCCAGAGTGGATCGTAAGTCTTGCGTTGCATTTGTACACGCGCTTTGCTGATCATGATGATAGTTTGAGGCGCAAATCATGGATGAGGAGGATCAATTACGATTTGGCTTCGACCTCCTCGACCCTACCAAGATTGTGCCCGAGGATCTTGTTCCTTTCACACCATTAGGCAAGCTGACCTTGAACCGCAACCCTCGCAACTACTTCGCGGAAACTGAGCAAGTCATGGTAAGTCAAACTTGACGTTTTTGTCTGCAATCGACTAACGATGACGCAGTTCCAAGTGGGCCACATTGTGCGTGGTATTGATTTCACCGAGGACCCTCTCATGCAAGGCCGCATCTTCTCCTACCTAGACACCCAGCTCAACCGCCACGGAGGACCAAACTTTGAACAGCTACCAATCAACCAACCCCGCGTTCCAGTACCACACCAACCAGCGCGATGGTGCCGGACAAATGTACATTCCCCTTAACAACGCACCCTACTCGCCAAACACCTTGAACGCCGGCTCCCCAAAGCCGGCAAACCAGACTCAGGGTCGTGGCTTCTTCTCCGCTCCAAACCGTTCCACTGGCGGTCGTCTTGTCCGCGCTGTATCTTCTACTTTTGCCGATGTTTGGTCTCAGCCGCGTCTGTTCTTCAACTCGCTACTGCCAGTTGAGCAACAGATGGTCATTAACGCAATGCGCTTCGAGACGGCTCAACTCACGAGCGAAGTAGTTAAGAACAATGTGTTGATCCAGCTCAACCGCGTGAGTCACGATATTGCTGTACGCGTCGCTGAAGCACTGGACATGACTGCACCAGCAGCAGATGATACCTACTACCACGACAACAAGACGACTGGAATCAGCGTTGCAGAGAAGAAGTTGTTGAAGCTGGATGGTCTGAAGGTCGGATACCTGAGTTCCGTATCCTCGAATGGCGACACCGCAGCTGCGCTCAAGACTGCGCTTAACGACCTCAAGGTCAGATTTTCTGTAGTAGGCGAGCGTCTTGGGAAGGGCATTGACCAGACCTACTCCGCTACATTCGCAGGTCAATTTGATGCCATCGTCGTCGACGGCCAGGCAGAGGCTCTCTTCATGCCTGCTGGAAGTCTGGCAAATTCAAACACCACAGCGAACGCTACCAAGGCATACACGACTCTCTACCCCGCTGGTCGACCCCTGTCGATCTTGCAGACTGGCTACCAATGGGGCAAAGCCGTTGGCGTAATTGGCTCAAGCAGTGCAGCCTTTAGTGCCGCAGGCCTCCAGGCTGGCACCCCCGGTGTCTACCACTTCGAAGCAGGAAACAGTACAAAGGCGATCGTGGACCAGCTCGCTGAGGGTCTACGCACTTTCCGATTCTTGGACAGGTATGCGCTAGACCAGTAGAGTGTGAGATGTGAATGGTGGCAGAGGTGAAGAAAGACAATTCATACATTTCTCTAGACAACTTGATGAGCGTGAATTTGTTTGCGGTGTTACGGACTTTCAAGACGCCTAAGGCGAGCTGCGGCCTCTTCGAATACGCCTAGCCCGGGTGTGAGGTGAGATTAGAGTGGTATCTCGGCAGATTCTGATATTGACACCGGTAGTGTTCGTACTCAGGGTGGTAGTCTCGGTCGGTCACATTTTAGTTTTGCGGAGAGACCCCTGCCGCCCGACTCACCCTTGCGAGGGTATTTGACCGACCTTTCCACCAATCAGCAGAAATGGCGCAGTCGACGTGTCGACAGCCACATATAGTGGCTCAGTACTACCCCAGAACGTACGAGCTGCTGTCTGGTATGGACATCTAGACGGTCAGACGCTGCGTGAGCTACCAGTTGTGTGGAAGGTCGGCGCCGTGAACAAGCGCGCGTCACAGTGCTTGCGTCACCCCCGGGACATCGGCATGGCTGATCGTGACTTAGGGAGGGTTGTGTGCCGTTGCTTCCTGCTTCACATCTTTTGCATATTTTAGTCCTTGGCTGACCTCAGGCATTTCGCATCCTTGAATCCAGTACCACAGCCGCGCTGTAGCTATTGTTCTTCTTCTCCAGTCATGACGACATTTGTACCATTGAGACAGCGCGGGTCGAGCTTCCTACACAGACACCACAGCGGAAACATGCTAAAAGCCAGCCATCGATCAGAGTCCCCCAAGCCAGCACTTTTCGAGGGAACCGACGCCGTTCCTCAGAATCGCAAGGTCGCCGTCCAGCGAGTCGTTGAGATCCATGATGCACTGGAGCTGAGGGACCAAGCTGAGGCGAGCACCGAAGCACAACGCAATGACTCCGCACGCACATCGAGCGACAACATCAGCATGGACTTCGATGCAGTAGACCTGCCGCATAGTGAAGTACGAGCATTCAAATATTTCTTACGGAAGTGGGATCACAATCAACGCCCCGACTCTGAATTTGATCAAGCTGTACAAGCCTCCGAGTCGGACTTCGAAGAAGCTGCCATCAAGCACTTCTTCCGACGGATCGCACTGTGGGACGAGAGTGAGGAAGTTTTGCGGGCGACGAGGAAGGAGATGGAGAATAGGTCGAGGAGCAACAAGAAGAGGTCAAGAGACAGTGTACTGGGGAAGCTCTGGATGAAGGAACGAAGCAACCAGGAGCACAACAGCTACGACGAGCTGAAGGAGACTACAACGAGAGAAGGTCTGGCACAGTTACTTTGGACGCTGATGCATGATCAAACGACGCCATTGGCTCCTCAGTTCGTGTCGGAATGTACCGACGCTGTAAAGAGAAAGTATGGCATAAAGAGCTGAAGCTAAGAAAGCGCAACAATATCCTATTACCTTATTTTCCATAGCTTTAATTGACTAATCCGCGAGATTCGTTCCTATGTGTGGCGTGTAAATTATCCTGTGGGGGTGCTGCTTTTCAGTCAGTATCATGTGACTGAATAGCGCTACTTTGAATTCCGCTGTCGGAACCGTTCCTTCCCCAAGCCATCACGACTTCCAAAACTCCGCAGTCCAGGCACAAACGCAATGCCGTTCCTTCAGATTGGATACAAGCGCATACACTATGCAGACCTCAAGCCAGAAGGCAGCGTGCTTGAGACATTTATCTTCATGCATGGGCTTGGATCTTCCCAAGATTACTACTACGCGTTGGCTCAAGGACTGCTCACCAAAGGCTTCCGCTGCATAATCTTTGATAACACAGGCGCGGGCCGATCCCCATATACGTTCGTCGAGCAGAGTGTCCACAGCCTCGCAGATGACGTCATTGGTGTTTTGGATGCATTGGGGGTTTCCAAAGCCGTTTTTGTTGGCCACAGTATGGGCGGGTAGGTGAAGCAGATGTACAGAAAAGCCGATCAGAAACTGACTGACTCAATGCAGAATCGTTGGTGCGCACCTGGCCGCTGAACGCAGTGATCGCATAGTCGCAGCCGTCCTCGTAGGGCCTGTGTATCCAAACGAGAATGTCGTGCCAGTCTTCGAAAAGCGAATAGAAACAGTCCAGAAGGAAGGCATGCAGCCTATGGCGGACACCGTGCCGCACGCCGCCGTTGGGACGCGAGCATCACCTCTCGTTAAGGCATTTATTCGAGAGCTTCTGCTGTCACAAGATCCTGCGGGTTACTGCTCGAACTGCCGAGTGATTATCAACGCGAAACCACCAAATTACGGCAAGATAAATATCCCCGTCTTGATCCTAGCAGGCGACGAAGACAAAAGTGCACCTCTCGAGGGCTGCAAGAAGATGTTCGAGGAGGTTGGTACAGGCGAGAAGAAGCTGGAGATTATGCAAGGCATAGGTCACTGGCACTGCCTGGAGGCCTTCGAAGAAGTCGGAAACCTTATCGAAGCCTTCTACCACAAGATACAAAAATAAGGACGGCTGGAAGTGTTCACCAGACAACCCAACACAGGAAAGTTTGCAGCCAGAGGACGCGCTTGATGAATCCTTGCCGCTTGCAAGTGGGGGGAGGGGGGCGCGTACGGACAGAGGCAGTCTTGTGTGGCCTCGTGACAGGGTCATTGGTGGCGTCCCTTTTCCGATAAGATGCATGAAGGTCTTGGCGCATGTGTTGAACACCCTTGGGGCGTTTGCGGCGGATGTCCAGTAAGCGGTAATGCATGACCCACGAGCTCCAATGTTCATGGCTTCCACGTTCACTGTCAATTCGCGGTATCAGTTGTGGCGACAACTGAGCAACTTACGAGGGGTAACCCCCTGGCTGTGCATTTATCGATACTTTAACGCGTACCGCCTACAAATCATACGGCGCCTCATTTGACTATTATCGCCTATTATGGCTGGGTGTCCGCCCCAGGTCCGGCTTTTCTAGGAGAGGCATGGTGCACTTGGCCGATGTCGCTGAAATCGTCGTTTTCGCAAATGATTCGGTCCAACCCGCGCCCATGCAGCGGGTATGCCGATTTCTGGACGAGGTTGCCGTCTCGTTGTTCGATGTGCCTCGCGCCCGCTCGGCTGTCATAACTGTCACAAGCCTGTGGCCAAGTGATCATCGCCCTACTCTTGACCATCGCACAAGGTTGCCTCAGCCTTTCACATGCAAGGACTCCCACACAATGTTTCTGCCGGCCCAGCAGCGTGTTGCGACCGCTACTGTGACATGTGTAAAGCATCTGTCATGCTTCGTCTGGCCACAAATAAGCTAAGCAACTCATTCTCCAGTTTTATCCCGACACTAGGCCGTGGAGCTTCTAGCTTTTCTAGCCCCCGGAAATCAGACTGAGGCGGTGAACTACAAGCATCAAGAGCCGCCCACCCATCCGCTGCAGATGCGTCAAAAAAACGTGCGAAGTCTGTCCGTGTCCTGCATATTGGCAGAGCCTGGACCAACCATAGGCCAAGATCGACATCTGTGGTCGTTTGATCTTGCCTTCGTTAGTGGCTTAGTTGCCTCTGCGACTGACCAACCTGGTTGACTTAATAGTGCAGCGGGTCTCGCAGTGCATCACTTGACTTTGCGTCGCATCGTTCCCTCGTTGTGAGGCTGCTCGTCCTCACATTTTATGGAGCCGTGCCCTCAGTAATTCTGTTCTCTTCATCTCGGTAGCGGCGCTGGCTTTCGGTGGGCCCCCCTTAGCACGTTCGCCTTCCCAATTGGACACAGCACTGACTGAAGTCTAGCGGTACCGAAATCACTACCAATTCCGATTCAAGTTCCCAACAGTTCACAAAGTTTTGTTAAAACGTCACGGTCTGCACTTGTCACCGCCGTTTTATGGATCAACCATGAAACGCATCGACAGTGGCTTCCAGGAGTCTCCCTTCTTGAGTCCGCACAATGAACCACCGTCAATTATTAGAAGCAACACTGCGCCTACTCACCATCGCAAACACACCAAGTCTATCATAGAGACTGCTACTCCGTCTACTTATCCTAAGACCATGGAGTCACAGCGGCCAGGGTCTGAAGACCTGTCGAGACCATCCCACCACAGGTCAAAGACCACGTCCTCCAGAGCCTCAACTACACGATCTCGAGGTCGCGCTCATGGATCCAAACCTTCCTCGCGTCGGACGTCTTGCACCATTGTGGACCCTTCCAGGTCGCGCCACTACAGGATACAGAGTTCCCACACAGTGCCCACTGCAACCAGCCAAGACATTGACGATGTATACGCCCTCCACCATCGCAGCTACAGTCTGTTTCAAAACCCGTCACTGCACACCACGTCCGGCCTTCCAAGCCCAACTTTGTCTGAGGACCATAAACTAGGTTTTCCAAGTCCGGTCGGTCGTTTCAGTACGGATGAGGTATATGCGCATGACGAACATGATCTACCAAAGAAGAGTGAGGACACCACAGCCGAGACTACGGCAACCATCACGCACTGGACTTCGCCATGTACTCGAAGGCGCGAGTACGAGCGCATAGACCGGGCCAACAGCGGTGTTCGGGGCTTCTTCAACAAAGTCATGCCGCGTTGTGTTTCAGGACCACAAGAGAAATTTTACGAGAAGGACAAGTCGGACGCAGGATCAGTGCGACGATATCGATTGGATGATGAAGATAATACCGCCGAGGAGAAGAAATTCGCGAGGTCGCAGACACCCCACTTGAAGAAGCCAAGCTCACCAAAGAAGAAGTGGATCTGCTTTTGAGACTGAAGAGATGGGCTGTATTTTGACATTTACTGAGAGATGATTTGCATTTTTGCTTTGCATCGCAAAGGCGTTTACTACGATACCCACAGCCGTTGAGCTAAAGAGACGCATTACACCTCTACATTTTGAGGGGTTCATTTTTGAATTACGGCATTACCACAGCGTTGAATAATCAGACATATAGAATGCATTGCGCTATAGCGTAAAGTTCCAAGAAACAAAGTGCTGCAAACAAATAACCTTTCCTCCGAGCTTGCATTGACATCGAGTACCTGGACTGGGTTCACCGCCACTTTTCGTGTGACCATCTGTCGTGCGCACAACAATACAACCTCGATGTACCATAATCTCTCCCTCTCACCGACATATTTGTGTAGTATCCATCCGTGACATCACATCCTGCACATATGAATCGTGAGACGCGTGACAGGGACCCACTGGTCATTGCGAAAACAAACAAGCACAATGGTATTGGTATCGCACTACAACTTTGCCTCCTCCTTGACGGTCCCAACCTTGAGCTTCGGTGCATACTTCTTAAGCACGCTCTCATTGTGGTACTAACAGCCTGTCAGCGCGTTGTCCCGCCTGCCGCAGTAGTCTCGAAACACGTACCTTCCAGAACTGCTTGCTTGCATCCTTGCCACCCACTCTCTTGAGGATCTTTGCGCCGCCCGGGTGCTCGTCGACAAATGTGTCCATTTTGTACACGTCGCTGTCGATGATGATGTAGAGACCCTTGTCGACCGAGGCGTGCTCGGCGACTTGCTTCGTTGTGAGGGATTCGGACATTGTGGGTGTGGGCGTTGGCGGTCGGATGGGATGTTGGGCGCTCGTGATAGATGGGAGGCTGGAGGCTCGAGGTCGCGAAGGAATGCAAGGAGAGGCAATCTGGGGTCTTGTGGGGTATTAGTCTAGTTCATGGCTTGTTGACTCGCCCCGTCGCGAAGTTGGAGATGCAGACGTGCCGAGGTCCACGATCCGGAGATGCTGACGCCGTTTTCCAGTGCGTGTGATTGGCTGGTCGGTTTTATCGTCTTGTAGGGATTCCAGAATCTACATCATCCTTTCACCAGACCACCTCTCCATCATCTTGACGCCATCGCCGGCGACACATTCTTTTAACGTGTAGATTATACCATGTTTTATGATGCCACTCAAATTTTTTTCACGGTCATCGGCGGCCACTGAGAGCCCTGACTTACCTATTTTCGACGACATCGGAGAAATGAGAGGAGCGCATATGAGGGCAGAAATTATTCAGGCGAAGTATGTCGGGAAATCCAAAACTCTTCCAATGTGGATTTCTTCAGGGCCGAAAGAGCATTAGGCACGCGAAGAGCTGGAAGAGGCACTGACACGGGAGTACCTTCCAAAGCTGCAGGTCGGACACCTCCTTCCAACACCACCACCCGACATGAGTCTGCTACTACGGCACGAACCCGGAGAGGCCCCTCTTTAACTTCGGAATGAGGAGATTTCGATTGCCATGTTATCCGTGGGTCTCTACGCTTCGACGCACTTCATAGCACGCCATCTGCTGCGTCCTCCCTAGAGTCCGTCGGGATTCGTTGCGGGAAAACATCGAGTGCATACGGTTTAATCCGTAGAATGGCCCAGACTGGAAGTAAAGATGTACTTGTCATCGGTTAAGTGGCCAGTCGAGCAGGACATATTTTGGTTCGGCTATGAGCCTTGCATCTTTAGGAGATGCCCACCTCCGGACTTCCGTATCATGTCACTGTGGCAACTTGAGGATTTAACGAGGATTTAATTTTTCCGGACGTTCTTCTATATGATGTCTCTGCTCTCCTGGACTCTCTGGCTGCTTTCTTCACTTGCTGGCGACCCTCAAGTTACCCAACGTCGTAGGATGAGTGATCAAGGGTCCACTGGATGGCCAATACCCCCCGACATATGTCACATCGACAGGGTCAGTACGGAGATACTATGCCTCATTTGCGAAGAACTGCAACCTTCTCATGGCGAAAAAGAGGATCTGCTGGCCCTGTGTTTGGTGTCTCGGCGACTGTACCTCGTCACTACTCCATATCTCTATCGGAATCTCAGGATAGACCTCACTCGAGCATCGCACATCCGTCTAATACAGCGCCTGATCCATTCTGGCTCTCAACTTGCAAGTAAAATTCGATGGCTGACAATTTCGGGGACCGAAAAGCAGACCGATTTGCAACTTCAGGATATTGACCTCCTTTTCTCACGCCTTGTTCGACTGCAGGAGTTTGCTTGGAATGGCTCTCTCGACATCCCACACCACACTCTCCAGACATTGAGAAATCGGTTCCCCAAGGCCGGCTTGCGTATCGGTGCACTGCAAACGATGCTGCAAGGCTTACCTGCGCCTGCACCGTCCCACGCAACGCTTCTGCACCCCGGCTGTAAACACCTGCGGGCATTTCATTTCCTATCATTGGGCAGTGGGTCCTTGTACACAGGGTTCAAGAGAGACCTCATCCACATGCTCCATCACAACCCGCAACTATGCAGTCTTCATCTCGATACTTATCTCGAACCTTGGGACAAATCTTTGCGGAACGACCCAGAGTTACTCAACGAGCTACATAGTGGTCCGTTGCCAAGAGTCAGTTCTTTGATCTTGGCCACAAGTCTGTTTACGACCGGGGAGATCGAACTGTGTGCTCAGCGTGGGATGTTCAGAAGAGTCCTACTCTTGAGAGTTCATAATTCAAAGCAATTCCTCTCGATATGTGCAAGATCACTTGACATCAAAGACATCACCTTTGTTCCTGAGCATGGCTTACGCTTTGGTGGCTTGATTGCACAAGTTGACCGACTGGCCGGTTCCAAGAGACCCCCCTTCAGAAAAGTCCGATCACTGCGCTACCAGACCCTTGAGCACATGAGTTCCTTCACCCAGCATCAACCAGAAATGCCTTGGTATCTTATCGCACAAATGCCCAGACTAAATTTGTTGGAGCACTATCCTTTCCTGCTACTATCATCTCGCACTGGACCACAACTAGGCGCGACCACTACCACTGGTCTAAAGAAACTTCGAGACTTGGTTCCTGGGGTCCAAAAAATAGTTGTCCATATCTCCGCGCGACCGTTACAGTCCCGGGCACGACTTGGAATAATCCGTGAACTAGCTACGTTCGAACGGCTGAATGACGTGAGCCTCTATCTGTTTGCAGGAAACGGATATAATTGTCCTGCCATGCTTCAGCAGTCCATGTGCCGCCAGATTTTCCAAGAGTTCCTAGCTGCACGAAAACCTACAATTCATAGCCAAGAACCTCTGACAGTAATTTTCAAATTCGTCGAGCCACGCTTGTTCACAAGTTCTAAATGGTTCACGCCCGATTACCGCTTCACCCTGACCACGAGTGGAACCATTGAAGCTTTCAGGAGGCAAGACGAATGCGTGATTGTCAGTTTGCGAATGGATCGGCTGACGAACGATCAACTACAGTCATCTGGCAGGATGCAGAAATTCGCTAGGGCGCTCAATTGGGACTGGCGTGGGTACGGCAGAGAAAGAGAGCGACGGGAAAGCAACGCCGACGCCAACGCCACACTTTGGGATATCTGGGCTTATTGATTTGTGAGTTCTTTCCTCACTCATCTAGGGTTATCGAGTAACTACCTCGAGAAATTTCGTGCACGGTTCGATCCGGTACGTTGCAGTTACCGCACATTACTATATCACTTGCTGTTTGCACGTCTGCTCTGTTTGCTTTACAATATGCCGCGTGGATTCAAGGCCGCTCTGTATCATGGACGACGATTAATAATAATACAATCATGATATTGCGGCTATTGCACGCTTCAAACGCCCGTAAATGACCCGAATCGACGCTTGTTGATAAGGCGTTTGACACAACCTCGCATGCTAGTGCTTTTTAGGGATGTTAAACCAATTCAATCAATCAATCAATCAATCAATCGCACGCTAGTGCGTCGCAGTTCGGTTCACAAGTAAGACTGGGTTCTTTCTATTTGAGCAACGTAATACAGGCCTAAGCTCTGTTCTAGAAGACCTGATCATCGCTAATCCTCCATTGCGATAACTACCATGGAGACCTTCAACACCAAGATCTGCCGGTTGACTAAGAATTCAATACTCGCCATATTCCGGAAGAGGCCATCTCCAACATCTGGGTCTCGAGGCTTTGCTATGCTCAATGAGGATGTTCTACTGCTCATTATCCATCATGTCGACGCCACGGGGGATATCACTAGTCTCTCAAGGGCCTCACATCAATTTTACAGACTCGCAATGCATCGACTCTAAAGAAGCATCGACTTGGACCTGTCACTTGGCTCACACCGTCGTTTACCTCGATTGCTTGGGACAACTCCCGGTCGGAGGCCACGCCTTATACAAGAGTTGAGCATCTGTGGACTAGAAAAGGCTAGCTCCAGCACTGCCCTCGATCTATTTCACGTCCTCACGAAATTGGAGAATCTTAAGAGCTTCTCGTGTGATGCCAGCATCATCACGCTGCGCCATAGCGAATCTATCCGAAAGGAGAACTTCAAAACAAAAATGCCTATATGTAGACTACCGCAGCCGATCCAGAGCACCCTCGCTCGCTCGATGCGACCGTGTATCAGCTCCTTCAAGTTCAAGATTACTCGCTTCTGTGACCTTTATGATGATTTCAAGGTTGATCTCGTCCGGATGACAACCTCCAATCGAACTTTACGGATACTAGAGATCTATAACCAGTGTTTAGCCCAGAGAGCGTACCCGGAGATGATTACCCTTTGATAATACTCAGTTTTGTATAGGCGCCCCATCTCTCCAGGAAGCCAAGGAGATCCGCAGACTTTGTCCGAAATTAGAAGAATTGGACATAGATTTGAACCTGCTTGGTCCATTCGCAACATGGCCGCGTCCAATTCTCGGTGAGCTCGCTCGCTTCTAGCAGCCCCCTCAGCTCAAGCTCTACCTTCACCAAATGGCCAGAAAGCGAGCAAGGGTCGTGAAGGAAAAACTCGATTACTATGCCATCTCTTGCCACATCCATCGGGAGCGACAGCGTCTCGAATTCCCAATTCTTTCACCGTTTCGCGTCATTTACAACACCACGGATGATTGGAGCAGGTTCGACAACGAGTTCAATAACCCAACCTTGTGGGCCGTCAACTACGGAACCTGCTTGTGTGCATTCACCATGACCTAGAATTACGGCAAAAGCATAACTTGTGAAATGCGAGATTGGAATAACCGTATTCGCCAACGAATAAATGAGATAAGACTTGGGAATTGGGGGACGTTGAAGGCAAAGCGGATCGCTGAAAAGCTTGTTGGGGCTCCGATGACGACGCGAAGGATAAACTACCCACTCCAGCTGTTCTTGCCGACTTCCCAACTCTATACGGTGCCCGGACTCAGTGAAGAGTCGCAACGCGCAGCACAATTTTACGATTCACCGAAAGCTGCTTTGCATCTCTGGCCAAGATCTCTAGAGACGATCACTGATCCTGTATAGACTCACGTCTTTCCAGGCCAACATACTATTCCATTTTCAGTCATGGGTGAGCAATACAATCACGCAGTCAACATAGCAAAAGACAGAGAAGTAGTCGTAATGTAAGATTTTTTATCAAACTAGACGCCGTGGATATCCAGTATGGCAACAGCGTTACAAACAGAGTCCGTAACGTGTCCCATGGGACTCTCTCATCATCGAGCCTTCACGATGAAGACGAAGTCCGAAATCAGGTCTGGTAGTCCTGAGATGATTGGACTCTCCCGATCACCCTTGACTTTCTCGTCGGCAATGGAGAAAACAATTCTCCATATGCCGCTTACAAGCTCTTCTAGTCGATCAGAAGAAACCTCCCGATCAACCATATTACCCTCGCATTAGGATAAGCCGAAGCCTAGTCCCGTAGCTGCATCAATCGCTCCACGGTGCATGGAATCAACGCCCATACACCTCACTGCTCCTCGATCTTGGGAGAAGGCAAGATGCGGCCCTGCTCTTTGTCGTTGCTCTCCTCATTATTGATTACCGCAAGTGCAGCCGCCACGACCTCTTGTTCCAAAGCTGCAGCCTGGGCTTCGAATCGATCGGCATCTGCAGTCGCCTGGGTGGCCTTCTGACGTTCGCCATCTGCGAGACGACGAAGATGTTCAATGTTCGATGCCTGCTGAACATCGATCACCCTTTTGCGGATATGCTCGACAGTCTTGTCTTTGGCATTCTGCACGGCGACTTGCTTCTCCTTCTCCCATTCGGCCCTGGCTCTCGCGAGAAGACGGTCGGAATCTGCCTGCTCGGGCCGCCTGGCGTCATCATCTCGGGTAGGGGCCTGGACGCGCAGGTCACGGATTTTGTCCTCTGCGATCTTTTTGGCTGCGAGCAAATGCTTCACCTGCTCGGCTATTATCTTATGGTCTCTCACCTTCTCGAGGACGTCCGCTCTAGCCTCCGCCGCTGCATTTTCAGCTTTGTGCCTCGCAGCATCAATTTTCTCCCTCTGCACCCTCTCCTCATTCATCTTCTGCTGCTTCTCGTTCTTCAGCTTCGTCATCGTCTCGAGTTGCCTCTTCAACAACACCACCTCGTCATCGTCTTCTTCGCGCTTACGCTTCTGTCCACCAGCAATTTGCAGTTGGACTGGCGCAGGGAAATTGGTGAAGAACGGGTCCATCTGTGCCAATCTCTCTCGTTGGTGCTCGGTAGGCCGTATCTGCACGTTCGGTGGGGTACGGCCAAAGTGTTCATGCCACCAACTGCTACTGCAGTATAGGCGAGGGCAAGGCAAACCGCGGTGAGCCTTGCCTTTGTCACAGAAGCCGCAGTTCTCGTATAGACTGCAGTCGCTGAAGGACAGGTGGGTCAGGCCCTTCGGCTTTCGGCACCACAAGCAGTCGTTGTATTTGGCCAGGATGCCAACTGAACCCACGGCAGCCTGATCGACAGAACCTGTAGGTGGACGGAAGTTGACAAGGTCCAGATGCCCATCTTAATCGCCAGGATAAGAAGTCAGCAATGCCTCAAACACTTCTGGTATCAGTGAATTACCTTGTCCTTGGAACCCACCCTGGTTGAACCCACCGCGAGGGTACAACCGACCTTGACCAGACGGCGCAGTTGGCGCGTTTGAGGGCGCGTTCTGACCTCCCTCACCACCATACCCACTTCTCTCACGTCCTGCACCGTGAATAGCACCGCCATTGCTATTCTCACCACCTGCACCGCGCCCTGTACCACGTCCACCTCCCATCGCCCGATTTGACGGTCTCGGCAAGCGTGTGTTTCTTTGTACGTCCATTACGTCGAAAGTTGTTGTGGTGTGGGTGGGGAGGGAGCGCGACTTTTCTAGGAGCAGCAGAAAATTCGTCACGTGGGCGCACGTACCCCAAACACTTAAGGAAAGAGCGGGCATCACGCCATATACAGCGTCATGGAAGCTTCTAGGGAAGAGAGATAGAGGTGAAAGTGTAGGCGGCTCGACGCTCGTCGATAGACATGGCTGACAAGCTTAGGAAATGACAGAAGGTGACCTACTTAGGTTGAAGCGCTTGACGGACACGTCGGATTCCTAGTAATTAGACATCAAGCCAGAGGTATATGGAGATATCCAGGCTACTAATTTTACAGCTTGTGCTCACTACGGTGCCTCCGAGAGCATCGATCCAGGAAGAGGTTCATCACAGCCTGTTCACTGAGCTACTTCACTGCAAAACTTACGAAGCTCGGCGCTCATGCTTCAGGATATCTTTACCAAACTCTTTAAGAAACGGATGCCAATCTTGCTTGTACTGCAATTCCTCGACGTTCACTTCTCATCTTTCAACTGTTGGCCTTGCATTTCAACAATCGTCCCTTCCATTCTCTTGCTCTTAACTCATCAATTACGAGTTCCTTTACACACTATGATCAGTTTAGTATGGAGGGTTGGCCTGATATTGTTCTTGTTGGTGCTTGGAAGAGCGCAAGAAGTCGCGCGTGACGTTCCTTCCTGCAGCAGTGTTCGTGCACTAGCATACCAAAACAGGCTAGTGACGAGAACGTGCAACGCATCGTGAGACTACTACATGAGCAAGTACCGGCCAGAACGAGGCTAGAATAGTACGTAAATTGCTCTAGGCTCCGTCTTGACCAGTCATACACAAAATTCTACATGGTGTTAATGCTCATGTTGACAAGATACTTCATCGGCTCCCCGCCTCCTTGAAGATATCCAGGCCTCGCTATCATTGTGCAAAATACTCAGGGCAATTGCGTATCCTACAGATCTCATCACTGAGTGTTCCAAAATTTGGTAGGACGAGAAACTGTCTCTGAACCCATCAAGAAAAACTGTCTAAACAAACACAAACAAACTCCTACAAAACAACGACAATGTCTCATACACTAACTAGGCGAGACAACACCTCACAATCACGACGCACGCTTCAAAGAAAGAGCCCTGAAAATGTCTTGAACCTCTAACAATCACCGACCTACAAACCGCAGCGCCACAAGCACCTTCACGATGTATAACTCCAGCTGTAGAATCGTAATGTGTAGACATACCAACCTGTGCGGAAGAACAGCGAACTGGGAACACATCAGCAACACATCATCGCTGCCACCAGATACCGCAAGGGCAAAAACGACCAACCCGAAACCATTTCCACATAACGACAATATGTGCTACATCCTCCTCTCCGCCTGCAGCACGTGCAACAAAACACTCCACCTCCGCTACACGCGCTGCGAACACGCCGCGATGCACAGCTTCGACCCAGCCGCGTGTCCGAACCGCATGAAGAGACGCCGGTGCAGCGAGGGGCCGGTGTGCGAGAAATGCGAGAGCAGGCGGGGGAGTTTGAGCATGCCGCCCACGACGAATCTGCTGGAATCGCCGAGGGAAAGCGTCGTGGAAGAGGACGAGAAGGAACGGAGACGGAAGAGGCTTGTGATGAGGAGGCGACTGAAGGCAAAGAGAACATGAGGCAAAAGCTGGGAGATTGGAGAGATGGATATTAGTTTTAAGAATAATAAATGATATTCACATTGCGCCAACCATAACCATGATCCTACCCTACCCTATCCTAAAATACCCCGAGAAATAATAAAGCATCATCGTCCAATTCTATCCAAACCATTCCTTCATCTTGAGGGGGTATACAAAAAAGTACTTCTCATGCGTCCCGTCCGTCAGTCATCATTCCTCCTTCATGCAACATCATGACATATACCCTTCGTAAGTCTTGTTTAATTCTCCTGCTCGACCTTGGGCGGCGCCTGCCCGAACAGCCCGCCGAACCAACTCGCGCGATTCGCCGCCTTGCGCGCCTGCACAGCCTCCTGCTCGTTCTGCACGAGGCGCAGCGGGCGCATACCTTTACCCGTCATGGGGCCAGCAGTCTCGCTGCGTTCCAGACGGCGGGGAGGGCTGGGTGTGTCGACGTGGCTGCCGTCGCTCTTAGCGTCGCCTTCCTTCTCCTCCTGGATGGCGTTGGAGGCTGGGACTTGCTGGCCCGAGGGGGCGCGGGACACGGGGTTGCTGGTGCCGGGGGCGGCGGCGCCGTTGACGGGCAGACCGAAGAAGGAGTTGCGCGGGGAGGTGAGGTTGGGGGAGACGGCGTTGGGGCTGGTCGCGGTGGAGACCATCTTGTTGATGACGTCGGCGGACATGACGCCTGAGGCGGAGCGGCGGTGCTGCGTGTAGCTGCCAGATGGCTTGCGCTGCGAGGCGGAGCGCGAGAGGGGGATGCTGGGGGCGGTGGTGGGGTCTTCATTGACGCTCTGCTGGGTGGTGGGAGGCGGGCCCATCATGCTCAGTGGGCGCGGCTTGCGGTTGGCGCCCATGGCGACTGACTTTGCGCGCTGAAGGAAGCCCTGAGGCTGGTCGCTCTCCGGAGGTGGGGGCGGCAGCTCCTTTGTTCGTGTTGGGGGCGGCGCTGTCGCGTCAGCATCGATGCTCAGGACCGACTCGAAGCCCTGGTGTGTGAGAAAGACGCCGATGATCTTGTTGATGTAGAGTGTCAGAGCCTTGTTCTCGCCCCTGGCTGCAGCGAGCTCAGACTCGAGCTTGCGGACAGCCTCAACGTCGCCTTCCTCAGCCGACTCCAACTCATCGGCCAAGCTGGTCGACGGGCCGTTGCGCGACGGAGTGACGTCTCCGCCATTTGACGACTCGCGGAGGAAGTCACCGCGGCTCAGGTCTCCGTTCAGCGTCTTCTCGCCCAGCAGGAGCTGGAAGCTCTCGTTGTCTTCCATGAGACGTGCGTTGGTCATGCGTGTCTCCAGCAGCTGCTTCTCCAGCTCAGCCATGCGTCCACCGCCAGCGTTCTCCACTTCAAGAAGCTTGACCTGGTATTCGGCGAGCTCGAGACGCAGGCCTTCGATAATCTTGTCCTTCTGGTTAATGAGCTTCGAGTTGCTGCGGGAGTCGCTGCGATGGATCGAAGAGGGGGGCGCAAAGGACCCCGCGGTCTCGAGGTTCTGCGACGAGTTGCTGCGAGAGGGGTTGTTGCGGAAGTTTGCTGTAATGGATGAGTCTGGCTCCGACCGTGGCGTCAGAGCGGGCCTTGACTTACATGCTCGCGAAACATGGTCTTCCTCGCCCTCTGACGAGGCAGTCTTCGATGCCATGGCGTCTTTGAGCCTCTGGATCGTCTCCTGCAACTCCTCTTCCCGTGACTGCGTCTCTTCCTTCTCCTTCATCGCCTGCACCCGCTCAGCCTCGTAGATGCCCTCAAGCTCTCGGTGCTGGCGTGTGATCTCGCGCTTCACATTCTCTAGCGACTCCACCTTCTCCTCCTCTTCGTGGGCGCGCTCCTCGAGCTTCGCCTGCTCAGCAAGCGCTTCATCTAGCCGCGAGTTGAGCACCTCGCACGTCTTCTTGCGCTCTTCGGCCTCGGTCTCAGCCTTCTGTAACCGGTCTTTGAGTTCCTGGAGATAGGCTGCCTGCTCCTCGCGTGCGTCGTCGTCGCTCGTATCGGCCTGCGATGCGTTGCTGCTCAGGTTGGACGATGCAGCGGGCTTGCGTACCGACGCGCGCGCAGAAACAGGTGCGCCATTGGCACCTGAGCGGACAGATCCCCTCCTGGCGGCGCCCGGAGTGCCGTTCGTGGTCGGGGTTGAGCCCCGGGTGGGTGTGCGGTTCGCCGCTGCGGGCGACGACGAGGCGGTCCTCGCAGCAGGCTCGCGCCGAGGGGTGCCTGAAGCGGGCGGTTTGGCTGCGGCGGCGGTCGACATTATGTGCGTTCTGTTCTTTGTGAGGTGTGAAACCGTGTGTTCGTTGACAGCAACGGCGCTCAGATATGCCCTCGGTTGCACCGCAAGGGTCCAAATTTAGAGCGAGTGGTGGTTGCGCCGGCGGCAGATCCTCGTGAGTTGTGGCTGTGTGAGTGGCTCGGTGCTAATAGCTGAGACAACCGCAGAGCAGAGCAGTGATTATAAACTGGCAATGCGACTGGAAGTGTTTACAGAACGAAGCGCAGACAGGAGCCCGACCAGGATTGTGACCTGTCAACGGGGTTCCGATTAAAGTAGCCTTAATCTCTCACCTGCAGCCAATTCCCTGCATGAACTCGCCAAGCCAACTCCGCGAGTGACACCCGTAGACCAGGAAACCACTCGGTCAGATGACAGGCGTACCAGTAAAAGTCCCCGAATCCAGTACGCAGCATGCTGGAGCACTTCGGCAGGCTAGACTTTCCTCGGAATTGAAACCCCTATTACGCTATCGCGATCACTTCGACTTCTATCACCACTCCAGTCTCCACGGCTCTCACTCTCGCACGTGACAGTACAGGGATACGCCCGTGGAAGCTGCAAAAGAACCTGTCCAACGTTCTCGCCTTCCACGTTACTCGGGCCATTCCGCGCGCACGTGACAGGTTGCCATAAGGATGACAGAAGTATATCTGGCAACTGAACCAGCTCAGAACTCTATATATTAATTTCGTCGGTTGTCAAAGTGACAAAGACCTCGGGAGACAAACTATATACCGTCCGAAGAACATGTGCAAAGCTTGTCCAAATAGGAATCGTGTTGCGCCCCAACGACTAGCCAAAAAGTGCCCAAAACGCCACATAATGTTCTATTCTAGCACTCGAGCCTAAGAATACATTCGACAAGTTGGAAGTCCTAGACACAGCAATTGCGTCTAGTTTGGCGCTGCTCCGTCCTTACCACTAGGCCCAAGCCAGCGCTGCGTGACACTGCGCACGCTTGAAGGCCGATTCCTCATCATCTTCTTCTCCCCAGTCTCTCCGTCTAGCAGCGCATCTTGTGATTTCTTCATCCCACTGTCCTTGTCACTACTGCCAGTCTCGTTGAGTGCTTGTTTGACAAGCTTCTGGGCCTCAGCCTCCAGATTCGGTATTTCCTTCTCTTGGTCCTTGTTGAGGTATGATTCAAGGAGAGCCTTCAGAGTCTGTGCTCGCACAGGCTTGGCCAGGTAGTTGTTCATACCCGATTCGAGGCACTTTTCGCGGTCTCCCTGGATGGCAGATGCGGTCATGGCGATGATGAGTATATTTCGGATGTCAGGATTTGGGTGCTTGCGGATACGCTTGGTGGCTGTGGCCGAATTAGTATGTTTTAGGTGGTTGCGGTCTGTCTCTAAGCACTTACCTTCATAGCCATCGCAGTGCGGCATTTGTACATCCATCAGCACAAGATGGAACGGTCGGCCGTTATCACTTGCACGCTCAAGCGCGTCAATGGTCTTTAGGCCGTCTAAATAAGCATCGCACCGGAAGCCAAGCTTTTGTACAAATGAAATGGCGATCCGCTGGTTTATCAAGTTGTCTTCAGCAATACAAACCCTCAACTCATTCCTCGGAATCGTCGAAAGGTCAATGCACGCTCCTGATTGCGCTTCATGCCCATTATTATCCTGACTGGAGAACTTGGCCATGAGATCCGTTTCGCGTGTATTCCGCCTATCCAGCACAGAAGTCTTCGCAACCTTGCGGAAGCGCAGCGAAAATGACACCGTTGTACCACGATCAGGTCCAGAGTCCCGTGAATCAAGCCACACTTTGCCGTGCATGACATTCTCGATCAGTGCTTTGCAGATGCTCAGGCCGAGGCCTGTGCCGCCGTAGCTGCGGGACGAAGAGGATTCGATTTGCGAGAAGGGAAGAAAGAGCTTCTTTTTCTGCTCCGCGGGTATGCCGATGCCGGTGTCGATGACGCTGATTGTCACGTCTGCGTATTCGTCGGTTTCTTGGTCGATGACCGCGCGCACGGTAACGGAGCCCTTCGGCGTGAACTTGTAGGAGTTTGAGAGCAGGTTCATCAAAATCTGATGAAGCCTGACAGGATCGCCCATGACCATCATCTCAGGGTTGAGTTCTAGCTGTTCAACGGTCTTGAGCCCTCGTTCGGCGTTAGTATACGCGAGAGCGCGGACAACTTCGGTAATGGTTTCCGTCAGCGATAGTGGCATTTCCATCACGGACATTTTACCAGCCTCCAGCTTCGAGTAGTCCAGGAGGTCGTTGATGATGGATAAGAGCGTATCGGCGCATACTCGGATCGAGTCAGCGTAGCCAGTCTGCTCCGAGTTGAGAATGCTGGCCTTGAGCAGCTCCGACATGCCGATAACACCGTTTAGAGGCGTGCGAAGCTCGTGCGACACATTAGCCAAAAAGAGACTCTTTGCTTTCGCGGCCTCCTCCTTCAACTTCATGTTCCTTATAGCTATTGCCTCGGCCTCCTTGGCTTTGATTTCAGCCGCTCGTGCTTGGGCAAGTGCGCGTTTCTGCATCTCCAGCATTGCCTCATTACTTGCGCTGACTCGTTCGATCTCCTTGAATAGCAGGGCGTTTGCCAACGAGATTGAGATCTGGTTAACCAGCAGTCGTAGAACCTGCGTATTGCGCTCGGTAAAGGAGTTCGGTGGGCCCTCCACATATATACTACCCAACAGGTGATCTGAGTGTACAATTGGTATGCAAATAACGGCTTTACCTTCGGGATTTCGTGCCAGGTATGATCCTGAGACGTTGGAGAAGCGGTCATCCTCCAGCAGATTTTGTACGAAGACGGTTTCTCGGAATCGTAAAGTGTATAGGGTAACCTGGCGGGCGACAACGTCATCTACGGTGTCGAGAGGCTGGCCGGTTGGGTAGGAACGGACGCCTGGGGCAAATCCAGTTTCGCTGTTGGGCTCGTTCGTCGCGATACATGCAATGCTCCATTCAATTTGGGAGTCTTCGATAACAATCCCACATAGGCTGCCGCCAGTAGACTCCAAAATAATGGCCGCCATTTTAGCCATCAATTTATCGACCTAAACAAGAAGTCAGTAACGGTTCTCGAAAGCATATCCTGAAGCTATACGCGGTATCGCTAGTTTTCATGTTCGACAGCGAGGCCATGCGTGTAGCTTCAGGATGTTGGATGGCTTGTCCACTCTTGCATGCTGACTGCTATTCTGTCGCGGTTGATTGTACGTAACCGCCATTTGCGTAGAACGTTCCGCAGGGCCTTTGCAATACTCAAGCACCGCACTCTAGAGGCTTCGCAGCGTGCCGAGCCGGAATCGTGTATTAGAGAAGAATGTACATGCCTTCAGTTCCTTTGAAAGCACTTGAGACGACTCAAGGATACTGCTAAGGTCCAGCATATCAAGTCCCACGGCGGTGAACCCATTGTGCAAGTCTTGCGAAGACTCGTGCCGCCGTCCGGTCTCTGGCACGATCCAGTTCTGTGTGCGATCCACGGCAGTTTCGGCAGCCAGATACTGTTCCTGGTCCTCATTTTGTTCGAGCCTTAGCGTGGTATTTCCTGTATCGATCACAGTCGTCTGCGTCCCGTTCGAGACTGTCATGACCGAGCTTTTATCGCATAGGAGCCAGTCGTACTTCGTGGCTACATGGTTTGCTTTGCCATGAGCTGATATCCTCCGGTAGGTACTCATGCAATCTTTGAATGAGTGACGAGCAGCCCTGTAGGCCTTCTTGCGGACGAGCCTTAATTTACGAAGTTAGCTGATGCCTTGTATACGCCTTGAAGACTTAATACTAACCATTCGCCGTACAGCTCATGAGCAAACGCCAGATCCAGCACAAACTCATTCTCCTCGCCATGATCCATAGCAGCCTCGTAATTCTGCAAAGCTGACGGAGGATCCCGCTGTACTTCAGCTAGTACTGCAAGAAGCAAGTGAATCCAGCCGCGGTAGTTCACATCGGTGACCGTCGAGCAAGCCTCCAAAAGTTGGATAGTATCCTGGACAAATTTGGTCATCTCTTCCTTGCGCGCATTCTTTGGATCGTCCCGCAGAGTTGCCATATAACAGAGCGACAAGTGGTACCTGACGGAGTAGTTGAGTCTTTCGCACCAGAGACTACTGAGCATGGGAAGCAGGAGCTCGCCTAGCTCCACTGCTTCAGCAACATACCCATAGAGAGTGAGTACGGGCATTTTCATGGCGAGATATATCGACTTTGGCCGTTTCGGGTTGCTGGCCGTTTCTTCGAGATACTTGACGTATTCGGCCGAGCTGTGCTCATCATCGGTAAAGATTAGAGACGCTTTCTGGACGCCGGTCTTGCCTTGAAGCGCTCTACAGTACTGTCTCGACCCCATCAGGAACGTCCCGCCTCTCATATCGCGCTGCCAGTTCTTCGTATCCAGCGGCGTTTCTTCTATCGATGCCTCTACTTCGGTAACGTCCTGCGACGCCATGACGCGGAAATGGGCTTGTACGCCGAGGTTGAGGAGGGTCAGAATCCTATCGCCCGCGGAGAGGGTGACCTCTAATGCAGCTTCCAGGTCAGGTATTAGATCTCTTACGGGCGTTTCGAGATGGCCAAGGAAGAGCGGAAGAAGAGTTTGCGTCCGGCCAACTGTGTAGTTGTCGTCCGGGTACATCTGAAAGAGGCGTTTAGCCATAGCGCCCATATCGACAGCAAAGTTCATCATTTGAAAACGTCCTGCGGCAATTGTGCCTAGGTGGACGTACGCCAGGGCCACTTGAGAGATAGAACCACCTTCAAGATGAGTGTTGATCAGCTTCAGCGTGGCTTGGTAGAACAAGAGACTGTTGGACCAGAATGCAGCACTGAGCAGTTCCACAAAGATTGGTCCCATCGTCAAGAGTATTCGGTTGTCTGCCGACAACCGACGAGCTAAGAGCTCCTCCTTGTCCACCTCTTGCATTTTGGCGTAGATCTTTTGAAACTCATCGTCACATGCCTCCCACGTTGTACGCTCAATTGGGCATCCCAGTAGTGATAGGCAATCTTTAAGAGCTTGGAAAGCTCCAAAGCTATCCCCTCGAACTGCGAACACGCGAGACTGTAGGATGAAAGACGACGCTAGGTCAACTGGATTACGCGCAAACTTAAAAGTTGTTCGAATCAAGCTCAAGGCTTCATCAAGCATCGACTGGTGCCAGTAGCACTCGGCTGAGCGGACGAAAAGTTGAAGAGTCTCTTGATACGACACATCGGGCTGCGTGTCGTCCCAGGGGTGGTCCTGAAGCAACACAAGGCAGTGCGCAAAGTAGTAGATCCCAGTAGATCGGGCTCCGGATTCGCATGCCGCCTCGCCTGCTTGGTAAAGAACATCTCGGAACGGAGCTCTTTTCGTCTCCCTAGACTTGATGAGATCTGCTGCGAGGCATATGTGGCGGCTTCGCATATACAGCGCCTTTGATCCCAGTATGAGTTCGTCATGATATACCACTCCTGATGTTGCCATCTTCGCTATGAGATAATGCATCATTTGTACATCCCACTCTTGATCTAACGAGGATGAAGCAGCAGTCAAATACCGGTCATGACTGAAGCGGAACCTCGAGTCGTTCTCTCCAGGCATAAGCACGTAGGCGGCAAGAGCAAGGTTAAGGGCTTCTATGGCGGATTCTTTGCCCTCCAACAATGGGATCCGCTTTGCATCTGCAGGTGCGTACTTGGGGTTCATAAGCTGCTTCACCATGTCGAAAGAAAATGAACCCCCAAGAAGCGAAGCCCAAGCTACCAGTTTCCGGGTCGAAGGAGGTAGCTCAAGCAGTCGCTTTGCAATGAAGTCGTTGGTTACAGAAGATCCGTACTCTGGGCTTTCGAAAACCTCAAACACTTTGTCAAGGTCGAACATCCAGTTGTTCTCTCGCCAAGAATAGTAGACACATTTCTTTCGATAGCTGCGCAGTTTATGTTAGTCATTGTTCAGGATCTTAAAAACTTGGCTACATGTATTGTGCATGGCCATCACGTACCCTAGACATTGTTAGCAAAGCTCCGTATCCTAAAGACATGGTACTCAGTAGATGTCTTGTCGCTATGCGCCAGACTTCAGCAGTCAGTTGCATACTAGCAATCCGTCCACTTCGTACCGGAGTATTCGTACATGTATCCAAAATCTCGCGAATATAAAACAAATTGCCATGGCTCTTCTCTTGGACCACGGCTACAAGAGGCAGGATATAGTCTTTGTCACGATGCAGAGTCTCAGCAACGTATTCGGCTGTCTGTGCTTCTGTAAATGTACTCAGCTGGACCCGAGTTGCATTTGGCAGTAGGGATCGGAGCTCGCGAGGCAGAACATTCTCGTCAGTGAAGGTGAGCATGAAAACCAAGGGTATCTTGGCTTGAATGATGTGGTGGATGAGTTCCGCGCTCTCTTGGTCGGCGTTGTGTACATCGTCCAGGTTCCAGATGCAGAGTTTCTGTACGGCCTGGAGGTTCAATCTTCGTCAGCAACAGCTCAATGGTAGAACGGAATTCAAGAAGCTTGGAACTGAACGCAGTCATATCGGCTGCGTATAGTTTGAGGCTTCTGAAAAAAGATGGGGCGGCACGCACCAATAATCGCAGCACGTCGATGAAGACGTTCATGAATTTAGACGACTTGGAAGCACCTCCACTCCGAAGCCAGGCCTCCGCAGTGTGTCCAGAGCTGCCGCAATGTATCGCCGGTGATGATGCCCGCCGATCTCGTTCGGTAACTCTACTTGTTTCTACAACTTTCTGTGACTTTGATGCCCCTGTATTTAGTAGCCAGTCCGGAAGGTCCAAGTATGTGCGGAGCACAGTCCATACGCCTGTATTCTTCAGGAAGCCCCGGAGACTGTTATGAAAATCTGTTGAAACATCCGCTTCACTGAAAATTTGCCGGAACAAAGACGACATGAGCCTGAGAATCGGCTCAAACGGCGCTCTCCTGTTGGTATCGAACTTTGCTGTGGCAAAATATCCGGATCTTCTGGCTGTGCTTTGGATGCTCTGCACCAGGCGCGACTTGCCAAGGCCAGTGGCTCCAGATATAGCTACAACCTCGCAACGAGCCTTGTGCCGGAATTTCCTCGTGTTAGACACGGTGCGAAGCAGCGAACTCTCTGTGGCTGACGCTGTTTGGTAAGATCGAGAGTGAGACATGTTGCCCTCAACGCTATTATTAGACGGACCTCTAGAAGACTGTTGAAGTGGAGGCCGAACTGGTGTTTCATCAGACAGAGATTTCTCCGTAGCCACGCTGTCTTGGGATCGCTGGTGTATGGATCGTGCAGAGTCCATGAAAACCGGCGCCGCAGACGATATGCTGTTCAATCGGCTTTCTGAACCCCTTGAACTATTGCTGTCAGACAGGACATCGTCCAGTATCTCCAGTCGCTGATCTGAGTAGGAAGAAGTTGAACTCAAACTCAAGCTATTAAAGTTCTTCAAGCCACCCCGGCGACGTTTGGCGGCGCGTTCGATGACATTGATGATAATCTGTCTTTCCTTCTCGCGGGCTATCAGCTTGAGAGGGAGATTAAAGAAGCATGATATATCTTTCGTGCCGACTTCAAAAGATTTCAGCCCACCACTGTCGCCTTCGGACAGGAGCTCTCGGATACGAATAAGGTCATATTTGAGCCCGGACGTCGAATGATAACGATCTTCAATGTTTCTTTGGGTCATTCTCTGGATGATATCTGACAAGGCATCCGGTATGTCAATGCGTTTTGAGGAGGCTGGAGGTATACGCCGACTTATCACACTTTGCATCACGTCGAGGGCTGTAGTGCCATCGAAAGGAGTGGTCCCGCAAAGCATGGCGTAGAAAAGAATGCCCAGACTATAGATGTCAGTTCGACTATCCGGCTCAGCGGGCATGCGGCCGGTCTGTTCGGGCGCGACGAAGGCGAGTTTCAGCTCAATGCCGACCTCGCGACTCAGCGAGTTCCAGCCAGCAGACGTAAGACCGTTCTCAAAGGATCTTGCCCCACTACCAAAATTGATCATCTTGACTGTTCCGTCTGAAGCAAAGTGAAACGCATCTCCACGCAACTCTCCGTGCACAATCTCATGGCCATGGTGCAATATCTCGAGACATTCGGTTGCGCCAATAGCAAAGTCCAGGAAAGTAAGAAGTGGCACTCCTGCATCAGGCTGCGGGGTAGATGATCGCCAGTTATTCTCTGCGCCGGTAAACCGGTACCAATTTGGGCCGAAAGTGACGAGGTCCTTGAGGAAATTGGGGCCTGGAGAGAGAAACGTCAGTTCTGCATCAGACAGCCCGAAGACAGGGGCCGATCTTACCTGGCGCTTCAAATATGCTGGCCACAAGCGGCTCCTCTCCAGCTTTTGTTGGCAGCCTAACAAACTCGATTGGGCGAACAAAGTGCCTGCACTCAGGATCCGACTTCTTCACCACGAGCTTAGACAACTGGAACTCGCGCTCCAGACGCAGAGTATGGGTCGATACACGACACACAACAGGCCGCCCTTGAAGTATCTCTGCGCCATGATTGTGTGTGATGGCGCTTGTATCGGATCCAGAGCTTCTATGGCTCCGTGTCAGGCCCGGGCGACTCGAGTCGGGCGAATGCGATGAGAAGGGCGTGGGCGAGGTGAGGGCACTTCGAGAGGACGGGCGCTCGGCAGAGGAGGTCTTTTCGTAGCCAAAGAAGTGCCAGTTGTCGTAGGATGAGTGGAATGGCTCGATCTTGGGGTCCCAGACGTAGTTGTGAAGCTCGATGAGACGCGCGAATATGTGAGAAAAGCGCGCTGCACGCCCCGTTTCCGTATCTCCCGGCGCCATTCTGGCACTGTGTATACCTTCACGCTATATGGTGGGCGAGCTGGTGCTGGGCATATTTCACGGTGGGGCTGCGGAGCTTAGGATTGATGCCCAGGTCGTGTCGCGCAAACGGCGACAATCATAGCGATGGAGAGATGCGAACGAGGCTAGGAAGAGGGATGGCGGTGGCAACGGCAACGGCGACGGCGACGGCGCTCTGCGGTGCGGTGGCGGAGGGTTTGAGGGGATGTCTTTGGGTAGTATGCACCTCTGGGCTGACTGATGGGCTTGGAGTCGCAGTGCTACAAAGCTGGCCGACTATTCCCCACACCAGCCAGCGGGACATCGGGGATCGTCCAGCAGCATGCTCCGACATCACCGTCAACCAGCATCCGTGCCCGCATCATCGCTGGCGACGTGAGGCTTAACGGCGGATTCAGAGCTCCACCCCCCATTTCATCGTGCCACAGGCTATCCCCTCTGGACCGTGCCTGCGTGATTCACTGGATGCATCCAAGACGCAGCAGTCACATTACGTAGCCGTGCCGGCTCCACCCTCCCCCACCACGCCTCGACCGACTGACTGGGAACCCCTCGAGAATTCAAGACACCCATGTATAGGCACAATTACTGCACACCACGGTAACCTGCAAACCTGCACCGCTTCGGAAAAACCCTGGGCCGCTGCAGCCAGCAACTGCACCGTCTGCAGTGACACTTCAATGTCCCACCATGGAGTCGCCCGACAACGAGCATGCCTTCCCCGGCGACGACGCCCCGAGGCCACGACAGCTGCCCTCCGACCTGCCCACCTCGCTCGACGACCGCCGCAATGTCAACATCATGAACGATGAGACGGAGATCTACGACGCCTGGCAAGGTGGCAGCACCTTCCTCACCACGCCAATGCCCGCCCGCCCGCTGAACTTCAACCTCTCCCTGGACGACCCGAGCTTTGGCGATGAGGACATGCAGCAGCTCGAGGACAGCGACAGCCGCCTTGTGCAGATGCTGGCCCACCAGGCCCGCCTGAAGAACGAGAACGCAGGCGACGAGGCCAAGGTTGTCGCCGACGAGAAGCTCTCGCACGACGAGAAAAGGGAGGCATTGCAGGGACTCTTCACGCTGGCCGCCTCCAATGGCGAGCTCGAGCGGGTGAAGCGGCTGCTGCACGGCAAAACAAAGGAATACATCAACATCAACGGCGTCGACGCAGAAGGCACACCTCCCCTGGTCTATGCAAGCTGTTTTGGACACGAGGACGTCGCAGCAGTTCTGATTGAGGAAGGTGCCACGGTGGACATCCAGGACAAGAACCGCTGGACCCCGCTGATGTGGGCCATGACCAACAGACACAAGGCTATTGTGAAGCTCCTCCTCGACCATGGAGCTTCTCCCGACGTCAAATCGTCTGGCGGACGGACGGCCTTCGACTTTGTCGAGCCCAACAGCGAGATCTCCGACTACCTCCACGAGAGCGGGTACGCCATTGGTAATGCCGGTGTAGGCGACGACTTCTACAACTCTGGCTTCGAGCAGGATCGCTTCGAACAGGAGATGCACGAGAACGACTTAAAACGTCGCATGATGATGGAGAGTGCATTCAACCTCGAGGTCGACATTGGAAATCTAGGCCTGGACGAACAGCCAGAGGTATGTCTCCTGTTCTATTCTTGAAGCGTGACTGACAAGTACAGACCCCAGAGGAGCCAGAGGAAGAGGCACAAGAGTTCATATGGGATAGGTGCCTGAACGACCAGATGTTCGTCTTCCAGGAGAGCGAGCTCGAGCGCATACTCGATATCATCATCACGAACATGACGCCGCAGCGCTCCCCGTCCCAGAAACCAGTACCCGCAAACATACTATTTCTCAGCGCTCGATATGCGCATTACCACGCCAGCCCAGAGCTGCTAGAGACACTCCTCAAAGCCGCGATGACCAAGATCAACGAGGTCGTGGAAAGATACCAGTGGGACATGACTGTCTTGGCTTTTTGGATGTCCAATGCGACTCTACTCCTACACTACCTCAAGAAAGACCCTGGTGTCATGGGCGCAACGACCGACTTCCAGCTGCAGATGGCGGAGCTGATTAACGAAATCTTCATCTTGATCATCCGAGACGCGGAACGTAGAATGGACAAGAACTTGGACCAGGCTATGCTTGACCACGAGCCGATGCCTGGATTTGAAGACGTGCAGTTCCAGCACGAATGGAAGATATTCCGCTCAAAACCAAAGGCCAAACCGATTGAGCCTATCGAGAAGCGTTTCAGACCTCCGTCGCCAAAGCGAAGAGCACAGCCATCGCCGCGTAACATAACGTCGCTCTTGTCGTCAACTCTGTTTGTCCTCGACCTATACGACGTGCACTCTGTAATCACAGCACAGATCCTCTCGCAACTGATATACTGGCTTTCAACTGAGATTTTTAACCGAATCATGTCTAATCGAAAGTTCCTCGCGCGGACCAAGGCGATGCAAATACGCATGAATGTATCGACGCTCGAGGATTGGGCGCGATCGAACAACCGACAGCCGGAGCACTACGAGAACGGTTCGATGACATCCACCGGCGAGAACACCGTGGATTCCGCGAAACGGCATCTTGAACCACTCGTGCAGTTACTTCAATGGTTGCAATGCTTTTCTTCACTTGGAGAGGACCTGGAATCCCTCGTGGGCACCTTGCAGCAACTTACGAGGCTATCACCACAACAGCTTCTGCATACAGCCAAGTACTACCGGCCTGAAGTGGGTGAGAAGGGACTGCCTAAGAGCGCTTCCAAATACATCGTACATCTTCAAAAAGCCGCTGCAGACCGGAAGATCGCACGCGCGAGATCTCCCAACCCACAGCAGAAGACAGTGGACTCCGCACCTACGACTCCGGTGCGGCCAACAGCGCAGAACGTTGCCTCACCGTCACCCGCACCTTCTCGTCAGCTTGAAGAAGATGAGAAGGATGAGCCGCCGGACGAACTGCTTCTGGATCCTTCGTACATGCTGCCTTTCTCCTTGCCAACATCGACCGACATGCTCATCAGCTATGGCGCCGGATTTGGCGGCATGAACAGGGAACGAGAACGGAAATATATCCCGACCGTTCCGCCCGAGTTCATGGCTAAGCTTGATCTCAACGGCGGCAACAAGAACGGAGAAGCCTACTACGAAGACACACAGTGGAATGATCGCAGCTATGGGTGAAGATGCTGCATTAAATCATTCACTCGTGGCTGAGCTAATCTTTGCTTGACCATAGGTGCTTCCATGCTCGCTGGCTGAGAAACAGACCACGTACAATGACCGGGTCTGCACTCTAATAACTGTGTCCGCAATTAGAATGCTCGTGAGTCTCCGGTCCGATACCTCACTCCGTCTACAGCCAGTCAAAAGAGGATTACTTGGGAGGAGCATGTGACGGCATGTGTCATTGTTGGTACTAAGCTTAGTGGGCTAACCCTCAAGCCTTTGAACGCGCATTGCAGACTCCGACAGAACTCGTCTGGCACAAACATCAGGTCGTATCTCAGACCCAACATTTTCTTTATGATCATCATACCCAACTTTTTGCATAGAAAGCGAAGGAGAATGGAGCCAATGGTACAGGGGTCAACTTGGATAAGATCAATACAACTTCATGTTCAACACGAATGTTTTCATCGAGCGAAGGCAGGCCCCACAGCTGGTACACGTTTTCCTCAGCAAACATGCATCCGCTCAATGTAAAAGTTCATAGCACTTGCTATCTCCGTCATCGGACCCATCTCCAACGGTATCTCTAGGTTATCGGCGGATCCCGATCGCTCCAGATACTTTTCCGGAGTTCTCAGGGTCCAGCTACCCCACTAACCCTCATTGGCACCCCGCCATAGCCATCTCGAGTGTTTCTTTTCTCATCCAGTAGCTACCTGAGGCCTCTTTGTTACACACAGAAATAATTATACATCCTGAAACTCCCTGCCATCATGGAAATTCGCAGCTTTGACCCTGAGGATGTGAAGAGCATTGCGACTTCCGCAGCTCGCCAAATCCCTGCAGACCAGATTGACTCCACTTTTAAGTCGCAGTACACAGGTATGCAATGGCACTCGCCAACTCTCACAGACTGTCGCTGATATCCACGACCAGATCTCATCTCCGCCCCTCTGGGCTCAAAGGTTCTCTCCTTCAGCGACGAATGGTTTGCGGCCGCCGAGAACCTCCTTACTCCAACGCCCCCAATTCGCAAACCAGGAGTGTTTGTACACACTGGAGCTTGGTACGATGGGTGGGAGACGCGACGCCACAACCCTGAACCCGCAGACTGGGTTGTTATACGACTAGGCACCGCAAGTGGCAAGGTCGCTGGTGTCGAAATCGACACTGCCTTCTTCAATGGCAACCACTCGCCCGAAATTGCAGTTGAAGGTGCATTCATAACAGACGAGAAGGAAGAGGAGGCAGTCAAGAAGGCAGACTACACTGGCTGGGAAACTATCCTGGCGAAGCAGGAGTGCGGGCCAAGTCAGCGACATGGCTGGCTACTCGATAGCATCACGGAGAAAGCGTACACACACGTCAGGCTCCTCATGTACCCCGATGGTGGTATCGCTCGTTTCCGCCTGTATGGTGTCGCGGTACCAGTCTTCCCGCAAGATACTTCAGCCGTCTTCGAGCTCTCGGCGACTGTCATGGGTGGCGTTGCTACTTCCTGCTCAGACCAGCACTTCGGCACGAAAGACAACCTCCTACTACCCGGCCGCGGCAAGGACATGGGCGATGGCTGGGAGACAAAGCGCACGCGTGGCGAGCACGTTGATTGGACCATTGTTCGGCTGGGCGCGAAAGGAGAGATTGATAACATTGTTATCGACACTGCACATTTCCGTGGCAACTTCCCGCAGAAGGTCCAGGTGTTTGCTGGCGCATTTGAGAAGGAACCAACGCACGACGACAAGGAGTGGGTGGAGGTACTGGAGCCACAGAAGAGTGGGCCGGACAAGGTGCACGTGTACAAGGATGAGTTGAAGGAGATCAAGGGACGGGGATACACACATGCCAAACTGGTCATTATCCCCGACGGCGGCGTGTCGCGCTTCAAGGTTTTCGGAAAACGAGTGTAAATTGGTAGAAGAACATGCATCTCTGTCCTCTATTTCCCTACAACCCGTCAAGCCAACCCCGGCCAACCTACAAGCACGCGTCAGCAACCTAATCACACAAACTTGAAAACAAAACTTACTCCAAATCGTCAGCCCATCATTCACCTTGCTCACATTAACCCGATCCCCCACCCTCACAACCTCGCTCTTCTCCCCGACGCCCCAGAAACTATACCTGCCAAACACAGGACTCCACTTGGCCCCAATATCTATCCTGCGATCCTTCTGCAGCCGCTTGAGCACCTCCCCCTTTGCGCCCACGCCGGGCTTCCCCGTCTCATAATCGATATTGATACTCTTGCACCTGACGCAATTGTGCGCCATGACAATCTCGGTGCGATTATTAATCTTGAGCTTCCCCCAGAAGTCCTCCTGATACGCCTCAAACGCGCCCGCGATCACAATGTTTGGCCGGAACTTGGTGATGTCCATTTCCTCACCCTCCGGCAGCCGCGAGGACACGTCTTCCAGCGACGTCTGCGAGCAGATGAGGTACGGCGCGCAGTCTGCGAAGCCGATGCGCCACTGCGACGTCTGGCGCAGGCCCATGAGCCGCTCGACGTAGCCTTTTGTGAAGGGCAGCTTGTCGCGCAGGAACCGGGTTAGTGGGTCCGGCTCGATGGGCTGCATGTCTTCGAAGAGGACGGCGCGCGTGTTGGCGCCGAGATACACGAGCATCACTTCGTACCCGAAACACTCGGAGAACCACGCGTTGTAGTGCGCGGGCATCTTGTAGCCTGAAGCGGGGCTGGAGTGCAGGTTTACCTCGTAGGGTTCGAGCTTGGAGGTGTCTGGGTTCAAGGGGATGGTTACGGATTTTTCGGCGGAGGTGTTGCCAAAGGCGCGGAAGGTGATGCGTAGAGACCCGTCGGCGTCGTTGTAACCCGTGATTTCTTGGAAGAATTGGGTCATTTCGGGTTGGCGGGATACGGCCATTGGTTTGGGTCCTTCCGGGGTGATTTGCAGGAGAATGAATGTTCCTGTTCGTGATTAGAATTTGAAGGGGAAGGTCCAGACAGTGGTGAAGTACGGTCGTGTTTGAAGCCATGTGGTGTGCCTAATGCCTCTTGCACTTTCACGCCTCGTAGAGATTTGATCGGATAGACATAGATCTACTCCAATGTCAGCAAACATCCTCATCCCAAAATTTCCAACATGCCTCAGAGATCCGCATAGCCGTAATCCGATGAATCAGCGGGCTCAAAAAGTTCAAAAGGAAGTACACCACAAACGGCACTACACACAGCGCCGTGAGCAGATAGACCGGCGGCACCTTCTCGATCTCGAACCTCCGCTCCTTGTCCCATTCGAACTCCACTTTCTCCATTTTGGCTCGTCACTGCTAGTTAAGGCAGAAGATGAGGATGTTAAGAAAGGAACAGCAGAATTGAAAAAACGGATGTCGTAAGACCATAGGGCGCACCCCACGTGTGTCAGTACCAAGCAATGCCCAGGATGTAGTAGCGGGCTAACCTCGGTTCGAGCGGTGCTCGGAATCGGGTACACTCCCGAAGTCGGGCATGGGATACGAGCATTGCCATATTTAAGGTCCTGCTGATGCTTCACATGTTTTACGAAGGAGTCTTTGAAAGTGGTGTGATCGATGATGCGATGAGATTCCAATTATATAACACTTTCGTGGCCTATTATTGCAGCTTCAAATCCTCCTCGCTCAGTACACCATACAGCTTCTCAATCTCTTGACCGATAACGTTCAGATCGTCAGCCAATTGCTTCGTCACGAGAGCTGTCATTGCATTAGCATTGAACACGTCGTTTACCATGCTGGAGGAGACTTACCATAAGCGTACAGTAGCTCATAATCTTCGTCTCTCGCGATCACCTTCCCCAGTCCAGACTGTCTGAACTCGAAGACCTTAGCAAGCAAGCGATCCCGCGTATGCTCGATGTTGGGCAGTACGTCATTGAGTGGGTAGGCTAGCTTCATGGACGATGCCATTACTGAAAAGTTTTAGCATGAGAACACATCACCGAATATCGCGTGAGACTTACCAGAGAACAGATGGCTGATTCGCCAGCTCAGTTCCTTCCACTCCTTCATGGTATACTTCAGTACCTCCTTCTCGCCCTCAGACGCCTCGAACTCTCTCATGATAATCACATTCAAGGCGTGGAAGCTGTCCAGAATGCGACTCGTTGCACCCAGTATGATCTTGAAGCTCTTGTCAGGGAACGGCCCGCGCAGCTCAAATTCTGACGACGCGGAGGCACGCAGTGTCTCGAGGTGGTTCAGGAATCTGCGAAGTTCAAGCTCTTCCTTCACCGTCATGAACGATCCAGGATGGCGTTGGTTGGTCAGATTGGCTTCCAATATTGTCTTGAGGGGTCCGCGCTTCCAGATGAGACCCATCTTGAGCCACAGCAACGAGGTGCCCTTCTTGACCTTCCGTCGCGCAGATATCGGCCAGATGACCCTCGTGACAACGATACCCCAAAGGCATCCAGCCATGACTGCGACTACACGATGAAGCACAATCTCCCATATCTCCGGTGATATGCCGCCCTCGTCATCGTCGTCATCGTCGTCCTTAACAGAGAGTGAGTAAGCGTAAAGAGCAGAGAGGTTGTATGTGAGCAGAATGAAGCGGCCCATAGGTCCTTTGCCCTTGCCAACGATGATGTAAAAACACAGCAACGAAACCAGCCACCCGAAGAAGCCCAGAACGAAGGCGTGCTCGTCTGCGGCGATCCACGCTGCAATGGCGAAGACGGCTCCTAGACAAGTACCAGCGAAACGCTGGAATCCGGTCGTGTTGGAAGCTCCGATAGTCTAATTCATTCTTAGCGATTTCCGGATTATGCGGGAACGACGACATACCATGGAGCACACAAGCATGTAAGACAACAGACCCCACTCTCCTCGCCACAGACCATAGAATTTGCGAGTTGGCTCAATGAACGACCACATGCCGTACAAGATCGCTCCGATTCCTACTTTGACTGCATATTTCAGATCGTCTCTTCTGAATATGGATAATGCCACCCATATTCTGTATGATAGTGGCTGCTGGTTGAGCGGCTTGTAGGGATCACCGCGTGTGTCTCGGCGATATATGGGGTTATGGATCTCGTGTGTTCCTCCAGGTGTCTGGTTGTTGTCTTCATCGATGAGACCCTCCGCTTCTGTCAGAATTAGTAATGCCGAGGACTCAAGACTATTTCCAGGACTCACCATCGTCATCACCCAAGTACGAACGGCTACGTCCCTTTTGCCAAAACTTTAGCCATTGCCAAGTCCTGCGCCGGGGATAGCGATTGACGTTCGTCTTCAGCTCCTCAAGTATGTCCAGGAAGGCAACCATGTCTTCTGCAAAATCTTCGAGGGAGGAACTGAAGTAGCCGCAACTCGCCGCAACCTCCTCATAATCGGCTGCGATAGCTGCGGAGCTAATTTTCGCAGGGACTTTGTTCTTGTAGACCATCGAAAGTGCTTCCCGGCGGGCGTTGGTGAACAAAGCTTTTGCATCCACCAGGCTGTGACGGAAATGCTCGTTGATTGCCATGTCGTACTCAGGGCCAGGTCCAAACGGCAGTTCCGATAGTACTTCGCGAAGCGTGTACGCAAGCGACTTCATCGGCGGCCCGAGGTGTGCAATGAAGATTGAGAACATATCAGCAGGCGTAAGATTGTTCTGGATTGATGTTGGGATCTTTGTCGAGCTCCGACTCTTTTGCATAGACTCGTCGTCGGAGGCTTCTGCGGAAGCAGCTGCTGATGGCTCTGCAGAGCTCTCGCCTACCTCATCGATCGAGGCCAATATACTACTGCGCCGCTCTGCATGCTCCATACCAGGGGATCCCAATTGCGGTGGACTCGTCGAAAGGGCGTGCTCTGAGAAGACCGAGGAAGTCACCGTTCCATTTCCGAAGATAGCTGATTCCGTTCCGTGTGTGTCTGTCTGCGCGAGGAGTGAGAACTGTGTTTCAGCAGCACTTCGCAAGCCACCGATATTCTGCATCAATTTCTCGAGACATTTTACCAAGCGAGCGTTGATCTTGAATTCCTGCTCAGTGCCAAGAGCATAGTGCTCAAACTTGGCCTCTCCTAGATTCTTGACCAGGGTCTTGAAGGTCGTGTTGATCTGGTTGGTAGCTTTGACGAAAGATTCGCTCTTGAGGTCCTGTTCGGTACCGGACAAAAAGCTTCGCGTGATGCTGTTGAGTATCTCGGCCATGGCATCAGTAGTCTTGATGGCAGTATTGCGAAACTCATTACGCGCTGAGATCGGCCGTACGAGAAGAGACACAGCAGCTGAAGCCGAACATCCCATGATTATCATCTTCAAAACCTGCCAAACCTTGACGTAGGAGAATACAGCAGCTTGCACAGCGCCTTCCTTTGTGAGGATCGTGATCAGAGCAAGCGATGTCAGAGAACAGCCCACGTTGACGAGGGGATTTCCGAGTTTCTGTTTCGTCCAGCCTACAAGACCCAGACCGCCTCCAACGAATACTATGAGCACTATGATATGCCCAATGACCAGTTGGTGATGATTTCCGAAATACACTGATACAGCCATGCTAGAGAACGAGATAAAGGTTGCATATGAAAAGGCAGCGAACGCAACCAAAACAGCTTCAAGCATGCTCCCGGCCGAGCGCGCAGGGTGGAAGTAGACAGTGATAGTCGCGACAATATGCTTTCCATCGTTCCTGCCGAGCAGTCCGGCAATCGCGGGCACAAAAGTAGCCAGGGACCCGAGTATGTATGCGAGCGTGCACTTGAGAATGCCTATGCCAGTGGGCGATGTCCAGTATGCATATGCTTGGCGGAGTCTATAGGTGCCCTCCTCCTTCCAGCGCTCGATGCGGCCCAGCTCTCGATGTCGCACAGGGTCATATTCGCCGGGCGCAAGCAGGAACTCGGACGACTCGGTGGCTCCGTGGTTGGATCTACGTAGAGTGAAGCTCTTCTTTACGCGCTCGCCAGTACGAGGCTGGATCATGGTCGCGGACCGCAGCTGTCGCATCCTGTTAGCCTGTGAAGTGAGGCGTCCGGACAGTGTTACATACGCTGGGCCGAAGGAAGCGGCGTTCCAAGCGGCGCTCCGCCTGGGTGGGTGATGTTTCACTCATCGTGAGCACTTAGCGACGACTGCGATGCGAGAACAGACTGATTAGGACATGGTCGAAGAAGACTGCGGACGCGTTGAGGCGCGATGTCCTGAAAGTTAGTAGAGTGAACCCTGCAGCCCTGCACAGATGATGATGACATGGGCCGCCAAGGCCAAGACTCAGCCACAGTCAGTGGTACTTTCTAGAGATCTACTCGAGGCGGCCGTGGAGCGAGCGGAAGACGGTGGAAGCTCATGCATCACAACGCTCCAACAAGCATGGAATATGCGTGAAAGAGCGATTCACGTTCTCGGCGGTCCTTCTGGAGCTCCGCGATCACTAGCGCTGCTTATATAAGCCCAAATATGTATTATGCTTGTGACTGCCTTCATCCTTGCAACAACACCGAGCCATAATCGAAAGACTTGACCGGCGAGTTTGCAATGGACGAAGAAGAAGACTTGGATATCGCGGCCGCCATGGGCTTCGGGTCCTTTGGCGGCACGAAAAAGAGAAAGTATGACCACGCCAGTTCGCCAAAAGCAGCCTCAAAGGAAGATGCCAGTGGAGCCAACACCACGCAGCTAGGCGTCAGGACAAAAAAGGTTGCGACCGAAGAGCTCGACGATGCCGCTATGAATGATGATGCGAATCAGATCTCTGCTCCAGCTACATCCACGCAGAAACCAAATAAGGCACCAAAGCCAGCAGCAGCGTCAGGACTCGCAGACTTCTTAGCTCGTGCACAGACGCTTCCCGACAAATCAACAAATACACCGAACACTAGATCTGCTCCTTCTCAAGCTAGACAGACTGCTCAAGATGAGATGATCTCATTTGGCGGGCCCGCTATCTCGAAAGGCGAGCTGAATGCTCTCAAATTTGGTGTCCAGAACGAACATGGAGACACCGCCTACTTTCTCCCGAACTTCGTAGAGAATCCCTGGGAGAAGCTGATGGGAGGGAAATGAAGGTCAGTGGTTTGGTAGCACTTTCGGCACATGAGCTGACCTATCTATCGGACTCAGCGCAGCGGGTGTGCTTCGAAGCACAATAATTCGTTCGGCGATGCCCAGAGGCATCGCACTTGCTCTAATCGAGTTCGCGGGACAGTCCCAGGAACTAGCGATGCACCTTTTTCACTGCACACAGAGCTATCAGCAAATGTACACGAACGTATCGATCCCAGCGATAGCCTCATGCTGAGTTCAAAAAGCATGGAGAACTCCGATCGTAAATCCACATGGCACTGTGCTATACAAAGGATAGCTCAAACCTGTCGTCGTGGACGTCCAACCACCGGGAGAGGAGCGGGCCGAGTTGGCGAAAGCAAGAACTAAAAATACCACCCACTACTCCAGCATTATATCGAACCACGTGCTATCCTCCAAACCCCAGCAACCAAATATGCAAGGCCACCCGCCCAATCGCCGACATCACTCCTGTCGTGCCCCCTCCCCAACAATCCTCCGATCCTCGCTGCACTCCAGTTACACAACCTCCCCATCCCGCACCCCTGCCCATGTCAGACCGCATACTGATAACCTAGCATTGACACATCCGCCCCGACGCCACAGTGCCACAACCCGGCAGTCATCATCACACAAAGCTCTCGGGACCTCTACCTCGGAAGCTCACCGCCATAATACACATTCCGACGGACGCTGAAGTTGTACTTGGGCCGTGATGCTTCCGAGGGGGACGGCAGTGTCGCTTTTCGTGTTTCGAGAGGCGAGGGTGCAGGTTGGTAGGTTGAGTGGCGTGCTTGGACCAGGATGGTAGAAGCGAGGGGGTGGTTCTCGTGTATGTTGTGCGTGGATGGGTGGAGGGGTGAAGCGAGCGGATGAGATGCGGGTGTCCGATGGGGCGCTGGGAGGGGTCACGTGGAGGTTTCGAGTTTATGATGTACACATGCGGCAAGGATAGCACTACAGGACGCACGCTCGAGAAACATGGCATATGTTATACGTCACAATCGGGTGTCACGAGATTACGAGTCTGGCGGGCTTCAGCCACAGTTCACGTTGATCGTGCTGAGCGGCCCCAGCATGTGCACTGCCAGTTAAGGGATTAGAGGGGAGCACAGCGAGGCACACTAGAAGAAAATTGACCATGATTTTGACCAGCTAAGTAATAGCCACACCTTGGGCGACCATCTGGCCACCCATCCCGAAGCAGTGATATATGACGCCAAAAGAAAGAACAAAAGCCACATCTCAGATCTGCCGGAACCGAAATTCCGACCTCTGGTTCTATTCGTCCACATCAAGCCAGTCCTGAGGAGCTCCAGCAGTTCGCAGCTCCCGACAGCGTGTCCACCATTGAGGCCAGCCCACGCTGCTGGCGCACTCACTGCCGTCCCAGCAGTCGCTGAATTGCCGCGATTCGTTCGGTAGATGCCATAAGCGCGATCTGCTGCAACGGCCCGTACCGAGTCACAGTCTAAAAAGCAAGTTCCTGGTGGGTGCGCTAAAAGCAGCGAGGCGGGCTGGCCAAAGGTGGAGCGGAGTGGAGCGGAGTGGAGCGGACAACGTGGACGACAGTCCTTTGACGTCCAACTAGAAAAAACGAGATACATCAAATAAACAAAGCGCAAATGGCCGTTATAGAACCTGGGGAATCGAGAAATGGAGTTGTGCCGCCGAATGTGTGAGAAAGCCGAAAAGTGTATGTGTGGATCATCAACAGTGCCGTGAGGCGGATTTGGTGGTCGTCGAGTGACCTAGTAGTCGACTGGCGCAGGGTAGCGTCGCTGAGCAGACCTGAATTGCTCTGGGTATTTGCGAGCTGCGCGGTCATTGAGAGCACTGTGGGGTAAGTTAGCTCTGGCTTTCACCAAAAATCGCCGGAGTAAACGCACTCTACCCGCTTCTGTGTCCATTGCAGATCTTTCTGCACTTCCTTTGCAGCTTTCATGCCCTCAGCAAAGCTAGCTTGAGCGCCCATGAGTCTTCGCTGAGCCAGTTGCTGTAGTTCAAGAAGTTCGCGGTGCTTGGCGTTGAGCTCACCGGATCTATCATATGTCAGTGAACCACTTTCCTCAATTTGGGCGCATTCAAGTGCAATTAGAAAGACTGAGAACTCACGTTTGCGCTTGCTTTGCGAGACTACGGTCCAATGGCATTGGGTCGAACGAGCCGTTCAGGCGGTTACCCATGTAGTCGAGGAGGTCCACGGACGTGGCGCCATTGGTGGATTCATAGTCGCTCGCGCTGCCGGCGTAGTTGCTGGATGCTGCCGATGGCTCGTAGGATGCTACACCGGAAGTTGTGACGCTATCTGGTGCCTCTGGTGGCGATCCTGACACACGACCATAAGTGTGCTGAGGCGGGTAGTAGTAACCAGGCTTCTGTGGGACTTGGATGGGATATGAGTTCTGAGGGTATGAGGAGTAGTAAGATTGGGTGGTAGGCATTTTGGTGATAGTCGGTGAGGTGAGGTTGTGTAAAGTGTGGGTGACCTAGTGGTAGTGTTCTGTGAATGTAGAAAGCTTGAACCGAAGTAAGAGTCAGGCTGTCAAACGAATTGACTAGAGATGTTGAGCTTGTCAATGGTGAGAATAAGGAAGCAGGAAAGACAACACTTTGGACCGCAAGATGCACTCCTTTTATACCTTTCACGTCGGTAATGGATCGGACCATGCTAGTCAACGGGGCATAGCGTTGACCCCTTCACGCCATCTGCTGCCGTGACCCCGCCCATGTGGTGATAAAGCTGCATAGTCTTACGTCCAGTGAAGCATGCTCCCGCTGGAGCCGGCCGTGACAGCGTCATTTAGACTGGGCTGGATGATGCCCCAGACGGTAGGTCGCAGCCGATCCACGATGCCTCGGAGGGATATTGAATCAAGAACAACGCCAATTGGCTCTAGAACGAGACTAGTGGAGACAATACTCAGCCCATATCAGCAGGAAGGTCCAGCGGGGCGAATTGGTGTGCAATGGCAAACGGGTGCGATTCTGGGAGCATTGCCGTCCATGACCGGCACCAGTGCGTTGCTAAAGGCAGCAAGAGATGGTAAGCGCATCAGACGCGGACACCAACGTCGGACAAAAGCAGCGGCAGCTCCACAGCTGTAGGTGCATGGATAGTCTGCCTGACGGACATGCTAAGTGTTGTCAAGTTGATGCGTTGGCTCGACAGCATGCCAACGCCTTTGAGCATGCAATCTAGCAAGGTAGGTGGAGGATCGATACAGTGCGTCTAGGCGCAGCAGCAACTGGCAGGGTACGTTTCCAGGAGATTGCCAGAAATTGAGCGCGTGTGTCCGGCGCGCGATGGGAGGACAGCGTTTGTGTGAATTTTAGTGCAAACGTTACCAGTACGGGTGTGTCGTCGAGAAAAGGCGGTCCGATCTGTGCCCCGCTCCAGGGCTGCTTGGGCCCCTCCATGCGTCATCCCCACGAGCAGCAAATGTACAGAGCAAGAATCACGCCTATTGGCCGTGAAGCGCCTCTATGCAGTGTAGACTTGGCGCGCTGATGCCCTATGCCGACGCTGTAACCCTGTCCGCGTAACCTCACACAGCATTCAATGGCATCCGCAGATGTCCCAATGGCACACACAAATGCAAAGTAGCAGCATTACCGGTGGCGGTGAAGGAGCCGGACTAGCATTAGTCCGCTCCATGTGACCAATACTTCGTACTGACATGCACGTCGTCCCCTGGTATGGTGCACCCGTTCGCGGTCCCGAGACAACCATCCAGCTGCTTGAGCTCGGTGTCTCCCTCCCATTTGTAGGAGACTACGGCAGCTATCAATGGCTAGCCTTGTTCATCGTAGATACCGAAAACGAGTGTTATGTAGAGTTACTCCTTCACTCTGCGCCATCGGCACATACAGACATACATCACGCACATAACTGTTGCACTGGCGTCGACAGGGCGTCCTCAAGCCGATTCGGTGTCACAGCTGTCAGAGGCGGCCATGCGAGTCGAACGTGGCCAGCCACTGGGAGTCATTGGGAACTCAGTAGTACAGAGCGCCGGAACTTTGGGTACCATGTAGTGCTCAAGCCCGCGCCAATTGACAGCAGGAACTATGCGCCGAACGAGCTACACGAGGCTGACGCGCGCCATGCTGATGGTTCTGTGGGGCTATGCACTAGGTAGTGGGAAGCCCAAGACCAGGCAGCGGGTGTGAACATGCTTCTATTTCGTCTAGTCTATCTGGGGTGCTCCTCTTCACGCTTCTGCATGCCTGACATACCCCGGCGCGAACTATTGTCCATATGTTCCACGATTCGCTGCAATGGCCCGAGACATGACCCTTGCGAAGCGTCCAGGCACGTCCTGATCCTGCTTCGCTGTCTCAATGCCTGTCAGGATCTTTTTGATACCAACGCCAATCTCTTGGCTGTCAGTGCTTTCTTGAATCTCCCTGATAGCACGGTTGATGTCATCGAATGCACCGGACTCCTGCAGGATATGTGCGAGCTCCTGCTGGGTGTTGACGTTCGGTACCGCGATCTCGGCGTCGAAGCGGCTGAATAGGTCAAGTTGGGTCAGCACCGAGCGTTCGGTTGTGGTTGCGAAGATCAACAGGCGACGATCCTAGACGTATTAGTATTGTCTCCATGCGCCACAGCTCACTACTACATACCTTGGGAGGTTGCTTATCTAGTAGCACCTTTAGTGCAACCAGCACGCTGTTGCTAAAACGGGGTCCGATGGGTACCCAGTCAACGAGCATCTCAACATTGTCGATAACAATGACGCTAAGTGGACTCTTGTATGCGTCTCGGAAAGTCTTGTCGAGCTGCTGTACCTTTTGCATCTCGCTAAAGCCAACCATGTCTTCCGGTGAGATCAACTTGATGAATGGGAATCCCGAGTCGATAGCCATTCTCGCAGCTAGCGCAGTCTTGCCACTTCCGGGCGGGCCGTGTAGTGCAACGGAGAGGATTGGAGTCGAGTCGGGTTTTCTGACCTGGTTGATGTACAGTCGCCCCTCCTCGAGAATATCCTTGATGAACGGCGAGTAGTGGATAATGCCGCGCAAGATGCGCTTGCCAAGCTCCTCCTCGGCCACACCAAACAGTGGCTTCACTTCGTCGAGAGCGCTCAAGAAGTCCTGGCGGCTGACCTTCATGTTCTCCACGTCAGGGTCGATGGCGGCCATTGTACCGACCTTGATATGCCTGCTAAACGCAAAAGACGACGCTGCTTTTACTAGACCGTTCAGCTCGGCACCCGAGAAGTTCTTAGTCATTTTCGCAAGCTCATCAACATTGACATCCTTCTCAATGACATCGTTGTTGCGCATCTTCGTAGTGTGGATATTGAGAATCTGAGCTCGTCCCTTCTCATCCGGTAGAGAAATTTCCATATGGACTTCCAGTCGGCCCGCACGCAAGAGCGCCTCGTCAATCATGTCCATGCGGTTCGTCATTCCAATAAGCAAGATGTTGTTCAGTTGATCGACACCGTCTAGTTTCGAAAGCAACTGGTTGACAACACTGTCGCCAACACCAGTGCCGCCACCTGCACCAGAGCCTCTCTGCTTGCATACAGCATCCAGTTCATCGAAAATGATGATGTGGAGACCACTCTCGTCACCCTTCTCTTTGTACTCTTTCTCAGCATCTGCGAATAGCTTTCTGATATTTTCTTCTGATTGACCGACATATTTGTTGAGCACTTCAGGGCCGTTGATAACCTTTGGCTCGCGAGCGTTCAACATCTTACCAATCTGACGCGCAATCAGGGTTTTACCAGTACCCGGAGGACCGTATAGCAGAATACCGCGGACGTGCTGTATGCCAAGTTTCTCGACCAAGCCTGGAGGAAAGATGCGCGATGCGAAAGCTCTTCGGAAGATGGCACTGAACTCGTTATCCAAACCACCAATGCCCATGTCCTCGAACTTGAACCCTGGCTGGATGATAGAGTTGGCAGCCGGCCGCCTGTTCGATGATTTCAACTTGATGTCGGTACGGGCATCCTTGAAGAAGTCAATCACGGTATGTCTAGTGAGGATACCGCGAGCTCGGGGATCTGTCAGCGGCGGCGCAGAAGCGTCCTGGTTGTTCATCGATAGGTCCACCTGCGTTACAGTGCGGATCGACATCCTCAACGGTATGTTTTTGACGTCGAGCAGGAGCTGCTGACCGGGCGCAAGAATTTGGTTTTCAAAGTTCTTCTTGAACTGTGTTGCCAGCTCATCCTGGTCGTAAGGAGTCTCAGTCGTCTTCCTTGCCGCGAACCCAACTTCAACCTCTACTGCGCCCAAGTACGACTGTCCGCCGCTCTGGCTGAAGGCGTCGTATGGCTGTACCTGTACCATGTCCTGTGGACCAAGTGTGATACCCGCCCATGTTCGCTGTGCATCTGTGAGACCGATTTCACCAGGGTTGCACTCCGAGTTGGGTCGAGCTGAGAGGACGTAATTGCCGTTTACGAGGAGGTAAATGTCGGAGCCGTCCTGGCTTGGGGGAAAGTCTTGTGGGGAAACAGCGACACTGTAATTGTTAGCGAGGATAAGAGCTAGTTTTATATAGACACTCATACAGGTTGCCAAACGCATAGGCGTTGCCTCCGGGGCTTTTGATGGGCCTAAGCTGTCTCGCGGGTGCACCACCCGGTGCTGGCCCTCTTTGCGGCATGCGCTGTTGACCACCTTGCGGCGGGTAGCCTCCTTGCGGTTTGTCATCATAGCCGCCCATTCTTGTGTCGTGGGCTGGTGCGCGCTGGGGCGGCGGCTGCTGCTGCTGTGGTGGTCTTCCGTAACCATCGTTGCGCGGCGGAGGTCGTGGGGAGCTCCCGGGCAAGCCAGGAAGGCGGTCTCGGTTGAACATTTTTGGTGTTAGAATAGAGTACGAGGAGGAAAGACTGTGTGTGTGTGTATTAGAGAACAGGCCTAGGCCACGTATGCACCGTCGAAGGCAGCAGGAACCGGCTGCTGATCCAAGGCGAGCTGCCCCTCTAGGCAGTCAACGGCTGTGAGAGAAGTAAGTGGTGTCTTGTGATAACGAGAAGTCGAAGATATAGTATGACTGAGGAGTACTCCAGAAAGTTGCAGTGTGTGAAAGAGATTGCGGGTGTTGCTGTCTCAGAGACGTTTCCAGCTGTCGTGATGGTGAAGCTCGGGCGGAGCTTGGGCGGGCCGCGACATGGCACCCCGCCAAACATATGCACCTGCATTCAAACTTCACACAGTACCTCAAGCACTACAATCATTGCCATTAATACGGTGGCGACCATGTCCATTTCGATGAACTGTCTAGTTTCGTTACAGTTAATCAATCAATATCCTTTGCCGTGATGCACCTCCTCTCCGCCACCATACCACAACGTGCCCATGCGACAATGCAGGCCCGTCTCTTCACCGACATTGAATTCGCCGCCTTCGGGTATGGTTCCATCGTTATGCTCGGGCCAGAATTCTTTCTCAAGCCAACCGTTGATCTCCTCAATCTTGTCAACGAACGCCTTCATCTTCGAGGCACCATGCGTTCCATCCTCGTCAGCAAAGTCTTTGGCATCAATGAAGCGTCCGATTGTCAAGTGACTTGATGGCACCACATATCGAGAGTCGACCTGTACGTCTGAATCCCGCAGCAGTCCAAAGACATCCCGGCGAAGATGGTGGTACGTGTATCTGTCATCTTCCAATTTGCGGCCGGAATGCAGACCTTCGCCGGCAGCGGGCACAAAGCTTAGCGCAAGTGCTGATGCGTCGAAGCCAATGAGTGGCTTGATCAATCGGCTACGATGACTGTACGTATAGTCGTCGATGGCTGGTGCCTTATCCCGTATACTGTCGACCAAACTCTTGATCTCCGGAGAGGTTTTCGAGTGCGTGACTTCGAGCACGGTGATATGTAATTTGTCCCTCGGCATCAACCAGAGATCTGTTCAACATCAGCAATTCGTGGGGGGCGTATCATTCTGTTGGGCTCACTTGGTGCGACTGTTGACAGCTCCTGCTGGACACGCTCAATCAAGTCCTTGACTTTGGTGGTTGGCCTGCCCCAGAAAACAAGACAGTGCCTAGGGTCTGCATAGCCAGGCTCAAGGGTCGGATCGCTCAATCTCATCAAGATGGAGTCGATGCTTACACCAGGGAAGCTGCTGTCGAGCAGTTTGGCCTTTTGCTGAGCATTCCTCGCGGAGCGGTGCAGACTGTATTTCGTCTGTATCTGCGCCTACAACTCCCGTCAGTGTCGAAATGCTACAAACTTCGTGAGGTGACGGACTGCATCGTCGTCACATGCTGCTATCAAGGCATCATATGGGTTGCTGAAAGCTGAAGTCGCAATGCCGCTGAGATCTTCGAAAGTATTGTTTGTGTCGACTACTGGAGCAGGTTTATTTCCGGACATACTGCTTCTTGTTTGCAAGCCTGAACCTCTTGTGAAGAAGTTTTGACCGAATGCTTTTGGTACCTATGTACTTGTAGGCACTGCTAGCCTCTTGGTAAGGCTCAGGACTTATCTTACAGGAGTCTAGACGGTGTGGACGCGCCCTATTACTTCCCAAAACATTCGCTGCCCCACTTTCCCCAGGTGGGCAATCTATCCGCTTCGGCTGGACTTACCCTGCTTCCCGTCCCCGGCAAACTTCATCAACCACATGTGCTAGCGCGTGAGTCTCGCGAAGCAGCCTCGCGTCGCGTCTAACTTCAGAAAACGCACCATGCATTGTTACTTCTGATCACAGCACCGCCTTTGCCAGGGCGCGTCGGTCAAAGGTCAATTGATCACACCAGAAGGTCAATTGATTATACCACCATGGTGCGCGTAGGCAGCGGAAACGCGCATCGACTTCAGAAGAGCACGACTTTGATGGCGACACTATTGGCTGTCGTCCCTAGACAAGCCGTCGCGGTCCCAGGTGTCTAGTGTACGGCTCCCATTGCTTGAGACACAAAGTCAAGCCAACGTGCCACGCAGGCGCACTGCAAGCCGCATCAGGAGTACGTATTACATGTATTACCTTGATTGATCACTCAAGACGCTGACCTAGATACCGCTACACCTGCAGCTTCACACCCAACAGCAGCTTCCCCAGTACCGCCTTCTACAATTGACAATGTACCAGCCAGCTGCTGTTATTTCTGTCGAGGCCGCGGCGGAAACGCAGACCAAGAATGCGTCTTCGCTGGAGGAGACGATCCTAGATGCACCCGCTGCATAAGAGACAAGAAGAAGAGGTGTCGGCCAGCAACAGCTGAGGAGAATACGGGCCTTTGCCAGCCACGATGGCGAGCGCTGCCAAAATTCGGCGGAATCTCAAACTATGACAACGGACAGCGGCCGCCATTGCGACACATGTTGAGAGAAACAACACTTCAGCATATCTGCTGGAGGACCGCGACCGCAGGCGAATGGAGAGAGACCACCCACAGGCGTCGGCTGCAGTAGCAGTAGCGTCTGAAGCACCAACGCCTGGCTCCACGACCTAGCAGGAAGAGAAGAGAAAGTAGTGACCGAAGCTCATGACATTGCTGGCACATGTAAAGAGGCAGCGATGGCTATAGACGATCAGCACGGCCAGGTTGACGCTGCAACGAGCAGGCCAGAAAACGACGATACCGATGAAACCGTCATAGCCAACACAACTGAAGAAATAGCTATCGTCGGTCTGCACGTCCAACTTGATGCTGCAGACGTCGACTCGGTGATAGGGGACGACGGTGTCACATCTAACATTTCACTGTCATTCCCCGAACGCTCTCCAGTCAGAAGAGCTATGGTAACAGACGTAACCTCCGTCACTGAAGACGACGATGAAGATCAGATCCAGAGAGAAACCCGAGCGATGAATCTAGTTTTCGCGCAAGAGTTGCGTGACCGTGCTCGCTGCAGTCGACCAAGGGTATCTTATGTTGAGCCTATACCGGACATTTTCTCAGACCAAGAGATGGACACTGAGCTTGTCAATGAGGATGATGACTCTGATGTGTATGAGTCAAGCGCTTCCTCCCCAGAGAGTTTGCCAGATGAGGAGTTCGAGTTCGAAGACCTCCCGGCGGAACAGTCCTCTGCCACAGAAGAGGACGGCGCGACAGAGGACGATGAAGTCGTTAGCGTAACAGAGATCCAACCATCCAAGCCCAAAGCCAAGCCTCGCGCACAGAAGAAAGCATCAGGAGCGAGTGAGGGCAAGGGCATCGACTTCAGTCTTCCTCCAATCGACAGCGTGGAAGATGCTTTTGCCGACATGGCCGCTAAAGCCCTCGAGCTTGGTCTTGATAATGCCTTGAGGGAGCTAGAAGGACACCAGATCAAGGTCGCAACGATGTGCTCCGGCACCGAGTCCCCGCTGCTAGCGTTCGAACTGTTTTCAAAAGCTCTTGAGCAGTCTGGTCATTCATCCTTGCGGGTACATCAGAAATTTGCCGCCGAAATCGAGGTTTTCAAGCAGGCGTTCATCGAACGAAACCAGGCGCCTGAAATTATCTTTAGGGACGTACGAGAGTTCATCTCTGAGGATGCCACGACTGCGATCACTGCATACGGGGCAGAAGAGCACATTCCTTCCGGGCTTGACGTCCTAATTGCGGGCTTTGTCTGCAAAGATTTGTCGCGACTGAATACTCGGCAAAAAGGTCTCGAGGACAATGGTGAGTCGGGTGACACCTGGCGAGCTATCTATGCATACGCTAAACGCTTTCGTCCGAGTATTGTACTCCTCGAGAATGTCAAAGGTCTGTCCAAATTATGGGAAGGAGTTGTTTCCATGTGGGACAAGATTGGCTATGAAGCTGCATGGCTGATCCGCGACACCAAACGCTACCGCATCCCACAAACGAGAGAACGTATGTACATGATCGCCATCGAGAGGAGCCATTACGGCAAAGACGTTAAGAAAGCCGTGGCCCACTGGCAAGATTTGATGGACAACTTGCAACGTCAATGCAGTAGTCCGTATGAAGCGTGGCTCAAGAACATGCTTCATGAGTCGAGTGAGCATTGTGCGCTCGGTTCGGAGGTGGATTGGGCTTTATGCAAGCTGCGATACGACCACATTCGCTCAGACGAGCGCTTAGGCATCCTTCGACCTGTGACTAAGTGGAGTGAGAATGGGACTGTGAAGTACGTCACAACAAGAAGAACGACAGGGACTCTTGGCCTATGCTGACTCTATGATCCCAGACCACCCGATTTCGCTAACCGCGCTTGGTACAGCTCCCAATCATCGCGGGTCTACGATGCCATTGACGTTGCCTATCTACAAGCAGCACAAAAAGGCCACGATGCGATGTATAAGATGGCAGTCCTCGACGTAAGCCAGAACGTCGATCGATTCAAAAACAGCCTAGGAATACTTCCATGTATCACTCCAGGAGGATGCGACTTCGCTACCAATCGTCAAGAAGCCCTTAGTGGCAAGCAGCTCCTGCTGCTGCAAGGCATGCCTCTCAACAAGCTTCTATTCGGCACAGAGACGCAAAAAGAATGTCAGGACCTGGCAGGAAATGCCATGACTACGACTGTCATCGGAGCCTCAATCATATCTGCCATCATATGCGGCTGGCGAGCTTTCCGATTTGACAGCCCACGGAGCTCAGCTCCACACAAGACGAGCGCGTTACCACTAAAGGAACATATTCGCATCAGCTCGCCGAAGGTATATGAGCTTGGTGAGGATGACACCGACAAAATTGACCTCGGAACGCTTCGACACGAAGCCTGCTTGAGCGCCCGCTTATGTAACTGTGAAGGCGAGAAGAGCATCTGCAAGTATACGATCCGAGTGTGTTCTGGTTGCGGACACACAGCATGTGAGAAGTGCGCAGGTAACCCGAAACATTGCTACGATAACAACATTCTCCGAAGCAACCGCAAACAGACACCGAATGACTTTGTCCAAGAATGGAGACCCAAGCTAGCAACTCGGTTCACATTTGATTCTTTTCCTGATGTCCGCCAGCTTGCTTCCAAGGCATCAGAAAAAATCTTGAAACCTTTCTTGGATCACGTAATAGAAATTGACGTCAAATCACAGCAGTTCTGTTTCCGAGACATGCTGAGGCGGCACAATGGATGGTCAGTAATCTACGGCTCACATCACGCCACCCTAGAACTTTGCCTAGGCCACAAAGTAGAATGGTTTCTTTTTCTTAACTGTCCTTCTGAGATTGCGGGCAACGATCCACTGCGCAAACAGCTGCTAAACCCAATCGCGCGTGCTAAGGTCATCGATTCCCTGCTTGACGTTCAGTGGGAGTTCCGTCTACCATCTATCAAGAAGCACAGCCTGCAAGTCAACTCTTTGGGCTCCAGGTGCAGCTCATGGAGAAGCCGGCTAGGTTTGTTGGACTATAAGAGTGAGACCGTCCCTATGTCTTTGCAGGTTGCCAGCCAATCGAGAGACTGCAAAAACGTTATTGGGGAGTTCGAACTGCTGCCTGACTGCGGAACTGCTTCGAGCAGTCTCTACAAGCGCACCATCGGCCCTGACCTCTATCTTTTCCTCGACCCGACCCTTCTAGGAGGATCTGATACCGATGCATTCACCTTCAGCGAAGACTGCAGTCAAAAGTCGTATGGTGAAAGTCGCATTTCCGTGATAGACGTCGAGGCGACCTGGCGACCATGGCAAATTCATGACGAAGCCGTACACGATGTCGAAGCGACACTTCCTGCAATTTGGACCTCGGTGAGCATGAAGTTGCAGCCAGTCAACACTGCGTTCACGGTTAGTGTACCTGCAACTGCTGCTTCGTTGAGGCAAGTGGAGCACGATTGCTCACGTGCACTCACAGTTCTCGAAGCGCGGGTACCAGAACGCCTCCCTGACGTTAGTAAGCATTCTTGGGTTTTGGAACGCGTGAAGCGTCTCCCTACACTGTCAGCTTGGCAGCCTACTTCCCTGGGTTCATTGAGGAGTTGTGCTTGCGCCCCTGTCTATCCGCCCATACTGTGGCATATCAACGACAAAGGCATCGCTTCTCCTCAAGAAGCACGCAAAGCAGCTGCAGAGTTTGAACGTGCTGTCAAGACTCGCGCGCCCATCTTCTCCGTTAATTCAAGTTTTGAGAAAGGGATTACTCAGATCGTGATTGCGATCAATGCCGCTGCTTTGGTCCACCGGGCCAGAGGTCGATTACCACGCACCAGTTCGACCAACACCATGTGGCGTCTGTATACCGATCACGCTGAGCTTCCGAGCGAGCCGTTTCCAAAGTTTCGTCTGCTAAGCAACGCAAACGACCCGCCTTGCGCACTGTCTTCGTCCATTGCGTATTTGCGCAATGCTCAGCCTCGAGCTCTTTCGTGGATGGAGACCCAGGAGCTCGGCAAAGAGCTGACCATCACTGAAGTGGAAGAAGCTGTACATGCGAACCTTGGCTGGCGTGCTGAGGCAAGAGCAGAAGCAGTCCTTTCCGTTCGTGGCGGTGTACTTGCAGACCTTCCCTCTTTTGGCAAAACTGTCACTACCATTGCTCTAATACAGAGCGAATTCGAGGATTATGCACCAAAAGCCCTGCTGCAGCGGAACAAGACATTAAACGAAGGAACAGAGGCGTTCCTTGACACTGCCGGAACGTTGATTGCCTGCCCAGGTCACATTGCATTACAGTGGCGCACAGAACTAGAGAAATTTCTTGGAAAGGCCGAATACGAAAAGTACAGCGTGATTGTCGTGCAGACATTTGCTGAGCTTCAGAAACTGGACATTGATGACATTCGCCGCAGCAGAGTCGTCGTCGTGGCATGGAGCGTGTTCGCTGAAGAAGAGTATATATCTCATCTAGCACATTTCTCCGCTATGCCGGAACCTAATGTCACGGGCCGTCGTGCTTTCGACACATGGTTCGAGCAGGCCTCTCAGGATATCCCGCGTCAGTTGGCAGCATTCGAGAGCTCAAACTTCAGCGAGTTTAAGAAGTCTACGCAGGACCTGTTAGAGAAGCGGCTGCAGCATGAAGACTTCAAGGCGACTTTGCCGATCAAGATCCAGCATGGTAGCGCGTACCAGTCGGTCAACATCAAGTCAAAGTCGAACGGCAAGCGTAATGCCCCAAGCAAATTGAAACTATCGAAACCACCAAAGTCGACTCATCAAGTGCCATTGCTACACTTGTTCAGATTCAACCGCGTTGTGGTGGATGAGTACCACTACCTGAACGACGACAAGAAGATGGGTAACATCCTTGCTTCAGTCAGTGTCAAGCGAATAGCTGCTGTCAAGCGTTGGGTATTATCAGGTACACCAGCTTTGAAAAACTTCTCCGATGTGGACCAGATCGCCTCGTACCTTGGCATCCGGCTGGGTAGATACCACTTCGGAGATGGCATAGAGAGCTCATCATCTGACAAGATGCGGAGAGGTGACCAGACCCTCGTCGAAGAGTTTCTCTCACAAACCGAGACCATGTCAAGGCAGTGGCACAAGGCGAGACACGAGCGGGCACAAGAGTTCCTGGATATATTTGTGCGGCGGAACGAACCCTGTCTTGCTCACGTCGCCTGTATAGAAAGGATTACGCCTAGCGAGATCGATATTGGGCATCTGGCTGTATATCTCGAACTCCTGCAATACGTCGGGTCACACGGCATGGCCATAAAAAGGCTTAAAAATAAGACGCCCTCAGACAAAATCGAAAGGCTAAACGCCAGTCTCAACTACTCAGCCACAGCTGAAGATGCGCTCTTGAAATGCGCGCTCCTTTTCCGGACCTCGGAAGGCACTTCAGCACTAGCAGGCTTGACCACCTTGAGATCTTCCCAACGTAATAGCGTGCAATCCGAATTGAGAGCGCTGCTGGCTGGATTCGAAGACCTGAAGAAAAGCGACGAAATCTCCGATCTGTACGATCGCTTTAAGCAAGATATTACAGAGCACAACTGGCTGGGGGATGAGTATGCTAGCCGAGTTGCACGCAACATGCTTATCAAAGCTAAGAAAGCACCAAACAGCTCTGCATTCCCAGAGCTAAAGGGGTCGAAGACGGAACAGAAGTCGAAATTCGCAAAGAAGCTCTTATCGGATCTGCGGGAGACGGCTCGTGATCTCGCTCATCTCATCAGGTCAGAGAGATTCATCAAGGCAATAAACGACCTTATGGGCCCGTTGACCAAGAGGGAGAATGGGCAAGCCTTCACTTGCAGCCATCCAGACTGCGATGGTATGGCTAGACTGTCTCAGCTGCGTCTGATTACTCATTGTGGTCATACGGCTTGCGAGGGGTGCCTTTCAACGCGTACAGATGTCGACAAGTGTGTCGACCCCATGTGCAGCCTGTTTGTACAGGGTGTAAATCTGGTTAAGGTCACTGACCTTGGCTCGAGAACAGAGCCCGCTTCTGAGCGTTACTTTGGCCGAAAGATGGAAGACGTGATCAAGATCATATCGAGATTTCCAAGGGGCGACCAAGGAGTCATCTTCGCGCCTAATGACGAGACGGTTGAGATCCTCGAGGAAGTGCTCGACTCCCACGGCGTGGCTTACCACTCACTCCGAGGTTGCCGGGGCGCCACGTCTGCGAAGATCATTGAAGACTTCAAGACAAACGATGACCCGGACGACCAGAGCAAGGTGCTGATCTTGAACATGGGAAGCGAGTCCGCGGCTGGCGCGTAAGTCGACTGGTCGCCATGTTTGTTCATTCTACTAACGTCCTTCTAGCAACCTAGTCAACGCCAACCACCTCATCTTTGTCGCGCCTCTGCTCGCAAAGACGCAATACGAATACGACTCGGCCATGGCACAAGCAATCGCCCGACTGCGCAGGTACATGCAGACCAAGACTGTCCACATCTACCACGTCATCGCGCAACGTACCATTGACGTCGACATCCTCGAGCATCGCCACAAGCGGGTCGACGGCATCACTACGTCTGAGTCACCAATGAAAATGCCGAAAGCGCAAGCGAAGAAGGAGAAAACAAAGTTAGTCAAGAACAACAATGGTCAAATGGCCCTCATACCAGTTTCATGGCTTGCGGACGAGTCGAAGAGAAAGATGCTGGGTGTAGATGAAGCGCCCGAGAGTTTTGCGTCGCTCATCAATTTTTCGGACACGTTCCAGCACGACGAGGACTGGGCTTTGGATACGAAATGACTGAACCGATTTTGACATTTTCAATCAACACATTGGATATGTGTTTTGAAAAAAGAGTTTATGCGTTTCCTTTGTCGGGCCCTTCGATTTGATGGCCTTTTTGTTTTTAAATAGCATTATACCCCTTTTCTTTCTAGCAATTGAGTGTTTTCTTCTATCCAAAACCGACTTCAGGTCATGCTTCACCGGTCGCCTGTCAGCAATTCCCTGTCTCGACACACAATCTCATCTTCCTGCACAGCATTTGCGGCCCTAAAATCTCACTCCACTTGCCCGTTTGAGCAATATCTTCTGCAGTGCGCAAAGGCGCCATTCCCAAGGCATACGTCGCTCAAATGCGTGGAATAGAGATACGACATGAGCATTTGTGCGGACGTAGACGGTTTGGGATAATGCTCAAGTGCAGATTTTCATGACTTGTGGTGAAAGTTACCAGAAGGAGAAGGGTTTGCCCTGTGGGGGGTGGAGTGTTGTACAAGGCTGACACAGGAATTGCTGATGCAGGCACGAGAGCCTAAACGGGCAATTGTTAAATATGCTCGATATGCTTACACATTACACGAACGTGGGATGCAAGCTAGGTAGGAAGTAGACAGTGGACGGTGCAGTGTTCGATGGTCGAGAGAGAACATGCTTGGAAGGGAAGGCTAGATATTGGATTTGGCGATGCCTGCATTTGTTGTTGGTCATGCATAGTGAACGTGGTCGCCAAGTGGTACATGAATGCTATATTTGCACAATATTCATACACCTCGCGAAACTATGGTACGCCCACAGGTCTACACTTATATAAACCTCGCGGGATGGCTCTTCTTCAGTACGAGTGGGTGCCTGTGTACACTGGGCATCAGCCCCAGGCCAATCGCTCTCCGTATAGCCTTTGCAATCTTCCTCTGGTTCTTCGGCCGCAGCCCCGTGTCCCTGGAGTGCTTTATCCGTCCCGTCTCGGTCATATATTCTGACATCATCGTGAAGTTCTGCAGCCTGTCAGTCATGCGGCAGTCCCTCGAGCCTTCCGCAACCCACCTTGTACTCGGACACAGGGTTGATACCCAGCACATCGAAAGCGTCACTCTGGGGCTTCTTGCGTCCCGTCTTCCACTTCTTCTGCTCAGCGCCCGACAGATCGGACGGCGAGTAGACATCGCCCGTCTGCCAGCTGCGGTGTACTTGGCGCTGGAACTGGGCCCGCCGCTCCGACTCGACCATCTCGCGGGACTGTGTTGGGCGGTCGAGGCCAGCTTCGCGGGCAAGGCGCGTCGCGAGAGAGCCCGGAGCGCCGGTCCGGGCGGTCGGTGGAGGACTGGCTGCGTTGCTGGCTTTGAGGAGTTCGACGAGAGAATCATCTGTAGTAAGTTCAGTATGGGATGCGGAGGTGGTGCGGAGGCATTGGAGGCGCACTCTGTTTCTGCGCGCCCGACGAGAAGTGCCGCAGGCATCTTTGCGAAGAGGCGACTGCAGGTCTGAAGGGTAATCGTGTTAATAGCATTGTGGCGGCCGTGAGTGTAGGGTTGTCGCGCTGGAGTCGTCGTTGCGAGATTCCTACGCTCCGGGGAAATTCCGCGAGGACCTGTGGCTCGTGCACTGAAATCATCGCAAAGGCAAGAGCTCCCCTCCATGCCCCGTCACCACCATCTCCACGCTCTTTCCGTCCGGTCTGCTTCGTGTACATAGCTCGCCTCGCTTCTGTCAGCTTCATGGATTCAGCGGCTTCATGATCAACCACCCCGCCGTGGTTCAATTGCTCTCCGCCGCTACGTCACGCTTCGACGTCCGTACCGAATATTTTCTAGAGCTCCGCCCACGATGCCTTCACACCTCACACGCCTCGTGTTCCGCAGCATCATCGCCGATGAACCTCTCCTATATCGAGGATGTCGCCTCCGAGCCGTCCGACCGCATTTGGTCAATCGCACCGCCCGAGTCCTCCCCCACATCCAGCGCCGGACCTTCCTCGACCTGTTCAAGCAACGGCGGAAAGTCAAGCCCATGAAGATACCTGCCGGCTTGGAGACCCTGTCTGAAGTCGGCTACAAAACCGAGCATGGCTTGCGACCGCCCGAACCCAAGGTCGTTGCAGAGGCTTTCAAGGTCTACTTTGCGCAGAGGAAGGGGACATTTGAAGAATTCCATATTGGAAAAGCATTCCCAGCCTTTGTTTACTTGCTCGACAATCCGAAACCAGACGGGACACCCTGGCTTAGCGCCACCGAACTCAGTGACCACGTCTACTTCAAAATGCTCAAGACCGAAGCTCGACCTAGGGGCGACGCCAAGGTTCACATCATGTTCGGGAAGGCGCTGATCGAAGAGTACGCCAGACTAATGAAACTTGATCCAACAGACACGGGTGGGGATGCATCGCTTCCTTTAGAGGACAATCTCAACGTGAAAAAGGTACGACTACTTTCGGCCCTGGGAGCCGCTAAAGAAGCGAGGGACATTGCCATGTCCTCTTACAAGTATGAACCTACCTCACCTCCCGAGTACCTTCGACTGGTTCGTAAAGTCTGGGGCATTGTACTCGCAGGTATTGTCCGCGAGGGCAACATCGATGAGGTACGGAGGACGACAGAGATCATAGAGCAACAGTCGATCCCTATGGATGCTAAGATGCAAGAAAATCTTGTCAATTTCTTCTGCGAGAAGAAAGCCATGGACGACGTAAAGTTTTGGTACAAGTTCCCCATTACTGAGGGTGATAAGGTCGCGAAGCCTGGTACACTGGCCCTCGCGGCTTTATTACGAGCATGTGCTCTTGTTGGCGATTTGACCTACGGTCAACAGGTGGTGACCTCACTACTCCAGAACGACGTACCCCAAAAGGGAGCATGGGATGCTATTTTCCTCTGGTCCGCCGCCATTGGCAAGGGGGTAGACGAGGTTGATCGCATGATGAGTGTCATGATCCGACGCAACGACGAGGCACGGAACAAAGATCGTTCAATCCAGTTGATTCGGCCCGACGTCGACACCATCAACATGCTGGTTGATTTTGCCAACTCGAAGAAAGATCCCTACTCGGCTGAACGTTACATTGCTCTTGGCGAAAAGCGTGGAATCATGCCAGACGAGAAGACATATGCAATGCAAATCAAGTACCGGCTGTCCGTCAACGACATTGATGGCGCACGAGCTGCTTACTTCAATCTCCAGGGAGAGTTCTCTGGGGCAGAGGAGAGTGTGGCAGTCGTCAACCAGCTGATCCGAGCGTTGTGCGAGTCTCAGCAGCATCTTTTCGATGAGCTGATGGTCATGGTCGACGACTTGCATGAGCGCAAGGCTCTTTTTGATCCAGAGACCATCGCAGCTCTATGCGTCCTGCATCTAAAACGAGGCGAGGCGATTGATGCTCTTGACCTCTTGCAGACTCATGCACATTCCTACACGCCAGAGCAGCGAACGCACATTCGAAAAGGGCTCGCAGCCTTTGTTCTTGACGGCGATACCAGCACAGCAGATGCATGGGAGACTTACCAGATCCTTCGCCAAGTCTTTCAAGAAACACCCCGTGCAGACCGCATCGAGCTCATGAACGCATTCTTCACTCGTAAACGCTCAGACATGGCCTGCCACGTGTTCTTTCATATGCGCAACCATGTTGTCCCTGAAATTCGCGCCGACGCCGATGTGTATGTCGCAGCATTCGCCGGATTCGCGCGAAATGCTGATGCTGAATCCTTGGAGCTGGCGCACAACCAACTGAAGCTGGATCTGACCGTGGACTTCAACACACGGCTGCGAAACGCTCTCATGCTAGCTTACGGCGCGACCGAGCAGAACCTCAAGGCCATGCGCTTCTGGCGCGAAATCTGCGAGTCCAAGGAAGGGCCATCATATAACAGCATTCCCATCGTCTTCAGAGCTTGCGAGACCATGCACTACGGCTGGGGGCATGCGAGGTCGATCTGGAAGCGACTCAAGGAGCAAGACGTTGAGATTGACAGAAATATATGGAAAGCATACATGTGCGCCATGGCACGTAACTCTCAGCACGACGAGGTGCAGAACATGATCGAAAATGTAGAGGAAGAGTATGGATTTATCCTAGATCTTGACATGTAAGCTTGAATCATCGCCTTTTCTAGTTTCATTCAGCTAATCTTTTTTTTAGCTTGGGTAACTGGTTCAACTGCACCGCCAACATCGAACGGCAAGCACGGGTTGAGAAGTGGATCAAAGAAAGATACCCCGACATATGGAGAGAGCTGGAAGCTCTAGGTCACTGGGTCACCATGGATGGGTTCGGGCACCGGCAATTTAACATCAATCGGGACCTCGAGCCGTGATTTAGTGTAGCAGTACCTGGGAGAGACAAGAAGCAAAGAGCAGCCCAGTTCGTTCACCGCAGCCGTGATGCAAAGTACGTGTGCTGTACGTGAGTTTTTCTCTCTGTCGGTATCAGTTCTGTTACCTGTCATATCTCACATCCTCTACACTATTCTCACTCACCTGGGCAATCCAGACCACGTGGTGAGAGAGCCGGGAGCCAAACTAAAGTCTGTTTGTTGCTCCTCTCAACACTTTCTGCTCTCACCTTGCGCGACCGTGACCGCTCTTACCCCTCCTGCAGCCGCGCTTACCAGTTGTAAAAGCTTCGTTTGCTGCACTCTTGCTCTGAACCCACACTCCCTTCTTCCTTATACCTCATACCATCCTCCTCTCTTCTGCTCCGAGGTCCGCAGCAACCCACTCATATCGTCTCACTTGCCGACTGCCGCAGGCACAACACAACGTGACCGAGATCAGGTAGGGTCATCACGCTGCGCTTGCCTGTTGACGTGCGCTAACAGCTTGAGCTACCATGCGGCTGCTTCCTCTGGTCCGTCTGGCCGGTCTTATCGGTCTCGCTGCTGCTTCTCCGGTGATCGGTCGTGAAGCCGGCAAAGATGCGAATGTGACGCCACCGAGACGTCTTGTTGTGTATACCCAGGTCAACTTTACTGGCACACCTTACGAGATCCATGCGGAAAAGGGCTGCGTCCAGTTCGTCGCACCCGTCTACAAAAACCTGCAGTCCTTCAAGGTTGCTGATCAAGTATGCTACTTCATGGACGAGGATGCTTGCGGAGGCAAGGCACTCGTCATTGTGGATGCCCTGGGAGCTGAGGCATGGGCCAATACCGACGATGGCACCAATTTCTCTTCCAGGATTACTTCAGTGTACTGCGAAGACCATTCGATGCGTCCTCCTGGCGGCGCCGATGCAGCTGTTGTCAAACGCGACGGCCCAGGTGAGACCACCGTCTGCAGAAGCACCATGGATATTGGCCCCTGCGTAACGCTCTCCGCCAACAGCGCATGTGTGTTTTTCGGTTACGAACTTCGTCACAACATCCGCAACGTCTACCAGGCCTACGGCTCCATCTGCAACTACTACTACGACGGCAACTGCGATGTACCCACGCCAGTGATGACCGTCAATACCCACAAGCAGGCTCTTCATGTCCCGCTCGATAAGCAGACCGGAGACAGACTCGCCTATGTCAAGTGCCAGGACCAATGGGTTGCGCAAGACATTCAGGATGACACTGTCCACATCTTTCCTCGCGCAGACGACGTCCACTCCATCGGGGAAGCCACGGAGGCTCAGCCACAATCTACAACCGCAACGCCATGCGACGATCCTCGGTACGTAGACCCAGATGCCAACGTTGGTCCAGGTTTTGTCTACTTCTGCTGGGGCAGAAAGGGAGGCACAGAGCGAACGGTAAACCTTCCGATCTTGGTTTCACGCCGATCACATGCTATTCACTGCGTACCAGTGAATGATCAGTCTGCGCCAGAAGCAAACACAGAGCAGCTTCAACCTACGATAAAGCGTGAGGAAGTCTTGCCATTAGGGTCAGCTGGTCAGGTGCTGGTTGCCGATCGGGAGGGCTTCGGCGGCAAAACGCAACTCGTCGATACAGTCAAGGACGATAACAACTGCGCCCCCTTGTTCAATCAGTTCTTCTGGAATCTGCAATCGCTTATACAATACCAAGGATCTGTGTGTACCTACTGGCAGTACGACTGTGGAGATTTGCTACCAGACAACAAGCCCGTCTTTACCGTTGACTCGCTCGGCGGACAGATCGGATTGTCACCTATCCCATGGGTATTCGGCGGCGAAAACCGCAACAAGATCGCATATATCCGCTGCATCAACGGCAAAGCTGCTGTTGATTACATAGCTGCGCTGGATTCGTCTGAGAAGGTCATTAATAACAAGACTCACGGGGTTGCCAAGAACACTGCTTTCAGCACAGGACTGCAAGATGGTCAGCTTGCCGCTCGAGCTGAATCTATGGCCGAAGACTATTTCGAGCCGCTCACACTCTACCGTGACCCTGACAAGGGTGGTGCAGTCATGACCTATGTGGGCCCGAGTTGCGGCCTTAATCCTTTCAATGTCGACCCCATCAAGTCGCTTTGGCAAGACAAAGGCTTTCTATGTCAGTTTTATCCTGAATGGGGCTGTCAAGAAACCAAAGGCCCGCCACTCTGGATCGACTCCAGAGACGGTCCTTGCTACAACCGAAATGTCGAGTTTCCCATCCTTTCGATATCATGCACGCGATCGACATACGAGGATGTCACCGGGAGGCCCGACACTACACAGCTCATCGAGTACAAGGCTGAAGCCACCCCAGCAGCCGTCACTCCAGGCACGATCACGCCAGCAACACTCGCTATCCGGACTGACGCCGCGAACACATTCACCCCTCTCAAGTTCTGTACCGGAGAAAACCTTACCGGCGCATGCTTCAGCTATACGGGTCCAGATTGCGCATCTGGCGATCCCGCCATTTTCGAGATGAAGTCGATCGTAGTCGACAAAGACTTCCAGTGTGTGTTCATGTCTGGACTCAATTGTAACGAAGGATACCCTCACTACGTCGATGCCCGACAAGACGAGAATAGAATAAATAGCATCGACTGGATCGTCAAGTCCATCTACTGCAAGCCGGAGCCGTGGCACGGTTGAGATGGTGGGTGGTTCAGACGACATGTGTGTGGGAACGAGATGAATATCTTGCGGTAGAGTGAGAACATACAAGAGCAGATGTGATGTGGAGGTTTAGATTTCATCTAGCAAGTCAAATGCACGAAACATTCTTATCGAATTTGCGGAAATCTTGATCTGTGAATCACAGATTGCATCTCGTTCATTATTATCATTAATGCCCTCCGCTAACCCACCTCGGATATAGATCTTTCCATCTCATGTACACGCAGCCAATGCTTCGCTCCCAGAAATAAAGACGGAAAAGACGGAAAACAAAGCATGTACATTCTCTCACAGGAACCGCAATCGCACAGCGACGGCTTAATCCCGATTAATGACTCTCAAACTCCGCCTGGGGTTCAGCAACACACCCCTCGTGCCCCAGAAGCTCGGCTCCTGCCCACTCAGCAGATCGTCGTGTATACTGCCGTTACTACTCCTCCGTGTCCACTCGCCCGCGGGCACACTGGTATATCCATCCCCACCGCTCGCGCCGCGCGCAATATCAAACGAGCCCGCCGCCGCGCCATGGCTACTCCCCAGCGTCACAGGCGGCCGTTCCGAGCTATTCTTCCCCGACGACGACGTGAGCGTATTCTGCTTTTCGTTGTTCGCGCGCGTCTGGACCATGGCGGCGTGATTCTTCCAGATCTGGACTTGTTTCCTGTAGATCCACGCGCAGAAGGCGAAGTAGCACGCGATGAGGAAGAAGACGCCGGCGATGACGCCGGCGATGATGGCGCCGATGTTGGGGCCCGAGGGGCCGTTGGACGAGTTGTTGCCGCCGTTGGTGCCATTGTTGGGGACGGGCCAGGTCAGGGGCTTGCCAGTTGCGAGGGGGCCGGCGGTGGGGGTTCGGAGGGGGGCGGTGAGGGTTGCGCCGCCTGTGGCTACGCCGCCGATGGCCTGTTGGACGGGGGCGGGGACGGCGTACCCGTAACTGCCTTGGAGGCCAGAGTTGGCGCCGTAGCCGCGCTGGTTGAACTGTTGGGCGAGGGGGTTGCCCTTGCTTTCGAGGGCCAGAGAAGGCTTCTGTTGCAACGTTTCCGGTGAGGGCGGTGAATTGGTCGGACCAGCTGAGACTGCTCATGTTGAAGACGTAGACTCCGGGCGATTCGCATGATAGGTTGGGATCGATGTAGCCGCCGACGACGATCATTTGGCCGTCCCAGACGTGGCAGGAGTGACCGGCGCGGGCGTAGGGTTTCTGCTTCTGCTGGTCGACCTGAACCCATTGGAAGGACGGGACGGAGAGAATCCACATGTCGTCCTTCTGGGTCTGGTCACCGAATGGCTGCAAGTTTTGTCCGCCGTACATGTAGATGTTGTATGATGAGCCGCTGTGGAATGTTAGAATGGTGAAATGTAGGTCTTTGGATACGGGGCTTACTCTGCAGCGGCTGCAACGGCAGCACAAGCGTTGACGCGGTATGGGGGAATGGTGTCACCTGACGTGCTCTGCTTGTACCATGTGGACTTTGCGATATCGTAGACATCGATGACGTTCAGTTGCGTCTGTCATTGTTAGCAAGGCTCCTGTATTCGTCCGAAATCGTACTCACAAAGGTATCGTTATCTCCACCAGTGAAGCCGATCAAAAGACCCTCGTCACCGAAACCAGGAACATATGTAAGAAGACCATCTGCACGCGCAGGGAATGAGCCGGTGTTCTGCAGTCCACCTTGAGTGATGTTACGGAAGACGCCGTCGCTTCCTGCCTTCTTGTCCGTCTTCAACGTGTTGACGGCGTTGTTTGAGAAGCCAGGGAATGTAAATTCCAGCAGGCTCTTCAAGTACAGCCTGGCAACCTGATTGCTCCAGCCCTCGGTTGTGAAGTCGTCGAGATGGCCGCCAAAGTACCAGCCTCGCCCCAGAGACGCGACGCTGAAAGAAGCTCCTTCAGCAGCTCTTTGCACATCCTGGCCGTCGTCTTCTGCAGCGTCACCGCCCGAGGTTTTGGGGCTCTTGTGCTCTTTCCACTGCTTGCCGCTGATATCGTACTCCCAGACTGAGTTCGGGCCTGGGCTGACTTTCGGCTTGTCGGAGTACTGGCCGCCGTATAGCCAGAGCGACGAGGCCGAGCCCCAAAGCGTACCAAGAGAGACTGCAGGAGGGCCAGATGGTTGGGGCAGGCCTGTGAGGGACGGGTTGGAGATTTGCCATGATTTGGTGAGGTCGAGGCTGAGGAAGTTGTTGTCTAGTGAAGTCAGTAATCGTGCCTTCCAAGGTGATAATGGAGTGGGGCTTACTCCAAGTATTCTGGTCGCCCTTTGGCTCATCGTTCTGACGGAAGCCATACATGTACAGCGTTCCATTCACGATTGTGCTCTGACCGGCCCATCGCTTGCACGCATCTGTAGGCGAGTCGGCGCGCTTCACCACGACGGATCGCTCGGCTTCGGCTTCGATTGTGTTTCGCGGGATCATGCCGCCGCGTACTCCTATCCGTGAGATGGGACTGATGGAAAGAATCGGAAGCATAACAGCAAGGACGAAGGCGAATATGCTTAATCGGTAGAACCTCAACGGCATCGTTGACTGGGCCGGAAGAACGGTGGATGTAAGCGGTGCGTCGGATTCGTCGTCCTCGTCCACAACCGATTCCCAGTCGCTCTCGTCCTCCTTTCCAGCTTCTCCATAGATAGAATTGCGACTTCGAAATCGTACCATCCTGGCCGGTCTGATTGGCTTCAAAGTTGTGGTCATCGGCGCCGCCATCCTCACATCTCGCATCGTGTCCTCGTCCACCAATCCGACTTCAGTAAATATCGACTGGCGACGGCCTTCGGCAGGTTGCGGTCGCACTCGCTCCATGTTTGAATCCATCACAACGAAAAAGCGACCTTTGATGGTCGCGTGCGAGTCGTGCAAAGGTCAAGCCGAGAAAGAAGGGGACAGAAAAGGCACGGCTGTATATATGACGTCGAGGCGTAAGTTCTGCCGAAAGGAAGGGTATTAACAGGAGGTGATATAAGTCGGGATGCGTGGCAGGGCTGGGAGATGCTGATTTGCAGCTTGTCAAACACCCGTTGACGCGGTAGCCTCACCCCAGGTACGACAATCTGAGATCAGCCGTCGGTGCTCCACAGCAGTAGTTTAGCAGCGCGAAAGGCACTGTAGCGATGGAGTGGAGGAACGAGGAACAAGTCGTCCGGGACCTGATAATATGGGCTGCTGTATCACATACTGTATGCCAACCAACACACCTTCGCCTCCTCATCGGCTCGCTCCTCTCCCGCCATTGCAAATCCCGTAAGTGGCAGGCCGTCCACAGCCAACGTCATGAGCGGGCCCCGATTTGGTAATGATGCACGCCATCGCATTTGGGATTGGCCTCAACGGCTGAGTGCAGGGGGCAGCATTGGTCGCTCTGCTGGGAATGCCATGCAAATTAAGCCTGACATGCGCCAAGCCTAGCGCATCGTTCCAAGATTCCAAGTCGCACGAATTGGCGGACGTGACAAGGAAGGAACGAGCGCCGTATCACCAAAGGATTCTGTGCCTGACCCTGGAAAGCGAAATCTTGGATAAAAGTGCCCCTTCCGCGGACGCAGCTTCAAGGAGGTCTTTGAGATTTTCCCCTTTCCCATCTGGCTGTCTTTGTTTCCTTGTCTCGTATGTTCTCGCAATCGATAAACCCCACCGCCTCGGCTATTCCTGAAGCAGTACACACCCATATCGCTCCCGCCGCACCTGATGTGCTTACATACGCTGGCGGAGAATTTCAATAGTGCGCACATTAGTTTCGCGGGTGTCGTGACCCTGAAGTGTTTCTATTTTTGATCTTTCCGTTTCACGAGAGAACATTCCGTAGCGCTGCGAGTGTTTAAAGGTTGAGCGTGGCTGTGTTGCTTCAGGTGGCAACACCAAATCTCCTTACCGCTCTGCGTACGCGGCCCCCTGGGCGCCTTGGCTTCGGCTTTTTTCTACGCGAATGGGTACCCATGCCTTGCAGCTCCATGGTGTTTTGTGATGAACGTCTTCGCGTGCCAACCGACTGACCGCTTGCTACGCGACGTCGAGTTGCAATGAGCCGCGACAGCGTATACGGTCTTCGATAATCACATCACGAAACCATCATAGATACCTTTGGACTGTTACCAAATATTATTGACAAAGTGTCCGCGAAACGCATCTCGCAAACCATCGCTAGAGACATGCAAACCCTGGGTATATATGCTGTACAAGGAAAACCAAATCGCGCCTACCCTGGAGCTTCAGGGAGTCAAAACACCAAAATATCTGCTATTCACAACTGCTAATCGAGTACCTTATCCACTTTTTGCGACAGACGTGGTAGACATGTTCGCAGGAGTCTTCGGCATCGAACTTCGCTTCTTTCTCTTCTTTTTGTCTGGCCGTGATTCTGTTGACTTGTCATGAGCATTCCTCTTCCTCTTCTTCTTCGAATTCGGCTCGTTCGCTTCTGTACGCGACTCGGTCTCCTCCTGTAGCCCGGCATTTACCTCTCCATCATCGAACGGGCCATCAAAAGGGTCGTAGTGCTCGCTAAGCTTGTCCTGCTCAACGTTATTTTCGAGATGGCGACGAAGAGCCTTGAGCGTTCTAGCCCATGTTCCTTGATCCGGTACCAGTGTGAGAAGCTCTTTGACTTCTGTCTCTAAATCGGATGGGGACCACTTGCTCTCCAACAGATCCGCAAGTTCGTGCCATACAACATCGTCTACATCCGTGATGTCCGAGTCAAAGGCAAGTGCTTCGATGATATCGAGGTTGTCGCCCCACTTCATATGGCCGACACCTGGGGGTACTTGAACTGATCTCCGTGGCTGTTGGGGCGTTTTTAACGTTGAGCTCTTGGACATCTGGGATGCGGCAGATATTTCTTCCTGACGGACGGAGTCTGACGGCTCAGATGGATCATACACTTCAACCACTGCTTCCTCCTGGACTTCTTCGTCTTCGGGCGTTGCAAGCTCGTCATCGTGTTGCACGGGTGTTAAAACCTCGTGTGCATCATGTTCTTTAACAGCTTCTTCCTCTTGATCGATGTCTTCCTCAAGTATAGAGACTTCCAGCTCGACATCTTGTTCAGCTGCTGCAACTTCGTGTCCGTAATCAAAATCAAAAGGTGAGGGAATATCGTCCTCGTCGAGTTCCTCGCTTGCCACCTGCCCTGAAACTTCGGGTGCTACTTCCAGCTGATCGGCATGTTCTTCAGGCGTTGCAATGCTCCCCTCGTTGATTTCTTCTGATGCTGCTACCTCGTCATCCTCTTGAGGTGCCGTAGCATGCTCGTCGTTGACCTCTTCAGAGGCTGCCTCATCGTCATCATGGTCAGGCACTGCAACATCCTGCTCTTCATCCTCTTCAGGTGGTGCAGTAACCTCGTCGTTGGCTTCTTCAGAGGCTACCTCGTCAGCATCCTCTTCGGGCGCCATAAGATCCTGTCCGGGGGCTTCCCTAATGGCTGCTTCTGCAGTTTTCTTGCTGGTTCTGGTAGACTGACAGCGTTTCTGAGAAGTTGTCGTAGCCAGTGATTCGTCATCGGTTTCATCCACGTTCTCAACGAGACCCTGTGCTTTGAAACGCTTCGAGCGTGACTTCTTAGGCTCCTTGGATGCAACACTCGAATTGAAGTCTCCCTCAGGTTCCGCCGCATCCGGATTCGCCTCATCAAGGCCCAAATCATCGTTGTCCACATAGACTTCACTTTTCCTTGGCCTGCCTCGCTTCTTCCGCGGCTCAGTTCCATCCCCGTTAGCTTCGCTCTTCCTCTTCTTTGGCTTTGGCTTTGGCGTGGGCGCCGCTGGACGAGTTGGATCCGGTGTTCTGCCTCGCTTGTAGACAGGACGAATGTTGACCGAGGCGTCCCGCTTCTTCATCTGGGTCCATTTGACTGTGCATTGGAGACGGCTGCGAACTTTGCCCATGAGCTCGCAAACTGCAGACCAATTGATGTCCTTGTTCGTGTACTCCGCAACCGATGGTAGCCCCATTTCATCACGCTCATCTTCGTCTCTCTGTATTACAGTGGTGAGCGCGCTCACAAGTGATTCCTCTTCGGCACGCGTCCAACGAGCAGTGTTCCGCTGCTCGCCATACTGTACGTAATCTTTCCAACGATTGTGGATATCGGCGGCAGATCGATCGGGCATGATCAACGATATTGTTTTCCACTGGTTTGGGTGTTTTTCCATTAACTCTTTCAGCATCTCCTCCTCCTCCTCGGTCCACCCACCGCTTTTGAAGGTATGGTATCGCGCTTGCACGTGGCCTTTGATAATCTCCGGCTTGCGTCTTAGCTGAGGCTCAGTGTGTAGGATCTCCTGCCAAAATTCTTTACTCTCGGCTTCATCTTCGAGCTGCTGCGCATCCCATTCGCTCTTCTTGCGCTTGTTCCATGTGTTCCATGGGTCTTGGGTCGGGTCGGTCCATTGAATAACGGCAACGAGATCGACTGTACTAAGATTGTTGCGTTGCTGGTAGTCTGAAATAGCTCTGCGGAGAATCTCGTCCTCGTCTTGGGTAAATCTGCCGCTCTCTGGCAGCACTGGTGGGTGATTTAGGTTGCGGTTGTTGTTCAACTCTCTATCGGCTGCGTACTTGGACAAGTCTACCGTGCTTTTCCGAACATAGCGACGAGCTGGCGTGTTTGTGAGGGGCGGTAACATCGGTTTCTTTTCCTTTGTGGGCTTTGGTGTCGCTTTCTCGGATGAAGACGCGTTTTGCATGTTCTCCTCGTCAGCCAGCGGATCCTGCTGCATTAGGTTCGCATCAGATTGATTAGTAGCACCCGAGGCGTCTTGATCGAGGACTTCAGCGTCTTTAGCCTTTGACTTGCGCTTGCGCTTTTTGGATGCCGGTGGAGCCTCAACGACCTCTTCAGTATTCTTACTCGTAGAAGCCTTGGTCGACGAAGATTGCCTGGACTTCTTGGGCTTCTTGCGTATTGAAGGAGTCTCAACAACCTCCAGGGTACGATCGACTTCATCATCAGATAGCATGGCGGAGAGCGGCGGCTTGGACCTCTTGAGTTTTCGCAGTCTCCCCTCCACACTCTTCAGGCGACCTTCCACGATTTCGCTCTGCGCGATCGCATTATCGCCATTCGCAGACTCGTCCCGCGCGCTCTCTTGCAGGGCTTGAATCAGAGAACCACGCTTCTTCTTGTTTACGCGCTTGATGGGTGTTGGAGCTCCTTCTGCTCCGGCAATCACGTTAGCGAAGGGCATTGCAGATATGTCCTGCCCGCGTGCGGCAGCGGCTCGCTCGGATCCCGGCGTGGTTGGGGGCGGAGTTATGTATGTCTTCTTGCGCTTGCGCTTGGTCCGTGGGGCCGAGGCGGGAGGGTTGTCGACGGCCATGGCCGTGGTGTTTTCCTTGTCGTTCGACGGCGTGCCCTGGCCGAGTACCGAGTTGAGGCTGTTGACCTCAGCAAGCAGCGATTGCCGGCTTTTCCCGCTCCTCTTCTTCTTCTTCTTCTGTGTTGGGCCCTCTTGCGGTGTTGCGGGTATAGCGAAGGAGGAGGTTGCGGCGGGTGTTATAGGCAAGCGAGGGGACGCTGGTGCAAGCTGTGAATCCGGCACTTCGACATCACTTTGCGGCTGTGGGGCGCCTTCATCGCCTGTGAATTGGGACGCCGCGGGGTCTTCACCGGTGAGAAGGAGCGACAAGGGCTTGTGGAGAGCTGCGAATGGTGGGGAGCTGGGTATGGTTTGCTGGCTCGGTGCGGGGGGTTGTGTCGTCAGGTCTATGGGCTGCTCCTCCCCTGCGCCGTCTGCCATGTCGTCCGGCGTCGGGCTCCTGCCTCTGGCGTCGCTCGTGGCATGCTCAGCGCGAGCTCCTTCCTCCATGAGCTGCTGAGAAGCTAAGAAATCGTCCATTGTGGGGGCTGCCGCACCAATGCGTCAGCAATGTTCAGTCGCGAGTGTCGCCGTGTTCAAAGAGCGCGAGAAAACTTGTGCAGCTCAACATGACGTCGCATTCACTCACTGTAACGGGGCTTGTACTCATCATCCGGGGAAGTTTGCAGTAGACACGTACGGGCTTGTGAGTCTGAGCCTGGCACTACTTGCGACGAGTTCTGGCCCATGTTAGAGCTTCAGTCGCGCAGCATTTTCGGGGTTTTCTGGCGTTTTCCATCAAAAGGCAAAACTCTCGGTTGAGGCTCAATTGGAGCTGTCGTGCTTCGACCGGTCGTCGCAGTTGTGATTCGTGGGCGCGATCGAACGCGTCTGGGAGACGCTAGTGCGATAAGCCCCGATTCAGCTTAGTCACCTCATACTTCATCCCCATCGTTCTTCGTCCCATACATCAGACGCATCGTCTTCAGCTACTTGGAGAGATGTCTCAATCTTATCGTGTTAATAGACTCTAGGGAATCATCTGCCTAGTACGAATCTTCAAAGGGGACTACAATGCCGATGGTCATGGAGAGCTGCTTTCTGCTTCACCCGTTGGATGCAGATACGATAACCGCATGTACTGCATACCAGATCTAGCCGCTTGATGGAAGTTTCCGAAGTTTCACGACACCACTCCACCCTATCTTCCACCTAGTCGCATCTTTGACTTGGCATTCAATCTCCCAGCCAGCCAACTTGTCCTCGCCCACCGTCACTCTTCTTATCTCATCAAGCATCCGTCTTTTGAGGCTAGGTAACAATATGCTGGGACTTGCTGCAGACTTCCAGGCAATCTCGTAGGTGATCTCGCGCAGGGCGGGCATATGTTCAAAAACTTTGGAGCAATGTAAAGTGGCTCCATCGCGACCCATAGTGTGCAAGACGAAGTCAGGTGTATCAGGCTTTTGGACTTGTCTCTGGATGACTACCCTCTCTGTCCTTTCACGGAAAGGAGCATACTGTAGAGAGCTGGGGAAGAGATCACAAGCAGCGGGCGGAACGACGATCGTTGCGCGTGGTAGTCGTAGGTAGAATGCCTCCAGCGTCTCGACCCGTAATTGCCGGCTTGCCAAAATGAGGCCAATGTCTCTGTCCCAGCCTTCTCCCACCAATGTTACATGGTCTGGGAGGACGTAGAAGTAGATGATGTCTCTGAGCTCACGAGGCAAGCTGAAAAAGTGCATGGTGTAGCTGCACAGAGAAGGTAAGAGCAATTCGCTGAACACGTGGAATTTTTATAGAAAGGCGTATCGTAGTTGTTTCCGCGTAAGGAAGTTACGAGCTTTAATGTAAGACGTCACATTTGGACCTCGGAACAGCCTAGCGTCCAGGGTTTACCAACAGTACCTAGCAACACTCCTCTTCCACCACTTGTATCCCATATAGCTTCGAAGGGCACTTCACTCCCTCTCACTCGCTCTAGAGCTTGGCGATTCCCGTAGTAGTAATGCTTCATGACCTTTGCGCCATTGGCAAGGATGAGGTGCATGAGGCCAGTTGAAGTTACTTACCCCACCTTCTGCGACTACCAAGCATTCATCTTCCAGGGTAAGGTTGTTTCCTCAGCCACAACTTTTACACGTCCACACTGCCATTTACTAAACAGGAGGATATCGAGCTTATGCCTATACTTCCGACTGATCCTTTCGACATGGCAACTCCATTCGTGCGACTCTACGACCCATCCCGCGACTTTACTAACGGTCTCCACGTGGTATAGCTCTTCAGTATTTCTATTCCAACATCATATCTCACAGCTACTCCACAGTTCTTCACCACCATCGACCAAGGCTTAGACTATGAGCCAGCGCGCACCATCGGCAGCCACATATGGTACAAGCCATATGTCAGCGTGACACCAGACACATGCTTCGTGTTAGACGACGGGACCGGGCGCGTGGTGGGATACTGCATCGGCGCAGCAGACACTACGACGTTCGCTCAGCGCTGGCGAGAGGAATTCACACCACTTGTAGACCCGGCACTGGTACCGCGACCTGAAGTGCGTTCTGACGACCCCCTCATGGAGAAAGACTATATCAAGGGTTTCCGGGAAGCGGTGTATAACGCGCATTGTAGTATGCTGCAGCCGTGGCCGGAAAGTTCACAGGCTTATCCTGCGCATCTGCACATTGACATTCTGCCGGAGTTCCAGAGACAGGGGCATGGGAAGGCTTTGATTACTGCTTTCTCGGAGGCTGTGAAGAGTCGCGGGGCAAAGGGTGTGCATTTGGACATGGTGCAGCACAATACGAATGGGCGGGCGTTTTACCAACGAGTTGGCTTCCAGCTTTGCTCCCAGATTCTGGATGGCGGGGAAAGTGGGCAGACGGGCGTGAACGGGATCGTTGTGACCTTGGTGAAATCGTTGTGATCTAGCCCGTGTAAGGTGTAGTACATATTCAGCGATAGCACTTCCTGCATCTTTCGAAAGTGTACATACTTAGCTCTTCAAGGAACCACAGCCACAAGTTGAAAGAGCACATACTGATGACGAATGTGCTGGCAGCCAGCAAGATTGGTGATGAGATTTCGATGAGTGAAGACAAGACAACAACGCTTCGAATACAGCAAGTGCTATATAATGCCCTCTCAGTCCCTTCTTCTGGATGGAAAGTACAGAGCACCTTATAATAGACGCTATCAAGAAAAGGACCACCAAGACTAGACTGAAGACACCCTTCCTTCCCCAAAAGCTCCAAAGTGCTCGCTGGAACGTTCAAACGCACACCTACAACTACCTCGCTTTTTGCCAAACCGGATATGGAAAAGACATGGACGCGTTGTTCCGTGGAGGCAAGGCATTCTGAGAAAAACGCATAAACCCGCCATGACCGCTTTTTTCGAGCAGTACTTCGGGCAGAGACAGCGCCAGCAGGCGGAAAGCTGTAATACTATGAGTAGGGCAGGACTATGAGCGCGCTGCTAGAAGTTCCTCGCCTTCTGGGCCTGCATATTCGTCAAATTTAGCACAGCAAGATGAAGAAGCATGTCACTGTGATCGGCCAGATCCAGACGATGGGCCCGAGCGAGGGATATGCAGTGTGGGTTCGTCAGTGGGAATGGTTCTATAGCCTGGTACTACACAGTACTACGAGGGAAAGTGTAGTAAGCATCCACAAAGAAGACTTTGGAGCGACGTAGGTAGGGATAAGGGCAGGGAACGAGATCACGCTTGGGAATGTGCTTGAGGACTCAAGGAATAGCTTCACAGGACAGGTTGATCTTGTAAAAAGAGCGCTCAGACTAATGTTATCACTGAGCAGCGCTGCCAAGTCGTGAGCCCCAGGAAGGAGGAAGCACCACCCTGTTGTCCCTCGCATATGCCTACTGCGCTGACCTGATCGCGACAAGCCTTTGAAGCCTCCACGGCGTGTCGTTGTACTGCTAACGGAACTCCTGCTAGCAGCAGCACCAATACCACCTTAGGTAGGGAGACAGATGACAGAACTGCTGCCAATAGTCTGCTCTACACGCCGGACATTGGACTCTATCTCGATGCCAGCGCTCCAAGCCTCCAGTCTAATCGCTTCCGCCTATCGAAAAGTCATCTTGCAAACGTCAGGATGTGACTGCATCAGCCGTCGACGTCGCCCCTATACAGCGCGATGGCCTTGTCCTTGTCCTTGATCTGTTCAAGTACTAAGGCATATTGCTTCCGTAACTGATCAAGATCTGCTGCCACCTGGTTTGCCACGACGCACTGCTCTTCGAACTTCTCTGCAAGCTTACGCTCGTCCGCCAAGATCCTTTGGACTTCCGGTGCGACCTTACCTCGCGCCCCTTGTTGATGAACGCGTTTCAACCAGGCCTTGCTGAAGTTGTGAAAGTCTGGGCCCAACCCAGACTCCACCTTTGCGAGATGGTCGAACATGTTGTTGACGACTTCGTCAAGCTCGGAAACAGAGTCCAACTCCTTCCGTAAGCCTTCGATGCCACCGTAATCTGCGTACACCTTAACAGTCTCGTCAACAAACCCTTGCAATGCGTCGGATTGGATGCCTCCAAGAAGAGGTACCACAGATACAGCCTGCGCCACCTTCTTCTGGACGCCCGTCAGTCCGCCATGGTCGCGTAGCAATTGCTCCATAGTCTGCAGTTCAGTGCCAGTGAGTCGTTCCATCACAGGTGTTACGGATGCAGCCCGCAACACCTGCGACTGAAGACCATCGGCCCCACTGATCTTTTCGAGTAACGGACTCACAGATGCTGCCTGCGAGACCGCTTCCTCTACAGCTTCACGGCCCCCAAGCCCCTCGAGCCAGGACCTCAGCTCATCATACTGCGAAGCTTTGTACAAGAGTCCGACGGACCCGGCTTCCTTCTGCAGTTGCGCAATGCTACTCCGGGGTTGCTCTGTTGTCGATTCACCTTCGATAACTTGGTAGAGATCTGAGCACATGCGCTGGAGGTCCTGGTGTCGCTCTTGGAGGCCCTGGCTGCGCTGTTGGGATTGTTCGAACTCATGCGAGACAACCTCAACCTGTTCTAGAAACTTTTTTAGCTGGGTTTCTCAGAAAAGCTATACGACTAACCATGAAGCTCCTTGCTCTTCGCGTTGACGTCCTGCTTGGTGACCAACCGCACCATCTTCGAAACCGCGTCGGCCTTCTCTTGAAGCTGCACAAGAGGGTGACTGGGACTCCCGCTCTTGAGGAGGTGCAGCTCCGCACGTAGCTTGGCTGCCTTCTTGTTGTTCGCCTGGATTTCTTCGTCGGCGCGGTCGCCATCTTCGACGAACGGATTGAGGTCGAACTTCGCCGCGCCTATACTCACCGCCAGCTGGTAGTCTTTGAGGCTCTTTTGTGTTGACCTCGTGACAGCATACTTGTGTGGCGCCATTTTGACTTGTAGTGTGGATCGTTAACGCGGAGAGGCTCAGTGTTATTAACGTGACAGCGGAGCCCACTAGCGCCTTTCAAAGCGGAAGCCACCACCACACTCACTCTCACCGTCGATCTAACGAATCTAGGCCATCCAATAAAGGACTGATCTGAATGCTCTGATGAATGTGGTGAAAGCTCTGTAGGTACATTCAAGCTATCTGATTGAGGAACTATCATTGCACGCCTCACTTATTTAGTAGCACGCGGTCAACTTCGCTGGAATCGCTGTCTTTACATTGGTTCTTGCCAATAGAGCAGGACCCTGGTGGCACTAGAGAGCTCCTTCCTCCAGAGTGACTGCATGACCAAATCTCAACCCCCGCATCTCGTCGTGACTCTACCACTCATTTCTCCCATTCCTCACTTGTGGATTTTCAAGAATTCCTCGAAGCCAGAATGGCACGGCTCAAAGAGCTACCTGAACCGACGAAGGCCAGAATGCCGCAAGCCGAGGTCGAAAAACTGGCCGCGGAAGTGGAAGCTGTGCTGCGGGAACCGATGAATCACAGCATAGAAAAGGCAAAGGAGTTCATGCGCGCGAAGGAAGAACGCGAGGTTAGTAACCTCCAAGTAGGGCCATTGCAAGACTGACTATGAAAAACAGGCGAAGCTTAATGAACGCGATTCCCGAAAGTAGCCTCGTATAGACGCGGGTCCTGAATATGACTATCAACCACAGGGCTATCGTTCTGCACTGGCTCAGAGTGAGAGCTACTCGCAGGGTTCTGTGAGTAGTCTGAACGTTCACCGACAAGGAGCTGGAAGCCATGCGCAGAGTTCTGTGAGTGTTTTGCAAGCTGAGTAGCGGCCGACGCAGAGATCCGCACAAGACACGCGCGGAACACAGATTAATATGGTAGAACAGACTGAAAGCCAGTCGCAGAGATCTGTGAGTGGTCTAAGAAGTCGGCTGCAAGAGACCGGAAGCCATACACAGGGTTCTATGAGTGGTTTGGAAGACGATTTTCAAGCAACAGACCGCGGACTGCCAATTGCGTTGTGGGATGCCGAGAGTGGCAAATGGCGAGTAGAGAGCAGTTTGAAGTTGTCAGCTATAGCCGCATCCCTTGTGACGCGACTCTTGGAGACAATCTCTGGCACACACGGGCGAGTGAACACCTGAGAGACGATGAAACCATCGAACCAGGTGTGTATTCTGATGAAAGTTATCCGCAAGGTGAATGCTGGCAGCTTCACGAATGCAAACACGGCAGGTGAAGCCTGCTAGAATTGCTTGGGTCGTACTTCGGGTAGTGGTCGCCATGCTAAGCCACGACCATGTGCCGCATTGCTGCAGCTCAACAATGCGGTACCGGTCGGGTTTCTACCTCTACCGGTGAGGCTTCGAGAGGGAGTCGACTCATCCGACATGAAGTTCTAGGTGGTAGGTGGATAGTTCTTGTCTGTGTAATAGTGAGAGCAAATCGTCGTGAGTTGGTGATGTTCTGGGGTTGCTGTCGTTACCCAACCCCAGGGCATCCCTTGTCGTGGGCGACCGTCTTACTGCGCGTAATGAAAGCATTCTTCACCCCACAATATGTCCTCGCAATGAGCGTGCATTGTTGTTGTACACGCACTGCTAATAACTTAGGATTCTGTTCAAAAATCATAGGGTGAGGCACGCAACCATAGTATTACAACCTGGTGTTACGCAGTGTTGTGTGAGTAAAAGTGCAGCAAGCATCCGCAAAGAATATTTTGGAGAGGAAAAGAAGATACGCATGGAGGTAGGGAACGAGATGACGCTTGGAAATGTGCTCGATAACTTCACAGGATAGATGTATAGATTATGTAAAAAAGAGCACCCAGACAAATGGTATCACTGAACACAGCGCTGCCAAGTCGTGAGCCTCAGTAGTGAAGAAGCACCAGGTCAGTTCAGAAGCTGACTGCCTTGAGTCATCCCCTCTGTCTCTTGTCGTTCTCCTCATCTCCCTCATCCTCTCTCTTACGCTTTCCAAAACTGCCTCCAGCAAGGGGACTAGGGTCATCAGTCTGTTGTGCATGATCAGTCATCCTACCTCTTGACGTGGCGTGAAAGTCCTCGCGCGCTCCAGGCCGTATAGGTGCACGTTGCCGTGACCCATCTAATTGAGAGGAGTCTCGACCCCACCCGTCACGTGTCCATGCGCTGTTGACGGAACTCCTGCCCACAGCACCACCAATACTACCTTGAGCGTCCGGAACGAAGGTTATCTCTGGTGCATCAGTTCGTGGCCTGCTACGTTCGCCTAGTTGCGAAGAGCCTCCGCGGCCTCCGCGGTGTGTCGATGTGCTGCTAACAGAACTGCTGCCAACAGCATCACCAACACCACGTGCCCACTGCGTCTGCGTCAGTTCACTTCACCCTCATCGATCACCATACTCTGCACTGACTGAAATGAGCGAAGTGTGAGGGGTTGAAACCCAAGAGCAGAGGAAGTGAAATGAGGTGATGAATTGAGCAGCAGTAGAGCAGGAAGTAGATATTGAGTTATCATTGCGTGGATACGTGCAAGACAGGAGAAGCTATGCAAGTACCAATGAACATGCCGCTAGAACCAAAAGGAAACGCCCACCGTATACCAATGCCGCATCATGTACAGAAACACATAAAAGTGCCAGTAACCCTAATCGAATACAGAGAAACAAAACCTTACATGACCATAGCCATCGCCGCAACAAGCGCAACGACGAAGCTGACGGTCGCACTGCCCTGCAGCTTACCACCAGCGCTGCCAAGCCTGAACTTGCCATCCGTCTGCCTATCGAAAGTGACGTTCTGCTGAATTGTCTCGTTCAAGCACTGGCCGTTGGCAATGTCCAGACCAGCCAAGTCATTCGGCTCGCGGAAGAACATGTAGCTCTTGGTGTTTAAGCCCTTGAAGCCCTCGGTGTTGTACGGGAACCACATGCTGGAGTCGGTCGCGGATGTGTTGCGCAGGAAGATGCACTGGACTTGGTTCGGGTAGGTGTGCGCAAGCTGAGGGTAGTCCTTCATGACGTCGCTGTTCGAGGTGTCTGCGACGAGGACGAACTTTCTCTTCGGGAAAGTCTCGAAGACCTTTGTAAGGAGGTACATGCGGATGGAGAGGGTGGCCTTCACGTCGGAAAAGTTGAGCGGGCGAGTGTCAAAGGAGCCGCCGGGGTAGGTCTTGTAGATGAAATCCATGTAGTTGCGGGTGGCTTGTTCCGGGGTGGTGGTCAGGTAGTGGAAGTGCGTGTTGTTAGGCAGAGTACGCGACCAGTTGGCGTAGATCTCAGGCATGTTCTCCCACTGCACGAACGGGCGTGCGAAGGAGTTCAAGAGACCTTCTTTGGGATCGTAAATCTTGGTAACACGTAGAATGTCGTCAATGTCGGACACGAATGTAATACCTTCTGTAGGCACGAGGAAAGCAGTGGCGTTTCCGGACAAGGTGCCATTGGTGTAGACGTTCAGGCGCTGCACGTTGTTGGTCTCGTTGCCGGGGAGTAGACCATTCTGCTGGATAGGGACAAAGACGTCGAAGTCACCCTCATCGGTCGTCTCGTATGGTAGGGTCAGGTTCTGTGTACCTCCGGGTGCCTGGATGGAGTTACCGCCGCCTGGCTCGCCATCTCCGCCTTGCATTGGCGCTGGCTCCAGAGACATGGACACATTCTGATCTCCCTGCTGAACAATGTAGATGGAGCGCGTGAGGTTGCGAGCTTGCGCTTGTCCCGCCGCATCGAGCTTATCGACCGACGTGCCGATCAAGAAGTCGTTCGCAAGGTCATCGACCTTCTCCTGGGAGATATCCGGGAACTTGTAGACGTTGCCGTGGAATCGAACATTCCATCCCTTGTCGGTCCAGTTGGCATATGGGGGGATGTTGAGGACTTCGGTAGGCTTCGCAGCCAGCTCGTCGCCAATTCCCAGCTCTGAGAGCACTTTGGTGCCAGTGGGGAGGTTTTCGAACCAGCCAGGTACGCCTAGTCACGCTATTAGCACACAAGCCTTTCCAAGCACATGGGCTGTCTTGGTGTGTCTACGCACCCTCAGTAAAGAAGCTTGGCAGGGCCGATCCAATAACACTCTCCCACGACTTTGCTACACCGCCGACGCCGCTCTTGATATCGTCGATGATGTCCTTCTTCTGCAGGTAGCTGTGGCGGCTGTCGAAGCGGATCGCGGCGGGTGTGACAATTGGGGCGCGAACTTCGACCTGCGCGGGAACAGCAGTAGGTTCTGGTATCGCGACAGCACTAGCAAAACCCAACGCCGCGCTCAGCAGCATCCAGCGCTGCGACGAGTGTGTGCGTGCCATGTTGCAGATGTCTCGCCGGGTGGACTAGAGGTAAACAGGGGCTGGACGCGTCGGATCGCGTCTCCTCAACTACAATTGCAACGGCAGACTGAGGAAGTAGGATACAAGAAAGGAGATGCAAGTAAGAGGGAGAGTGGAATACTGCGCCACTTAATGGCGATAATTCCCGCCAGCAGGTTTCAATCTAGTTGTTGGTTGTTTGGGGCTGTACCTGGCAGTGCCATCCCTGTCAAATGATGTCATTTGCTCCATCGGAGCTCACGCTTCCCGATGTGGTTAGTACGAAACGGAAACCCCATACTTGGATCTCTCCACCCTGGCACAGATCTCAAGGACCTCCACAGAAAACATCGGAACTGACATGGAAGATCTGTGTCTGGAAGCCGGGGGCCGACGTCGTAGTACTGCTCAATCCACTGACTGAAGTTCTCGCGAACGAAGGGGCACACGCGGCACTATCCCAATTTCAGCAGCATCTCGGAGCTTGCTCCGCCTTTCATCGCCATCGCAACTGCTTGTTACACCTTCACACACTGCCACGCAATTGCTGCCAGGTTTGTATGCCGCGCCACGATTGGGTGGCTCCACCGATACAAGCCGCCTTTCGTCTTCGTATAACTTTAATTGCGTCATACAGCCGGGCCTGAGGGCTGACCAGCGAACTAAATAATCTAGCTACTTGGTGCAGCGAAGGCTACACTTCCGGGTCTTGCTCACCAACGTGGTGAAAGACGCCAGCAACGATAGCATCGACCTTCTCTTGAATGGAGCATACGTACATCATCATCTGTTGGCTTGATCCTGTCCGCTTTCTTTGCATCCTCACTCATCTCATTCAACATTCATGCGTTGCTACACATTCTCCAGCTTCGCCCGCAAAGGTCACCTTCCCAGCCTGTTTACTCTTGGTCCGCGTGTTCTGCGTACGATTGACGTATAAGTTTCTTGTTGCTGTTTCCGAGCATTTGTCAGATCAGTCCATTGCACACTTGTGGATACACCATTTAGCGGAAGTAGCTCCACTATAATAGATGTTAGTCCCATGACTGTAACAGCAAGATGTGAGTTCGTGCGTACCATTCGAAGCCGAGGAGAACCAACGAGGCCGACGTATCGACGTTCGAGCGTGTATACGGTGCTTCCAGATCAAGCCCACCATGGACAACAGTATCATAATGAATATCGTTGCCAGAGCAAATATAGCTTCTTTGGACCAAGAAGAGGCGATGTCAACCTTAGGCTGCTCGTGAGTGACTTCGACTATGAGCGCATGCTCACATCGCTATTCGAAGGATGGAGGACGTACCATTTCCCATCCTTTGATCTGAATTTTTTGTACTAGTCTAAGGCTCAGATCTGAAGGCGTGCGTGGCCGTGCAAAGTGACTCTTTCTCAGCGCAATGTAGTGGAAACGTTGAAAGGTCCAATTGGGAGCTACCTGTTAAGAAGCTCAGTCAGTACGATCTCAAATTCGTAGCACGTAATATGCTAGCCTCAAAAAGCAGCCAGACCTACTCCAACGAACTACAACCCTCTATGGAAGTCGCAAAAAGGACGCTTGCTACAGTACAAAGCTAGTCGGGACTCGAAGCTATGATCGCAATGTTTCCTTTGAGCGATCTTGATTGATCACCAAATCGAAGTGGACCACGACAAGTACTACAAAGTGGGAGGCAAAGGCTATAAGAGAATCGCAGTCCGACGAAGCTAAGTGTGCCGATGATGATTGAGCTGACCAGTGCTCTCAGATCAGGCTGTGAATGGTCATCCAACTCGAGCTATTTGCAGGGCCGCAGGACAGGGTTCGTGAAACGGTCAAACCAACGGAAAAGATAAAGGAAGCAAGAAGCTGCGGACTGCAAATACGAGAATCGAGCCGAGAAAAGTGATGACATAGAAATTCTCGACTGTGTGACCCTATGAGCGCGACCAGTGAAGTGCATAGATACGTGAATATGGATACATGGCGCGCGCAGCATGTAATATAATCCCTGTGCAAAGACCCTGGTGCAGCCTCGTTACTTTGGTACCTATGTGGTAGGGATCCGGGGGCTTGGGATTAGGATGTACCCTTTTGCGTGTTGTGACTGGACACTGACTGCTTCGGCGCTTTGGGCTGGCTCGACTCGTGCTGGCGACGCGCCACATTGATGACCCACAGACCACATCCAGGCAACCTAGCTGATCTGATCTCTGCGAAAGCATGTCCGCCGGGAGTTTAGCGAGGACCCAAAAGAAACACCCAACCGGTCTGCGTGCAGGATGTCTGGTGAGCTGGCGTCGCGGCGAACAAGATCTACAGCACTTTTTTGCCCCTCCTTTTTCAGCCTGACGAACATTGCACACCGGTGTGATTTCATTTGGTTAGAGCTTTCAACTAATAACGTCGCTGCGTTGATGTATCCCGACTGTAGTCGATGGTGTACAGTTACATAACACATTAGGATATGCCATTATGTCTTTGTCTAGCGGCGTTCTGCTGTGGCGTTGGTTGGTATATGTATATAATGTGTGATAATAGTTTTAAAGCTTTCTGAACTATCGAGCCCGGGAAACTGTCTCTTTTTATGTTCATGACATGCCAGCATGCAGTGAATTACCGCAATTGATGAGATTTTAGCATCCGAACATTGTACACAACAGCGCCTGGAAACCTGGATACCTTCACCGAGACTAGCGAAGAATGCCAATCAACTGTGAGTTGTAGATCTTGGACCCCGTCGCTTACGTAGTTCGTACGTATACATTCGTTGTTGCAATTGCCGAACGACCTTCATCTCGACACAGCCCGACACACCTGCACTCTGGCGTGGTAAAAGGGTTTTGTTACCTACGCGTATCAGTTTAAGGCTTGATAACAGTGCAACTATATTAC